AAAGCTTCAGGAGCTGGTAACATTGTTTTTATCTCTTCTGTTGCTGGATCAGTCTCAGTTGCAGGGATTGGAAGTATATATGCTGCCACTAAAGGTATCAATTTGACCACCTTACCCTTTACTCTTTTCTTTACTCTTTCTTCTTTTTTTTTCTTTTTTTTTGTTTTTGTTTTTGTTTTTTTTTTCCCAAATGATCTTTTTGAACTTTCCATTCAAATTTTGTGTGTTAGTTATGTATATGAAGTGAAAATTGTGACTGTTCTTTTGGCAATTATGTTTTAGGTGCAGTAAACCAATTGGCAAGATCCTTTGCTTGTGAGTGGGGCAAAGATAACATAAGGGTCAACAGCGTTGCACCTTGGTTCATCAGAACTCATCTTTCTGCAAATGTAAGATCCTTAGTTTTCGAGTTTTTAGGTGTATCGATATATTATTTATTCAAATTTAAGTCCATTCTAGACTTTAGTTTTTTATATATTTATAACAAGGTACATGCGTATGTATATAGGTACATAAAACTTATCATTCTCTCTACTTTATACATGCAGTTTCTGAGTAATGAACAATTTTCGAATGCTGTCAACTCTCAAACCCCGTTAGGACGGTCGGGAGAGCCGGAAGAAGTGGCAGCCTTGGTGTCATTTCTATGCCTCCCTGCAGCTTCTTACATAACTGGGCAGACTATTTGCGCTGACGGGGGTATGACTGTCAATGGCTTCCTCTTCCAAGGATAATGATTGCAATTAAAGTTGGAGCACAAATTGATGTCACTTTCCCAATTTCTAGTGGGAGACACTATTGCTATTGTGTTCAAAATGGTTTCTATGTTGAGTTATTGTTGTCCTTACATCTTCAGAATAAGTTGTTGAAATCCTATCATATAGGAAGTCAATTTTTATTTTTTTTCATTTATTTTTGGGGAGTATCCCAATTGCTTAAGAGTGTGTTAATCGTGAAATTAGTTGTTCCCATGTTTCTTGCTGAGTTTGGTGCTTGTATTGTAACACCCCGACTCCAAATTTATCCCTTGTTTTAATTAATTTGAGCGAAATTAAGAATTTACCCATGGGATAGGGGTATTTTAGTCATTTTCATGCCCGGAAGGAATTTGGGAATTCCGGATGTACCGTTGTGTAGAGCACGGCGAGATGAGTTCGTAGACACGTAGTGGGCTCGAATCGGAGTTGTAACGAGAGAGATACGATCCAAATACCCTCAGTGGCAAAACCGTAAATATTTTGAAATGGAATTTTTGGTTAAAAGACGGAACTGCCCCCGTCTCTCTCTCTCTCTCTCTCTCTCACTCTCTCTCCCGCGCGTCCCTCTCTCTCTCCTCTGGTTCGCGACGGCTGAAACAGCCGGCCACGTTTTGGCCGGCCGTGCTCTCGTCCGGCCACCAAACTTGACGGGGCCGGTACCAAAATGACCGGGCCGCCGTCCTCTTCCTACCCCAGCCAGGTCCCGCTGCCAGCCGTCGAGATTTCACCGGAAAATCGAAGAGAAAAGCTCGGTTTTGCCCGAAACTTCGCCGGCTTCGTTCTCCGTCGTCCGGCTGCCATTTTTGGCGATCAAGGTATGGAAATTCATCCCTTCTGCATGATCTAGCTGATGGTTGGGTAGGATTGCATCAATTTGTAGCCTAGATTATCTGATTTTCGAGTTAGGGTTCGGCCGGTTTTGGGATCGCGATTCCGGCCATTTTCGGTCAGTTTTTGGGGTACATCCAAGAATAAAAGTGACTCCAAATTAGGTGTATTACCTAGGGTAGGAGTCTTGGCTCTTGATTTGGAAGTTTTCCGGCGATGCAATATCGCTTTGGACACCCACGCGCTGCCGGCGCGTGTGGCGGAGCGTGGGCACTGTAGTAGAGGGGCATTTTTGTCCAAATGGGATCCTCAGGTTGTCATGAGCGCGTAGGTGTGCTCGGATCTCAATTTGGATATCGTTAGAGTCCCGAACGGATATCGCATATCGCGTATTTTCCGGGTTCGCTAGGTTTGGACCGTTGGATGGTCCTGAGATTATAATATGTTGATCTAGGTATTACCAGGATTGTATAGGATTCGACGGATTGTAAAACGGAGTCTCGGATACTCCGGAAATGCCGACCCTAGTGTTAAGTTTATAGAAATTGTCCGGTCGTGCGATCGTGAGCGATCCGACCGTCCGATCTGGACCAAACTTGCAGGACGTGCATCCTAGAGCTTGTAGAACCTATAGGAACTTTCGGTTCGGAAATTGGAGGTCGTGGGCCCTGCGGCTCGTTTGACCAACGTTGGGTAGTTTGACCCTAGGTTGACTGTGAGACCTTTGGGATAGTTCTACCTTCCCAGGAGGGTTAGAATGACCATAGAGACAGGTCCTGATGTTATGGGGATTATGGGGGATTATCGGATGCTAGTTGTTTATTAAGGTGTTTATATTATTAGAATTTAATGTATAAAAATTATGTATGGGTTTTATAATTGAATGTTAGTTTGCAGTACTATATGCACTACCCTATGTACCTCCTCGCGTGTAGACAGACCCCATACGTGGCCGGGTGCGTCCCAACGTATGAGGGGAGATATGATTGTGTGAGGGCTGGTGAGAATGTAGCCAGGCCCAGGGTTGAGGTCGCACGCGTCTTTGGATTAGCCACCGTGTAGACAGACCCCATACGTGGCCGGGTGCGTCCCGACGTATGAGGGGAGATATGATTGTGTGATGGCTGGTGAGAATGTAGCCAGGCGAGGGCTGGTGAGAATGTAGCCAGGCCCAGTGTGAGGTCTTTGGATTAGCCGGCGTGTTGACAGACCCCATACGTGGCCGGGTGCGTCCCGACGTATGAGGGGAGATATGATTGTGTGAGGGCTGGTGAGAATGTAGCCAGGCCCAGTGTGAGGTCGCACGCGTCTTTGGATTAGCCGGCGTGTTGACAGACCCCATACGTGGCCGGGTGCGTCTCGACGTATGAGGGGAGATATGATTGTGTGAGGGCTGGTGAGAATGTAGCCAGGCCCAGGGTTGAGGTCGCACGCGTCTTTGGATTAGCCGGCGTGTAGACAGACCCCATACGAGGCCGGGTGCGTCCCGTCGTATGAGGGGAGCTATGTGATTGTGTTTGGTGTGTTGTGATGGATAAACCCTAGAATGTATGAATTTATATGGATGTAATGGCTTATTTGATATTAGGAGCCAGGATAGATACGAAAGAGCTACCTGTGGCTTGATCCCTTAGTAGGGTACGTAGGCAGCCTGGGAGAGCGCCTAGGTGCAGCCACGGCCTAGACACCACTTAGGTGGTTTTATTGAGTATGATGCGGACCTCGTGGTTGGTCCCGAAACTTGGTTGAATTGAGGCTTGTCCGGTGGACTGAGTGAGTGAAGGTGTGCATAGATAGATTTTGAATTTGTTATATGCATGTTTGATGCATTAAGTTATTCTAAAAACAGTATGGGCAGTTCTGCTAGAATCATTTGAAGGCCGGAGGCCATTTATGTAAATTGCATGAGATTATATTGTGCATGCTGCTGGTTGGGTTATAAAATGTGTTTTATGCAGGTGGAAATTTTGGGGAATGTTCAATTTATAGGGGAGACTGCCGAAATTTCGGCAGAAAGTCTCGTGCCCTTAATCCTCTTTGGTAAAAGAGGACATAGTTTTAAGGAATGAACCCGGCATGGGTGTGATGCCGAGGTCTTCGCAGGGTTCGTCTCGGGTTCTGGGAAATTTGGGGCGGGTCCTGTCATGTATACTTCTAGTAAACATATTTTTCTCACATTATCTAGACATGATTTTCTTCCCTATAATTTATTTATATTCTTCTTTGTGGCCCCAAGACATCAATTTCTGGAGAAAAACTTGCATGTCATGTCGTGCCGTCATGTGGAATCATTGCGGGATGTAATTGATTGGGGGAGTATTTTTGCTCACCACTTTAACTCAAGGAATCTCACCACTGTTTTAAAAACTTGACACATGTCAATGGTATAACTATGGTTAATTATTTACTTTTAAATCTTTTAAAGTATTCAAAAACAAAAAATAAAATAAAATAAAAACTAAAAAAAATCTCTCTCCTTCTCTCTCTCCTTTCCCGACTCAATCCCACCCCACCCCACCCCAGACTCCCTATTCTCTACAGCCACCCCCTCAGCAACCCCATCCACCATTCACAGGTGTTGCCGCCATCGTGGCTATTATGCAACAAGTCATCTATGATCTCTCGGTCCCCAAAAACCCTAACCCTAGTGTCGCCGTCAGACATTGTGGCTTCATGTTCACCTCCATTCGTTGCCTTTTCGGCTTCGGATATGGAACCTCATTTAGATTTGAGCCATTGAAGTGCTTGAAATTTGTAAAGTCCCTTCTTAGCATTGCTTCTTCTACTCATTTCTTACTGAATGCTAGTATTTTCCCAAACTTGCTTTCATTGAGATCTTATTTTCAAGAGTCTCAACTTTAACTAATTTCAACTCAAGAGTAGTACTAGTGTGTTATCGTAGGGTATTTGAGGTGATGTTTTACAAAGGGAAAGAAGAGAGAGGAGAGAGAATTTTTTATAGTTTTTATTTTATTTTATTTTTTGGTTTTGAATACATTAAAAGATTTAAAAGTAAATAATTAACCATAGTTATATCATAGATATGTGTCAAGTTTTAAAAGAGTGATAAGGTTACATCTTGGGTTAAAATAATGAGCCAAAAAACTCTCGTTGATAGGAGGTAATAAAACAGTGCTATAGTGTGATATACAAGATGCAATTTCACAGCCCAATTTCCAAATCCCATTTGCTGCTGTCAGGTCCATTGTCCAATTGACAATGGCTGGTGATGGCTGCACAGTAAAGGCCAGCCATTATTACCATCTGTCAGAGGAGGCCATTTGATTAGGAAAGCTAAATCTTATCGCTTAAATTTACTTATAAATAATTGGTTGGACAATCAAGTAGATTGGGGCATCCATTATTCAACAAAGGGTGGTGCTAAAGGCACCAACTTTGGGCACCAACTTTCTAATGGAGGTGGGACCCGTCAATCTCCGGGGCCTATCAGCCACTCGAATTTTCGATATTCCTTTTTATTTCTCATCAAACGAATGGCATCTTCTTCTGGAAATCCTAGCTATTCTTAGCATGATATTGGGGAATCTCATTGCTATTACTCAAACAAGCATGAAACGTATGCTTGCGTATTCGTCCATAGGTCAAATTGGATATGTAATTATTGGAATAATTGTTGGAGACTCAAATGGTGGATATGCAAGCATGATAACTTATATGCTGTTCTATATCTCCATGAATCTAGGAACTTTTGCTTGCATTGTATTATTTGGTGCCCAAAATTGGTGCCTCCAGCATTTTCCTTCAACAAATGTTACTCGGTGGCGCCAGAGTTTCCCGTGGCCCAATATACAGACCCATAATTCGTCCGTTGATAAAGATGAGATAAGATTCTCGAAAACTCAGGCAAGCTTCAACTACAAGATAGTATATCGATACACCTGAAAACTCTGACAATTTTTAGCATAACATACAAGAGAGTGAACATGCAAGCTTCAACTATTTTTTTTCTGAAAAATAAAAATTAAGAATGATTTCAAACTCAATCTAAACTTAGGCTTCACAGTTTTGTTTTCGCTAAATGCTATATGAGTGCAAAACATGTTATAAATCCATTTTATTTATGAACCTACAAAAACTCCTATACCTACCTTTTATTACTCAACAATAATGCACTAGAACTACTCACCGTGTTATTTAGCCCTAAATTGGGTCAGTTGCAACTTGCATGTAATGATGAAATTAAATGTTTTGAAGTCCCCTGCTATTACTACAATTAGTGTGCAAATCCAAGCCATCCATGAAAATGAAGTCAAGTGGGGATATTGATTGAATGGTTGAGATTAGTGCATCTCAAGAATTGAAGTTGAATTAAATTAAACAGGTGGGAGGGAAATTGGGCCAAGACGCCAAGTGCAAAGCAGGACTAATTTTTATATGTAAAAGCATCCCACCCAAACGCAAGAGTGAGTCAGTGAGGCGCAAACACAGCAGGCAGGCACTGAAGAAGCTTCACGCATTGCTCTTTCGTAGCAGAATGGGAGCCATTGCCCCCACAGCAGCAAGTTATTTCATACAGTTTTCTACGAAAATATTGTGCACAAATGGAACGCTTAGCATGATCTCGTATATCTCGCTTCTCCTTCACACATTTCTCTTTGCTAAGGACAAACCACAACAAAACAATTGATTGCGCACTTCAAAGCACATCTGCTTTGTTAATACAGATTAACTTGATCTGCTCCAGTGCCTAGGCTAATACAGGCAGCCCAAAGAGTTTGAATAAGACCCCCAGCACACATGACAGTGCCACAATTCACAAATACCAGTGTCAGAAAAATTACAAAAGCAAATTCATGCATTTGTGTGTAGTGTACAGAACACACAAAGGGGAAAGCTTTTTAAAACACTAAATTAAGATACCAATATATCACAGTGACTCGAAGAAATCTATCAATCAGAACCTGAAGGAACTAGGATGCTACTTAACTAACTTGTAGACCTTGCAGCCGAGGGCTTCGTCGCAGTGGAAGCTGCCATTGTGAGTGCCGACTCGCTTAGCTGGAGTAGCGGTAGCCATGAGAAAGAGCGAGAGAGATGAAGGCGCAGTTGATGGTGGTGGCTCGGGAAGACGTATGGTAGCGTGTGCTTAAACCCTCACTTTCCACTTTGAACACTTTGGTCCCTGCCCTGTCATTTCAAGTTGGCCAATTTAGTTGTGGAGGGGCAGTTCAGTCCACAAACAGCAAAGTCTGCGTTTAACGGCAGTCGGCCTTGCTGGTATACGGGCCATGCATGCAGTGCAGGGTATCTAACAGGATTTTCAAGCTCTGCATCTTCAATAATGATCGTCCAAGAAGATAGTATACTTGTCTGCCAGCTGTCTTTTTCGGATGGTGATTGTGTTATGGAGGGTAGGGAATTCATCATTTTAGTATGTTGTTGTAGGGCCTCCCTCTGATGACATTGGCAAGTTATTGCACACTTAACTGGTTCTGCCATGAACGCATGTTTTCTTTTCTTGAGAGAATTGCCTGCTTGGTTGGCACTGGCAGAAACTGAATGAAATAGATTGGGATCAACGTCAGTTTGCTTATTTCAAGTGTTTTAATTGCTTTTCTCTGTCAAGAAAGAAATGCACCACATGTTTTCTTCCCTAGACTAGTGCAAGGAAATGAATGCAGAAATTATTCATGAACAATGGCTTTCGGGTGGGCGGGCATGATTTCCTATGAGGAAGTTTTTCAAGGAGTTTAGGCAAGGAATTAGCATCAGGAAGCTATAAGAATGTACTATTTTCTGTGGAGGTTTCTGTTGATCAGGCAGTGTTCGAAAAATCGGCCTAGGCGGGGACTAGGCGCTAGGCGGCCTGGGGGTCTGACCCAGAAAAAAAACGCCATTTTGGAATCTCCAAGGTCAGGGACGAGATGATGATGGTAGCTCAGATTTTGGGAGCTATAAGAATATACTATTTTCTGCAGAGGTTTCTGATGATCAGGCAGTGTTCGAAAAATCGGCCAAGGCGGCGTAGGAGGCCTGGGCGGGTCTGACCCCGTAAAAAAAACGCCGTTTTGGAATCTCCAAGGTCAAGGACGGGATTATGATGGTGGCTCAGATTTTGGGGTGGCGAGATGAGGATTGAAGAAGATGAGAGGTCGCGGGGAGGGCTGGAAGACGGCTCGGGTTAGACTTGGGCCTCGGCTCGTGGTGATGAGAAAAACAGAGGGAGAGATGGGCTTTCAATTGGGCATCTCTCTCAGTTACATCTTTAACTAACGTGAGTTCTATATGTCAAATTTTGTCATCAATTTGAGCTCTTGGTTTCAGGTGAGAGCGTGAGAGAAAGAGAGAGATGTTTGTATTGAAATCTTACACAGATTACACAGAGGCTCATGTCCCTGCGGTAATTTTCATAGCAGTTCTTTGTTGAAATGGAATACTATTGATTTACAGGATAATTTTGTTAACGCGGATCTTGTCATAAATCGTGATAATTAGGACTAGTGGTTCTTCCATGACCTCAATTTCATCCGACGTCAATGGATGTGGAGGTTTGAGAGGACCCATACCATCATTGTATCTGAGGAAACACCGCCACATAAGTTCATGAAAAATGTCCTGTTTCATGTGCACAAGTTTGCTTTGTGGTTTACTAACATTATTTTTGGTTTAAATGACTTTTGTTCTTCATTTTTGGGTGATATTTCCGATCTGCAATGTTACTTCAGAGGGTATTCTTGGTGACACCCTTAGCAAGTTCAGCATCTGGGGTCTCTACATAACATTTGTTCTTGCTGTTGGCCGCTTTATCAGACTTCAATGCTCTGACTTAAGAATGAGAATCCCCTATGAAAACCTTCCTTCCTGTGATAGGTAAGGCAACTTTGTTTTGGTCCTTCCTTCTTATCTTTCATTTTCCAAACCAAGTATCAATAAGAGTAATATTTCCCTGAAACTTATATGGCTCTTTTATTGTATAGGTTGATAGCCATTTGTGAGGATATATATGCTGCAAGAGCAGAAGGTGAGCTTGGAGTTGAAGAGGTCCTTTATTGGACGCTGGTGAAGATTTACAGGTTACCACACATGCTGCTCGAATACACAAAACCCGACTATACATGCTACCTCCAGTTGACGAGGACTCAACTAGGTTTAACATTGACATTAAGTTTGACTAACACCCATTATACATATCGGAAATACAGATACTGATCCCCAGTTATATTTGAAGAAATACAAAACAAAATTCTTTCGGCCGCCATGTAAAACTTCTGCAGCCAGAGAAACTCTGGTTTCCACGTATAAGGATATGCACAGAGCTCAACATTTTTAGCATAGCTTTGCATGGCATAGTGGTTACATGTGCACATGTTGTATTTCAAGATGATTTTGATTTATCATGTATATAGTTCAATACAAGTTGGAGGAAAGCCATACAACAATATTATATTTTCCGTAGATTTCTGTTCCTTTTCCTTCAAAAACACAGGATGTATATGTATCAGTTGGACAAACCATGTCATGTCACCATTGTAATGACTTCACTTGAATATATTATTGCCTTGCCACCCCTCCCCTACTCAAAAGGTTTGTGAAATGAAATATGCTTAAAACCAATTACCAAAGAAAACAAAAAATACGATGGAAATTCAACCAATGCAACTCTCTACAAGTATCATTTTTCCGAAATCAACCCAAGTTCAATCTATGTGAATAACGTTGCCACTCTCCTCAAATCGTCTTCGTTAGTGAAGTGAACAAATAGAAATACAAAGAACACAAGTACGGCTGGAGCATCGAAATTCCAACATGATATCAGTACGGACAAACAGACATCATTTCCACACAAGGCAAAACCTCCCAACAAAATTTTCACCAGTGATCTTTCAACATACACTACTCATACACTGCCGTCTCCTCCTCATCCTTCAGAGGTCTCATTTTTTTGTAGCTGCTACCAGAACCCTTTTTATCGACAATCTCAGGGATAGTGTCTTCCATAACCTTTGGGCTTGCAAAGTCAAAATCTGAAGCGGATATGCCTTCGTATATAGGATTTTCTTTTAAAAATGCTGCTATCTCATTTCAGGTTCTAACTTTTTTCCCCTTGGATGTAATATAAAAAGCATCCAGTTTAGAATAATCTTTTATGTTGTTGTAGGGCCTCCCTCTGATGACATTGGCAAGTTATTGCTCACTGTAACTGGTTCTGCCATGAACGCATGTTTTTTTTTTTCTTGAGAGAATTGCCTACTTGGTTGGCACTGGCAGAAACTGAATGAAATAGATTGGGATCAACGTCAGTTTGCTTATTTCAAGTGTTTTAATTGCTTTTCTCTGTCAAGAAAGAAATGTACCACATGTTTTCTTCCCTAGACTAGTGCAAGGAAATGAATGCAGAAATTATTCATGAACAATGGCTTTAGGGTGGGCGGGCATGATTTCCTATGAGGAAGTTTTTCAAGGAGTTTAGGCAAGGAAATAGCATCAGGAAGCTATAAGAATATACAATTTTCTGCGGAGGTTTCTGATGATCAGGCAGTGTTCGAAAAATCGGCCTAGGCGGCGACTAGGCGCTAGGCGGCCGCCTAGGCGGTCTGGGCGATTTTGAGCCAAAAAAAAACGCCATTTTGGAATCTCCAAGGTCAGGGACGAGATGATGATGGTGGCTCAGATTTTGGGGTGGCGAGATGAGGATTGAAGAAGATGAACATGAGAGGTCGCAGCGAGGGGCAGGAGACGGCTCATGTTAGACTTGGGCCTCGGCTCTTGTTGATGGGAAAAACAAAGGGAGAGATGGGCTTTCAATTGGGCCTCGTATTAAAACACTAATAAAACCAAATGCCCTATTTAGATATATTATTTTGATTAGGATTGGGCCTCGTAAAATAAAACATTAAATGAATTTTCCATTATGAAATCGTTAAAGCAACCACTAATAAGTAACAAATAACAAATAAATATTATACAAATATTTTTCCAATATATATATATATACAAATAAACATTAAACGGTATACCAACAATGTTGGATGTTTTACAATTCTGGTTATAAATAAATAAAATAAGTCTACGGACACTCCATAAACCAACAAAATAATCAGTTTCCTATTTTAACTAGGAGTTGGATTCCCTTAATTATTCAGTTATTGCCTTTTGTTCTTTTTCATGGGTAATTAATGCAATTTAATTCTAGCATCTGGACTGATATGGATGTGAAAATCAGCAAAAGGAACTCACCTTTTTAATTTCTAAATTTGTCTTTGTGTGAATTGCTATGGGGGATAAAATCAGACTAATCTATGTGCTTAAATTTGGGTGTGGTGCCAACGGGCAGCTCAGTAAAAAATAGCCTTGATTTGCATACCAAAAGTCGCAGGTTTGAATCCCCACGACATTATAGTTGTGTGTGTGTATGAGAAATCTATATCCCATGTAGCTTAGACAATTACTTATACTAAAATAAAAAATAAAAAAAATTGGGTGTAGGTGTTTTATACATTGCTACAAAGGAAAAGATCATACTAATCTATGTTAGATTTTGATAATTGATTGAACTAAATAAGTGTGACATGGATTAACGTGAACTTCTTCTTTGTAATCATTAATAAAATGTACACTTTTATCAACCATATCGATACCAAAACTCAGTATACAAGTGCAAAATGGATTATAAATCCATTTTATTTATTAACCTACCAAAACTCCTATACCTACCTTTTATTACTCAACAATATACTAGAACTACTCACCCTATTTAGCCCTAAATTGGGTCAGTTGCATGTTCGTACCTAATGATGAAATTAAATGTTTTCAAGTCCTCTGCTATTACTACAATTAGTGTGCAAATTACTACAATTATTGTGCAAATCCAAGCCATCCATTAAAGTGAATTCAAGTGGGGATATTGATTGAATGGTTGAGATTAGTGCATCTCAAGAATTGAAGTTGAATTAAATTAAACAGGTGGGAGGGAAATTGGGCCAAGACGCCAAGTGCAAAGCAGGACTAATTTTTATATGTAAAAGCATCCCGCCCAAACGCAAGAGTGAGTCAGTGAGGCGCAAACACAGCAGGCAGGCACTGAAGAAGCTTCACGCATTGCTCTGTCGTAGCAGAATGGGAGCCATTGCCCCCACAGCAGCAAGTTATTTCATACAGTTTTCTACGAAAATATTGTGCACAAATGGAACGCTTAGCATGATCTCATATATCTCGCTTCTCCCTCACACATTTCTCTTTGCTAAGGACAAACCACAACAAAACAATTGATTGAGCACTTCAAAGCATATCTGCTTTGCTAATACAGATTAACTTGATCTGCTCCAGTGCCTAGGCTAATACAGGCAGCCCAAAGAGTTTGAATAAGACCCCCAGCACACATGACAGTGCCACAATTCACAAATACCAATGTCAGAAAAATTACAAAAGCAAATTCATGCATTTGTGTGTAGTGTACAGAACACACAAAGGGGAAAGCTTTTTAAAACACTAAATTAAGATACCAATATATCACAGTGACTCGAAGCAATCTATCAATCAGAACCTGAAGGAACTAGGATGCTACTTAACTAACTTGTAGACCTTGCAGCCGAGGGCTTCGTCGCAGTGGAAGCTGCCATTGTGAGTGCCGACTCGCTTAGCTGGAGTAGCTGTAGCCATGAGAGAGAGCGAGAGCGGTGAAGGCGCAGGTGATGGTGATGGCTCGGGAAGACGAACGGTAGCGTGTGCTTAAACCCTCACTTTCCACTTTTAATATGTTGGTCCCTGTCATTTCAAGTTGGTCAATTTAGTTGTGGAGGGGCAAATGGCGGGCCCATGAATTTTCATAGGGATAGGCTAAATTTTATTTTGGGCTTGTCCAATATAGATCCCTACATTTTCTATTTCCTAGACATATACCCATCACTCTATAAATCTATGTGTAAAACCCAATTTCAAATTTAAATGACCAGTAGGATATAAGAGGTCGTAGTATTTTTATGTTTTTACATCGTTGCCACTAAACTTCATATTTTATTTATAATTTATTTCAAGCATTTTATTAACTGCCATAATTGTAATTAATATACTCCCTATTAATAGCATATCAATAACCCCATTTCTTTTAGTTGTCATTCCCTCTCACATCTCGCCCCCTAAAATTGCAAACAAACAAAAATCTGTAAATTACATATCCAATAATTTACCTATGAAAAATATAATATAAATATATACATATAAAATATAGGTATATTATTAAATACAAAAAAAAAAAAAAAAAAAAACAAAGTTACTTTGTAATTGTGTATATTTTTCATAATTAAAAACAGGTACATAATAATTTATATAAAATATAGGTACATTATTTACCCACAAGTAAATTATTTTACAATATACCTATAAATGTGTATAGGTACATTATTTGGAGAGGATAAATAGGTACATTATTAGAGGAAAAAAATAGGTACGTTATTTGGAGAGAGAAAATAGGTTCATTTAAAAAAATTACTTTTAATAAAACAAATAATAGGTATTTTATTCAGAGAAAAAAGGCTATATTATTTATAGAAAAAAATAGGTATATTATTTAGATAAATAATAGGTACTTTATTTGTAGTAGGTATATTATTCAAATGGTAGGTATATTGGATGACATATAATACCTAAATCCTAATTGTAAGTACATTAAAATTAATGTAGGTATATTGGATGTCGTATAACGTAGGTATATTGGAATAGATAATTATGTACACTTTTCATACTGGGTAAATTATATTTTTCATAAAACAACAAATAATAGGTACATTATATTTTCAACATAATTAGTATGTAAAGTTATATTCATAAACAATTATAAAGTGGATTATTAGTCATGTATAATTCATAAAAAGAAAATAACATAAACATTTTATTAAACAAACCGATTACCTAAATTTGAATTTATTGTTAAATTTTTTAAAAAATGTTTCAAAATTAATTCCTACATCCATTACAACCATTTGGAGATCTTTCCAAATTCAACGTTTGTCATTATATACAATCTAATTAAAAACTGTTTCTATATTGATTCCTACATTAATATACAAAATGCAATAATGGCTTAGTTGGGGGTATTTTTGGAATCTGAAAAGTACAATAAATCATATTTTATGCTTAATTAGGTAACTTGCCGAGTTGGATCCTAGTCATGGGTTTTTACTTATACAAATTGGGTATTATTTATAGGAACAAAAAGTGAAGGGTTGTAGGTACGGCAAATTGAATTTGAAGGGTGTAAGCCAAATTTACTATTTTATTTTTTACAGGAGATATATTATAAGCATTTTTTCTCTTGAAACCAAAATGTAAATAAAATTTTATAAATCAAACAAGGCCACATTACAAGCAAATATAACACAAAGAAGTATAAAATATAAATAAATATCAAATCAAACATATTGTTGTATCAATATCATATGCAGAAGGTGTATCCTTGTTATCATTACCACTTTTTTTTGAAGAATGAATAAATAGTTTTCCCTCTCTTTGTCGCTCTATTATCATCATGTAACATGATGGTATCCTAACAAGAAATACTAGACATAAAAATTCATATATACTAATTAATAATTCAAGTTACAAAAATAAAACATATATAACAATCCCCAAAAGTTATCACCCAAACCCTAAATCATAACAACTTAACAACAATGATTAAAATTGGAAATTGAATATATAAAAAAAAGGAAAAACTTACCAAGATTCTGAAGATAGGTTGGTACAATTTTTTTAGAGGGGTAAAGCTATTTCTTCTAGGCTCTGAAGGTTCAAATATGGCGTTTTGGGTAGTTAGAAGAAAAATTCTGATGTTTGCTTCTAATCAAATTTACATAGGCTATGGATTGCATGTTACTATTTCCATTTTATGCTTCAAGAGGGCTTATCTCTACATAGAGAACTGGGCTTATTTTAAATAGAGGGCTAGACTATTATGTACTTGACCTCTATTCAGCTTAAACCACTAAGACTACAAAAAAAATAAAAAATAAAAATCAGCACTGGGATGGAGCCCACTCCAGCCCAAGTGTAGATTCACCCTTGAGAAATAGTATATATATGTAATCTATCTAGCATTACGTATACGTATATTTTTTTTTTTTTTTTTTTTTTTTTTTTTTTTTTTTTTTTTTTTGGGTCAAGTCATACATCGGCATACATGGTGGTAACACACTAATTAAATGAAAAAAGTTAGGCTCCTGCTCTATCGAAGAGGAGTTGGTGCTGAGAGAGAACCATGTTGTGGTGGTGTTTTGTGTAACAGAGCAAGTCTTCATATCTATAAAAGTCTTTTAAATGTGCAAAACGTGTAAAGTGAGAAGTTTGAATAGAAGTAGAACTCAGAGATCTAGTACACAAATGGTTCCTCTGTTTTTGCTCAGCTTTCTTCTCCTCTATCATTTGTTTTTATTTTGCGAAGACTCACTAGTGTAGTGGTTTATAGTAATTGGTCATTTAGGCAAGATTTTGAGTACGAGTCCTAATATTTGTGCAGTATATGTTAGTTTAATATATTATCGTCTCTCTCAATATGAAAGATTTTATATGAAAAAAATCAATGTTTTGAAAGGCGAGGCGCTAGGGTGAGGCGTTTTATGCCTTATGAGGCGAGGCGTAAACCTCAAAACATTGAGGCGTAAGCCTTTCAGGTATTGAGTTATTATAATTACAAAAATATAAAACAGCTATTGAATGTATTGAATGCCACTCTAGAGTATAAATTAACCATCAAACTTGTTTTTTCAAAATTTCTCTTACTATTGCTCAATTCTTTACCATATATCCTTTTGGTTATATTATCTCTCTAAGTCTAGTGCCTTTCTACCTAGTTCGAATAGATAAAAGAGTAGATTATGGAGGTGGACTGAACTGATGGTGGAAGGTGGGAGGCAGTTTCTGTTGGTCTGTTTAGGAACTTTGGCTTTTGGGAGAGGGAAGGAATAAATGGGTAAGCTGGTTTCTTTTGAACAAACGGTGCATGTCTAATGTTCAAACTTAAAACTAAAACGCACAGCTTAACTAAAGGGAAACGAAACAACACAGCCCGTGCAAACGACGTCGTCCGGAATCTGATTTTTCAAATAAAGGAACTCTGTCTTCCTTGCGAGGCTTGCGCCTTTCACAGCGCATCTGCGTTTAGCGCCTCGACTTCAAGGCATACGCCTTTCATGACATTCGCTAAACTGAGCTGCGCCTGAGGCAAATCACCGCTGCCTCGCTCCGAAGCGCCCCTCAACGCGTGCCTAGGCATGCCTTTGAAAACACTGAAAAAAATCATTGCTTTTATTTTGTATTAATTTGACTGCTAGGCTTGATCAAATTCCAATTATACACGACACTGTTTACCCAATGGTTGGAGTTGGTTAGAGCTGTTAGAATTGTTAGGAGGTTGGTTAGCTTAATTGTCAGCTGTTAGCATGGTTATTTACTCATTAAGCAAAGAGACTAAGTAGATATATGTATATATACTGTGCTGTAAAAACGATTCAGTAAGAAATACGTAATTCAGTTTTCTCATCTGTCTCTATTACTATGGTTAGCAGACACGGCACACAACTTTTCACAAATATCCGAGCGTGTGGCTGCTAGGCTTGATCAAATTCCAACTATACGACACAACTTTCCACAAATATCTGAGCGTTTGGCTGATAGGTTTGACGTGTACAAGAGAAGCATTGTGCTTCTTTTGACCTATAACTAAGTGTACAGCAGTGCAAGACTAGCTAATAAGTCTCCTCTAGTTTCTACTATATATATCTTCAATATTCTATATATATAAAACCAATTTGAAATATCAGTAGCAGCCTCAATAGATGGCGCAGGCAAATAGCAATGGCAAAGATAGTAGATGGTCTCTTCACGGAATGACTGCTCTTGTCACTGGTGGAACCAAAGGAATTGGGTTAGCGCTTTCTTCCTTTATGCTTGCAATCTGAAAGTGTTCTTTTATTTTTCGGGACCAGAAGATTCACTCTGACAAGTGCTTCCTCATCAAAAAACAAAAACTTGTAATATCATGCATATATTTATACATATATATATATATATATATATATACACACACACAAATACGTATAAGAGTGTAATAGGGTATTATTTTCCTGCCAAACTTGTATTGCGAAACGAATGCTTGTAGTAATTAGCTTAGTGTAAGTAGTACTACATGTATGTGTTGTTTTTAGGTATGCTATTGTGGAGGAATTGGCGGGGCTAGGTGCAACTATACATACTTGTTCTCGTAATGAAGTTCAGCTTAACGACTGCTTGAGCCAATGGAAAATGAAGGGTTTTGATCAAGTCACTGGTTCGGTATGTGATGTGGTCTCAAAAGCTCAACGAGAGGAGCTTATAAACAAGGTCTCATCACTATTTCAGGGCAAACTTAACATCTTTGTAAGTGTGCTCTACTTATCCGTTAAACAAGGTTTCTGATTATCACTATTTCAGGGCATTTTTGTATAATTTATGGCATGGTCAAAATATATCGGTCGTATAATTTATGGCATGTTATTTGTCTTTCTAATATTGGAAGTAGAGGTGAAATAGACTGGATTAGCTCTAACACGGCACAAGTCTTGCCAATTAAATAAGGGTGGCATTTGTTTCCCAATAAAGAATATAAACCGTTCATTTTATGTTTTAAACTACTCTTTTACTTTGGCTGTAGATAAACAACGTGGGAACTGCCGAACTAAAACCAGCAATCGAGAGCACAACTGAAGATTACGCATGTATTATGAGTACCAATCTTGAGTCTGCTTACCATTTTTCCCAACTTGCACATCCTCTTTTGAAAGTTTCAGGAGCTGGTAACATTATTTTTTTGTCTTCTGTTGCTGGCGTTGTATCAGTTGGGACGGTTGGAAGTATATATGGTGCCACAAAAGGTCTTTTCCTTTGCACATAGTTTTTGCACTTTAAAAATAAAATAGAATTATAATTGTATTCTGAAAGTTGAATACTGTGACTCTTCTCTGCACTCTATTTCAGGAGCAATGAACCAATTGGCTAAAAATTTAGCATGTGAGTGGGCAAAAGACAACATAAGGACCAACAGTGTTGCACCTTGGTTCATCAGAACTCCCCTCACTGAGCCTGTAAGATCCTTTCAAGAATTTCCATATGATTGTGTTTGTAAAATTTTCTAAGATGTTATGTTATTAAACTATTAATCAGTAACTGCACATTTAAACTCGAACTTTCCCCACACGTAACATGTGCATTTATCTTCTCTATGGTCTCTTCATTACTTGCAGCTTCTGAGTAACCAAAATTTTTTGGAGGCTGTCAACTCTCGATGCCCTTTAGGACGGACTGGAGAGCCAAAAGAGGTGTCTGCCTTGGTGGCATTTCTATGCTTCCCTGCAGCGTCTTACATAACTGGCCAAACTATCTGCGTCGATGGAGGGTTCACTGTCAATGGCCTCCTCTTCCAAGGACCATGAAAAAATTATTTATGTGATTTGTGTGCTTGCTAGTAGTAGGAGCTAGAGGTCTCTCTGGTTTCCTTGTCTTTTGAGTTCGGAAGCTCCCCTGATCCATCTAATAATATGCTCTTGTTTGTGGTTTTATATGGAGGACCTTTTATTTCGTCACTCATTGAGAAGTTGTAGCACTGTAGTTACTAGATATAATAAAGTTTCCTGCAGCTCTCTTTTCTTTCACACTTGAATGCATTGATCTTTTTGTCAACTCTGGAAGACAAATTCTATTCGATTCTTCATCTATATTTTGCTTGGCAAAGATGGACAATTAGAACCTATATATATATAATGTCTAAATGCTAAAATGATACCTGTGTTTTAGCTCATTGGCAAATTTAATCCTTGTGTTTAGGATGGTTAGCCAATATTAGCCAATGTAATCCAATCCACTAAACTATTATTGAGATTATTAATAATAATAAATTATAAATATTTGAATTCAATTGAAAAAAATAAATATAAATAAAATTTAAAAGCTGAAAGAAATTAAAAACCAAGGGATGTCAACCTCAACAACCCTCTCTTCTCCCATTTCTCCCCAGCTACTTTTCCCCCACCCACACCCAAAAGCCTCAAGCCACAGCCACCTCTGAACTCTAATCCACCCACCCACCCCACCCCTATCCCTCTCTCTCTCTCTCTCTCTCTCTCTCTCTCTCTCAATATATATATATATATATATATTGTTTGGAACTGCTTTGTTAGGAAGCATTTATGACCAATTGCTTCCAAAAACACTTCTAAAATTTACTGTCAAACATTGTTAGAACAAAGTGATGTTAGCCTTTTGTAGAAGTACTTCCAAACAGTTGTTAATTGTTATTATAGTTGTATAATTAGTGGAACCTGGCTCGGAATGCACCTTTGAGCCGCCCTATTATTGAATGCTCTATTATTGTCCTAAATGAAAATTTGAATATAATTCCCATATGTTTTGAATTAGTAAAAGTCCATGATATTTTTGTTGCATAATCTTTACTTAAACGCCTCACTTAAATAGGTTTGATTGTGAGAATGTGAAAGCTCCTTTAGGGGTCGTTTGGTACACAGGCTTGGCTTGGACTGGCTTGGACTAAATTTAGTACCATGTTTGTTTCATTTAATTCTAGTCTTAGATGGGATTGCTAATACCGGGCCCACCAAAAACACCTCCTTAGGAGGGGACTACTAATCCCATGTAGAAGGGGAGGATTAACTAGTCCTATGTTCACCAATGTATAAAATGCATATATTATATTGTAATACTAATAACATATATTACTATTATTATTATTATTATTATTATTATTATTATTATTCTTACTACATACACATTTACTATAATATACATATATACACATATACATGTATATATATATATAAACACATATATACATATATAATATATAAAAATACATATAGATATATACACATATATTATTATTATAATATACCCATATATACATACGTATTAATATTATAATAATAGCATACATGTATATATGTAATATATATTATATTATATTAATGTACATATATACATATATACATGTATATACATGTATATACACATATACATTATATATTATAATACACATATATACATGTATATTATTATTATAACATACCCATATATATTATCTATTATAATACATATATATATGTATTATACCCATGTATATATTATAATATATAGATACACCTATATACACATATATTATATACATGTATATACGTATATATATGTATATTATAATATATAATATATATACATAAATATTATACATATATTATATATGTATATTATAATATATAATATATATACATATATATTATACATATTATATATATGTATTTTATAATATATGTATATATACATACATATATTATATACATATATACACGTATATACATGTATATTATTATTATTATTATTATTATTATTATAACATACCCATATATATTATATATTATAATATACATACATATATATAAATATATGTATATGTATTATACCCATGTATATTATAATATACATATATACACCTATATACACACACACACACACATATATATATATATATGTTTATATTATTTATAATATATAATATACAAATATACATGTATATACACATATATGTTATATATATATATTATATGTATGTATATATACATATATATTACAAAATACATATATACATATATATAGATATTTTTTAAAAATAAAAAATCTAGTCCTAGTCCAAGCATACACCAAACACAGGATAAGTGTTATCCAACTTAGACCAAGCCAAGCCAAGCCAAGACAGTCCCTAGGCATAGTCCATGCCAAGATAGTCCTGTGTAACAAACGAGCCCTTATGGTATTAGATTAAGGCTTTACGTGTTGGGTTTAACAGCTACACGTAATCCCACGTCACCCAATATGCATTATTTACATGTTATGCTTGAAAGTTTGACACACGTGTAGGGCGTGTTGAGAGTTTTTATTCCACATTGAAAAGTTTAGGGACTTAGCCTGGGTTTATGAGAAGTTGGGCTACTCCTCCCATTGCTAATTGGTTTTGAGGTGTTACTTCAATTTCCTTCATGGTATCAAAGTAGGTTGCCTAGTAGTGAAAGCTCAACAACCACACGTGCTCCACGTCACCCAATATGTGTTGACCATCTGTTAGGCTTAAAATGTCACCACACATGCGGGGGCATGCAAGAATGTGAAAGTAACAATGTCCCACATTGGAAAGTTAGAAAACCTTATAAGGAGTTTAACTACTTCAGCTTTTGCCAATTGATTTTGGGGTAAAACCTAACACCTTTTTTATTATTTATCTTTATTAAAATATACTTCATTGATTTAATTGATGTGGTATATGATATGGACATGCCACATCATGTGGTATATAAATGTGAGATAAAAATGTGATAAGCGTAGCATTACTCTAAGAAAAAATGAGAGTACCAAGGGAAAATATATTATTATAAAAAGCTTTTTTTATTTTCTTAAATATATTCTTATTAGAAACTACACCTAAAATGGAAAATCATGATATTCTAGAGTTGTTCTAAAATGAACACCCTCTTCCAAAAATATGCAGCTATAGATAAACAATGTGGGAACTACAGAAGCAAAAACAACACTCAATTGCACAGCAGAAGATTTCGCATTTGTTACGAGTACCAATCTTGAATCCTCTTACCATTTGTCCCAACTCGCACATCCTCTTTTGAAAGCTTCAAGAGCTGGTAACATTGTTTTTATCTCTTCTGTTGCTGGATCGGTCTCAGTTGCAGGGATTGGAAGCATATATGCTGCCACTAAAGGTATCAATTTGACCCCCTTACCTTATTATTATTATTATTATTATGTATCAATTTGACCCCCTTACCTTATTACTATGATTATTATTATTTTTCAAATGATCTTTTTGAACTTTTCATTCAAATTTTTTGTGTTAATTATGTATATGAAGTGAAGGTTGTGATTGTTCTTTTGGTAATTATGTTTCAGGTGCAGTAAACCAATTGGCACGATCCTTTGCTTGTGAGTCAGGCAAAGATAACATAAGGGTCAATAGCGTTGCACCTTGGTTCATTATAACATCCCTTTCTGCATATGTAAGACTCTTAGTTTTCGAGTTTTCAAGTGTATCGATATATTATTTATTCAAATTTGAGTCCACTCCAGACTTTAGGTTTTTTTTAACGACGTACATGCGTATTTGTATAGGTACATAAAACTTATCATTCTCTCTACTTTATATGCAGTTTCTGAGTAATGAACAATTTTCGAACGCTGTCAACTCTCGAACCCCGTTAGGACGGCTGGGAGAGCCGAAAGAGATGGCAGTCCTGGTGTCATTTCTATGCCTCCCTGCAGCTTCTTACATAACTGGGCAAACTATTTGCGCTGACGGGGGTATGATCGTCAATGGCTTCGTCTTCCAAGGATAATGATTGCAATTAAAGTTGGAGCACAAATTGATGTCACTTCCCAATTTCTAGTGGGAGACACTATTGCTACTGTGTTCAAAGTGCTTTCTATGTTAAGAGTTATTGTTGTCCTTACATCTTCAGAATAAGTTGTTGAAATCCTATTATATAGGAAGTCAATTTTTATTTTTTTTTCATTTATTCTTGGGGAGTATCCCAATTGCTTAAGAGTGTGTTAATCGTGAAATTAGTTGTTCCAATGTTTTTTGCTGAGTTTGGTGCTTGTATGCTTCTAATAAACATATTTTTCTCACATTATCTAGACATGATTTTCTTCCCAATAATTTATTTGTTTCTTCTTTGTGGCCCCAAGACATCAATTTTCAGAGAAAAACTTGCATGTCATGTCGTGCCGTCAAGTGGAATAATACCGGAATGTAATTGATTGGGGGAGTATTTTTGCTCACCACTTTAACTCAAGGTATACTCTTACTATCATTTTTAAAACTTGACACATGTCAATGGTATAAATATGGTTAATTATTTACTTTTAAATCTTTTAAAGTATTCAAAAACAAAAAATAAAATAAAATAAAAACTAAAAAAACATCTCTCTCCTCTCTCTCCTTCCCCGACCCAATCCCACCCCAGCCCACCCCAGACTCCCTATTCTCTACAGCTACCCCCTCAGCAACCCGATCCACCATTTGCAGGTGTCGCCACCGTCGTGGCTATTACGCAACAAGTCGTCTATGATCTCTCGGTCCCCAAAAACCCTAACCCTAGTGTCGCCGTCAGACGTTGTGGCTTCATGTTCACCTCCATTCGTCGCCTTTCCGGCTTCAGTATGGAATCTCATTTAGATTTGAGCCGTTGAAGTGCTTGAAATTTGTAAAGTCTCCTTTTAGCACTGCTTCTTTTACTCGTTTCTTACTGGAGGCTGGGATTTTCCCAAAACTTGCTTTCATTGAGATCTTATTTTCAAGAGTCTCAACTTTATTAATGAATTTCAACTCAAGAGTAGTGCTAGTGTATTATTGTAGGGGATTTGAGATGATGTCTTACAAAAACACTTACGATAGGTTTAAGAAAGATTCATCGTGTTGGGTGGGTGGTGGCTGTAGAGAACATGGAGTCTGCCTGGGGTGGGGTTGGGTCGGGAAAGGAGAGAGAGGAGAGGGATTTTTTTTCAGTTTTTATTTTATTAAATTTTTTGATTTTGAATACATTAAAGTAAATAATTAACCATAGTTATATCCTGGAAATGTGTCAAGTTTTTAGAAGAGTGGTGAAGCTACATCTTGGGTTAAAATAGTAAACCAAAAAACTCTCATTAATAGAATGTAATAAAACAGTGCTATCCTGTGAGATGCAATTTCACAGCCCAATTTCCAAATCCCATTTGCTGCTGTGAGGTCCCTTTCCAATTGACAATGGATGGTGATGGCTGTACAGTAAAGGCCAGCCATTATTACCATCCGTCAGAGGAGGCCATTTGATTTAGAAAAACTAAATCTTATCGCTTACATATATAAATGATTGGTTGGACAATCAAGTAGATTGGGGCATCCATTATTCAACAAATGTTACTCAGCGCCAGAGTTTCCTGTGGCCCAATAACAGACCCATAATTCGTCCGTTGATAAAGATGAGATAAGATTCTCTTAGAGAAATGGTATATAAATGTGATCTATCTAGCAATATTTGTATACATAGTTTTTTTTCTTTTCTTTTTTTCGTCAAGACTCGTATACATGGTAGTGTAACACACTAGTTAGAGAAATGAAAAATGTTAGCTTCCTGCTCTATCGAAGTGGAGTTGGTGCTGAGAGAGAACCATGTTGTGGTAGTGTTTTGTGTAACAGATCAAGTCTCTATAAAAGTGCAAGTGTGCAAAACGTGTAAAGTGAGAAATTTGAATAGAAATAGAACTCAGAGATCTAGTACACAAATGGTTCCTCTGTTTTTGCACAACTTTCTTTTCCTTTATTATTGTTTTTATTTTGAAAAGACTCACTAGTGTAGTAGTTTGTAGTAATTGCTCACTTAGGTAAGATTTTGAGTTCGAGTCCTAATATTTGTGTAGTCAATGTAAGTTTAGTATATTATCACCCCTCTTAGGCCATGTTTGGGATTGCTTTTTTTGGCCAAAAATCTGTTTCACTTTAAAGTTAAGCAGTTTAAGGTGTTTGTTAAAAATAAAATATCGCGATTATTTTAAAAGCAGTGACCTTTTGATAGTAGTTTTTAAAGCAGACTCTGTGTTGTTTTTCAAAGCTGCTTTTAAAAGAAGCAGAGATGAGCCTCTTTACTTTATTGCTAATTATTTTCAAAGCAAACGATTTTGACATTGCTGAGGGCTGCTTTACAGTTACTTTATAGCTAATTATTTTCAAATTACCGCAAAAACAATTTTTTTTTGCTTTTTATCACAAATGGTCATTCATGTTTACGAAACTATCATGAATGGTCCTTGAGTTTTTTTGTGACACTAATAGTCCTTAACATTTGGGCTTTTTATCACAAATGGTCCTTACCGTTATAAATTTTGTTAAGTGTGATGTGGAAGATAAGTGGAGCCCACATGTCCAATCACATTGCGACATGTGGATAAAAAATAATTAAATAAAATTTTAATGAAAATTCCATTTATTTTTCTACAACTTTTCATCTCCATCCTTGCTCCGTCTCTCTCCTCCTCTGCCCTTGCTCTCCACCCTTTGCTTTCCATCTCTTCTCCCTGTGTTTTTTTTTCCCTCTGCCACCTGCAAGAAAAAGTATAAGCTATACAGTTGATCTCCGTCTCTTCTCGCAACCCGCAACCCATGCCCAACTCCCCTACCATCTCCCTTTGTTTTTGCTCTCCTCCTCTGTTTTTTATTAAACCTTCCAGCTTCACTGAAGCACAACCTAGAAAAGCAAACCAAAAGAACTCACTTTCAAGTAGATTCCAGCTCCACAAAGAACACGAAAATGAAGGTTCAATAGTACATGAGGAATATTGTAGATGTTTGGTCACTTTCAAATCCATCCATGGTTTATCACAACATATAATTTACATCCTGAGTCACAAAAGCTCCTTCGTCCTCCACACACAGCATGAAATGGGCAAAGTGGATTTGAAAATTTAAGTAGGATTGTGGAACATTACAAGGCCACACTTGAACTTGAAATAAAACGCACTTGGCCTCACCATTATTTCGACTGAAATCTAAATGCAAAACACAACATTTTTTTTGTTTTCTCTATAGCAGGCACTTACAAAAGAAAAGAACCCCAAACAAAGCATCGACGGGCATTTTTTTCCTAGCTAGTTCTCGCGCCATCTCTCTCATTTCCTCTGGTGACGGAGGTCTCGGCGCTTCCACACAACATAAGAATGCTGCAAACCAAAACCTAATAGCTTGAGTGAAGCGGGTGGGCATGGGGTGGTTGGGTTGTAGAGGCAACAAAAAAACAGAGGGAGAGGGAAAGCACATGGAGGAGAGAGGGTAGAGGAAATGAGAGAGAGAGAGAGGCTAAATGGTTTTTTAATGGATTTTCATAAATAAAAAATATTTATTTATTTATTTAATCCACATGTCACGATGTGATTGGACATGTGAGTTCCACTTATCTTTCACCTCAGACACTTAACAGAATTTATAACGGTAGGAACCATTTGTGATAAAAAGTTCAACCATTAAGGATTATTAGTGTCACAAAAAAACTCAAAGATCATTCATGATAATTTCATAAATGTGAAAGACCATTTATGATTAAAAAAAAACTTTTTTTTTTTAAATGACAGCAATCTTAAACTGGCCTTTAATAGGAAAGATTCTATTGACAAAAGAAATTGCTTTTGTTTTGTATTCATTTGACTGCTAGGCTGGATCAAATCCCAATCATACGCGTGACGACACGCAACTTGTCACAAATATCGGAGCGTGTGGCTGCTAGGCTTGATCAAATTCCAACCATACGACACAACTTTGCACAAATATCTGAGCGCGACTGATAGGTTGGACGTGTACAAGAGAAGCATTGTGCTTCTTTAGACCTATAAATAAGTATAAAGCGGTGCAAGACTTATAAGTCTCCTCTAGTTTCTACTACATATATCTTCAATATATAGAATATATATATATATATAACCAATATATATATATATATATATATAACCAATTTGAAATATCAGTAGCAGCCTCAATAGATGGCGCAGGCAAATAGCAATGGCATAGATAGTAGATGGTCACTTCACGGAATGACTGCTCTTGTCACTGGTGGAACCAAAGGAATTGGGTTAGCGCTTTCTTCCTTTATGCTTGCAATCTGAAAGTTTTTTTTTTTTTTTTTTTTTTTTTTTGTGCGGGACCAAAAATTCACTCTGATAAGTGCTTCCTCATCAAAAAAACAAAAACTTGTAATATCTCATGCATATATTTATACATATATATATATACACACACACATACGTATAAGAGTGTAGTAGGGTATTATTTTCTCGCCGAACTTGTATTGCGAAACGAATGCTTATAGTAATTAGTTTAGTGTAAGTAGTACTACATATATATGTGTTGTTTTTAGGTATGCTATTGTGGAGGAATTGGCGGGGCTAGGTGCAACTGTACATACTTGTTCTCGTAATGAAGTTCAGCTTAACGACTGCTTGAGCCAATGGAAAATGAAGGGTTTTGATCAAGTCACTGGTTCGGTATGTGATGTGGTCTCAAAAGCTCAACGAGAGGAGCTTATAAACAAGGTCTCATCACTATTTCACGGCAAACTTAACATCCTTGTAAGTGTGCTCCATTTATCCGTTAAACTGATTGAGCCTTGCATTTTTGTATAATTTATGGCATGGTCAAAATATATTGGCGGTAAAAAATTTCCAAGGATATGAAGTAATTATATATATGTAACTGCACTAGCTAACTCATTATTTAGTGTTATTTGTCTTTCTAATATTGGAAGTAGAGGTGTTAAATGGACCGGATCGGCCCTAACATGTTACAAGCCCGATTAAATAAGGGTGGTATTTGTTTCCCAATTATGAATATAAAACCTTCATTTTATGTCTAAACTACTCTTGGACTTTGGCTGTAGATAAACAACGTGGGAACCTTCAAAATAAAACCAGCAATCGAGAGCACAACTGAAGATTACTCATTTATTATGAGTACGAATCTTGAATCTGCTTACCATTTTTCCCAACTTGCACATCCTCTTTTGAAAGCTTCAGGAGCTGGGAACATTATTTTTATGTCTTCTGTTGCTGGCGTTGTATCAGTTGGGACGGCTACTATATATGCTGCCACAAAAGGTCTTTTCCTTTGCACATAGTTTTTGCATTTTAAAAATAAAAAAGAATTATAATTGTTTTCTGCAAGTTGAAGATTGTGACTCTTCTCTGCACTCTATTGCAGGAGCAATGAACCAGTTGGCAAAAAACTTAGCATGTGAGTGGGCAAAAGACAACATAAGGACCAATAGTGTTGCACCTTGGTTCATCAGAACTCCCCTCACTGAGCCTGTAAGATCCCTTCAAAAATTTCCATACGATTGTGTTTTTAAAATTTTCTAACATGTTATGTTATGTTGTTAAACTATTAATCAGTAACTGCACATTTAAACTCGGAACTTTCCCCACACGTAATGTGTGCATTCATCTTCTCTATGGTCTCTTCATTACTTGCAGCTTTTGAGTAACCAAAAATTTATGGAGGCTATCAACTCTCGATGCCCTTTAGGACGGATTGGAGAGCCAAAAGAGGTGTCTGCCTTGGTGGCATTTCTATGCTTCCCTGCAGCGTCTTACATAACTGGCCAAACTATCTGCGTTGATGGAGGGTTCACTGTCAATGGCCTCCTCTTCCAAGGACCATGAAATAATTATTTATGTGATTTGTGTGCTTGCTAGTAGTAGGAGAAGCCAGAGGTCTCTCTTGTTTCCTTGTCTTTTGAGTTCGGGAGCTCCTCTCATCCATCTCATAATATGCTCTTGTTTGTGGTTTTATATGGAGGCCATTGATCTTTTGAGTTTGATAACTTGCTTGTTTACATTGAGAATGATATTTTTGCTTGTATTGAAAACGCTATGTTTTCAAATATGAAACCTTGTCATGGACAATTATAACTTGTAATGTTGTTTTTGACATGAATTATGAATAAATGTACTATTGTTTCATTTTCAATGTTATTTTAATCTTTTAAATTTTTTTTTTGAAACTCTATGATCCTATGAGGTAAGATTCATGGGTCCGTCACTAAATATATATAACAATTATTAAGTTATTATGTCTTTTTTTTTTAAGGAGGTATGCACATTATTCTTTTTTTTAATTTTGCTTAACAAACTTTTGAAGTTTATTTAAATAATGGATTTGAGCTACGTCTTCATTTGACTATCAACTTTGCTCTTTACGGTGTGCAAACCTTTTTTTCTTTATCTTAATAGCCATATTATAAACTATTCTAATATATGAGGACGAGATTCAAACTCATGTGCAAAAGGTGTAGGTGGGCTTGGATTGTGTCTTGCTTGGCTCCACCAATTGGATCCGACTAAAATGGATGCAGACCCAATTTTTCTACATATAGGACATATGTGCACTATACTCTTTTCTATTCTACTAGGTTTTTGTCCCACCGGGGTTTTCTTAGCAAGGTTTTAACGAGGTAGCATAAGCACTTCCAATACTATATCAATGATCAGAAGAATGATGCACTCTTTCCCTTTGCTTAGATTTTGTCCCATTGGGTTCTCCGAGCAAGGTTTTTAATGAGGCAACTATGTCATTGTATGATGGACATCCAAGAGGGAGTGTTGAAAATGCATGAGTTGGTGGATAACCATCATATCTCATAGCACTCACCATTTCTAATTATATGTAACCTATGAGTTAAATATCATCGTTACAAGCTTGTAATTTATGAGTTGTTAATGTGTTCATATCATTGTAAGCTTATAAATAAGAGGTTTTACCAAGATGAGATATATAAGTTGATTGATATTGTCTTTCTCTACTTTCCAATTCTCTTTACAATTTTCCCTTAGTTAAAATTTTATTGTTATTTTAAAGATATGATTTTTTATTCATTTTTTTAGTTTTAATATAAATATACCATTTTGCCCATGCATTTAACAGAAAAGTTAACAAAATTGACGGCATGACCAATTGTCCTAATGAAACTAAAGTTAAAGGACCATGGGAACCATTTTGAAAATTGAGGTACTCAAATGCAAATCGGGTCTAAATTCAGGGACTAATAAAACGATTTAAAATAAACCTACCCAATCCCTTACTCTCCGTATCCTCCCACACATCCCTTTGTACCCAGCTCCATCGTTGCAAAGTTCAAGCATGAAACTAATTTCCACTGAAGGAGGCAAACGACATGTGTCATACTACGATTGCTCAATGTGATTTCCACTACATAAGGCATCAAGGTAAAGTTCAGGGGTTGAAATGAAACTGCAAAGTTCTACCCATAAACACTCTTTTGGGCATAAGATGCAATTCTCCTCATTCATCTCACCCACAAGCTTGCAAGATTTAAGGGTTTAATATGGTGAGTAAGGTGTATTTATTAAAATTACATTTGTTTCACAATTCAATATATCATTTGTAGTCATTTATATTCCGTTTGGATGAAGGAATTGCAAATTACATAGAATTCTAAAATGACGGAATTTAGATTTCCGTCATTTCAATTTCTGGTAATTGAAGATTTCAGTGTTTGGATTTATGTATGTCGAATTTTGTAAATGACAGAAATTGAAAATTTCAATGTTTGGATAGCTCATGTAAATTGTAAATGACATAAATTAAATATTTCGAAAGAACAAAAAAATGGTAACTAACATAGAAGGTATTCCTCGAAGTATAAAATAACATATTGTTTGATGAACTACATAACTCAGCTTAAACAAACAGAGCATATTAGCAAACCAAATCACTCCCCACGTGCAATAACCATCAACAACATACTCTTTTTTTTCTTTTTTTTCTTTTTTTCTCAATTGTGAGTGCCTTCAGCATCTAAAATTGTTTGTCATTTTCTATTAGCCAAGCACATGCTTTGAGTTGTTCATTTTCACTAAGACCTGGTGTTGCTTGTACTTCAGCATATACCTCTGCTGGATCAAGGTTCTTAGTATCAGCACGGATAAACTCTTCAAATGATAAAGCCATTCTAGCAATCGAATCAGCAATAACGTCTTTCACAGCACCTCTTTTCTTTGTAGGAAGAATATCAGAAGAATTTGATGCACGATTTCTTCTCTTTTGATCATTTGTTGAGGTTGGTGAAATATCATCAATAACATGAATATCTTCCAAATCTTGTGTATCACGATCCAAATCAACATGATCAACTACATTACAGGAGTCATAACCTCAGTTGCATCTGCACATGTTTCAATGCCCTCTCCAGTGGCTCTACCTTTGCCATACAAATCTACTATATCATCCCAATTTTCTATAACTTTAAATCGAAAACCTCTAGCATCATAATGAGACTACCAAACAAATAATCAAAGTCAAATAAGAAAGAGAGAAGACCAAAATTGATTTTCAGTAGCATATAACAATCAGTAAAGCTTTTCGTTTCCTTACAAAGTATATAAAAAGCCTTTCAGCAACATAGGCTTTTTCTTCAGAGTAAGGAAACAAAGAGTAAATCTTGAACAAGGCGATAACACAAAGCGATAAAACTAGCAAACAACTACAAAGTTGTACCATAAACACAAATCACACACCAATATCCATGGGCATAGACTATTTTGTTAAAACTTCCCAAAATCCAGCCATAATGCCGCAAAGATCATAAAAACCATTCAACACATATTCATAAATTTACTTAGAAACGCCCAATTTTTATAGCCATTTAGAAACCATGGTAACCCTAAAATAGAAAAACATAAATTGAAGGAGAGAAAGGCTTAAAGACTAACCTTCAAATTTGATCCAAATAGATGTGTACTTTTTTTTTCATGAAAAGTTTGGCCCTTTTTTTTTAATGTACGTTTTGGCACACTGGAAAATATGAATTCCGGCACTATGGAAATTGTGAAATGGCACCTATTTTGGTGGAAATTAAACTCGGAAATTTAATGCCTCAATTTCCATGATTTTTTCCGCGCATCATTTAATAAATTCCGCGCTTAAGTTGCCAAACAAGAGAATTGTCAATTTCTCCTCTTAAATTCCCAACTTTTAGATCAATTCCGAGTTATTCCATTCTAGCAATCAAATTAGCAATAACATCTTTGACATCACCTCTTTTCTTTGTAGGAAGAATATCAGAAGAATTTGATGCACAGTTTCTTCTCTTTTGATCATTTGCTGAGGTTGGTGAAATATCATCAATAACATGAATATCTTCTAAATCTCATGTATCACCATCCAAATCAACATGATCAACTTCATTATAGGAGTCATAACCTCAGTTGCATTTGCACCTGTTTCAGGGCCCTCTCCAGTGGCTCTATCTTTGCCACACAAATCTACTATATCATCCCAATTTTCTATAGCTTTAAATCGAAAACCTCTAGCATCGTCATGAGACTACCAAACAAATAATCAAAGTCAAATAAGAAAGAGAGAAGACCAACATCGATTTTTAGCAGCATATAACAATCAATAAAGCTTTTCATTTCCTTACAAAGTATATAAAAAGCCTTTCAGCAGCATAGGCTTTTTCTTCATATTAAGGAAACGAAGGGTCAAACTTGAACAAGGCCACAAAGTGATAAAGCTAGCAAACAATTATAGAGTTGTACCATAAACACAAATCACACACCAATATCCATGGGCAAAGAGTATTTTGTTAAAACTTCCCAAAATCTAGCCATAGTGCAGCAAAGATCATAAAAACCATTCAACACATATTCATAAATTTACTTAGAAACACCCAATTTTGATAGCCATTTAGAAACCATGGTAACCCTAAAATAGAAAAGCATAAATTGAAGGAGAGAAAAGCTCGAAGACTAACCTTCAAATTTGATCTACAGAGACTTGTTTTTTTTTTTTTTTTTTTTTTTTTTTTTTTATAAATGAAATTTTTTTAATGTAAGTTTTGGCACACACTAGAAAATATGAATTCCCGCACTATGGAAATTGTAAAATGACGCCTATTTTGGTGGAAATTAAACTCGGAAATTTTATACCTCAATTTCCATTATTTTTTCTGCCCTTAAGTTGCCAAACAAGGGAATTGTCAATTTCTCTTATTAAATTCCCAACTTTTAGCTAAATTCCGAGTTATTTTTCCTCATCCAAACGGAGGGTAGGGTAAATTAGTAATTCAAAAAATAGTTTGGTAGTATGGTGTCCTCAGTTAATTTTAGGGTCCATTTAGCAATACTATTTAGCATTTAACCCAAAATATAATGTACAAAATATTGTGGATTGAATCCGATACCAAGCTGTCATTTTCATTTTATACCTAAAACAAGAAAAGAAAGAATTAGGCTTCCTTTGTGGGTCCGAAATGTTTCTGGTCCATTAATTTCACAGCCCAAAATTGAAGTTCAATCTGTGGATATCAGGTGATTGAGGCCCATTTCCATATGGGTCGAAAACTGAAGAACACACAAGAATAAGAATTCGAGTGTGGATAAATATATTTAGAGATTTGTTCACTACATTTTCCATAACCCAAAAAGAATGTTAGCAACATTTCTAGGTTTTCTTTATTTTTTTTCAAAAATAAAAAAAATAAAAGTAAAATCAGTCTTAATATATATGGGACGATGTGTTGGTTGAAAAAGATGGATCACCTTTTCCTTCTTTTTTTGGTCGAAAGGGAGACTTCACCTATTGGTATGTGGTTGTTGTGATGGTGGTGATGAGGACGTGGTGGATACAAGAAAATGATGCAACTCAGTTCATGAAAGTGACCCGCCGAGTGAAGAAGCAAAAAGGTACCCAAATTAGCCTAACCAGGAACAAAGTCCAGACTCCAGAGAAATAAATAAAGGTCCTTGTTATCAAGGTCACATTTGGAAACCTAACAAATCTTTCGCTTTTTCAAATATGGTGTCTATGATCCATGTGTTGAATTGCTTAGATGTTGGTAGGTGATTAAAGTGCATTTTTGACTAACTACATTCCTAATTCATACTCAACTAACTTGTCAACCTTTTTGTTGAGGTTGTGATGAGAACTTAGAATTTCTCCACAATATTCAAATTTGAAACACTTGCCTCCTCTTATTTAATTTGTTTTTTATGGTAAAAAGTTCGGAGTATTTGTTTACCTATTTATTCTTGCTCGAGCTAATTTATGCAAGGGTTTTCACCCACCTAAAGAGTTCCTTTTTATGTCTCATATATTACATGTTTATCTATCTATTCATGTAATAAGACGGGTGATGGGAGAGATAGAAACATAAAGTGCGTAGTACACCCGTTATCGCATAGAAGTTGAAGTTCGGTTCTTGGCCCTTTAACAAACCACACGTTTTGGGTATTTTCTGTCTTACCTTTGCATATACTTTATATGATGAGATTATTAAGTATAATAAGGGTAAGTTCTTATGTATAAGTAAAAAGTTTCAATGGAGAGAGAGCTAATATATTTGGGTGAATTTGGGATTTTTGTGTGTCAAGAAAAAATTATATGGTTTTTCTTGCTCTTTCACTTTTGTACATATAAGTCAATTGAGATCATCTTTATCCGTCGGTGTAATAGTAATGTACTGATTTCTTTGTGTGCATGATTGATCCTTTTATTTTGTCTCTTGGTGTTCTTTATTCTGAGATTTGGTGGGGTTTATAGTGTGGACAACTTTGTTGAGTTAGTTGTAAGAGCAAACTGAATTCTCAAATCATTTTCGTCAATTCAAGATAGAACCAAATCCTAATTTATACACATTGGAGCCCATATTACTATTCTCCCTCCGTCTTGTATGGTTGTAGTTGTGTTTTCCTATATAAAAAGGAAGTCCTCTACTTCTTGACTCATTTATTTTAGTACAAACAATTGAGTGGGGATTTACACAAATATTCATTAAAGAATGCTTAGGAATTTCTAACCTTTGAGCACATGGATGAAGGTGAAAGAAGTGATCATAGTTGCTACAATTAAGGGATTGTTAATTGGATTAAATAGTGTGTTTATACTATGTTGGGCTTGCATTCCTTACCCCATGTTACTTGCACTCCTCAAACAAGATGGGTCTTGGCTTGGTCCATGGGCGCCTTAACTTAGGAGGTCTTTTACATGAAAAGCCTCAAAGGCATCCAAATTTGAGGGGGCAATGAAGCACATTTGTTAAAGATCAAACCCAATTTGCTCAAACCAGTCAATTCAATTTAAATTTGATAGGTTTTGATGATTTGACCGATTTAGTTGGATCCCTAAATTATAAAACCGACATATTTAAAGTGGATGATATATTTTCTTTTGAAAAATTGAAACCAATCCAATCTTATCTAGTTAGTTTCATGCGATAGGTAGTCCAAATAAAATAAAATAAAAAGATTGTTTCATGAATTTTCCTCTTATAGGCATTTGAAATTGAATAAATTATGAACAATTTTAATCATATCATGGAACTATGTTTAATTTCTATTTTACATATGCATCTATTCAAATGTATTATCATATATTTGATGAGAATTTATTCATTTTTTCATCATTATTAAACCGATAATCCAATCAAAGATGTATATGATTAGGGTAAATTGAGTAATAAACTGCATATTTGGGCTTTGAACTTAGAAACAGATTAATGATTCGCCGTTTCGAAGAGAATGGCGTCACGAGTCAAACTTGCCACTTTCCAGTCACGTATGGGTTTTTTGGGTGTTTGACGTCATTTAATAGCCCAAAACAACATTTTAGTTTTTGAGGGAGTTTTGGGAATTTTTTATTATTATTCTTTTTGGATTCCTAGGGTTTCTTGGACTTGAGGTAGTATTTACACCAACTTTAGCTAAGGGTTTAGGGTTGTTATCCCTATTATCATTAAATAAACTTTGAGGTTTTCCCAATTCTAGTGGATTTCAAGCTTTAGTTTTCTTAGACTAATCGTTTGATTGCCTTTCTTATTATCATGATGCGTCGAGTAGTGAGCCGTCCATCAATCTAATGTACTGAAATTAGTTTCCTTCGTTCCAAATCAAATTCTAGTCTTCGCAATCAACCAATCTAATGTACATATATAACATGCCATTCAAACTCGACCCAACACAGATTCAATTCACACTGTCACCTTAATTAGACCAAAGTAACACAATTCTATTGGTCATGATAATGTATATATCCTTCCTGACCCCACACACACACACACAAAATAATAATAATAATAATAATGTATATATCCAAAATAAGTAAATAAATCAAATAAAACAAAGCACTGGGGCGCCTGTTATATATTTTTGACATGTATATTCTATATAGTATACAAAACTTTGACTCTACGTGAGATTGTAACCGATTGATCCACAGTGTTTCTCGTGTACCATTTATTATGTGAACTTAATCAAACTTGGAAGCAGGGAAGTCAAAGAAGAACAACCCTAACATTCCAACAATAGAAGCTCTGAAACTGAAGCGGTTGTCCCGCCACACTCCACAGCTGTAACAATTCCAAACTTAGTGCCTAAAATAGTCAAATCCCAATTTCCCATTAATTCAAAAAAATTTTAATTTTTATTTCCGACCAGAAGCGGCAAATATTACCAAAATTTTAATCCACTGCCAGAAAGAGACGCAAAGTGTGCTAATGTGTCCAAGCTCTGGTTTCTGTGTAGAAACAGAAATGCATGCAGAGAGAGAGAGAGCTGAAGGAAGCTTTGCTTTGACTGGCTACCTCATCTCTCTCTCTCTCTGCATTGCACGACATAAACAGAGCCAACTGTTACGCATCCCGAGCTCTGAAAACTACACGCCGCTTCCTACCACCCTCCGCGTGTGCCCTTTTTTCAGCACACCCAAACACTACTCACCCCACCCAGTCCACCACGTACCCCCCTTCCTCTGCACCCAAACCCAGACCCAAACTGTTCTTCTCTAATCCCACCCACCCAAAACCCACAGCTCCTTGCCCATCACGTCCTACGTGTCGTGACCAGGAAGACACGTAACATTGCATGCATGACGCTTCCCCTTAAGACCCTCCTTTCCACGTGTCATCCGTTCAAGACCCATACGTAGCAGAAAAGCAAAGAAAAAGAAAGAAGCAAACAACCCTCTGCATTGGGTTTAGCTTTTTAGGGTTTCGTCAGAGAGGGTGTGGTTAACCATACCAGGCTGTTTCTTTGGGTGAAGAAAACTAGGGTTAGGTTACTTCTTGCGTTTGCTTTGTTTTCCACGTGGCCCACTTAATTACAATTAGGTGCCAGCAAGATTTTCCACGTGGAGGTCTCTACTTAGAGGTTTCAGTTGAGCTCTCTTGGCCCTCCCCACGGAACGTACTGTGCCAGCTAGCTCTCCTCCACGTTGTGCTTTGATGTTTGGCTATATGTTAAACAAATCACAGTTTGGTCATTATGTTCCTGCCTAACTCAAAATTGAAGGTCCCCCCACCTGTTCGTAACTTTGAACACTAACTATTTTTAATCACTTCGCATAGAACTTCAACGCAGAAGCAATGGCGTTTCTATGAACACTCTCCTAAAAAAAACTTATTAACAATAGAAAAAAAGAGGGTATGCAACAGTAATCTCCTGCTATTGTACAGTTCTTCTAACTCATCAACGATTCACAGTTATTCACGTTTTTTTAATTTTTAATTAACTTTTTTTGTTTTGTTATATATATAGAGCAAAATGCAGAAAACGATGAAACATTCAAAATACCAAAAAAGAGTTAATGCAAACATTAAGAATTTAAATTATTAATTAAATGATGATAATATAATAAATTCACACTTAATTTTTTTAAAAAATAAAAAATAAAAGAAAAATCAGATAATATATTCTATTTTTATGAAACATAACTACCCATTATTTTTTTAATTATAAAATTAATTTAATTATTTTTTTTTTATAAAAGCCTCTCACAGGCGTAGAAGCGCGTGCGAAGATACTAGTTCACCAAAAATTAGTAGAAAGTAACGTACTGTTATCTAATTTCACCAAAGGTTTGAGAAATACACCTTATAATACACAGAGAAGTAACTGTCACTACCAAGATTTAATAATTTCGTAGCGAACCCAGGAAAGATTTAATAACTTGAAGATGAAAAATAGACGTTGTAACTGAATATGCCACTGCGTGAAACGTGTTCCCAGCCTTGGATGAACGAGTGGTGATGAGATTTCGCCACGCGTACTGACTGAGACAGCGTCCCTTAGATATCCCAGGAGGGGTCAACGACGCAGACACCTGGGCCAACCCGTCAACACACACCCCTCTACGTAGAGCGCTCTGATTGGACCACACGTCGCAAGCTCCACAAAAAGATATAACTTTTTTCAAAAATCCAATCTCGCATTCGAGGCCGAGACACATGGCAATACCTCATCAAATTTCAAACGGAAAAAAGAATTAAACTCCAGACAAAGCACAAGATCACATGCGTGTCAGGAAAGGAAGCCCACTCCCATCTTCAGTGTCGATTTTTTATTGGGCCACGTCTCTTTTATTCCGCAGAGTTAGCTACACGTGTTTTGTTTTGACGGACGAGATAAGAGTTGAAGAGAGGGATCAACGGTGATAAATGAACAAGTTTGTTTAGGCAGAGTACCACTACGTCACACATCATTTCGCCTGTCCGGTCTGCCCGTGGCCACCACGGGCAAGAGAGAGAAAGGAAGAAAGAGAGAGAGAGAGAGAGTTGCAGGTCTCTATGTAAAAAGCTATTGGTGGGCCCATGGCCCATGGGAGCTGCCTTTATAAGCTTCACTCATGAGCGCGCGAGACTTCCCTTACACCTTCCTGCTTTCAATTAAAATTAAAAAAAATTCATTTTATTTCGCGCAAAAATGGGATTCATTTAGATGAATTAAAATTTTGAAATGGCGGAGATCTGCTGCGGAGTAGTGAGCGAGAGTGAAACGTCATCGAATCCGTGCGAGCAGAGCTCACGTGCTGCAAGGCGGAGGAGGATGGAGATCCGACGGTACAAATTCGTCTCCGGCGTGGCCTCACCGCCGGAAAATGCCGAGAAACGCAAGAAAGTCGAGGCCTGCACTACGTCGGTTTCTCGCGACCTGGACAACGTCTTGGAGTGTTCCGGCTCTTCCGACGAAGAGAAAGTCGTTGCGAGCCAGAAGATTTCGGCCATGTGCCGGCCGTCCACTTCATCGAACATTCCAGAAGCTTCCACTGAGCTTCCGAAATACGGATTGGCTTCCGTTTGTGGAAGACGACGAGATATGGAGGACGCGGTGTCCATACACCCATCGTTTTGCCGACGCAGCCGAGAAACCGTCGGGAAATTGCATTACTTCGGCGTCTACGATGGCCATGGCTGCTCTCATGTACCTACCAGAGTCCTTTAGTCTTGTATTCATAAACGACTTCGAATTTGTTGTCCTTTGATTTTAACGCGTCGTTTGGATTTTTTGTTTAGGTGGCAACGAGATGTAGAGAGCGGTTACATGAGCTGGTGAGAGACGAAGTGGAGAGCATGGAGGAGTGGAGGACCGCCATGGAGCGAAGCTTCATGCGAATGGACAAGGAGGTGGTTGCGTGGAGCGAAGGCGGCGGTGGGTTGAGTCATTGCCGCTGCGAGCTTCAAACGCCCGAGTCCGATGCTGTTGGATCCACGGCCGTCGTCGCTGTCGTCACTCCCGATAAGATCGTTGTTGCCAATTGTGGCGATTCTAGGGCCGTGCTCTGCCGAAATGGCAAGGCTTTTCCTCTTTCAGTTGATCACAAGGTCGATTGCCTTCATTGCACGGTTTAAAATCTGTTTGGTTGCCGAGAAAATTTGGAGGCTTTTTAATCTGAGAGGGCTGCATTATATCTAAAGAGGAAAATACGTGACATATGCGAGTCCACTTTATTATAGTGAACTTCCCAATTCGGTTGATTTTATTTTTATTAAATTTGTTTTGGATGTTATTGTTCGAACAGCCGGATCGTCCAGACGAGTTGAAGCGGATCGAGGAGGCGGGTGGCCGGGTCATATACTGGGATGGTCCACGGGTTCTCGGAGTTCTCGCCATGTCAAGAGCCATAGGTACGTGAGGAACTGTTAAAGCTGAACACAATTATTCGGAGAGGAGGTCGTACGGCAAGATTTTAATTGTCGTTATGTTGTAAATTTTTTTGCAGGTGACAATTATTTGAAGCCGTACGTGAGCTGCGAGCCGGAGGTGACGATCACGGATCGGAGGGCGGAGGACGAGTGTTTGATATTGGCGAGCGATGGCCTATGGGACGTGGTGTCGAACGACACGGCGTGTGGGGTGGCGAGAATGTGCCTGAGGGGGAAACGACTTGCTGCAGAGGAGGCGGAGACCGATAGGTCGTCGTCGTCGTCGTCGTCGGACAGGGCGTGCTCCGACGCTGCGATGCTGCTGACGAAGCTGGCATTGGCCAGGCACAGCACTGACAACGTTAGCGTGGTCGTGGTGAATCTGAGGCGTAACACGTGTCCTTGAATTTAGGGTTTTTTTGGGGGGGTTTGGAAGTTTAGGTTTGGGTTAGGTTTGGTTAATCCTATTGGGTCTGGTAATGGGCCATGGGGTTTTGGGGAAATGGTAAAAGTGGCGGGGTCTGTTTGGTAATGGTAATGGGTCATGATCGGCAAAGTTGCGTTTTGAATGGAAAATCTGTTTCCTAAAAGCCCAACGTAAGTTTTAGTTGATTCCAAAAACGGGGTAAGAAAATGTAGTTTTTCTAAGCCGAAAAGCTATTAAAAAAAAGTTTGGAGTTTTATCAAGTGAATATGGTGGTATTATTGCGTTTGGTGAAATTGGACGGTTTGAAAAAAGAGTAGAAAATTCGTTAATCTCGACTGTATTCTATCAAACCCCTTCTTTTCCGTTTGCTTGGGATTCTATAAAATAAATATTTTATTTTATTTTAGAATTAAAAAAGGTAATGGGTAGTTGTGTTTCATAAAAATAGAATTTATTATGTAATTTTTCTTTTAATTTAAAATTCTTTTAATATGAAAAAAAGTGAATTTACCATAATATCTTCATTTAATTAATAATTTTGATTCTTAATATTTGGATTAATTAAGGACATCTTCTAGTATTTTAAATGTTTTATCTTTTTCTGCATTTTGCTTTATATATATAGATTTCATCTTTCATCATCCAAACACACTAGTTAGTTTTTTAGGGGGAGTCAAAAAGGAAAAGAAATAGAAGAATAACAAATCTTGGAACATATACAGATATTGATCAATCATTTCAAAATGTTATCCCTTATCTTTTAAAAATTCTTGTAATCTTTAATGAAATTAAATAGTTAATAAAAGAAAAATACAATGTTTTGCTGATTTAGAGAATTCAAATTCCAAACTCCATGACTCAACATAAGATTATTATCACCAGAGGGGCCAAAGAGAGAACGTTGGGGGAAGAAGAAAAATGCAGCACCTTCATTCATGTTAGGAATAGGAGGGCACAAATGTCTGCATAAAGCTTCATCCATGACTCAACTAAAATGACAAAAATAAATTAGACACAAAAAAGGTGGCTGCATACAAAGATTAGGTGGAGGCAGAAACGGAGACCTCTTCAGCACTGCCCTTAAAATCAAAGAACCCATTTACTAATGTCAAGCTAGTTTATAAAATTTCTGGCTCCCATGTCACATTTCCTTGCCGTCGTCTTCAACTCCAGTTTTCTTCAGTGCCTTCAACTTTCTGTAACCGGTATCGGTTCCGAAGATCCTGAAAAATCATACAAAAGAGAGATGACACTATGAGACATGGTTGGTATACTCCAGCCTCTGTTGGTGTTCACTTATATAAACTAATAGCAAGATGAACTACAAGTTCAACTAGTGCATTATTGCCAAAGGTGTGTTCTGTCCCATGTCCCTCGTTCACCAAACCAGTTTCTCAATCTCCCTTCGAACCCACCTTATTTGTCATGCGGACATGCCCATCCAGATCCTTTTAATTCAAACACGTATACAATGAAGGTAAATTTTTCTTCAAAGAAAGGAAAAAATGAAGTGCAATTAATTTTTAAAAAAAAACAAACCAAAACCAAAAACTGCTAGATTTTGGAACCCAATTCATCCACACATATGAAAAGGATGAGCCTTAACCATCTCATACTTTCAACGAAGACTTTGGTCTAACCAACAAGACCCATCCGCATACTGAAAACGAAATCAGGAGCTTGTGCATCTCAGGGAAATAATATTTCAGATATTTTAGGCCAAACGTTCTCTGTATTTTAAAAAGAGCAATTTATAGAACTTGCTAACGGAACAGAACATGTCAGCCATAACAACTAAGTTCATAAGATGAACAAATATTGGTTTCATGTTGGATTAGTAACACTATATTCCATGGTATATATTCATTTTTGAAAACATGGGACTATCAACTGACAAAAATGATGAAACATTAATTCATAGTCTGATCCCAAGTATTTTTCTTAAATAATTCAGAGATAATCTGGCAATCACCATAGTTTACACTACAGTAGAAAAATTCCTAATGCTTTAAGCAGCAGATGCTAAAAGCTTACCTGTCCATGTAAACAAAAGTTGATGAATAGTTGCCAGACTTGGTATAAAGCAAACGGTGATGATAGTCATGAAAATCAGCACTGGATGATAAAAGAAAACCATTGCACAAACAAAGGAATAAATTAGCACATATTGTATACACACTGCTAAAAAGGACCGCTATAGAAAAATACACATACCCTCCATACACAGGTAAGAAGTTTGAGAGGCTCCACGGGAAATGGTAACCACAATGTGCCTCGACTGTCTCGAGCACTCTAAGTACCATCCATAACCAGAGAGTGATCAGATGGGGCCCAGTGATGGCAGGACCAATAATGGTGGCAAAACCAAGGAACAATATCTCTGCCGGGTGAGCATATTCAGAGGTCAGTCCAAAAGGCGTAGCATATCTGCACATGTTTTGTTATACCAGTAAGAGCTCCAAAATGCAGCTCACATATTACATTATTCAAAACTGTTAACACCGAATAAGTTCACTTAGAACTCTCACTTACTCATGATGGACACTGTGCACATGCTTATACAACCATTTTGTATGCAGAACCCTATGTCCCCAATAGAATACAAAATCCTCTAAGATGAAGTAGAAAATGATCTGTGTTGAAACAACTTTCCTGCCAAACAAAATGCAGAATTACCGAATTATGCCTTTTCAAAGTCCAAATGTTCAAAAAGGTAGAAAAAATTGTGGCCTTCATCATTTGAAATGATAATGGCATCAACTTCCACAATGTCTGAGAAAATATGCTTTAGCATATAAAGAACCTGAAAATACCAGGACGGCAATGGAAGACTACTCCGCATGCCCATGAATTTGAAGACAGGATAGGAAATGATCATAACTGGCAGATTGACACAAAAATGATACAGCAGTAGGCGAGTAATACATTTCTCCTGAGCTGCAGGGCTGTTATTTTTTGTCTGCAGAAAACTAGAATCAAGTTACGGCACTATTTTTATAAGTTCTATTGAAATGCCAATGGGGCAGCACCTATGTCCATAAGGGTAAAAGGTACCAAACAATCATTAAATATGTAAAGAGAAGGAAAATTGTCATGAATCTACAAAAGAAGTAGCAAAAGCCCATCTAGTCCATTCAAACAGCTTTCTCAAAATATTTCCTCTCCCCGAGAGCGTATTACTTCCCATCAGCTTCTCTGCTCCATTGAAACAGACCAAAAATACACACAATGAATATTCCGTCCATACTCTTCTATTCTGTTTTGTGCAACACGACGATGCCAACTCTTAATACATCACTGCCCAACTAGGTATAATCCAAGTCACCCCAATCACAGAAAATAGATGGCCCTTTACACCCATACATGTGAGCAGTGCAATTTAAAACAAAAGATGACTCAATATCTCCTCGGCCAACCTAGTACCCATCCCAAAATAACAACTATTAATCAAAATCCTTCCTCTTGAACCACAAACTATCAAGTGCAAGAATCTTATAAGCTGCAGTTCATGTGTAAAAGGCTAGCTCTGGAGCCTCACTTATCCCGTAAGCTTCCCCCAAAGGAAACAAAACTGTGATTACTGCAATAAGGCCCAGTAAAAAGCTTTGGTATCAAATTTCTTCCCAAAACATAATACGTAGTCTCCATCACCTTTCACTTTAGCATCATATAAAGACTTCAACAAATCTACAACTAACTTCATCCCTGATCATTGAGACTTCTACTAAAAACTAGATTCCAAGACACATTTGTGTCTACAATCTCCAATGTTAAACAGAGCTGGAAAACATTTTGGCTGGCATATAGCGCAAGTCAGACAAATCTTTGAGGAAGAAAAATATACTTTCCTACTAATCTGAAAAAAAAAAAAAAAAAAAAAAAAAAAAAAAAAAAAAAAAAAAACAAAAAAAAAAATAACTAACTACGAGTCAAGTCAAGAGATGAGACCTGAATCTTGTACTTGCTCAGCCATCCTGCCCTCTCAAGAAATATAAAAGGGAGTCCAGATAAAAAGAAAACACTCTCATGGAGAAAGAAACTTCCTAGACATGCCAGTTGAAAGTCGTTGAAATTTGTGATCAGATACTGCACGGTAAAGAAAGAAGAATTTCACAAAGTAAGAAAAATATTAGATAACAATAGAGACAATTAGGAGAATTAAGAAGGAAAATTAATCATTCCTGACCAGAGGAGTTTCTAGAGAGAAATCAGTTGCATTTTCCTTTCATTTGAGAACATTTAAAGGTAACATTCACATGCCAAAGTTACAAAATTGATCTATGGAGATGAAAGCAAGGACCAACTGAGAAACACTATGATGACACCTGCCTATGCATCTTTTAATTGAAAGAATGAAAAATACTTTCCATCATTTAAAACCCAGAGTATGATGACCCCCGCCTATGCATCATGTTGCTCCTGACCTAGACTCAGATCCCCAGCCATGTGATCCAGGGTCCCAAGATTCAATAGAAAGGACATTGGAAGTTTGGAAAAAGGAGTTTGGTGTTGCATGAAATAAGAAACAGATATACATTTAGGTACAGTTATTAGTCAAAGAAAAGAACAGTGGAATAATACCATTTCAAACTATATTGCTTCACATCCAAGAATCATATAGCTAACGCTTGTTAGACCACAAATTACATGAACCCGCTTAGGTTTGAAGGAACATAATCATAATAAAGCACCTACAAATCCTCACCTGATGTCAATCTTGAACACCTAATGCTGCCTGATGTCATTACAATGGAAAAGGACAGGAAAAGAAAAATAAAAGGTAACCAAATAACCACATTACTTGAAAACAGTAACCACAACATCCAAATGCACTAGGTACATCAAATCATTGCGTTATCCCAGGAATCGACAATAACATTTCAATCCAATTATATTGCTTCACACTCGAGCATCATACGACTTACACTGCTTGACCACAACTTACACGAACGTGCTTCTTTTTGAAGAAACATAATCTTAATAAAATATCTCCAAATCGTCAGCTGATATCAATTCTGAACACATAATGCGCCTTAATGTCACTATTCCTCATCCAAATTACTTAAAGAAATAGAAAAAGAAAGAAAAGAACCACCCAGTGACCTCATTACTTAAATTCAGTAACAACAACATCCAAATGCACTGGCAGATCAAATCATTACGTTATCCCACAAAAACAGAAAAACCAATCACACCAATCACAACGCACATGCCTGCATTTTAAAAATATACACATATAGGGGAAAAACACACAGTAATTCAAAAGCAAGCAACACACAACAAAAAGATCAAATCTGGGTTCAAGAAACAATTTTTGTTATTTAAAAAAACCAGTAAAAAGCTATGACCACAGTATAAAAGTAAAAGGGTTGAAAGAGGAAGTACCCTCCAGCCAGATTCGACGAGCGAAGCCATGAAGACGTTTCTGAGGGATGGAAGAAGCTGATATCTGAGAACCCAAGAAAATGTGGTCGTGGTTACAACCTGGAGGGTGAGCTCTGCTCAGTAATGCACAAGAAGCACCCCACGAGATGAAGGGTTTGAGACAGACTGTCGAAAAGGGAATCTGGGCTCTTTAAGACTTGGGCCCCTTGCTGCTTTATATAGCCAAAATTACCAATGAAGCCGATGCTGACGAGAGGAGTTCAGAGAGTGCACGTCTGCGTGCCAGTTTGGATTCTTTTGGTTCTCTGTTTTTCCCAATCTGCCCTCTTTTCCTTTCAGTTTGATTTTTTATTTTTATTTTTAACCCATTGATGATTTGGTTTTACTTGGGGTAGGATAGGATCACATGGCTTGCAGTAATTATCTGAATTAGATGTAATTTCAAGTGGGGTAGGAAGCTTCTCCAATTTTCACAAAAATTTGACACCTCTCTCAATCAACCAAAGGAATAACCCGATGTATTCGTTTCAAATGAGCTAGTTTTTAGTTTAGTGATATTTATTTTTACACGTAAATGGATATATTTTAAATTCTTTTTGTCTTATTGCACCTGGACTTTAGGTTTGAACTTTTATAATTTCAGAGAAAAAAATTAGGATTATGGGCAGATTAAGTTATCTTTAGATAATAGGTTAGTAGGAGTAGCTATAGCAATTTTATCCTTTCAATAAGAGAAGAATAAAGTCAAGTTGAACTTTTGATTATAGGTGTATAGATAATCGTGGGCCTCTTTCGTGGTTACTTTTGAGATTTGACGTATAGGTCTGATAGTAATTGATTTATGTCGGGTGAAGAACTACACGTGTTCAAGGAATTAACAGTAATGTTTACAAGTTGCGATCTCTAGGATAGTGAAAGATTATGATGTAAATGGTGTCCATTTGGATGATGTGATTCCAAATTTTGTGATTAGAAATTATAAGGTAAAATTGTTTGTTTAAACTATTACAATTCAATGTATATAGCAAAATAAATGGATTTTAAATGATTGCTAGTATATAGTCATTTTAAATGTGTTACATTTAGTTATTTCGAATACATTCAATTTAATATTTTTCTCGATTTTGTACCAAATATGACTTTATTTTCATATCCAAATCATTTTCTTCCAAATTCCTCCGTCCAAATCAAGCATAGTAATAGTATACTGTACTTTTGGAAATGTAGTTAATTATTTAATAGATCATTTAGCTTATCATGCTCATAACAAATCCAAAAGTACAAGTTGACATCACCTTGTGCTGTGGCACCACCTGCACTTTTTCAAGGCCGGATTTGTGCACTATATTATATTTATAGTGAGCAGTGAGGTATGTTTGTTTTGTAACTCTTATATATAATGGTGTTCCTCAAATAAACTTATTAGAGGGATTCCTCAATATAAGCTATATATATATATATTCTATTACCATTTTCCACTCCATAATGTACCCGGAAACTTTACATAAGCACATCAAACCCTAGGGAGATTGCATTTGGAGAGGGAAGAGGGCAAGTTGGACAGTAGGCAGCAAAATTGTAACAATGATGGCTCTCGAGCCTCCCTCTGGAAGAACGTAGAGGCCATCTCTTTGACTTCACAGATGAAATAAAACTTGGATTTATAATAAATAAATAAAAAAAGTCACACAAATATAAAAGAAAAGGGACATGTTGCGGTTGCCACCTAAAAAACAGATCTTAGACAGATTTGGTAAAATATATAATATCATGCCCACAGTTTCTTTATTTGGATCCCCACGGTGGGAGATGAGCTTTCATTTTATCTCACAGGGTCACTTTTAGGCGTGGAAAAAATGACATTGTACCAGTTCCTTCGCAATACCACCCCTCTCCTTTTGCCTTAAAATCATTCCCAAATCTCACCCCCACTGAAAAATAGTTCATCTCTCCCCTCTCCTCTTTTCTAATGGAGGGCCTCCTACCCTTACTATACAGGACTATCCTTCAGTATAGGGCTGGTGAGCAACCAGCCCCCGCAGAGTCCTGGTACCGTGAATTGCCTGCAGTGCCCTACATCCCACTTCCGGCGGATTCAACAAGCTCCAATCGATCGGGAATCAAATTCCTCTTGTCTCCAGCTTCTGCCATGAGTCCTCCCCCAAGCTCCCAACTCATTGCCTCTCCTGGAATCCAATTCACAATGTCTGCTTCTACCTCCAGCCCGCTCATATCCTAACAATCAATGGTCAACTAAATGTTGATAGCTGTGGCCTATTGTGGAAAAATCAAAATAGGCTATATTCAATTTCTTGTTTTCTCCCTTGGCATGGAAGCTTTGTTTATCTTACAAAAGAGCAGATGAATAACTAAATGTTTTTTCAAGAACAAAATAAAGTTGCAGAACCCAATCTCATGGTGCTGCACAAACCAAACAGCTCATGATTCATTGCAAACAATGCGTACAGAACTCAAACCCTTGAGTTTATTTAGAAAACGTAATAGTGTTAGGTTAGGTACGCAAGATCTCTAGCCACATCTCTCTTCTAGTACATAAAAAAGGAATGCAAGCACACCATTTTCAAGGCTTTGCAGGAAGCAACTCATATTAATCATTTAGTACTCGCACAAGCAACTTTAATAACCATTTAGAGCAACAAAATCTTGAACAAAAAATTTCGACAAAGCATCTGAACAAAAACATTGTAGGACCAAAATCCTAGAAAACATTCTTAATGCAAATATCTTTATAAGATTAAGAAAACAGAGGGGTAAGAAGGGTCTAATTTGTCCTGGGTGTGGCCCATTCAACCCTGAGGATGAGATTGTCATAACCGTACCCATTCAGTTTGTTAATTGCTCTCTGGGCATCTTCCCTGTTCACAAAGTTGACAAACCCAAATCCTCTGCTAATGGACGTATTCTTATCAAGAGCAACGTAAACACGGCTTACAGCCCCAAAAGGCCGGAAAAGTTCAAGCAAGTCAGGCTCCCGTGTGTCCTCTGAAAGGTTGGTGACACGAACCGAGTTCTCATCATTCCTTCGTCTCATATCAGATCCAGTTCTGTCTGCCCCTGCTCTCACGCTTGGAGGAACATACTTACCAGTTCCAGCAGCTCCAGTTGCTGCATCTGATGTAGGAGGCTTATCACTGAATGCTTCAGCCTGTGGGGCGAGATCCTTATATGGGCACTGTGAAGTCCAGTGGTCGCCCTTCTTACCACAAGTCCTACAAAGTTTGAGAGCAGCCCCTCCTTTTCCGAGTTGAGCCAAAGAGTCTCCTCCAGCCTTTGGTTCTTCTGCCTTACTACCTGTTTGGAGTTTGGAGTTGACAGTCAAAAACAAATATAAAAATGGGGGGTGATGATGATATATGATAAGCACAAAACCCCAAAAATTCAGTTACTGTGACCAATTGGAATTGAATGATAACAAGCAAATCAAAAACAAATCTCTGACATAAGACATAAATAGAGAAGCCGCAAAAGCAATGAGATATAGAAGGCCATCAACAAATAGTTACTCAAATATTATTCTATGTCAATCATGCATTATGCACAAATGAAAATGACATGGCAAGACACGTTATCTTCAAAATCAAATTGATGCAATGAATTTGCACTAAATTATCTCTGAGAAAGTAGCCATCCCTGGGCAGGCCTCTTAACCTAAAACAACATCCAACCTCCACATAAACCTAAATTAAGGGACTTGAGTCCAGGCCCAGATGAAGGAGCATTTCAAGATAGCTGGCACAGCTGAGCTTGTCTTAAGTTTGTAAGACAAACTTAAATACTTAAGGTATTGGGTTAGAAGATCTTTCTGTATCATTTAACTAGACATGTGTAAATGGCTAAATGCCCCATGCTCACCTACAAAAGATATACAAGGTCAGCTAGACATGTGTAAATGGCTAAATGCCCCATCACTTAAATACTTAAGTTATTGGGTTAGAAGATCTTTCTGCATCAAGTTATGAGATTTAAGCCAATTAGGAAAACTGTTGGGAACTAATTCCAAGAAAAATGGCTAAATGCCCCATGCTCACCTACAAAAGACATACAAGGTCAGCTAGACAGACTAATTGTCAAGAACAACAAAGTAATTGTTCATTTAAACAAAGCACCTTTTCCAATCCCCTTCATTCAAACATAGCAATTGCCTCAAACAGACGCATCACTAATTTCCCTTGAACATGGTAAAAGCAAGGGAAAGAAAAGCAAAATGCTTAGTAACAACGCAACGAACAATCCAATTCACGATTACAGCTTCATTTGTTCCAATAGAAAACCCAGTTAACCTACTTGAAATACTCCTAGAAAAACATATTTAGTCGAGATTTAATTCAAGAATCATTACATGTCTATTACAAAAACTAACAGAGAAACTTAAAAATAATAACCAAAATCTCCCTAAATAATTTTACTATATTTCTAAGAATCGGTTTTTAATCACAAAAACATAATCATACACAATTAAACTTATGTCAAAAAATTCCAAAAAAAAAAGAGAGGATAAGTAAATTCCACATAATCCTCCTCACAAACCCTAAAATAAAAACACCCATCAACAACAACAATCCGAAAATCGGAACAAGACATACCAGGAGCCCTGGGGCGCTCAAGGAGGATCTCTTCAGTGGAGATCATGGTTAGCCTGGCACCGACGTCCTCATGCACGGCGTCGCCGAACTTAGGCCAGGAGCGGCGCTCCACGGCCCGCTTACTAAGTCGAGCGTTGGCGAGTTTCCGAGTCCGGGTCGTGGTCGTGATCTTGACCTTATTGCCGTCCTCATTGAACTTATACTCTATCACCTTCTTGATCCCGTTCTCGTCGGGCCCAATCACCTGCTTCGGCGGCAGGAGGAAGTCCAGATCCTCGCCGTCGTCCTCTTCGAGCTCTCCCCATCGAAGCTTCGCCGGCGGGGCTGACCCTGATCCAGGTCTCACTAGAGCCATGGCTGTCTCTGTATGTGCGTAAGCTAAAGAGAGGAGATTGGGGATTTTAGGTTTACAGAGATTAGGGCTTTGGGATGTGAGAGTGTTGTCGAGTGTGTGTTTGATAAAAGACAAAGCCTTCGCACGTGGCAAGGAGTGGATTGAGTTTCACGGGCCCTTTTACTTTGGGCTGTTGATGTTTTGTTTTTCTCTCTCTCTTTTAGTTTTTAATTTAAATTATCCCAACAAAAATAACCTCGATTCAAAGCCACAAAATAGGCGAAAAAAAACTTGTGCTGTGCTAATTGCAAAAGAAAACACGATAATTCTCAATTTATAAGCCATGAATAAGATGAGTCCTGCTCACATAAGGATCTGAAAATGAGGTTATGTAAGGAACAAATTTATCTTAACCACAAGATTATATTTAGTTAGACCCAACCGCTTAAAATATTTTTGGGAGTTTTACTAAGACACCTAAAATGAGGGTTAAAATTATAAAAAAACTCAACACCCAAAACACTTTATAAATACACCCAAAACCCATCATTACACACACTCAAAACCCATTTATAAACACACCCAAAAAATATACAATTGTTGATTTTGAGTGTGTTTCTATGTTTAAATAGTGCTTGAGTTTTTTTATAAATACATGTATAGGATTGAGTTTATTTATAAATTTGTAAATATTTTTCAACTTAAAAGGTCGAAACTTTTTCTTCCTTTTTATATTTATCGGAAACTTTTTTTTTCTTTCTAATTCCTTCCTCAAGCTTTCTAATTTTTTCTTTCTAACAAATTTATCTTAACCTCGAAGCACGATTGAAAACTTGGAGTCCCTTAGAGCATCTCCAGCGCTTCACGGGCTAGGGGGGAAAGGCTGCCCGAGGCAGCCCGAGTTCACTCCAGCGCAGGGCCCGTAGCCCAGTTTGATGGCGGGTCCCACGAGCCCGAGGAAGCCCAAGGGCAAATCTTGCCCGGGCTGAAGCCCGAGTTGGTGACGTCAGCGCTGGCGTCACGCTGACGCCAGCGCACGGTAATTCATATTTTTTTACCTTTGGCGCGTGTAATTCACGCGCCAACGGTAAAAAAAATTTGACTTACCGTGCGCTGGCGTCAGCGTGACGCCAGCGCTGACGTCATCCCCTGACAGCTCCAACGGGCGGGCGCCACGTGGCGCGACGGGGACTCTCCGATGGAATTTTTCCAGAAATCCGACGGTCCTCGTTTTTTTGGCTAAAAAAATTGCAAAAAAAATCGAAAAAAATCTGAATTTTTTTTTAAAAAATACCCAAAAATTCTGTATTTTTTCTCTATAAATACCTAACCATTTTATTTACTTTCCACACTAAATCTTCATACAATTTCTTCTCCATCCCATATTTTTTACTCTTTACTCACATTATTCACTTTCCACACCAATTCTTCATACAAACTTTTCTCCTTCCAATTTTTTTGTTCATCTCCACTCACATTTTTCACTTCCACACCTATTCTCCATACAAACTCTTCTCCTTCCAATTTTTTTGTTCATCTCCACTCACATTTTTCACTTCCACACCAATTCTCCATACAAACTCTTCTCCTTCCAATATTTTTTACTCTCTTTCTACTACTTTCCATTTGTATAAAAAAAAACAAATGGCATCTTGTATTGAAGTCGGAGGCTCGTGGTCAACGAATGAAGATATTGCGTTGTGTCAATCTTGGGTGAACATTAGTCATGACCCTATCACGGGTAATGAAATGAAGTTTCATCACATGTGGAGCAAAATTCATGGAGAATTTTGTCAAAGATCGGGTTCGATTCGGACCGAAATGGCGTTGTCTAGTAGATGGAAACTTCTTAATAAAGAGTTAGGGAAATGGAGGAATGCCTTGACAAAAGCAAAGGCGAACATTCAAAGCGGTCAAAATTTGACCAATGAGGTAAAATATTTATAATTGCCATTTTAATCAATTCAATGTCACTTTTTTTTTTATTGCATATTCTATTTGTTTTTCTTGCATAATTTTTTTTTCTTGGTGCACCTTTAATTTGTATATATTTTCTTGCATAATCAATTTTATTTTTGCATTTCAAAATAGTTTATATTTTCTTGCATAATAATTTTTGTTTCTTGCACTTCCAATTATTTATTTTTAATAGATGGTACAAGCACAAATGTGGTTCGGTGCCATGGGGCAAGGCAAAAAAAGTTTCGTGCATTTCCAATGTTGGGAAATTGTGAAGGATTGTTCGAGGTTCAAAATTATTCCCACCGGTCCGCCGGTTGTGATGAATGAGACGCCACTCCACGATTCAACATCAACCGATTCTCCATTGGACTCCCCAATGGAAACGGAGTCACCATTTGTGCCACGTCCGCCAAGACCTATTGGGAGAAAGGCGGCAAAGGCCAAGAGAGGGGCCACTTCGAGCAATGATTGTGTACAATTATTGGAGCAAATAGCTAAGAGCGCCACACTAAGAATCGAGAGAGACTTGAAAAGAGATGAAATGGACAAGGCACGAGAGGAAGCATTTGCTCTCCAACAACAAATGGCACAAGAAAAAGACATAGAGGATAGAGAGATGAAAATCATGGCTATGGATACGAGCCATATGTCTCCCGAAACAAAGGCTTATTGGAAGGTACGACGAAGAGATGTGATGAGGAAAAAACTTTTCAATGACGACGGACCTAGCAATACGGATTGGTTAAATGATGAAAACCATTAGGTTGTTGTATTGTTGTATTATCCTTTACTTTGTTGTATTGTTCCCTTATCCTTTTAATTTGTTGTATTGTTCCCTTATCCTTTAATTTGTTGAATTGTTCCCTTTTTATTCAATCAAAAAAGCCTTAAATTAAATGACTATTTATTAAAAACATTTGAGCATCAAAACAAATATTAATTTAAAAAAACCTTCATTGATTGCAAACAACACACAAAACAAACCATACATAAAAGCATAATAATAAAAAGCATAATTCCAAAAAAAAACCACACACAAAATAAAGCATAATTTAAAACAAAGCATAATTCCAAACAAAGCACTAATCTTGACTTCATCCATTGTGATTGCCTTTGATCTCCCACAAGTGCTCGATCAAGTCACGTTGACGTATCTCGTGAACATATGAAGATTGCATTTCTTGATACCGATCAATCATGGGGTTGTTGAATTGACCATCCCGAAGTATGGGTTCGGGCTCCAGTGGTAGTCCATTTGGTCCAATCGGCCTTTCATATATTCTTGTCAACGATGTGTTCATTGGATCGGGTTCAAACACCTCTTGAGCATCATAGTCATACTCATCCTCCACAATCATGTTGTGAAGGATGATGCAAGTCATCATAATACTCCGCAGCACCTCCTCATCTAGCATCCGAGCAACACCTCTAATAATTGCCCAACGAGCTTGCAAGATACCGAAACACCTCTCCACGTCTTTCCTGTAACCTTCTTGAAAGGAAGCAAAGTTTCTTTCCTTCTCGGATTGGGGATTCGGAATTGTTTTCACGAATGTCGTCCACCTAGGATAAATTCCGTCGGAAAGGTAGTACGCACCAGAGTAAACGGTATTGTTGATTTGGTACGTCACCTGGGGGGAATGACCTCGCAATACCTCATCGAACACTGGGGATTGACCAAGGACATTGAGGTCATTCTGAGAACCGGCAACCCCGAAGAAGGCATGCCAAACCCAACAATCGAATGAAGCTACGGCCTCCAAAATTATACTTTTTTGGCCCTTCCGATTCCCGTACTCCCCTTGCCACGCAGTAGGGCAGTTCTTCCACTGACAGTGCATATAATCGATGCTTCCAATCATTCCTGGGAAACCTCGGACCTCGCCTTTTTGTAGAAGCCGTTGCAGGTCTCTTGGCGTTGGTTTGCGAAGGTACTCCCTCGTGTACAAATTTTCCACTGCATCACAAAATCTCACCAAGCACTCTAGGACAGTAGATTTTCCCATCCTTGCAATCTCATCCACCTGCTCTGCAGATGCCCCATAAGCAAGCATCCGCAAAGCAGCTGTCAGTTTTTGCTCCGGGATAAGACCTAAAGCTCCAACAGCATCATGCTTTTGAATGAAGTATGTGTCGTAATTACAAATATCATGCATGATTTTTTGGAACAAATGTGGTTGCATTCTATATCTTTCTCGAAACTTAGAAGCAGGATATAACGGATTTGGGATAAAATAATCCTCCATGAGATTCTTACCCCGAGACTCCCTACGTCTGTCCACATTCGGGGCACGAGGACGACGGTTTTGCCTTGATTGATCCATCATACACACCGCTGCTGCAAGCAGTAGTTCCTCTTCTTCATCAGCTTCCCGATCTTCTTCAGCACGTCTACGCCTTGTTTCTTCCCTTTCTTTCCGTTGCCTCTCCAACACCCTCAACAAGTTTGACATTGAGAGTAGAATGTGTTTTCTACAATCTGAGAAATGAAGGAATAGATAAGAGATGGTGTGAGAGGTTTGAAAATCAGGTCTAGTTTATAGACGGATTTAGAAGATAGAGATGACACGTGGCACAATTTGAGAGGATGAAAATCTTATCAAAAATCTGAGATGATATTTTTTTTTAAATATCTGAAAATGTTATCTGACATTTGACACGTGGCACAATTGTAGATGGTGAAAATCTAATCTGAAATCTGAGATTAAAATTTTTTTAAAATATCTGAAAATGTTATCTGACATTTGACACGTGGCACAATTATAGAGAGTGAAAATCTTATCTGAAATCTGAGATTAAAATTTTTTTAAAATATCTGAAAATGTTATCTAACATTTGACACGTGGCACAATTTTAAAAGGAATTTTCTTTGAATAATTTTTATTGAAATTTAAAATACTGAAAATTAACTACGAAACTTTAAATGCCGTTTTGGAAGGCCAAACGACCTCAAAATGCCAAAATCCATCATACGTCACAGCAAAGCTGTGAGTTTGACTCGTGGCGTCGTTCCCTTTCCGAAATGGTATTTTGCGTCCTAATCGGAGCTCGGACGACAAATCTGCAAATTCCCACTACGTCCTTTTTCTAGCTCAAGCGATAAAATCTGACATTTATTCTACATCAGACGTGGCACAATTTTAGAGGGTGAAAATCTTATCCGAAAATTTAATTACAAAAGATTATCAAAATTAATGGTTTAAACTATAAAAAAATAGAAAATAAAGTACAATGAATAGTAATTGCCTTAGACTTGCCCTAGACTTTGCCCTTGTGGGTGGAACCACAAATGCAAAGGCTGACACTATTCACGTGAATAGTGGCAGCCCTTGCTTGCCCTTGCCTTAGACTTAGCCCTTGTGGGTGGAGATGCTCTTAGTTGTGAGCATTGAATTTTGCCTTTGTTTGGGCAGTAAACGAAAGAAGTATTCAAGTATGTGTGGCTTCAGATACAGAGGCCAATGCGACGGAAACACTTGCCTGCACGCGGAGAAACTTTCCTGGCAACAAGTTTCTGCCCTGCCTCGAGGTCAAGGGTTCTCCCATCCTGGCTTCCCATTTTGTATATTTAATATTTAAATGTTATAGCCGCGCGGCTATACCGTTCAAATTTCGAATATTATACTAACTGCCATGGCCTCTCACTATGTTCTGCAACTCCAGTAACCTCAAGACACTCACCTCACTCTCTGCCCTACGTAATAATAACCGTACATTTAGTTGCTCAATTCGTTGGTTGATAACCCAATTAAGTCCAAGTGATCCTGATTTCTGGGTTGATTTTTTGTTTTCAAATTTATTTGAAAGTTGTGGTCTTTTTAGGTTAGAGCATCTGGTTTTGCAATTCAAGTTTTGCCGTTTTGTTTGAAGGTGTGTGTTTGGTTGCTTTAGGCTCGACAAGGTGGAAGAGAACCCACAATTGACACAGGCGACTGGAGAAGAGAACCCACCTAGCGAATGGGCGGAACGTGTCAAAACACGTATAGCCGTCCGGCTATACGATTTTTAGAAAATATCATACCAGCACGGCTATACTTTATAAATAGAAAGTTTCAAAATATAGCCGCGCGGCGTGACTCTATAAATAGAAATTTTCAAAAGTATTCAACAGTATAGCCGAGCGGCTATACGCTGGGAATATAATTTTTTTTAAAGTAAGCCGCGCGGCTATACTATGTGAACAGTATAGCCAAACGGCGACACGGCAAAAAGACACATTTGTCCCTGGTGATCGAACCATTACTCTAAGGTGACTCTGTCCCTCTTTCTTACGATACAGTTCATTCCGGCCCTTGACAGACACCATTAGTAGCAATGCTTTAACCTCTCCTTGAACAAGATCAACAAGATGCCCTTGTTTTCATCACTCTAGGATCAGTATTTACCGCAAATAATTTGATAAGGAATAAAATAAAAATACACAGGACCTGATCCCTTCCCCAAGGAGCACCTCCCCCCGAATCATCCATTCCACCAGCAGATAGTGTTGCTATAGACACAGGGGCAATGGTTTGATTGAGACCATACTCAGCTACTGCTTTGTATGCCATGTCAGTCGCTCGTCGTATATCATCAAGTGCGCCTGTTGATACACGACCTGAATATACAAATTCTTCTGCTGCGCGTCCTCTGATAAGCGTAGCCAAACGTCCACATAACTGATCTCATTTTCAGGTCTTAGGTGAGCGGGATTGCGAATAAGATATCGTAACTTAAGCCTTCCATTATCCATGTAGAGAGAGAAAGAGAGAGAGAGAGAGAGAGAGAGAACGAGGATGGTGCATGAATATATGTTGGATGTCAAAATACTCTTCAAAAGGCTCACGTGTTTATCATGTGCAACTTATTTGAGACAGAGTGTAAGTTACAGTACTTTGCAAAAAAAAAATTTGAATTGAGGTGCTGAATTGATTTGTATATGTATATATTCTTTCCCGGCGAAAGTTGTTTTTGGCCGGCTAAATTTTGTTGAGATAGATCTTTGCCAGTGAAAGTTTGTCGATATATATCTCTTAGGGAGAAATTTTGTCAGGATAGATCTTTTCCCGGCGAACTATTGTTGTATGGATCTTGCCAAACGAAAGTTTGTCGGAATAAATATTTACTGGCAACATTTGTTTTTTCCCAAGAGATATCTTTCCCAGCTTTGTCCGGATAGATCTCTCATGGCGAGAGTTTGTCAGGATAAATCTTTCCTAGCGAAGTATGTTCTTTCCCGGAGAAACTATTGTCTGGATGGATATTTTCCAAAGAAATTTTGTCTGGATAAATCTTTCACGGCAAAATTTGTCGGGATATCTTTTCCAGTCAAATTTGTTCTATCCTGGCCAAATTTTGTCGGAATAGATCTTTCTCAGCGGTTAAGTAGGTGACATTGGTCTAATTTTCCATTTTTTATCGTTTAAAGGATGAGCATAGATGTTCTTGGAGGCAAGTTTTGAGTGGCCATAGAATCACTATAGAGAATTTGAGATCCAACCTATGTAAGAACTCTAAAAGGCTTTCAATACAACTTAAAATTTGATCAAATTTGATACTAACTTATCTCAATCCAGCACAAAAATGGTACACTGGCTTGAATCGCTGCCCTTCTTAAAATTAAAATCCTTAAACCATTTGATTATCGATATTGAAGAGGGTTTTTTTGTACAAGACTCACAAGCTTATGGGATGTACTCAATCATTCTTGCAAACAAAAGGCTCCAGAAGTAACAATAAACAAAAGAACAGAGAGAGAAAGACAAGTGCAAAAACGAAAGCCTTCCACTCTCAGTTCATTGACAATCAAACTTACATAATTATTGCAAAATATAAAATGAAAATACACAATATCACGTTGTGATTGTCCACTCTTTCACTCTTCACAATCAAAGAACCCAGAAACAAAAAAACAAAATTAAGTGGTATAATATAATAGTGGAGACAATAATTGAACAAAAATGCTAAAAAAGCATCAACTTTCAATGCCATCAACCGTCGCCGCCACCATGAGCACTGCCACCACCGCCATCGCCATCCATAGTTGACATGTGGGCTGCACTCATCATTACAGCTGCCGCGGCCATTGTTGGCGCTGCAGAGGCAGCTGCGGTGTCTCCATCATTGCCTTCACCGTGATCACCAGTACCTGTTGCAACAACATGTCCTCTACTCTTGCGGCTTCGGCGAGAGTTGGAATGAGAGGACTCATCATGCTTCTCTTCATTATCTTTGTGTTTGCGGCCTGCAGGAATGCAGAAGCAAATGGTTTTCCCCTTCATGTTTTGCTGGAATGAAATTATCAGTAGAGCATGCTAATTATATGAGAACTTGAAAAAGGGATGAGAATGACACGTTGAGTATCATGATTTTCTTATTTAACAAGTTTTGATCATGACATGAGACAAGGAATCTCATAGAATAACTAGTGCTTACTTTTTCCTTTTGTATTCTTCCATTTTCAAACGGGTTCAAAGTTTCTTTCACCAACCACATTGGATTGGCCTCACACCTTGATTATGCTTAATACTTGCATCAATGATCGGGTGGCCAGCTGTGCTACACCACCAAATCACTAACGTCCATTATAATTTCTACATAGCAAGATAACATTTTTATTAATTATTTTAAATTCACCATATAGATATGTCGTCTATATTATTTGAACTCAAGATCTCTTTCAATAAACGTATTTCGTTTATAATATTTGAACTAAGAACCTCTTTCATCAATAAAGTGAAAACTGATTATGGCTGAACCAAATTATCATTGGCAGTAATAACATGTTAACAGAGTTTATGTGGCAAATGCTGTATAATCAAGGTAAAGTGATAACATTATTATGCTACAAAAGCTAAAGGTATGGGATAAAAAGCCAAAGATTCCTTAAAACAGTTGAAATCGACAAAAGACTGAGAATATAATCTTTATTAAGCAAAGATTACGATTGTGGAGGCATGTATCACGGAGAAGAATATATGAACGACATCCATTGATTGCTGGCAAGTGGTGCCTTCAAAGTATGGGCCTATGTCTTCATCACTTGTGACAGGCTGTTGGCAAATCATAACATGACATTATTTGCATAAAAATCATTTGTCAAAGCTACACCCATATCGTGTTGAAAAATTATTTATATGCATACTGCAATACGTAACTTGATATAACTTGTTCATGTGTCATAATATAGGTAGATGTCATGTTTGAGATTTTCATTTTTAAAGTGTAGTGGTATTAATAAATATCCACTTATATTATAATAAATGAACGAGTTATACAGGTGACCATCTTTCAAAACCTCACTGTAATTACTCAGATCATCGACTCACTCTGGCAAATGAACTTTGTGGAGAAGTTTTCAAAGCCAAAAGCTAGGCTTGCTTAGTAACAGCATATAGACTAATTGTTGGTGAGCCTCGTTTTTATCTGAAATTGTTGGCTGAAACCAAGGTTTGCCATGAGAGAAGGCATACATGTGTGAGAAGCTCTCACCCATGCCTAAGCTGTTGGGCATGCTGCTTCCATCCACATTGACTTATCACTTTCCATTTATCTTCATTGGTCCATCCCTCCTCTGCTTCCAATGCTTGAAACTGATTTGCAAGCCTGCACCCATCAAACAGCACTGTCTTGCTTCTGTCTCCTAACGGATCTAACTCCGTTTTCACCTCAAGCAAAACCTGCCGGGCATGGTTTGCTCCATTGGTTATGAGTTCTCTTCTCTTGTCAAAAAACTCTATGGCCTCGTCACACGTGTATCGAAACCTAACTTGCCCTATCCCCTCCGGCAATATGAAAGCCCTAGACATCATGTAATCTGGCAATAGCAACCCCCTAAACGTTTCATTGAGCACCAGACTAATTAATTAACAACCCCCTAAACATTTCGTCTTTTGTTTCGTCATTGATAAGCAACGTTATTTCACCATTGACGTGATTGTCACTTCTTGTCTGTTGGAGCTATTGCCCTCGAGCTATATTGTACTAGTTTTCACAGACTGGACACTATACTGGTTAAGCAAGCAGAAGTATTCGATGGCTCATCCATCCCCCTCCTGGTATCGAGCAATATCTCTTTGCTTCGATCAAATTGGAACTGTGACAAAAGGTGGTCGGAATCCATGACGCGGTACAATCTCATCAACTTTTGTCTAAAAGAGAAGCCCCTAAAGTGTGCTGGAATTCAAAGGCTCCTTGGTATCTATACCATGTCTGAGAAGTACTGGTACACGACTTTAGAGGATGTCCCCGTCAAAATGAAACAGCTTATCTCTGAGCAACTCAAAGATGCTCAAGGAGTCGTTGCCCGAAAAGAACACAATGCTAGTCAAGTGTTGACTTGGAGAGGGAATCATGTGCTGCAACAGAGAAATTGTATCGAAAAATTCAACTGAAGATTGGTTAAAAGTACCGTTTGATAAAAGCATTCTCCTGTGGCACATTGCAACAGATTTATACTACTATGGCGATCTTGAAAAACAAACGGATCAAGTTGTTGTCGAACTACGTGATGCTCATTCTCGTGATGCGCCCTTTCATGTTGCCGAAGGGAATCAGGCAAGTATTTTTAGTTTGCATGGTCCAATCATTGATCCCGAAAATTTATACAATAAAATTAGGCAGGTCGCTAGTATAGTTTCCCTATCTATAATTTTGTTATTTACTTAAATATAAATAATTTTACTGGAATATTGGAGGAATCCCTTGGATGGGTAGAAAGAATAAGTACAATTTTGAATGTTTTGCTTATCCACAAAGTAACAAATATTATTAGGTTTCGAGATACTTGTGCTGAGGCCAGAAATTTTTGGGATTTAAATCGTTTCTTTGAAATGCGGTGCTACAAATGGGTTTGATACAGAAAATAACACTTTTTTCACTAGTGCACATCTTGATACATGAAAAAAGCCGAGCCCAAATGGGTTTGAAAAACTTTACACTGAAGAGGCGCTTCTTTGACCAATTTTTCTACAAAGGGGGTTGTGCTGATTTGCCTCTGCATTCACCGCACAGTCACAGGGCCATCTTGTTTCATCTTGATGAGACTGCTTTCTATGTTTCGCAACACTGGTTTATAGCTGCAATAGGTTTAGATGAAAAAGGCATTAGCATGGAACTTATAAGAAGAAAATGGAAACAGAGAGAGAGAGAGAGAGAGAGAGAGAGAGAATATATTACAGGCGTGCAAGCCCATTGTATGCTTGGGTGGATTGTTGGAGTCGTGCGGACAGCTGCAATACCTCGGCTGATAATGCCTCTGCTCGGCTCTGTTCTTTTGCAAGTTGATCCTACAAACCAAAGAAAAAGTAGCATTGATGTCAGACAGAAAGTAACCAAGAAAAATTCATGACATCATCAATTTTACAAGCTTATCCCAAATAATGAAAGCTACAATTAGTTGACAAGTTATATAAACTTCTAACATATTGGTCTTTCTCTACCTCTTCAAAATCGGCAACCACATAAAACAAAGAATATAAAAAACCTTCTTCCGGATAATCCATGCTTGTTTGACAACAAAATAAATATAAAACTATTATGTTATTCAGAATTTTTTCATTAAAAAAAAGTTGTGAGACTTTTCCCACAAATCACATCCTCATCTTGAATCTATAACAAAACAAAGCACCAAGGGAAGTTCAAAAATATAACTTTTTTTCTCCTACATTTTTCTTGATGAGTGTTTTACTGCAAAACCTTATTGGTGATCAAATATGGCACACTAAGCACACAGACTAACCTTGATGGAGAGAACTTCAGTTGTATATGCAGCTGAACCAGTCTCATTATCCCTGCCTTCGTGGGATTCTGGCATCCCCTTGGCCTGGTCTGTTCTCAGCTTATCTAAAGTTCCACGGAGCTCTTCATTTTGCTTAAGACAGTCTTTCACCTGCAAGTTCACATGCCAAAAACTAAGAAGTTTCACAGAAAGAAAAAAGTGGCAAAATATAGTAAACTGAATGATTACTCTAAGAAGATATTGCAAACATAATTAAACTCTGGGTTGACCATAACTTATTCAGTATCACAATGCAGTTTCATACCGCAAACATGCACCAGATTAGCTGAATTTACTAGTCCAGCATAGTAAAGTGTAAGCTCAGGCCATAACAACCATTTTCCATGTACAGTTGACAATTGTTTCGGCCTAATTATTGGGATTCCAATGTGCCACATAATATTAGGAAAAATGTATCACGGATAAGTGAACAGACAGGCAACACCAGTTCCTAGAACCACAAGCTACCCTCTGTCATTCTCCATCACCTTAGCCACTGACAATTACCTGATTCTCCCAGTGCACTGATATGCTCATTGACTCCTGATAGGAACTTGAGAGATTAGAATTTTCCTCAAAAAGCCTTTCTATCTCCGAAGATTGGGAATCAATCTGCCACCATTTACAAAAAGTGAGTTTGCTGTCAAAAGACATACACCAAAAAATCACATTGGAGTAAAATAAGAAAGAGTTGCAAGGATAACCTCTATCAAAAGCTTTTGTCTACTGCTTTCCAATTTCTCAATCACTACAGCCATGTCATGCAACTGCTTCTCAAGTTTCTCCTTGTCCTCCTGGCCATTAATTCATTAACCAGTAAAACATTTATCCAAATAAAATTAATCAAGGAACAACCAGAAAAAAAGGAGGTTGAACTGATGAGTCACACTCATACTAACAATAATAGCAAAACTAGGTTACACAAGTGGACTAGAACCACATGAACTTGCTAAGAGACCATTCAAATTTTAACTCATTAACATTTGCACTCAATTGTGACTCAGATGAACTCATTAAGTTGCTGCCTCCTTGTTTTCCTCCCTATTTTGTTTGGCATGTGATCATAGACAAAGCAACTATTAAAGGATTTAACAAGATCATCAAAAAATTAACTTACTAATGAAAATTCCTTGCCAGCCACTTTCTCTGAGACTTCTGCAGTGCATGAACCAGGGAAACAACATTCATAAGAGCTATATTTTTTTTAAAATGCCATTATACAAGAAATGAATTATACTAAAAGGCCAAACGACAACACAACTGACAGAGCCATAACAAATCAAAACACAACAGAAGGCATCAAGAACAAACAATTATGTTTGGAATAAAAAAGCCAAAAGGGGTTCCAGTTGCAACTTCATATACCCCGAGCCGTCAAGGGATCTAGGTTCTAAATCTTAAATTAGATATAGAGGAACGTACGAATGTATTGCTGAATATGCAAACAAAATATAATGGTAGCTGTATTGAAATCCTCATCCCCTAAGAGGAAAATTTCATGACAACAACGGCCAATTTGTTTAACTTTTCTTGACCAACAGCCTTATAGGTACAACTGTTCATCAGTCTCTTCCACATGAGACTATGTGCACCCTAAGAGTTAAAGTAGGCCCCCAAAGTCCTCTCCTTTTAAAGTACATCGAATATCTGAAAGGAGATTTTCTGAAATTCCTTATGGTGTTGTAATCTCTGGATATATATTTGGTAGATTTTGTACCTGAAGCCTTTCTAGAAATAGCTGCAAGCTTTTCTTCCAATTCCTGCTTTTCAGATGTAAGGGTGGATGCCCGGGCTTGCTCCTCTGCTAATTGTTGTCGCTCTTGCTGCCTCAATTGCGACTCTCGCTACAAAATTTGTACCAAAGTCAAATGCCTACAAACAAGAACCAGAAGCAAAACTACACAAGGTCTATTAAACAAATTATCACCTGTAACTCAAATTTTAAGCTAGCTAACTCCTTTTCTAAGGTTTGTATCTGATCTGGTGAATTAACAATTGATGTTACTGCACTAAGTGTACCACTCATTGCTTGTTGTTGTATCATATTCAGTTCGGCTCTCAAGGATGCTGCATCTTCCTCAGCCTGTTGCAAGACAACAAGTGAGAAAAGCATAAAAATCTGCTGTTCCAAGAGAACTAATAGAAAACTAATTACATACACGATACTGTTCTTCTTCTGCATCTTTCAGACGTTTCTTGAGCGTACGAAGCTGAGCTGAAAGATCCTCCTACACTATGAAACCAGATTGAGAGTGACATGAAACATGATGAACCAAGTAAGATGAAACACCAACTAACATATACATGGTCATTACCCGTGCAACAACTGCCGCATCTTTCTCCATTGCAACGTCCTTGAGAGCTTTTCTGAGGGATGGTACAGTGTTTTTCTCCTGCAATTTACAACAAACAAAGCATATGGGAACAGGCTGAAATATTTAACTAGGAAAACCCTCTGTTCTCTCCAATAGTTGTGCATCTATTTCATATCAATATTTGTAAGTAATAATGTTAGTACAAGCAGCAAAAAACTAATATGCATCCTGAAAAGAAAACAATATACACAGACATAACGAGACATAATACATGGAAGATAGAGTTGACAATACATTAGACATAAAAAGACAAAATCTTTTACTGAAAAGGATTGAAGATATTTAAAAGTTGCATTTACCAGATCATTCAAACGTTTCTGCAGCACGTCACCCCCAGCTTCCTTTGTTTCAAGCTGAAACATCAAGAAAACTAACTAATTAGGCACACCACATTTGATCATCACCCATAACTAAAAGTCTCCTAAACTGCAAACTAAGAAAGAAACACAAAACTACATAAATAATAGACCTACCATGGAAGCCAAGTTTTTGTTTTGTTCTTCCAGTTCTGCATTCTTCCTCTCCAAGTCTTTTATCTGAGCAACCAAAACGCCAACGTCGCTCTGCACAAGCCATTAAAATTACATGAGAATTAAAAAAAAAAAAACGAAAAAAAAATTTTCTTTTCTAAAAAAAAAATACCTCAGATAGCCGACTTGCACTCTCCGATTTTCTCATTTCCTCCATGGTCTGTTGAATGAACGACGTTAGCAATAACTCACAAAATCAATAGCAAATTTAATTGAGAAATTTAACGAAATATAGATGACGAACCGATAGGGATTGAGGCTTTGCTGAGATCGGGTCCCGAAGAAGTTTTGCTCAATTTTTCTGCAGCTCGCTTTTGGCGAATATCTTCCAACTGAAAATTTCAAATAAAATGAACAATTGAAGAAAAATACGATTATTCGGATATAAATTTGAAAAAAAAAAAGGTGGCGGGCGATGAGATCTGAACCGTTCGTCGGCCTAGAGATGCGTGGCGTGAGTCCATGGCAGAGTAAAGACGAGCTAAGGCGGAGGAATTCGCTCTCTCGTCAGCCTCTACGACTGAACGGCGTTTCCCTCTACGATTTTTTAGCGGAGAGAGAACGGTGATCTGAAAATTTTCCAACGGTCTGGAGGCCCAAATGAAAGAGACGATCGAACCGCTTTTATGTTTTGGAAGAGATTCGGGTACTGGGCCTGGGCCCATAGATAAAGCCCATTTCCTTTCTCTTCGTTTCTTAAAACATTTCTAAACCCGTGCAATCGAAAATGAAAGAAAGTTGCTAATGGAGTATAGCTTAGTGGAAAATGGTCTTGATTTGCAGACCTTGAAACCCCCTCTTCGCTTGCATTAAAAAAATAAAATCAAATAAAGTTTTTTATTTATTTAAAGAACCCTTGATGCATTTCTTCTTATAATAACAATCATATAAAACACAAGTAAAGTGAGCTCCAATTCATACATGAAGCATTTAAGGAAGATCCAATTTTGAACTTCTTTTTTTTTGTATGTTCATTAGCAACCCTAAATCTTAAACCCTAAACTTCAATATTGAGAAAAATAAATTAAGTTTATTTTTAAAGTAGTCTAGTTAAAATTTATAAACCAAAGAAGTTCTTTTTTTATTTTATATATTCTAAACAATAACACAAATAAGCACAAATACAAATAAATAAAAAGAAATCGAGTACATATTTTCAAGCATCACACAAATATTTACGACAATAAAGGTAGAAGCAAAAGAAATAAATATTCAAAATAGATTTGTCAGTGGCATTATCAGATTAGAAAGTAATCACCTCAATTTGTATATGTGATTTACTTTCAAAACAAACACATAAAAACACATGAAGAATAAAGATGGACATTTAGACAAAATGATGTGAGCAAGAATCACCTCATTTTACTCGTACAAATTGAACCTAACAAGAAAGAACCCAAGGTATACAACAACATGTCTTGTTCAGTTTCTAGAACTTCTTTTGTTCGTCATATTTGCTTGTACAAGTTGAACCCAGCAAGTACGCTTTGACTTGGTAAGGTAGGGTGGGCTAATATTTACGAGAGTAGAAGAGTTGGGAGAGCTTGTAAATAGTTGCACCAAATTTTAGTCTTCTTTTACCAAATCCTACACCGTAGCCCACCCCAGTCACAGTTCCGCCCTTGTCTACACGTTCATAACATGTTAACACAAAACACGATGGGGTCTTTTCTAGCAAATATGACCTGGTTTTTTTTTGGGACTTTTCATATTAAAGCGGCGATAATACACAAAACTTATACGAACAATACAGATACAAAGATTCAAACCCAGAATCTTGTATGAGGGAGTAATTAATTCATATCACTACACTAGTGGATCCTTTGTTATGACGTAATTTTTTGGCATGCGTAGGTTATGCCATAATGTGCCTTATGTTTTGCACTTGAATTTAATCTCTTCATTTACATTAGAATAATTAAAATATCATTTTGTAAAAACAATAAAAGTAAGAAAAAAAAAAATTATCATTTAGACTGACAACTAATTGTCAACGGGGTCTAGTTGGGTGACAAATAGTCTTGAGTTACAAATCAATGATTTCAAGTTCGAACCTCTATAATAACACTTTAGTAGTGTGTGTGTTAGAAACCTCCTCACCTTATAGTTTTTTTTTCTTGTTCATACCTCACCTTATAATTTACACTATCCCTAAGTGAGAACTAATTAATGGTTATAAATTTACATTTAAGAGTCAATAAAAAATAGGTTAAAAGTCATTTTTGGTCTCTATAGTTTGGTACTTCAACCACTTTTGACCCTATAGTTTCAATTCCGTCAATTTTGACCCTTTAGTTTCATATTTGTAGCAACATATACTAACATGTTTTTGAATTGCTATAAATACAAAACTACAATGAAAAAATTGACAAAATTAAAATTACAAATTAAAAGTGGTTGAAGTGTCAAACTATGAGACTTTTGGCCTGAAAAAAGAAGGCAAAGATAATTAATAAAGGGTTCCAACTTCTTCGCCAGTATTCTTTGATGCGAGCACAGAATTCTTCAAACTCTTGCTCGAATCGAATCGAATCGAATTTGAGTGAAAATCATTTAAATACCAAATTCAACTACTTCCCAAGTTTGGGAAATCTCTAAACTTTTTCCCCAATTAATTTTGGGGAGTTTGGGATTTCTCAAATTTGATTTACCACTGCAGGCCGACCCATCAACTCCATTGTTTTCGTCCTGATTGCGATGTCTTTAACGTTAAACCTGAAAGGACCGTAGTCCCGAGAATTGAGGATTGAGCATTGAGCACGCGTTTTTTTATTTCTTGACGACTGAGCACACACATTATGAGTGATTTTCCAACTTTCCATGTACGTAACGACCAAATTAATTCATTTCAATCTTTCCCTATAAATTCCATTGACCATTTTTAAATCTGTGAGACCCCAAAGAGACCCATCAAAGCTGTTCTTCGCTCTCCTCTGATTCTCAGGTACCTCCAATTGATCACTTTTAAATAAATTCTGTACATTTTTGTTTAACTTTTTGGATTCTTTGATTTTTATGAAGTGGGTATTTGGATTTTCATGTGGATTTTGTTTATATGATTGTATCAAATAAAGCATAATGGTAGTTCACGCAATTTGAAGTTTTGGGTCTCTTTTTTTTGGGACGAAAATGAATTTCATTAAGAGGCAAGCCACGAATAGAAACAGACAACCTAGTGGAGCGGCTAACTTAGTACAAAATATAGATAAGAACATTAGTTTGGTGGTCCTGGAAGACCATCCGCTTCCAACACTTGGGTCTCTTAGGTTAATTAGGTGTGTTGCAAAGTTGAATGCTTGGGATTGAGCAGGGCGTTAAAATTGATTCTTTATGATCAGCAAGCACCCCTGATTTTGAGTTTTTGGATTCTTGGTGAGGCACATAGAAGCATGAGATTGTAGAAAATCATGCAACCCATTTTCTGGGTCTAACATAGTGAGTTGAAAGAACCAGCTGATATGGTGATATTCTTCTGGTTGTACAGAAGCAGAGTTTTGGTTTTGGAATTTTGAAGTGCTATCTTTATGTTATCATCTTTGCTTTAGTATATATGCTCAAGAGAGCATTGTACATAGTGTGAAGACAGGTCGATTGCGATGAAGCAGTGATTTTTGGTCTGTGCTTTTGACAAATGACTGAGAATAACCAAGGTCAAATGTGCTTTGGTAGTTAAAGCAATTAGTTCGCTGTTATTGGATGTACTAGCAGCATTCAGACAGAAGGTAGAACAGGAAATGAAGGGTTTGAGAGATGCTGGAGGTGGTTCTTGATGTAATTCCAAGATTGCTACCAAAAAAAAAGAGGAAGGATTAGAATTATCCATTCAATAATCAAATGGATTCCAGTCATACACACAATGAAACCAAGCTAACCGAACCATTAGAAATTTCCATCTAAGTAGAAGAAATCCCTACCGGTAATTAATCCAACAGAAACTAACTGCAGCTTAATTTAACCTGTTGCATTAGTTGCAGTGATTAGCTGATGTGGTCTTTGAGCTGGATTGGAGCTAGCATATGACTTAGCTCTGAGCGGCTTGGTGCCAGCTCACTTTGCTGTGTGCTAGCTTGCTGTATGTTAGCTAGCTTGCACAGCTGCTCAGTTTTGCTACGTGGTAACCTGCCTTTCTGCAGCTTCATTTTGCTGAACTTGATGCTGTTTTTCTGATGTGTGAATGGATTTTGTTGCTTATCAGCTCTGATGGACTAAGATTTGAAACTAACTACTTTTCTGAATCTTGAGGTTTGGAAATTCTTGGTGTTTCAAATGAATTGAGAGTTTGAAAGATGAATTGTAATTTTGTTTTTCTTGCTCTATCCCATAAATTCATATTTGTACTTTTGTGGTTGAAACTTGATGATTTTGTGTACTCCAATTAAACACCTGGGAAAAAAATCAGGGGCGCAAAAAGTGATATGGTTAACTATATATTTTGAAGTCTCAAACTTGTTAGAAGTTCATCAACTGTTGCTTATATTCACAGCTGAATTCAAGCCCTTGATCTCAGCCTGTTCTGTAATGCCAAAACAGTTAAAAGTTGACATTTAATTTCATAAGAGATCTGGGAGTATTTGCCATGGTATGTTCTGATTTTTTCTTACTGAAGTAAACCAGTGGAAACTTCATTCCATAACACTCAAGTATGGCTTATTTGTCTTTGAATGAGCGTAATCAATTAATCATATTAATGAATCTCTTTATCATATTTTCCCCTCTTCTTTTAAGAAATTAAGTGTTAACCATGACTTTGCTGAAGCAGATGGACCATGAGGAGGTACCCTTTACTAGAACAGAATCTCAGGAAATTGAGATCCCAATAGTATCTGAAGGAATTGATGCTCTTCCTGTGCCACCACTGTTACCTTGCTCTTCTGTTTGTGTTTTCTTCAAAAAAGAACATTGTAGTTTGGATTCAAGAGAACGGTCCAAGTCAGCGAAAAAACTTTGTGGACTCATTATTGCCTGTGTCTTGTTTATGGTGGTAGAAATTATTGGTGGTGTCAAAGCCAATAGCCTTGCAGTACTCACGGATGCAGCCCACTTGCTCACTGATGTTGCTGGATTCTCCATTGCTCTTTTCACAGTAATGGCTTCCGGTTGGGAGGCAACATCATACCAGTCTTTCGGATATCACCGTCTTGAGGTTTTGAGTGCCCTTCTGTCTGTGCAGCTAGTATGGCTGGTCTCTGGGATCTTGATCTATGAAGCAGTTGATAGAATCCTTCACAAAAATGAAAAGGTGAATGGATTGCTCATGTTTGAAGTTGCAGCGTTTGGATTTCTTGTCAACTTAATCATGGTCATGTGGCTCGGTCATGATCACACCCATCATGCCTGTGGAGGCTTAGGTCATGATCATCATCACAATCATAATCAGGAGCATAATCCCGATCATCATCACGACAGGGAGGAAGAATATGCAAGAACTGAAGATGATAAAACTAGTCTGGTATCAAGTTCTCCAGAAAATACTAAAATATTAAACATAAACCTCCAAGGAGCTTACTTGCATGTTGTTGCTGATATGATTCAGTCTGTTGGGGTGATGATTGCTGGAGGCATCATATGGGCAAGGCCAGATTGGTTAGTAGTTGATCTGATATGCACACTCATATTTTCTGTTTTTGCTGTTAGCACAACTATATCGATGCTTAGAAATATATATGGCATACTGATGGAGAGAACACCAAGTGATATTGATATCACCAATCTAGAAAAAGGCCTCAAGTGCATCAAAGGGGTTGAGGATATTCAAGACCTACATGTTTGGGAACTGACAGTTGGAAAAAACGGTTTTGTCTTGCCATGTAAAGGCGGAGCCGGCAGTGAGCTCTAGTCAGATAATTGGCAAAATTAGGGATTACTGTGAAAAAACTTACAGAATACATCATGTAACTATACAGATTGAATAGTAGACTTCAGATTCAGCCTATCCTCTCTTTGTTTTTTGGGTAAAAAACCTACACTTTTCTTGGATCTTATTAAATTCTTACCTTTTCCTCTTAACCTTTTAAGAGAACTTGAGATATGGAAAGTGTGATGCCTCTGTCTACCATCCTCTCGAATTGAACAGATTTTGAGCACGTAAACTACAAGCCACTCAGTTAGTGAGGAACTGGCAAACACACCAGGCAACCATTACATTCAACGTCTGGTTAACTGAACTTCGGATTGAGTTGAGCACAAACTGTTTACAAACTCTGCAACCCAGAACAAGAAGAAAAAAAATGCATGGTGCCACCACCACGGACACTTCGCAAGCAAAGCGATCACAGGAGAGAAGGTAAAAGAAGTGACTTTAGGATATGATAAAAAGGTATTAAGCCCTTATTACAATTTTAGAAGTGGCTTAGAAACAGAACCCTGAATAAAACTCTGAATCTGTTCCATTGATTCTTTAATTTGAGATGCCAAGTTCTACCTAACATTCCAAATTTCGGTAGTTACACTTTATAAAAAGCAACATATAACAAATGGTGAATCATAAGTAAAAGCAGACCCCCAAAATGTACCAATACTACATTTTCACAAGCTTTTTTTTTATCACAACTCAACGAAGTAAAATTGTATTCTACATGCCTCCCTGTCACCCAAAAAAGAAGAAGAAAAAAAACTAAAGAAAAGAAAGAAAAAAAAGGTCTGGCATCCAGAAAATATTTCCCCTCCTCTCCTAGGTGTCGTCTTTTATGTAGAGCAGCAGCCTCTCTTGTTATTGTTCCCAGAAGCATCACTAACATTGATAGTGGTTCCTTGACCAGGCAGGGTAGTCGAGACTGCTTCCTGAGCTGCCAGTGCTTTTTTGCTTACAATATGGTAGATCTCGGTAAGAATAGTTTGAAATGCCTTCTCAACATTGGTTGCTTCCAATGCCGATGTCTCGAGAAATGAGAGACCTTCCCTCTCAGCCAAGGTCTGACCATCATCCTCTGAAACAGATCTAAGATGGTTCAAGTCAGACTTGTTTCCTGTCATCATGATAACAATGTTCGAATCTGCATGGTCCCTCAATTCACGGAGCCACCTTTGGACATTTTCAAAAGTTGGCCGCTTAGTTATGTCATAGACAAGGAGAGCACCCACTGCCCCTCTATAGTAAGCACTGGTGATAGCACGGTATCGCTCCTGACCTGCTGTATCCCAGATCTGTGCCTTCACAGTCTTTCCTTCAACCTGTAATTCCAGACAAGGAGTTTTAGCTCAGATCAAATTGCAAGCCACAATTCACAAACCCACTTGTGTCATCTATACATTGTATTTATGGTTCTTTTCTAGTAATCAACACATACTGAATGGTACACTACAAAGACAATTGTATGCTTCAAACTCATGAATATTCTCTGGAACCAGTATTACGCCATTCATATTACAAGAGAAACTTTACATTCAACCGTATTAGCTGCACGTGTTGTTAATTCTAGAAAAATGTGTCCTCATCGGTCTGTATACAAAGTGTTCAATCAACAGGCCATATACACAACACAAAACTAACCGACCCATAGTATCCTGACCCACCAAACAAACTCAAGACTAGATTTAAACAAACCCAAACCTCATTGGGCTGTTATTTAGTTTCCAATTGTGATCAGTTTGTACTCTCTTATTATGTTCCAAATAGGAAGGATGAAGAAAACTGAGACACGTGTTCTTGCATATACCTCCATGAAACTATGCAAGTTTGGTTTCATTATCAAACTTAAATATCATCAACAGGCAACTGCTTGAAAAATCAATCCTCTCTATAGAACTCTACAAGCCAGCCTTAGTGTAAAATAACCCCCACTTCTATCAAACAGGAAGACTGGATGTTTTCCCCACCAGTTCATCAAGCGCCATTGAGTACCCCATCCAGAACAACCAATTCTGATTTTCTAAAAACCAAAGTACTAAAAGAAACAAACCCAAGCTCCATCCACCAAGCTGTTAATAACAAATTTGATGATCTTCAATCAAACAAAGTAAATCCATAAACAAAATCCAAATAAACATCACAAGCTCTTAAGCATCCAAACAAAACTTCAACCAAATGAATTCAAACTCCTAAAACCCCAAACCTTAAACCACCTAGGAAACATCACAAACAAATATCACATTCAACGCCAATAAAATTAAGCAAGTGAAACATTTATCAACTTTCACACAGATTTACACACAAACAGACTAAGCAAGACTTAGAAACAAGATCAAATGAGAAGGCGACTTGCCTGGAGAGTTCTGGTAGCGAACTCGACGCCGATAGTTGACTTAGATTCCAAGCAGAACTCATTTCTGGTAAACCTAGAGAGAATGTTAGATTTGCCCACACCAGAGTCACCGATCAACACGATCTTGAACAGATAGTCGTACTCGTGGTCTACTCTACTCGCCATACAGCCTCTCCTCTCCGATCTCTCTGACCTGCAACCAATTCAAATCCAAACACAGCATATCAAAACCATACACACACAATTATACATATGTATATATACATATATATATATATATATATATCTAGATCTGAATTCTGAGACTCATCGCATGACTTACCCTAAGGCGAATCGATCGAGGAGAGAATGCGATCCAAGTGTTCGATCAAAGTCACTGCACGAATTGGAGCGGAGAGAGCACAGCAGAGGGTTGTGGTGTGGTGTGGGCTTTTCAAAGAGCAAGGAAATGAGAGAAAAAACGGAAACAACGATGAGGTGGGTGGAGAGAGACAGGGCCAACGGGGGCCTTTTGAACGTTGAAACGGCAAATAAATAGATTCCTTTCTTTGGTGGAAGACGGTGTCGTTTTGTAGGACAACTGGGACTTTGTCATTCGTCAAATGTGAGAGTGAGACAGTGAGAATCATACCTCTGACAGGGGCAGCCTGGCCTGGCGGTTGGTGCCAGAGGGATGTTTTTAATTTTCAATTAGTGTTTTCCCACGCCGTTAATTATTATTTTTAATTAGTTAATTAATTAAGATTTGTTTCCTGTTTGGACAGTCGCCAGCGCAAAATGAACGGCCGATTAATTGTTGATTGTGTCCACCTACATCAAACGTTGATAATTTTTGGTACACATATTAATAAATTGTTGAAATTAGAGGTTGTCTAAACACATATTAATAAATTATCTCAACCGATCAAAGAAAGGTATTCAAGTGATTTGATTCGCATTTTACAAAAAGATAAAAATAAAAAAATATAGAGACGAAGATCTCTAAACCATTCCAATTTAACGTAATTTCTCTCTCAAAATTTTTCCATCTTCAACGGTAAGATTTCACAATTGAAGGTAACGTAAGGAAATATATAATATTTACTTAATTGTTTATGAAGAAAAATGACCGAACCAAACCGCTTACTAAGTTTGGTTTGATTATAAAAGCAAACAAATGATATTAGCAATCTATATTCATTGACAAAGTACAATTGTTTTTACAAATGTTGATGACATCCACGAAGCGTGAGCCATTAACCTTTTCAGCATTGATCTTGATGAATTTAGCTTTGCATTTTTCATGTGGTGAATTTAAATTACTTTAACCTTGTTCTATACGTGGGGTGAAACTTTTTTGTGACGGGTAGGGGTAGTTATATATGGTTTAGACTTTTCTGGGCACAATATATATAGGTTAGAGTTTTAGTGTGCAGAAAGCAACGAAAAGCATCATTAACCATTTGAATATTTTGTTAATATAATTGGGTTTCATCATTGGATGTGTGAGTGATAAAAAAACTATCATTTGAAGTCAAAATGTAATAATTAACCGTAGTGTCCAATGATCAATTTCTGAATATTGCCACCAAATCGTCACGTTGACTTTAGAGGTGCAAAATTGGCACAAAGATTCCATAACCCTTTCTCTCTTTCATTAGAAACTAATGGAAGGGTACAAAATACAGTATAAAAGTGAGACTCAACAAACGGAGCGCAACATCAAAGCAAAAAGATAAGAGGTCCAAATAAAAGACATAATGCCCATAACAAGCCTAAAGCCCACATATGCATAAAGCCCACAAAAGCTCAAAAAAAAGATAAAGATAGCAGACAAATCCTAAACAAAACTCAGTCGAGTCGCCGCCGCCAATGCCATGCCACTGCAACTTCATGAAAAGTAATATTTTAAGATGAATTGCATTTAGTAAGGAATTTTTAGTTCAAGTGGTTAAAAATATTTATCCTTGTATATGAGATTTTAGATTCGATTCTCCCTTCTCCAATATCGCTTGTCTGAAAAAAAGAATTACATTTTGCACTATTGCTCTAATCTCAATAGAGAAATTCTTATATATGGCAATTCAGATCATGTGCAAGTGTGACCAGCCTCACAAAGACTGAATTCCCCCTGTATTTTGGCCACATAGAAGAACTGCTCACCACTAAAACCTGTGTGTTATTATGCTTATGAACACTCACTATGGCCTTGTGGCCTGCAAGTAGTAGGGTTGAGAAAAAAAACTGGTCAAACCGATTAAGCCAAACTAAGTTGAGCGATTTGTTTGATTTTTACACTAAAATTAGAATTTTATATCAAACCAAACCAAACCACAATGTATTTGAGTTAGTTAGTTTTGATTTATTTGAAAACCACTTAAATTTATTAGTTTTTTATTTTTATTTTTAAAAATTGACATTTTATTATTGTGTTCATCACACACGTTGATATTAAACATTTATTACCAAAAACTAATATCCCTAAACTATTTCAATTTCACGTCATTCTCTATCTTCATCTTTTTGATACGAAATTCTTACGACTATTATATAATTTGGGGTACAAAGCTTCCTTTGATATATGTTCTAGAATAAAAAATATTTATTTCATTTCTTAGCAAGATAGAGATCGCCCAAACCAAAACCTATCACTAATAGATTTATTCGGTTTGTTCAACTACTAATTTAAAGTGTAAACCCAATTTCTTTGGTTTAGTGTGTGATTTTAGACTTAAACCGAACAAACCACACTACTTACAACCCTACAAACATCTTAAAATTTTAATAGAAATTTTGAATACACATGATAGTCTTTAAATTATAAGGAACATCCGAACATGTGTTATGAAAATTCGAACTTAAAATTATAAGTTTATAAATTAAGACCTATTAGAAGGAAAAAAAAAATTGATAATAAAAAACTAGAAATTCTTTAAAAGTAACATTTGTGCATAAATTTTTGATAAATTATTTTTGTATAATGGAACAAAAGATGTATTCGCACTAGAAAACGCATGCTTGTTCAATATCGCTGTTACGCTTGGTTCTGAAGGCTCCTACGGAACTTGCTGCTGCCAGAATCTAACTCCATAAGGTTATCAGACAAATTCGTCTTCTTCAACCTCAACGCAGAAGCAAAATCAATTAAACAGGCTTTCTCACTGAGTTTATAATTCTATCTCTTCCCTCCTCTATCACTCAATTCGAAACTTAATCAATCTCGACTTCCACTGCAAGATGAGGAAGGAAGAGACTGTGAAACTAATCAGCGCCGAGGGCTTCGAGTTCGTGATCCACAAAGACGCCGCCATGGTCTCTCAGACCATCCGAAACATGCTCACTTCTCCAGGTAAGGCCTTTTCTCTGTCTAATTGGTTTTAACTGAGGAGCAATTAGGGGATTAGGGTTTGAAATCACATGGCTTGGTTTTTTTGGTAGGGAGTTTTGCTGAAACGGAACACGGCGAGGTGACGTTCCCTGAGATCAGCACCACCATTCTTGAGAAGATCTGCAAGTATTTTTACTGGAACCTTCAATATGCAAGGTTTAGATTCTCTCCCTCTGCTTTTCCCCCTATTCTGCTTATAATTATTTTTGCAGCATCCATGCTATTGCTTAGAAGATTGATGGGTTTCTGAATTGAAATTTATATTGAACCATGAATAAGGTAGTGGAGATTGTGCTCTCCAAACTGCCTTTCTAGACCGCCCATTCAAACAAAAATTCGCCTAATCAATGGTTAACATTAAGAATTATGCTGGGATCAGTGGCCCCTCGAAATAGTCTGCATAGTAGGTTGCTAGAGTTTGCATGTTAGGCTGCTAGAGACCCTAGGATCTTTTTTTCGAGTGCATAGTAGGTTGCTAGAGTTTGCATGTTAGGCTGCCAAAGACCCTAGGATCTTTGTTAGCAAAGTTTTTCGAGTGCTTTATAACAGTATTTCCTTCCCTTTCTTTTTTTCGTTAGTTAGGTCTACATGCTTGATTTAATGATTTTGATTGTTTACTGCTGGACTTGGAGACGGTATAATTAGAATGTTCTGCGTATCGTCTCTTGCGCCAATTTCAATTGCTGGATTCTTACCAAGATAATGGTGGAAAGTTGAATTGACCAAGGTTGTTTGTTGGAACTAATCCAAATTTGAGAGCGTGGTCAGAAGGCTGGTTTTCATCTACTCTCCTTTTCCCTATTATTGACTTGTCATGTTGTTCTTTTGACAGTGGGAAGCAGACTGAGTTTCATATTGAACCTGAATTGGTTCTGGAGTTGATGATGGCAGCCAATTATCTCCATACATGAGCATGCCATCTCTCTTGGGTGACCAAGTCCTATTTAACATGTAAGAAAACTTTTTGGAATCACTTCCTGAGATACACATGCATTAGTTTTCAGTTTAACTTGGTTTAAGTCAAGTTTCTGTCCTTGTATTTGGATACCTCTAGTGATTGCCCAGGAGGATGTACAAGGATGTGATCGTTACCTGAGAGGGCGTGAAAAGCATAGGATATCTACGTTTGTGTCAAGCACTGGAATTCTCTCCTAGACTGCAATGTAGTATATATATATATAAGACTATTGTAGTCAAATTCATGCAGTTATAACTTATAAGATATTGTAAGATTACCTTCGAGACATTAATGATTAGTCTCAGAATCATCACCATAAGTAGAATAGTTCTTGCAAGTTGTTTTCTATGTGTACTCTATTCTCAGAGCTGATGTAAGTTAGTTGTGCTTGTTGGCAAGGCAAGGAGATAAGTACAGTGACCTCTCGTTATTGATATTCTTGGAGATATAACATCCCACACACTTTATTTAGAGTGAATTTGGTGTTTTGGTGATGCCTTGAAAAATCAGTGTGTTGTAATGATAATTTGTAAAAATCAGTGTCTTTTTCTTATATCAGATGATTACAATAGACATGATGTTGAAATATAATTTATCCATACGTTTGATTTAAAAGAAGTATTTTGCTAGTGGGGTATAGCTCAGTTGGTTGAGCTCTTTCACTTTCACCTATACGGGTAGACTCCCTCTCATAATCTTTTGTACTAAAAAAAAATATTTTAACATGTATTCGTGCGTTTCTCTTTTATATATAAATTCAGCTTTCAATTTAATAGCCTCAATTAAGTGAGTTTTTCATTATAAAAAGTGTGCTTTTTTTTTTTTTTTTTTTTTTTTCTTTAATACAATTTTCAATAACTATTTCACAAGATGACTTCACACAACTATGCCAAATCAAACTAATGTTCATATTTCTCATATTTTATTATACGATTTCAATAATTATTTTGACAATAAAATTTTCTAAATTAGCGGTTCAGCACGAGGATGTTAATTGTTGCCAAAAACGTCAATATCTTGTAGCAAAGCCAAGCCAAGTGTTAGAAGCAAGTGTTAGAGCAGATGATAACGGTTGACCTTGTATTCCAGATTAGCCAAATCCAGGATTTTGCAGCAACTTTAAAAGAAGACTGTACTTGAACATTACCATTTTGGTGATAGCTGGGTTTGACCTGCTATATCCATACATGAACTTCCCATGTTTTCTAATTGCAAAGCAAAGCCAAGCACTGTTACAGCACCCTCTGCATGATAGTGGTTTTGACATAATAATTAATTGCTGGTTGACTGCCACTACTGAATCCCTCTCTGCATGTCCTTCATTTGCAACAAACTTTAAATTATCTGGTGTCTGAATTTAATGCAAATCCCAATCTGATTACAACTGCCTTTTAGGAGTGAGAAAATCTGGATGCATTAAATTAGTCCCAGTATATAAAGTGCACTTCAGCCATGAAGTTTTTGAGCATTGAACAATTTGAACAATGGCTAAGTATGGAGCTTTTCTGGTTTATTATGCTTTCTCCATTTTCATACTCACCATGAGCTTTTTATGCAAGGCCACCGATGAGGATAGAAAGGTAAGAGTCATTTCAGTTTCAATGGGAACTGTTGAGGCTGGTATAGATGACGACCCTGTGGCAATTGGTGCTTTTCATGCAATGAAGAAAGGGATACTGACTTCACAGTCTGCAGGCAATATGGGTCTTAAAGTTGCTTCTGTGGTAAGTGTAGCACCATAGATATTTACAGTTGCAGCAAGTAGCATAGATCGCCGTTTCACTGACAAGGTTGTGCTTGCAAATGGAAAGACACTAGTGGTGCGTCTCATCAACTTCTTTTATTCCTCGAAATAAATCTATCATTGTACTTGCATATTATGTTCTATGCTTTTCAATGGTCTTTACACAAACAGGGCAAATGTGTAAACACTTTCACATTAAATGGAACAAGTTTCCCTCTGATATATGAAAAAGATGCTGGAACAAAAAATTGCACTGGAGAAGATGCTGGGTGATTCTTGTGTCCATTTATTTTTCACTTCCAAGAGGATATACGAATTGTTAAGCTTCTAGAGTACTACTGACTTGTTGTTGCATTCCAGAGATTGTGAAGAAGGCTGCCTTGATGGCGACTCTGTTAAGGGAAAGATAGTGCTATGTGATTCGTTAGCTGGAGATAGAGGGGCGTACAAAGCTGGTGCACTTGGTTCAGTTTTGATGAATGAAGTAGGATACAATGTTTCTCTTGTTCCCTTAGTAGCTTCAACAGCTTTAATGAGGGAAGAGTATAATGTGGTCAGGTCCTACACGAACTCCACTAGGTATAGATTCTGTTGGACACTCTAAAGGCAATTATGTCATCATATTTTCTCTCTTGAAATGATTGAGTGCTTCTGTTGTTTTATAGAGATCCTCAAGCAAACATATTTAAAAGTGAAGTCACAAAAGATCCTGATGCACATACTGTCGCTTACTTCTCTTCGCGTGGACCGAATATAATTTTACCTGATATAACTAAGGTAAATGTTTCTTTTCACCTTCTGTTATATGCCGCATTTATATCCTGGATACAGTTATAAAATTTGTGCTCTGATGTGTTTTAGCCGGATATAAGTGCCCCGGGGGTAGAAATTTTGGCTGCGTATTCACCTGTTGTTTGTCACACAACTTCCACAAGACAAGAGGCATGTAAAATACAATATATTATCTGGAACCTCCATGGCTTGCCCCCACGCTGCCGGTGCAGCTGCGTATGTTAAAGCATTCCACCCTAATTGGTCTCTGGTGGCAATCAAATCATCTCTTATGACTACCGGTACTGTCCTCATAATAGCTGTTACTTGATTAGCCACATCTTGATTCTAAAATTATGATATTCACCTTTTTTTGTTTGTGCATGTAGCTTGGCCCATGAATGGTACCAGCAACAACGTTTCAACTGGTGCGTTTGCTTATGGATCTGAACATATCAATCCTGTAAATGCTATAAACCCAGGGCTTGTTTATGAAGCTTCTGAAGAAGATTACATAAGGCTGCTATGCACAATCTATGATGAAGGCAAAGTTAGACTCATATCAGGAGATAACAGGACATGCCCTACTGGTTCTGCTCAAGGATATGTAAAGGATCACAATTACCCTTCAATGGGAGCTAAAGTTGAACCAATGAAACCTTTTTCGGTTAATTTTCATAGAAGAGTTAAAAATATTGGCCTTGCAAACTCCACTTGCAAGGCCACAATCTTCTCGAACTCGAATGCTGATATCAAAGTAGTGCCCGAAGTCCTTTCTTTCCAGTCCTTGGATGAGGAGAAGGATTTTGATGTGACCGTTGCCAGAAGTGATTTGCCAGATGGAGCACAAGTGTCTGGACCACTGGTTTGGTCTGATGGGACTCACCGTGTTAGAAGTCCAAATGTTGTTTATGCATATATTCAACATGAGCACCAGAACATGGTTACATGAGCAATGAGATTTACATTTTTAAAGTGCTTTAGAAGAAATAAACAAAAGTAGAGAAATTCAATTCAACTAAAGTCCTGTGCATCTTTTGTGCTTTTTTTTTTCTTTTTTCTGATGCAAAACAAAGTCTTCTCTTTTTCTTGATGACCATTAGTAAGATTACAAGGCTATACAATCTGCCATTATAAAATTAAAAAAAGCGATCTTTTGAGGAACTCTTTGAGAAATAGTGTTTTACATTTTTAAATGTGTTTGAATGAATAAAAAGTTGAGCAAATTTGGCTTTAGTTTTTTTAACTGTTATCAACCACTGTTATTAAAGATTAAATCCAACGGTCATTGTGCATTTAGGATTTTCCCCTTCTTTTTTTTTCCCCTGTCATCAAGCTTTTTCCTTTTCTGATAATCTGTCTTTCTATACACACTCTGATTTGAAAACATTATTAAGAATTTAATATAGAATTTTTGTATACTTACAGATATTTCCTTGTTTTTCTATTGGGGAATCACTGTGGTTTCTTGTTCTAGGTTGGCCAAGGACCTGAACTTCGACTAATAAAAGTGTAATCTTCACAACCCAGAAAAAAGTTGTCTGAAATTTCCAGAGAAGCATTAAATTGTGTATGAGTTGTATTTGAAAGAAATGAAAAATTAAAGTACCATTTCTTTCATGGAATATAATATGTCATATGCTGGTGTGCATTTGGTGATCACCAGGTATGATCTACTCATCCATACATGTAGTAGCTTATGCTTTCTTGTTGCTGAAAAACACATTTAATATTTGAACAATTTTATATAATCCTACATGGGAAGACATATTACAACAAACATAATGGGTATGCCATAATGATGGCTGCATGACTAAGCGATTCGATCCAAATGAATCGTTGTTTTACTGCTGTTATTGTATATAATCCTGAGGAGTGAAATCAAGTCTTTTTCAACAACTTTAGAAATACTAGTAGCCGGAATCAATGCTAATGCCAATCTGTTTACTTATGTAGTAGAAGGTGCATAACATTCTATGAATTTAGAATTCTTGTCAAGGAATAACTTTTATAAGTTAGCTGTAATTCCAAAAGTGAATTTAAAAGAAAGAAAAGAAATTCTGGATGCTTAGTGGAGGTGATGGGATACTGCATCCTTAGTCCCACTATAAAATACTCTTCACCTGGTCCTGAAGTGTTAAGAGAATTGAACAATGGCTAAGCATGGAGCACTTCTGTTTTATCATGCCTTCACCATTCTCATCCTAACTATGAGTTTATTGTCCAAAGCCACTTCTGAAGATAGAGAGGTAGGAGTCATCTTTGTTGTAAAACAATAGTCTTCTTGGTCTTTCGCTTGATCTGCATCTGATAATAAATAAAAAGGAAATGCCATTTTATGAAGAAAATTTTCCACAGTATTGATTATTATATTTATATGTGACTGAATATTTGATCATGATGATGCAGATCTCTATTGTGTACTTGGGATCACTTCCTCATGGAGTGTACTCTCCATTGTCTCACCACCACAGTATTCTACAGAGAGTTATCCAGGGAAGGTAGTCTATGCAGATCTTTAATGTTACCTTTTGTTTTTGTCTTTTAAGTCATAGGGCTCTTACATGTCTCTCTCTCTCCCCCTCTCTCTCTCAGTTCTCTTGAAAGTTTATTAGTGAGAAGTTACAAACGGAGTTTCAATGGATTCGCTGCCAAGCTCACTGACCAGGAAAGAGAAAAACTTGCAAGTAATGCTTCCATGACACTTTTTTTCTCCTTTCCCATTACACAGTAGTAATATGGTTTGGTTTGAGATTATATCATGCTTATAAACTGTTCATTTCAGACATGAAGGAAGTAGTCTCTGTCTTTCCAAGCAGAACATATCAACTCCAAACAACAAGATCTTGGGACTTTATGGGTTTTGATGAGAAAATCAATCGAAATGCCACTGTTGAGAGTGACATTATTGTTGGTGTAATTGATAGTGGAATTTGGCCTGAAGCAGAGAGCTTTACAGATGTAGGTTTTGGTCCTGCTCCTAAGAGGTGGAAAGGTGCTTGTAAAGGTGGCAAAAATTTCACTTGCAACAAGTAGGTGCCCCTCCATATTCATCAATCTTGTGGTAGCATTAGTATCCGTTTCATTACAGGAAACTAATTTAGAGACCTATTCTTTCATAAATACCTGTGTCTGTCCATTTTCATAATTTTTCTAATGGTTTAGCTAGTAATACTTACTAAGGTTGTAGCCACAATAAAAATAAAAATAATTTTCTTTCTGCAGCAAACTCATTGGAGCTCGATATTACACAGCAGAGTCTGCAAGGGATGGTACAGGTCATGGAACCCACACTGCCTCAACGGCAGCTGGGAATGGTGTAAAGGATGCAAGCTTTTATGGACTAGCACAAGGTACTGCTAGAGGAGGAGTACCGTCTGCGAGAATTGCAGCATATAAAGTTTGTGCTCCAACATGCATGGCACACAATATTTTGGCCGCTTTTGACGATGCTATTAATGATGGAGTTGACATTATTACCATTTCAATTGGACTTGGTTTTATGGCAGATGTATATGGGGATGCTATTTCCATTGGTGCTTTTCATGCAATGGAGAATGGGATACTAACCACAAACTCTGCCGGGAACAATGGTCCTTCAGATGGTACCGTGTCAAGTCCAGCTCCTTGGATATTGACAGTTGCAGCAAGTAGCATAGATCGTCGGATCATTGACAAAGTTGTTTTTGGAATTGGTACAACAGTAGTTGTAAGTCTCATCAACTTCACCGATAAACTTGTGTATTTCATTGCAATTTTCTGTTGTATACTTTCTAATGTCTTCATACAATACAGGGGAATTCTGTGAACTCTTTTACATTAAATGGAACAAGTTTCCCTCTGGTACATGGAAAAGATGTTTCAAGTAATTGCACAGAGGAAGACGCAGGGTAATTTTTGTACTGATTGTATTTTAACTGCGAACACTAGACGTGAACTAATAAGGTTCTAGGGTCTGACTTGTTGCATTGCAGATATTGTAAAGAAGGTTGCCTGGACAGTCAATTAGTAAAGGGAAAGATTGTGCTATGTGATCGATACACTAGTGCAATTCCTGAGGCGTATAAAGCTGGTGCACTAGGTTCAGTTGTACTTAATTTCTACAACGATGATGATCTTTCTTTGATTCTCCCATTAGCTGCAACGGCTTTACACCCCAAAGAGTATAGTGTGATGATGTCCTACATGAACTCCACTAGGTATAGTTTCTTTTGGATACTCATAAGGGCATTGTCTCAACATGTTTGCTTTCTCTAAATGATTAAATGCATTTCTAATTGTATAGAGATCCTCAAGGAACCATACTAAAAAGTGAACACATAAAAGATCCTGCTGCACCTCATGTCGCTTTCTTCTCTTCACGTGGACCAAATCTAATTTTACCGGAAATTATCAAGGTATGGGTGTTCCTTGTCACCTACATTTATCTTCTACGTGCATAGATCTGATAATAATTACTTTTGCACTCTAATGTGTTTTAGCCAGATATAAGTGCCCCAGGAGTACAAATTCTGGCTGCATATTCGCCTGATGCTTCCATCTCAGAGTTTGAAGACAAGAGGCATGTAAAATACAAGATCATGTCTGGAACCTCCATGGCTTGCCCCCATGCTGCTGGTGTAGCTGCATACGTTAAAAGCTTCCACCCTGACTGGTCTCCGGCTGCCATCAAATCATCCCTTATGACTACTGGTATTGTCTGCATAATAGCAATTGCTTGATAGGTCACATTAGTTTTGAATTTTAAAAAATATGATACTACAGCCAAATATTTTTTTTAATGTTTTGTAGCTTGGCCCATGAATGATACCAGCACCAAGAGCAACATTTCCACAGGTGAATTTGCTTATGGATCGGGACACATCAATCCGGTAAAAGCTATAAACCCGGGACTAGTTTATGAAGCTTCGAAAGAAGACTACATAAGGTTGCTATGCATGAAATATGATGAAGGCAAAGTTAGACTTGTATCAGGTGATAACAGCACATGCCCTACAGATAAAGGGTCACCACTGGATCATAACTACCCTTCAATGGCAGCTAAAGTTACCCCAATGAATCCTTTCGCAGTTAAATTTCATAGAAGAGTTAAAAATGTTGGCCTTGCAAACTCCAGTTACAAGGCCACAATCTTTCAAGACTCCAAAGTTGAGATCAAAGTGGTGCCTGAAATTCTTTCCTTCAAGTCCTTGAATGAGGAGAAGGCTTTTGATGTGACTGTGGCTGGAAGCGGTGTGCCTTTTGGATCACAAGTTTCAACAAAGCTGGTTTGGTTTGATGGTACTCACAGTGTTAGAAGCCCAATTGTTGTATACACTGCAGCTATGCAAATGCAGGATCAATATCCTTTTTAAATAAATAAAAAAATATTTACTGATTGTTTTATGGACATAATAAAAAAATTATTTTGGCACTTCAAATATCACTTCTTACATTCCTTTACTTTATCCTCTCCCATATCAAGAGTGCACTTTTAAGGGGCGCACCTTTGAAGTGCCAAAAAGACGTTATTAAAAAACTATATGACTGGTTGACTTGTGTTGATGTAGGTGGTTTATAGCTCAAATCACACTCCTCATTTTACTCATTGTTCTACTTTTTCACATGTATTTCAATGTGGAAGTGAGTAGTGTCGTGAGAATCGTGAATGTTTAGAAATTTATTGGTGTGATCGTCACACTGTCACGTGATGTTATCAATTCACTCATGTTATAATGTGTATATTTTATCTTTTGAGACAATAGTCTAAGTCCACCACATATCAATGTCAACCACTCATATGATATCAATTGATTCAGAAATCAAGGGTTAAAAACTACAACTTCTAAAAAGATCAAAAAATTGAAAATACCATTAAAGACTAAAAAAGAAAGAAGGAAATATCTCTCTCACACTTGGTGGAACTTGCAAAGAATTCTGATACCATATTAGACAACCACTCCACCCACACACTCTGTCCAAAAGATTAAGCTAACGAACAGCAAGGACTTTAGAATATTAGCAGCGAGACTTCTTCCTCATCCCAATTTGTTTACACTTATAGAAGGTACATGGCATTCTATGAATTTAGAATTGTTGTTTAGGAATGAATTGTGTAAGTTAGCTGCAATACCAAATACTTTTAAAAGGAAGGAGGCAAATCCTGGATGCTTAGTGGAGATGGCCAGTATAAAGTCCTCTTCACCTTGCCCACAAAGTGTTTGAGAAATTGACAATGGCTAAGCATAGAGCTCTTCTGTTTTATCATGCCTTCATAATTCTCATCCTCACTCTGAGTTTATTTTGCAAAGCAACTTCTGAGGATAGAAAGGTAAGAGTCATCTTTGTTGTAAAACAGTAGTCTTCTCTTTTGCTTGATGGCTAGGAAGATTAAAACTATGCTATTCAATCTGCCATTTATAACAAATAAATTAGAAATTTCATCTTATTGGGAACTCCCTCATCAGTGCCAATTATTTTTAGTTTTATTTTTATTTTTCTTCTTGAGTGTGAATACAATCATGCTGATGCAGGTGTATATTGTGTACTTGGGATCACTTCCTGATTGGGTTTTCTCACCATCTTCTCACCACCTTAGTATTCTACAGAGAGTTGTCCAGGAAAAGTATGAAGTCTAAGTGATTTTTAAGGTTACCTCTTTATTTTTCCATTTAAGTTATAAGATAGTTTTTTATTCTTGTTTCTCTTAATCTCTATAGTGGTTCTGCTGAAAATTTGTTGGTAAGAAGTTACAAAAGGAGTTTCAATGGATTTGCTGCCAAGCTCACTGACCAGGAAAAAGAAAAACTTTCTAGTGAGTTCTTGGCGACGCTTTCTTATGCCCTTGGAAAAGAGTAATATGGTTTGGTTTGAGAATTTATCTCGTTTATAAACTGTGCATTGCAGATATGAACGAAGTGGTCTCTGTCTTTCCAAGCAGACCATTGCAACTTCAAACAACAAGATCTTGGGACTTTATGGGTTTCAATGAGAAAGTCAAGCGAAATGCCGGTGTTGAGGGTGATATTATTGTTGGTGTGATTGACAGTGGAATTTGGCCGGAGTCAGATAGCTTTAAAGATGAAGGTTTTGGTCCTCCTCCAAAGAAGTGGAAAGGTGCTTGTGAAGGCGGCAAAAATTTCACTTGCAACAAGTATGTTTCCTCAGTATTCATCATTCTAGTGATAGAAGTTGCTAGTAATAAGTAATCTCTAGTTGGAGATCCATTATGTCAATTGTTATGAAAGAAACCTGCACAAATCACATAGCTTAACTAGCCAAGAAATTAGAACAGAGAAAAAGGGAAATATCACACATATTTACACAGTTTAGAAAATTTCTTTACAACAGTGGGAGAGACCTGAAAATCTCACCCTTTTCCACTTTTGCACTCTTGAGTTCTGGCACTCTTTAAGAAAACCACAATTTGCAGTCACTCTCACCCATATTGAACCTCTCTTAACTCTTGGTGTTGGTCCTCTTTAACCACACTCTCTATGGTGTTGGCACCCTTCAACATAGGCACGTTCTTGGTGTTTCAATGCTCTTGTGAAAAAATTATACAACCGCACTATTCATGTGAAAGCATGGAAACTTAATACTTTGGGTTCAGACTACTAAATCACTGAAATCAATGCCAGTATGTATAAACTACTAAGGTTTTATTAACAATGAAAAAAATGTTCTTTTTACAGCAAGGTCATTGGAGCACGATATTACTTAACAGAGTCAGCAAGGGATGAATGGGGTCATGGAACCCATACTGCCTCAACAGCAGCAGGGAATGCTGTAAAGGATGTAAGCTTTTATGGACTAGCACAAGGAACTGCAAGAGGAGGTGTTCCCGCTGCAAGAATTGCAGTGTATAAAGTGTGCTCCCGTGAAAAATCGTGCAGTGCACACAATACCTTGGGTGCTTTTGACGATGCTACTGCTGATGGAGTTGACATTATTACAATTTCAGTTTCATTTACTGCTATAAGAGATTTCGACGAGGACCCTATTGCAATTGGTGCTTTTCATGCAATGGAGAAAGGGATACTAACATCAAACTCTGCCGGTAACAATGGTCCTTCAGGTGCTACTGTGTCAAGTGTAGCTCCATGGATGCTTACAGTTGCAGCAAGTAGCATGGGACCGTCGGATTATTGACAAGGTTGTTCTTGGAGATGGAAGGACACTAGTTGTACGTACAATTGACTTCCTCCTCAAAATAAAATATTTAAAGATAAACTTGTTTATTTCATATATTATGTACTTTTCAATGGTGTTCACACAAACAGGGGAACTCTGTCAACACTTTCGCATTAAATGGAACAAGCTTTCCTCTGATACATGGAAAAGATGTTTCAAGGAACTGCACAGAAAAAAGTGCCGGGTAATTCTTGTACCCCTGTCCTTTTTTGACTGCGAAATTTATGAAGGAAATAACAAGATGCTAGAGTACTGACTTGTTGCATTGCAGAAGTTGTGAACAAGGTTGCCTGGACAGTGATCTGGTGAAGGGGAAGATTGTATTATGCGATCGATACACTAGTGGAGTTTCTGAGGCCTATAAAGTTGGTGCACTGGGTTCAATTTTAACCAATTACATCAATATTGATGATGCTTCTTTTGTTCTCCCATTACCTGCGTCAACTTTAAACAACACAGAGTATAATGAGGTCATGTCCTACATGAACTCCACCAGGTATAGATTCTTTTGGATACTGATAAGGCAATTGTCTCATGATGATTATTTTCATTAAAGGATTGAATGCCTCTCTTGTAGAGATCCTCAAGCGAACATATTAAAAAGTGAAGTCATAAAAGATCTGGTTGCACCTATTGTTGCCTCCTTGTCTGCTCGTGGACCGAATCTCATTTTACCTGATATTATCAAGGTTCATGTTTCTGATCACTTACAGATATTTTACATGTTCGTAGAGATCTATAACATTTAAGCTCCTATGTGTTTCAGCCAGATATAAGTGCCCCAGGGGTAGAAATTTTGGCTGCATATTCACCTAATGCTTCTATCTCAATTCCGCAAGACATGAGGCGTGTTAAATACAACATAATGACTGGAACCTCCATGGCTTGCCCCCACGCCACTGCTGTAGCTGCATATGTTAAAACCTTCCACCCTGATTGGTCTCCTGCAGCCATCAAATCATCTATTATGACTACTGGTATGGTCTTCATAACAGATATTCCTTCAATAGTATTATTTTGAACTTTAAAAGTATGATACTACTACCAAACCTTTTCTATGCTTGTAGCTTGGCCCATGAATGAGACCAACAGCAACATTTCCAGTGGTGAATTTGCTTATGGATCCGGACATATCAATCCTGTAAAAGCAATAGACCCTGGGCTTGTGTATGAAGCGTCTAAAGAAGACTACGTAAAGTTGCTATGCATGAAATATGAAGAAAGCATGGTTAGGCTTATATCAGGAGACAACAGCAGTTGCCCTACAGGTTCTGAAAAAGGATCTCCAGTGGATCTTAATTACCCTTCAATGGGAGCTAAAGTTGCAGCAGTGGAACCTTTTACGGTAAAATTTCACAGAACAGTTAAAAATGTTGGCCTTGCAAACTCCACTTACAGGGCCATTATGTCTCCTAATGCCAAAGTTGACATCAAGGTGGTGCCAGAAGTTATTTCCTTCGCGTCCTTGAACGAGGAGAAGACTTTTGACGTAACGGTTGCTGGAAGTGGTTTGCCATATGAATTGCGAGTTTCTGCTTCACTGGTTTGGTCTGATGGTACTCATAGTGTTAGAAGTCCAATTGTTGTGTACACAGTACCTAGAATAATGAGTAAAGAGACCTAACATTTCCAAATGCGTTAGTATGCCTTTTAAAGAGGCTTCATCCAGCTTACTGGGAAGAAAATACGATGCTTAAAGATTCCTTGTCATTGCCCACTTTTAAGTTTTTTTTTTCCTTCTTGTTTTAGCATTCAACAATGGCCGAGCATGGAAATCTTCAGTTATTGTGCTTTTCCTCTTGTCTTTCTCACTACGAGCTTATTATTGTGCAAAGACACTGATGAAGAAAGAAAGTAGAATATAGAAAATGCCATTTAAATGTTGGCCTAGCAAAGTCCACTTAAATGACCAACATTTTCCCAAATTCCAGATTGATCCTTAATTTCCTTCAGTCTTTGAATGAGGAGAAAAGGTTGGATTAGTGAATGCTAATTGCTAGTTTTTAAGTTTACTAGTTGCTACTTTAATTGCAAAAGTGGATTAGACCAGGCAAGGGCAGTGAGCCCTGTCCTCTTGCACCTAAGTTCGAATCCCTCTTCCCATAGATTAGAGTAATTTAGATTGTTCGCTTGTATTAAAAAGGGTTTCTACTTTAATTGACATTAGTTTTACAATAAATTGCACTTGGGAGGGAGAAACAAAAAAAAAAAAAAAAAAAAAAAAAAAAAAATAAAATTAGGTCTGCGGCAAGCAACAATGTGTGGTACTTGCCTTGAAAACCCAGCAAGTGTTTTTTTTTTCTCCTTCAGTTCTGAAATCCAATTATACCCTTCACTCATGAGAGCTCCTCTCATCTTCGACTGTTAAGCTAAAGCCCTACGCCTAAACCCCTCTCTGTAGAACTAGGAGTAGTTTCTCATCTGCCAAACAAAGCCTTATCAATCTCATTGATCAACTCGTCTCTTTCATCATACTTCTAATGGCGACTCGTGCATTTTCAAGATCAAAGTTCGCAATTTTCTCCTCAATACTCCTTCGTGGCCTAAAAAGAACAACCACCGAAGAGACCCCACTGCTTCGAAAATTCAGAATTCCAGAATCAGAAATCGAGTCGTGGAAACCCATTTGTGGGTTTAGGCTATACCACGATGGGAGGCCGAGAGGACCGCTTTGGAGGGGCAAGAAGCTGATTGGCAAAGAAGCGCTTTATGTGATATCGGGTTTGAAGCGGTTCAAGGATGACGATGAGAAGCTTGGCAAGTTTATAAAGAACCATGTTTTGAGACTCTTGAAGATGGATTTGATTGCTGTTCTCACTGAGCTTGAGCGTCAAGAAGAGGTCAATTTGGCAATTAAGGTACTCTTTTCTGTGCTTAAATCTAGTGTCTTTTTGCATTTGCTCTTCTGGGTTGTTCTGAAATTTTCATTCTTGGGTATATAACCTGTGGTATGTAAATCCACTTAAGTATTGCTAGTTTAGAATTGTTGTGGAAAGGATCTCGGTGGGTGCTCGTTATGTGTTTGATTAAATGCCCAAAAGTAATGTGCGCTCTTGGACACCTTGAATATGCTTAGCTAATGTTTAACAGTTTAAGAAGCATTATCACTTTTCTGTTCCTGATGTAAGCCACTTCGTCAACTTAGCTTTAGTATTAGTTTTGCTGGGTTGTATTTCTGTGAGCAATGCAAGCTCGTGGTGTATGGTAAAGTTGGATTGGAGAGGGTCCTTTTTTAGGCCAATTCCATCTTTGTCATATGGTTAAATCGGCCTTAACCTTTCACCTGTAGTTATAGATGTTAAGATAGCTTTTTGGATTTGGAAATAGCTAGTAATTGTTAAATGTTGTTGAAATCTCATTCTCAAGATTACCATTTGAACAATGACTCAGAGAAGACCACATTGCCATATGAAAGTGAGAAACAAGAGTAGTTTGTGTTCACATTTTGGGTTTATTATTTCCTTCAAGCGCTCAGGTTCAACCCAAACTCTTTCCCATGCACAGATGGTGTTTTCATTTTAATTGTTTCTCAGAATACAAATTATAGCATGCTGTGGTTTGCAGACTTGTTTCTCAGAACGCATGAGAAAAAAATGGATTTAGCTCATTATTTTGAATGCAATTCCTTCTAGATTTCCACCATTGTGATTTTTGTTTCAATTGACTATTCAACTTTTGTTTAAATTGACTATTGAGTTTTATTTTTCTTTCTCCAATTTTTGATTGGGCTTACAAGCCACTCAATTAATTTTCAGGTGTTTAATGTGATTCGAAAGCAAGATTGGTACAATCCTGATGTCTATCTGTATAAAGACTTAATCATTTCATTAGCAAGATCTAAGAAAATGGATGATGTTATGCTGCTGTGGGACAGCATGAAAAAGGAGGATTTATTCCCTGATTCTCAAACATATACAGAAGTTATTAGGGGTTTTTTGAGCTCTGGTTCTCCTGCCGATGCAATGAACATATATGAAGACATGAAGAACTCTCCAGATCCACCAGAGGAGCTACCATTCCGTATTTTGTTGAAGGGGCTTCTACCACACCCCCTTTTGAGAAACAGAGTCAAGCAAGACTTTGAGGAGCTCTTTCCTGAACAGCATGTGTATGATCCTCCGGAAGAGATATTTGGTGTGCGCTGCTGAGGCTTGCAATCCGTGCTTGATGCCTTCTTTGTAGAAGAACTTAGCATGCACCACACCCATGTTATATTTAATGTCATAATCCCAATTGAAGTTTATTTGGTTCCAGGGCTTCAATTCATTTCTCACTTTATTGGAGGAGGTTGGAACGTAAAATTGCTATTCTTCTTTAGAGCATCGAAGTTCGGAGCTCTTGAAACGTAACTTGTCATGTGCTGCAAAATGTTCTTCTAGCCATGTGAACTGTTAGATCTGCCTGTGTCGCCGTTGATGAGCATGTACATTAACTGATATGAGTGAAGGTGAATTTTGTACCCTGTATATCTTGGCACAGCCAATGTCTAGGGAAGCTTAAGACGCCCTCGGGATTTTTAGGTGGCGAAACACTGTTGCTTTACCGTGCAAAGACCAAATTTAGCGAGGTAGACAATGGAATCGTGAAAGTTTAAATGCTCAAAGGACTAAATGTGCACTACAACGTAGAAATCTGATGCTCAAATAGTATGGTATAAACCGGTGGTTTAGTTTTGCCTCCAGTTTTGACTGCAAGAAACCATTTGGCCCCCAAAAAAACAGCACAAATATTTCTCAGGCCAAAGAAAATCCTGTATTATGGTTTTCGTTGCCAATGCCACCCAAAACGGTTCGGGTTTAAACTGCAAGATCTTAAATTTTCCTGTAAAAGTAGTTTGCTAAAAGATACACAATGTCCTCGCTCTTTTGCACTCAAATTCACATTCCCCTTTCTACGGTTTAGAGTAGTTTAGACTATCAACTGTATGTCTTGCACTCAAATTTACATTTCTCTTTCTGCAGTTTAGAGTAGTTTAGACTATCACCTGTATATAATTAAAAAAAAAATAAATGACTAATCAGATTTTTTTATATATGAATCCTAGGTGAACTCCACCAACTTACCAAAAGGTTAACTCCACCGACTTACCAAAAGGTGCACACATGTCTTTTGATTCTTTTATTGAAAGTAGATGCTGGAATGAGAATAATTCCTACTTCTTTCCCTTTCTATTCAAAGTAACTAAACATGTCAAAAACCACTACTCTTCTTTTGCTCTTAGTTTCAGTTACTTTTTAAATTATTATTGTAGTGTTTTTTATTCCATTTTTTTTTTAATAACTATTATTGTGTAGTTAGTAGGGGTTAATTTGTTTATGTTTAAAGAATTTATTTATTTATTTATGACTTTAGTGTTGGCTTTACAGTAGTAATAAAAAGTTGATGGATAGTGTCGCTTAATCCTGCATTGTACATTCCAAACAGTAAGGACCAAAAGCAAGGGTAAAATTTGCTGAAGAAATCCAAAGGACCTACAAGCTTTTAAATTTATAATCAAACCTATTCAATTTCAAACCAATAATTGTACCACCTTTGTCGTAAGCATCCCACTTAATCCAAAGAGAACCCACTTCAAACCAAATCCACAATCAAACAAAACTAAAATTTCATCTACAATCATGTTCACATAATTCTGCCCTTTCTATTCATCACATCTCATGCTTTTCGAATATTTTTCCTATGTCGTACGCATCTCAATTCTACGAGAAAAAAACTTCCCTGTCACCGGTTGTATACAACTAGATATTACGCATATCATTTTCTCGTTCTTCACGAGCTATGGTCCTACATTAAGGACTGGTGGGTAATAATACATTGATATCAAAAGGAAGAGAATGTTGGACCAAGCACTACTTGAAGCACATCCGACAGAGGAAACCTTATCTTTTTATCCTCTTGGTGGGATCAGAAGCTTTAACATTCATTTCTCTTTCCCTCTCACCTTGGTCTTCAACTTATATATTCCACAAAAATCAATCACACAATAGGCCATTGGCTAGGGAGATGAAGTAGAAGTCTATGTATAGGCATGAGAGCTAGAGAGAGATGAGATGAAGATACTCCAAATTATGAGTGCATTATATCAACACGGAAAATACACGGATGGTGTCTTTAGCTCAAGTGGTAAAAGAGAATTCAGAGTTACAAATTAGAATTGGGATACGTTAAAGGTTCGATACCCTTCGACATAACCATAAAATATAAAGATATGATATCAATCTATTCAATCATCCATCTACGAAAAACGTGGCACTCCCCAGTTAGTCCATGTGGAGCCCACGTGGCACTTATCCGTTATGTGTGTAGGGAAAAGATGATTGTATTGTATCAAAGCGAACAGGAATATCTGAGGAAACCGCAAGGGAAGTTCCAAATCTTTGATGGGAAAAGGAAAATAAATGTTGTTTGCATGAAATAGAAAGGGTGTGTGTTTTATATTGGTGATGGTGTCACATGGGCGGGCGCTACCTGCAGTGCCGTCTTTTGTAGAACTACCAATATAAATTTGGCTTCAGATAGTGTGTGATCTTCATCACGTGCTCTGCTTTTCTAGTTTTCTTCCTCCGCAAAATCTTATCTGCTTTGCTTTGTTTCATCAACTTGGTTTTTCTTGGGAACTGCTTTTTTGGAGAGTACTTTTGTTTGGAGTGGCCTTCTGAGTTGACTCAGAGAAAGAAGGGAAGTAGGAAAAAAAAATGGAGAGTGCTAAGAAGCAGGGCAGCGCAGCTTCCTCATTGACTGCTGATCTCTTTGGTGTCAAGGAGCCACCACCCAAGTCGTCTACTGGGATTTTTGCATCTATTTTTCCACCTCCATCTCAGGTATATCTGATTCTACTGAATTCATATTTATGCTGTCTGCTTGTTCTGCATAGCATAAGTGGCTTCTGCCAGGAAGCTGCTTTTAAAAGCAGAGAAATTGGGTGAAGATGATTTTGGCTTTTACTTGGGTTTCTTTTTGTGGTTACATATGCCGCTTATAATTTTTATGATAAACTTTTGTGAACTTTATAATAGAGAATTGAAAATTCTTTAAAAAGGAAAAGTAAATTCTTGCTCAGAAGTACCAAACGCGGGGGAAGAAAGTTATTATGGTTTGGTCAAGTTCCTTGAAGTTGCAGTGAAGTGCTTCATGTTGTGGCCAAGCGTTCCCTGCTTGTTCTTGAACCGGAGGCTGGTGACGGATTCTTTAACGGAATTCTATCGAGAAAATAGCCCAAAAAGAAAGAACAATTTGTTCCTCATAGTTCTTACATAGCAGTTTTCTTCATGGATTCTATTTGTCTAGGAAAATATAATACAACATAGAGAATAGACAAGTCTTCTGAGACTGAGATTAGTGGAAGTGGGTAGAAAGATGAGTGTCCTTGAAAATGCTTTGTGCAGTGAAGTGTCCGGATCACTTAGAAACATAGACTTTTACTTCGTTGGATTTGTCTTCCTGTATCTGACTTATTTATCCTGATTTTAGGTGGTAGGAAGGAACTCTTCAAGCTCTGAGCTGACGGAATATTGGCAAAAACAGTCCTCGGGAAATCATGCATGGAACACCAAGCAAGGTAGTCCAGGTTTGTATCAAGCTGAATTGCTAATTTAGCTTCATTATTTTTCTCTTCTTATTCTGTGTTTATGTTCACCCATGTCTCAAGGTTTCTTGACAAAGACCCTCTTTTAATTTTGATAATTTATGCTGTATTAATATAATTTCTTACAATTTACTTCTTTTCTTTTTGAAGTGGAAAATGACCATTTTGACGTATTGCTCCTAACTGAGAAGAAAGCTTGTTTAACTAGCAACCACGCTACTTTGAGTGGGGTTTAAGTTCTTAGAACTTTTTCATTTAATCAACTGCTACAACTAGCTTCCATGGTCATCAGATTCCCTGCATTCTCTACCATTATCATATGCTTCTTTTGTAATTCTCAAGAACCTCTTAAATGTTGGATACTGAAAGCTTATTGCCTCGACCTTTGCGTTTTCTTAAACAATATAGCTATAAGTAGCGAAGGTGCACGCTATAGCTTACCCAACAAGGACCGCAGTTCAGTTCTTCAGGAAGAAAGAGCAGAACCATGTTATCTAAGTTCATCTATTTACTATGGTGGGCAAGAGGTGTATTCCCAGTCCCCAAGTACCCATGCCTCTGGATCCTACCCTATAGTGAGTCTTGATAAGTTGATCATCAACATAATACATAGACTGCTGTGATATTGATAGTATCAGCATGATTAACTGATAAAAATGATGTGAGAAACTGATTCTGTTCCTTACTTACGATTGAATTAGTTCAAGAAAGATGGGGGAGATGATGATCCAAATGGAAGCAATTCGAACAGTGCTGCCCGAGGAAATTGGTGGCAAGGTATTTCTATTACAGATGACATTAATAGTAAGTTGGTAGCATATGGAGTGATGTTGTAGAGTTGATCAGTCCCTGAACTTCTGACTTGTGTTTTTGCAGGTTCGCTGTATTATTAGGACCTTTCCTTGCCTGGCCGTATGAATTCTTCATCTATTATTCAAGGTATATTCACTTTTATATCCATTTCTCCAAATGGATTGCTCTTTTTATTTTGACATCTTATTTCAATCAGAATGTCTTTTAGCATTGTGTCGGAAAGTAGCTGATGTAAGCAGACCTTATGTACTTTCATTTTGCAGGTATTCATGAGGCTTAGGTTTTTTAAGTATGGAAGAAGTGTAATATAAATAAGTGGCTGATGTGGGCATTGGTTGCAAAAAATGCTGAGCAGCAAGTGCAAAGCTTTTCTGTCGGTATGGTCAACTGTTTCTTTGGAGTTTTACCAAGAAGTTCTGAGTTTCCGAAATGTTGAGTTCTTACTACTCACCACTGGACTATGTTTCTATTGATTAAAAAAGTTTTTTTTTTTTTTTTTTTTTTTTTTTTTTTTTTTGTTTTTTTTAAATTAAAGCCGATGTCTCGCAGGCTAATGGTACGAGCTTCTTGGTCTTCTATTATGAACATATATGCTTGAAGTGACTCTGGTTTCTTTTGCAATGTGTTTTCTCATTATGATAGGTTTAGGGATTATGGTGTTTTGCTAAGAAATGCTGCCCTTGAAAGACTAATTGCATCTCCATTAGATTAGAAGTTTTCGCAGTTGCTGGTCAAGCAAAACTCAAACTTTTTTTTTACTTCAAGAGAGTAAGAGGATACATGGAATTTGAGCAGAGAACAAAAAAAATGTCATAAAGAACCTGCACACTAGCTATCCTTGGCCAATCAGCCAATTTAATGCATATGGAAATTGTCAAAGATACTTACAGCTTCAATACAGAATGGATCTTCAGCCCTGTCTGGCCTTTTCTCCATATGGTGGTTTTTTGTTAGAACAGCTTGATTCTAACGCTGAAAATCCAGTGACAAGCCTCTAGTTCATCTTCAAGAAAAGTTTTCTACACTAGCTGGTTTTCTGAACATTCACAATGTTGTAGTCTGATGCCATAATCATCCTTGGGGACTAGAGATATATGAATGATCTGCTAATTAAGTTAGGCCCCGTTTGGGATTACTTTTTTTGGCCAAAAACCTGCTTCACTTTAAATTTAAGCAGTTTAAAGTGTTTGGTAAAAATAAAATATCTCCGATTATTTTAAAAGCAATGGCTTTTTGACAGCAGCTTTTAAAAGCAGGCTCTGGGTTGCTTTTCAAAGCTGCTTTCAAAAGAAGCAGAGATGAACTTTTAGTGAATTTTTTTAATTCCCAAAATACCATCATTCATTTTAAAAAATGACAACACCTCCACTTCCACATCCAACTCCACCACTTGCATCACCACATTCACTACCACCACCACCACCACCACCACCACCACCTCCATAATCGCCATCCCCACTACCACTACCACAACTACCACAACCACAAACTCCACCTTCATCACCACCACTACCACTACCACCACTACCACAACCACAAACTCCACCTTCATCACAACCACTACCTCCACTCCATCACTACCACTACCACCACATGATTAGTACATAACACTTACATCATGTCTATTTTAGTCATTATTCACAGTTACAACAATTTTATATTAAAATTTACCAAACGGTTTTGACACTGTTTTTTGTACTAACATCACTTTAAAAATATTGTTTACCAAACATGGAACTGCTTTACTTTACAGCTAATTATTTTCAAAGCACAACATAATCAAATTTTTTTTAAAAGTGATAGCAATCTCAAACTGGGCCTTAGTGTCATGGAATCTGATATTGACAATAGTTGTCCCCTCTATTCTCATCATTGGATATGCAAAGGAAAAGCCTTTCATAAGCAGCAGCCATTTTGGTAGCAGTGAACAATTGCAAACCTCTCTGCCTTGCTGCCTGGCCTTTCTGCTTTAAGTCTCCTCTGCCATCTTTCCAAACTCTATAGAGGGTCGTCTTTAGTGAAGTTATTGTTGGTGAAAATGTATATCCCACTTCTGTGCCAACAACCACAGAACCTGTAATGCTGGCAAGCCTTGTTGCCATTACTGGCTTCCCGGAGAGCATTGCTTCTAACAAAGTATGATCCAATCCCTGAGCGCGTAGAGTCGGGTTCACAAAAATATCAACTGCGTTATAGAACTCAGCAAGCTGAGCTTGTTCCAGTGGGCCCAAAACAAGTACATTAGTTCCAAGATCTCTGTACCTAGCACCCCAAGGACCATTACCAGCAACCAGAACCACAATACTTTGCCGAAATGCTTCATTTTCCTTGAGCATTTGTTTCAAAGCCTCAAACATCAAGGGGTGCCCTTTGTCCCTTACCAATCTTCCAGCCATTCCCAAAACCAGCGTCCTGGATTCAGGTACCCCAAATTTTTTCTTGAAGTCATTCCCCTTGGCAATGTCTGGCTTGAAAATATCCTCATCGACACCATTAAGAATAATGTGAACACGATCATCCGGGAGCATGTAAATCCTCTTGAGTACATCTCCAACATGGTCACTGGTAGCAACATGGTGAGCATAACTGGGGAAAAACCTCACCTCTTCAATAACTTTCTTGATTTTTTCAGTCAATGCAGATCCCTGTGGTTCTTCGGGGCTGCGCAAAAGTTCTTGTATGATGTCAGAATGGATAGTCTCATATGCAATCCCATGCCAAGTAACAGCCAGGTTTGTCTGGTTACGCGATAGAGTATGCGAGAGGCCGACACTTTCAGTATGGATCACATCAAAAGGCCTTCCTGTTGAGTTTTGAGTTTGAAACAGCTTCCAAACCAGAGCTTGGTCCAGATACCCAGCAGCAGTTGGTTTTGAGAGGTGAAAATACAAATTGCTTATTGGGTACCTTGGGAAGGAGGAATTTGAAGAAGAAGTGGTAAAGATGTGAAGCTCATGACCCTTTTTGGCAAGTGCAAGGTGGAGGGTCAAGGCATGCCTTTCAAGCCCTCCTGCTTCAGATCTATGAGGCCATTTCCTGACAAACAGAGCAATTTTAAGAAGCTTCGGAGGCGGTTTTGAGGAAAAAGCAAGCTGATTCCATGCAGAAGGGAATGCAAGGAGGTCATTGATTTGGTTTTGCTTCAGCTCCATTTTTTGGTATAGAGAGTAGCCTGGACCATAGTAATGGCGCCAGTAAATGAATGAGATAAATGACCACACACAGAACACCGAGATGATGCAGCAAAGACGGTGAAAGTTCAACACAGTAACTGAATCCTTCGCCATTGAAGAAGTATACCAAAGTAAAATTTGCAACCATACAAAGTGTACAACAACAGCAAAAAGAAAGAACAAATCTTTGAGAACTCTTTTCCTCTGTTTCTGATTCAAATGGCATCTGCACATGGCCACCTACAAGACTAAATGTACAAGAGAAGCAGATCCTATACAAATTGGCAATCTCGATAGATTATTTATGAAGAAATACGAACCTTGTCACAGAAGCAACATCCATTGACTTCATAAATTCATTTTGGTCTACCCGACAACCCAAATTTCAAGCCTTAATAAATTCATATATGAACAATTTGTCTCTACAGATAAAAATATAAATTCAACTTCCCTTTTCATGGATTTATACTTTTCTATCGAGTAAAAGCGTGTAGCACAAGAAACACATAGATGACGAGGGCCATAGGAACCAAAGTCACCAGAGGACCAATTGCAGCCAAAGTGTAGAAATTCCCACAACCCAACCTCCCCAATTTGATCTGAACCAAGTCCACCAGAGCCATCATCAAAAACCCACACCCCAAAACCGACCCGAAAGCCGAAACCAACGTCCCGACCCGCAAAGCGACCCGGTTCAAATGACCCATGTTGGTGCCACGGACGTGGTACCCGTGGCCACCGTCGTGGCCGGCGGCTCGGCTGATCTTGATGGCTTGCTTGAGAGCGAGGGCGACGAGGCTGGAGAAGAGGAAGGAGCTGAAGGAGTACACGTGGAAAGCAATGAGACCCTCGGCTGAGTCGGCCCCGGCGGCGCAAGCCTTGTCGGAGCCGATAAGCATGGAGGCGGGGTCGGTGGTGGGGTACCAATTGAGGCCGACGAAGATCGCGAAGGAGAAGAGTGAATTGACGTTAACGATGCCGTCTAAGGCCATTATGTGTATGCGCGTCGTGGGCGTTAGACGGCGTGAGACGTCGGACATTTCCGTTTTCGCGGTTTTTGCGGAGGCGGCGGCGGCGGCGGCGGAAATGAAAACGGAGAAATCATGTTTTTTGTAATGTTTTCTCCGTTTTTGAAGAAATAATGGGACGTTGGGTTGTTTTGTTTTGTAGCGATATAATGGAAAACGTGGCTTTGAAGCTTGAAATTGGAACCGAGAGTAGCGTGTGTTTTCTCTTTTCTGGGGTAACGTATTTTTTCAGACAAGGAACGAAGGAAGGCGATGAAGCAAAGCCAAAGACGTGAGAGTGGTTGGGGAAAAAAAGGTTTGAAAAAAGCATAAAATTACGCCGTTGCCGGGGATCGAACCCGGGTCACCCGCGTGACAGGCGGGAATACTTACCACTATACTACAACGACTTGTTGATTATTTATCAACTTCAGTTTAATTTAACAGTACGATTGGAAGAGAAATCAAGACTTTTTATCTACCTTATAATAGATGGCTCTCATTTCTATTAAAAACATGGTGCTAAAATAAATTATGTCTAGCATTTTTTGTTATAATTGTATCCATTGAACTAGGAGGAATTTACAGTATTTCAGAAGTACATTTTTTGACTTTTTTTTGGGGTTACTTTTTTCTGGGTTTTGATACATTGCTTTTCGGTACATCTTAATGTAGTAATCTTATCCTTTTTGCTGGGGCTAGTTAGGCCCAAGCAATGACATCATTTTCCTAATGTTATACGGCTAACTTTTTATAAGATTTAGGTGTCACGCTTGGAAGATTAAATTGATGAGTTTGAATTAAATGAGATAGAGACCCATCATCATTATCTTGATTCAAAAAAGTTGTTAACTAACGTGACTTTTTTTAAATGTTAAGGATGTCCATACGGTAAGAAAAGTGCTCACATTCTTTTTTGAGTATATTTCAACGATTGGGACCGCCTATACTTGAGATCATCATTCAAGAATGAAGAATGTCCATACCAAAAAAAAAAAAAAAAAAAAAAAAAAAAAAAAAACAAATGTCATTTAAAAAAAAAAATGCGAAAAAAAAATTAGTGTTAAGTGAAAAAGAAGCGAAAATGTGGATAATCGTTAAACAATTTCCAATTAAGCGAAAGGTTTTGCATGAGTAATTCTTAAAAAAAGGAACTTTATTATTGATTTGAACGATTGTCCTTATTGCACTTCATCAACAGATGGACACAAATAAACTTATTGAATACATCCTTGGAATTTTGCATATAAAATTAACATGTAGATGTAGCGGTACCACTACCACACTCAACCGCCCTCATATCCATCACATTGATCACAAGTCTCAATCTGACTGATCTAAGCTGAAAGAAACACAACACAAGCTATGTTTATTGTCCAATATTTCTTAATTAATTAAGCACTGTGATCCTTGACAATGGTGACGGCGCAGGTTGCATTTGCCATAACGTAGCTGGACACACTTCCCAGCAGCACCCTAAATTCAACAAAGCACCAATACTTAATACTAACCATATCATTGAGGGTTTGAAATTGATGTATTGGCTGTAAATATACCTTTGGATGGTACCAAGGCCCCTGCTTCCAAGGACCAAGCAGTCAAGCTTTAGATCTTCGACTGCCCCACAAAGTTTCTCTCTCGCATCACCCCAGTAAAGCTTTGACACCACCGTCACCTAGAATCAATTCACACAAATTCAGTATACAAAACGTACTAAAATGTTCTCTCGTCAAACAGTCTGATAAGTTATCGTGTCAAATTATCATCAATCAAAATCGCTGACCGATTGACAGTCTGATAACATACATGTTTCTGCCTGTGTGCAGTGTCAAGCAAGTCCAAGACCTCCGGATCGACCTCGACTTCATAGTTCTCCATCACCGCTTTTTGACGGAACTCCGCCAATGGAATCAGAGCTGCATACATACACATTCCAAGCTGAAAAAATCCAAACACATCATCCAGAACATATAATAAAGCTTAGTAAATTAATAAGATGATGTATAAGTAAAGTACGTGATCCGGTGGTGGACCAAAGAAGGTTGCGGCTCTCATCGCCCTGAGAGGGCTTGACATGGATAGCATACAAGGTGTCACCCTTTTCATGAGCCAGATTATCGATAGCCCATTTCAGAGCAATCTTGCTTCCCCTTGAGAAATCGACGGCCACCCCTATGTTTCTATCTCTTGTCATCTCGATGAATTATAAAAGTAGAAAATAAAAAACAAGTGCTCTTAGCCCTGAGGAATATGATAGAAGAAGCTAGGAGATAGATCTGAGCGTTGAACTTTCGGTGGGGCTTTGAATTTTATTTAAAGTCACGGGTTTTTTTTATTTTTTTATTTATGACATAATGATCTGCTATTCTCTGGTTTAGGACTGGTTGGTGGTGCGGAAATACTCACTCTTACATAATGATATATATATATATATATATATATATATGTGATTGATCTCCTCCCTAACGAAAGATTAGAGAGGGACGAGTCCAAAGGTTGAATATTGAGTGAGACATCTCAACAAACAGTCCACTGGCTGAACAAATTATACAATTGATGGACAGAAGAAGTATCCTTCTTGCTCTTTTCTACACTAGCTTGATATATTCTTCCCAAGTGTTCTCTTTCAACACTGCACTCTATAAGTTGCAAACTATTAGAAAAACTCTTTCATTTGCGACCGTAACATTGTGGCGTAATGTCAAAGATAAATTACCTTAAACATTTATGGTTATGATTATTAACAAATGTAAAAAATTCTATAAGAGGTTAAAATATTGATTAGTCTTTGTACGGATACTTGGGTGCTCGGTAATAACAAAAACTTTTAGAATTTGAACATTTAAGTGTACTCCCTAAACTTTAGAATTTGAAATTTATAAAAGACATTGAACTACAACCAACGTCCAAGTCTACTCCCTAACCTTATGTATACTGAATTGAAATAATATAATATGTAGCATAAATTAATAAACTTGTTTTTTTGGTTTACACATATTATGAATTAAGTTAATATTTTTAATGTTGTCTAAAAATTTGAAATAAAAAAAATATAATTTTTTTAAGTGTCCGGCTTGTCTAGGCTCATGGGTGGCCAGCCCCACCGAACACGGTTAGGTCCGACTTAATGTGATGGCTTGAATTTTTGCATTTCAAACTTTAGTCCGGCCCGAAATTTAAAATACAAATTTATAAATAAACCCAATCCTAGACATGTATTTATAAAAAAACCTAAGCACTATTTAAACATAGAAACACACCCAAAATCAACCCCAAAGTCAACTTTTTGGGTGTGTTTATAAATGGGTTTTGAGTGTGTGTAATGATGGGTTTTGGGTGTGTTTATATGTTTAAATAGTGCTTGGGTTTTTTTATAATTTCAACCCCCATTTTGGGTGTTTTAGTGAAACTCTCAATTTAAAAAACCTATGAAACCCGACATGAGTCCAAAATGTTCAGCCCAGCCCGACCTTCGGTCCAATGACGAACCCTACCTAGAAAGCACCATGGTTTCGTAGTGACACCAAAAGGTAAAGGGAGAACTTTCGGCCTTGGTCACGAGAGAGCCCGACCTGAGGAACTTATTGGGCTATACATGCAACCTTTGATAGAATGAAAGCTGGACCTATTACATTATATTTCTGCTGCGAATATATGGAGCTTTAAAATACTTTATAGGTGTAGCCCAAGTGGGGCATAACCTGCAGAAATCGTTGACAAAATCGCCAAATTTAAAACGAGATTCAGAATCGTATATGCACCAGAAGAAGTGGGCTACTTTCAAAGATCCAGCTACTCCACGTTGATATGTACTTGACAACATTTATTTTTCCTTATTTATTCTCTACATTGTTGAGAGGCTGTTGTCGGTCGTGTGCATGGCAACCAACAAAAATTAAACACAGAAAGAAAAACAATGAAAAGAATGTCACGGTGGCCAAATAGTCAACACTGAACCGCATCAACCCTCAACCATATTGGTGGTCATGACACATTGACACGACCTAACCCTAACCATTTGTGACTACATTATCTTTTGAAAACATACCATTAAACAACTGATAATACTTGATGCATAAGCAAATTCGTAAAATTTTACCAAACTTATTTACCAAAAATAGTTCAGCATACATTTTCTTAAAATCATAAGCACAAATAATCTTATTGGGACGAAACGTGTGATGCGATTTTATAATCTAGTCGTTCATTTTTCAAGTTTTCTTTCAAAGGTCATTTGTGAAAGAAGAAGAAAAAAACTATCAAAATCAAATCATACGACAAAATTGTTTGTTATTCAAACATAATTAGACGATTACAACGAATTTACTTTGTTTGGTCTACTTATTCGATCACAATTAGATAATTACATTTTCGTTTGTAGGGACTTTCATGATTGGATGAAAGAAAATTTACATGATTGATTGAAATAAAATTTCCATGATTCAAGGAAATAAAATTCTCATGAACAATTTGACAAAGGCACAATACATGAAAAGCTTATCTACGTTTAACGGTGGTTCGGTGGGATGTAGATAGATAGAGGGCACCGCAAATCCATCTCACGATTGGAAGGACGGAGGATCGCACAGCTGGACAAAACGGTCCAACTACCGATGCCCAACCCTTCTGAAACACAACATACCAAACAATGTAACTACAGCTACTACTATATCATACGTGACACTGGACCCACTTAATTACCTACTGGGTCCCACCCAAGTCCTCTTTAAAACACACACTTTTGACCCCTCTTCCAGCTTTCTTGAGCTGCTTCTGATCGTATAAATCACATATTCTCTTATCAAATCAAACCCATCTCACCTCTCTCTCTCTCTCTCTCTCTCTCTCTCTCCTCTGCTAATAGTTATTAAGAAAGTTAATTACTATGGTGGATTTTGAGTGCTCCTCCTCCAAATCCAACTACAAGGACTGGGATTTTAAAGCAGCTGCCAAAGGGTTCATTGGGTCATCAGATTTTAGCTCTTCTTCTTCATCTTCTGTGCTTGAGGATGAGCTCGTTTCCTCCGAGTCAGCTGAGACCACTGATGAGGAAGACGATTACATTGCTGAGTTGACTCGCCAGATGACTCACTACATGCTTCAAGATGACCATGACAAAGCCAATATTAGCTCTCAGAAAAACCAAGAGGTACGTATAAAAACAGTTAGCCTGTACTCGAGGTCCTGTGTTTGAATCTCTCTTTTTCAATATCGATCTATAAGACTAATTAATTAACCGAAGTTTATATAAACTACAACTATGTTTTACTAATTTTTGTTTTTTCAGTTATTGGGTTCTGTTGGTTGGCCACAGTACTCAACACTGTGGTCACCTTTGGGTTCGAGCTATGGTAGCCCAGAAGGCCCATCTCTGGAACCAACGCCACCAGCTACACCGGTCAAAAACCACGCTTGGAATAGCTGCACATACGCTGACGTTTTGAAGAAGTTGGACAAATTAGATAAAACCAACCAAGGGTTAAATTCTCCTCAGGGAGCAACCAAAGTAGCTGAGAACTCAGGTGCTGGATCTTGCTCAAAGCAAGGTCTAACTTTTGATCAAAGCCACGATTTTCAGGTAATAAGTTAAATCTAACTTTTAGGTAATATTTGATACTGTTTATAAGTTTAAAGACTTGTAACGGATACTAATTTACAGTACATGATACATTCTCAATATAAATATGTTTATAAGTAATAGATCGGTAGCAAATATACGATACATAATATACAGTATATGATGCATTGTTGATATTTTATAGTAAATCTTACTCAAACATTTCCTACTTTGGTCAGAAACTTGAGGCCTATCATAGGCTAAAGCAAGAGAAAATTTCAAGCAAACAAGGGTCAAGTAGTAGAGGAAGGCAAGCCAATATTGGTAATCAACAATTTGAGCCTGCTAACTATAAGCACCAGAACAAAGGAGGAGCTTGTGGAAGGCCAAGGTCTCCTACACAATTTGGAGTGCCAGCAGCTTCAAACCCATGGATGAGCCAGCAGGCAAGTCCGGCCATGAGGGCCGTTTTCCTTGGTGGGTCTGGTTCGAAAACCAGGTCGTCTTGTGGGACTGGTGTCTTTTTGCCTTGTGTTACTGGTAACGCATCACAATCACCCAAGAAAAAAGGTACACATAATTAATCAAAGCCTTAATTTGTTAAAACTTAATTGTGGTTTCTTAGTCGTTGGAGTGGTTGGGTTTGAAGTGGAATATCACCTATCCCATGTTAGAAATGAAGATATTTAATCAATGGGATTGATTATGTGTTGCATCTTTTGGTTTGACCTTGGATCTAATGAAGAATTGGGGTTCTTTCATTCTTAAGATTCCTTTTGGCCCCCAATCTCAAATTCTGTAGTGGCCAAAATTGTTGCTCGCTAGTGACTGGTGTGAAATCGAATCTTTCTTTCCTCTCTGGTCCACTTGCTCAGGGTTTGGCCAAAATTGATTCTGTTTTATTTATTTATCCTTTCAAAATTGAGTTCAAAATAATTGAGCAACTTCTTTTTAGGTAATTGAGATATTCTCACACAATTTCACATGTTATATTATCAAATCGTCGATGGTAGTTTTGTTTAAATATAACGGCATAATATGTAAAGATTTGTGAATTACACAAGAATGATCATGATATATGGTAACATTTCGGCTCTTTTCTTGTCTACAGGATGTTCCTCTGTTCTTATACCCGCTAAGGTAGTGCAAGCCTTGAAAGTTCACTTCGACCGAGTTGGTGAGCTACCCCGACCCAACGCTACCGGCTTCTCTATACAAAATGGTACATTTTTCAACATAAAAATATATTACAACTTGTAGAACATATCATTCGATTGTCACTCTTGATACGATAAAATCTTGTTAAATGTACGGTTCAGATTGACGAAGTTTGTGCATGAATTTCAGGCCTCTAACTTATTTTTCTTTCTTCTTTCGTTGAAGATGGTTTTAACAAGGGTGGTAGGGCAAGCATGCAATCAACTAAAAAACGTAACTCACGGGGGGTGCCAGAGATGAACCATAATGAGATGGGTCTGCCTCAAGAATGGACATATTGACACGGCTTTGGCACATGCTACGCCTCAATATTCACCACCCATCATCGATGTTGCTAATTAAGCTCTCGTTTTCAACTACAGTCTACAGAGGTGTGTGTTTTGGCATTTTGTTCTTAGAAAAGAAGAAAAGAAGAAAAGGCTCCAAGAAAAAGAATAAAGAGAAAACTGACAGCAGATGTCGTCGGTCAATTAGATTAGGGAATCTAAATATAGATAGTTTAGGACAAAACATACAGATTCAAGAATATTATCTTCTTTTCTTTCTTTCTTTTTTTTTTTCATCTTTTTTCAAATAAACAATAAGTTTCAATTGCCTGATATGGACGCAACAGGCTGGTCTTTGTTTGGTTAATGCAAAGCACTGCGTACCAATTCTGCTTTCATCATGTAATTAATATTTTTACTTTCATGGGGATTCTTTAGTTCACTAAAGAATTGGTTTTCTTCAGAAAGAGTTAAAGCAAATTTTGGTTCCGATGGAACTTAGGACCTCAAATACGAGGATAAATGTTCTTAATTACTTGAGTTACAAATTTCTTGTCAATATCAATTTATTAAGTAAAACTCAAACGCAATAGATTATTATCAAGTAAGTTAGTACGCATACGCGTATTATATTATCAAACTTATATAACTATTATCACATAAGTTGGTATTTGTTGGGTGTATTATATTATCAAACCGTGGATCTGAATCACTAATTTAAGTAAAACTTAATTAATGATTGATGGAGATGACAACTATGAAGAAATGACGCGTGGATATTGATAGTGGGCCTTTTAACCTAATCACCCTTTTTAGCCCACGCAATACAAAAAGAGCCACAGTTTGGTGCAGTCACATAGACCATACACGTTTTGGTTTGACAAGTTTGCTGAGGGCAATTGATTGGTACTTTTGCTTCTTTCGTACACGTTGAGTTGCAAAGTTTTAATACATAATAATGTTCAAAGAAGTTGCCCCAAACTATCAACTTGGTCATTATATATTGATAAAATATGAGCTTGAGATAACAGCTTTTACATTTTATTATGGAAGATGATAATAAATTACAAGGTTAAAAAAAGATTTCATACCTAAGATATTCATTGACCTACAATAAAACAACTGTAATTTTAAATAATAACTACTTAATATGAGCAAATGACTAATTATTGTAGTGAGTTGGAGCAATTGTTCTTTTAGTCAAGCTCTTGGGTTCGAGTCCTAACATCCGTGTAGTGTGTATAAGTTTAGTATATTATCGCTTATCTCAATAGGAAAAGTCCTATAAAAAAACAAATATAAAAAACTAGTTAACATGGTGTTTCTAAAGCTACACGACAAATAAAATAAAAGCAAAGTGACAATGTCAAGTGACCTGCTGAATTAAATATCATTCTCGCAAGAGATCATAATGTGAAAATCAAATATTTTTCTAAGATTGTTAAGTTTCAGAGTTCATATATATATATATTATGAAGACTATGATTTATATAAAATTAATACAAATTTATAAATAAACTCAATCCTAGACATGTATTTAAAAAAAAAACTCAAACACTATTTAAACATAGAAACACACCCAAAATCAACAATTGTATATTTTTTGGGTGTGTTTATAAATGAGTTTTGAGTGTGTGTAATGATGGGTTTTGGGTGTGTTTATAAAGTGTTTTGGGTGTTGAGTTTTTTTATAATTTCAACCCCCATTTTGGGTGTTTTAGTGAAACTCCCTAAAATTAAACCAACTTTTATGGTTTAGCTAGTAGCTTTCATGAGAAGGAAAACATTCCTTGTGAATAAATGAAAGCAAATGTATCCATCTTGACGTCTAAAGACTTTTTTCTTTCTTTCTATTTTTTTAAATACAAGTGATAGTTTAAATTATAAGAGGAAATAGAGGTTTCTCATACACACACTATCAAGGTATCATGTGGGTTCCAACCTAAGACCACTGGTATACAAGTTATAGTTCTTTTTCATTAAGCTAGACCATTGGCAAAGACTTTTTATTTTAATTTTAATACAAGTAATAGTCTAAATTACTCTAAATTTATCTAGTCTACGGAAAGAGGAATTCAAACTTGAGTGCAAAGGGACGGGCTCACTACCATGGCAAACTCGGTTAACCCACATCTGCATGCAAAGACATTAAAAGTGAAAATAATAATACAAAATGATAAACACTACCCAATTTGTTATTACTAAATTTCACAACTACCTTACCATCATTAGTCTGTGAGTCGAGTTGATCAAATAAGAACTCTGATGCTAAACATGTTATTTGTCTTAAATTGGCAAAGCAAAATGGCACGAAATTACAAATATTAATTTCTTAATTAATGATTATTTAAAGTAGGTCTACAACTTAATAATAGGTCTACATGTACAATCACTTTGATGTAAAATAACAAGAAACTTCTAGGTTCACTTTTTCTATATCATATATGTTTGGCTCTCCCAAGGGGCTACCTACTTAGTTACAGATGACAATTAGTTTATAATTAACTCATTCCTTTTACCAGAAGATGCATATATTTTATCTTAATGATAGTAATATCCTGTGAGTTAGGTAACTGTAACTATCGTTTGTTGAAGCTGTCAATGCAATGCATTATATATGGTTTTTACTTTTTACCAAACCATCAGAAAAAGACAAATTGACCGAAAAAGTTGAAAAGGATACAGAAGTTATAGCAGCATATTAATCTTAATGCTGGTGTGTTGTGCGTGGAGATTTGAGTGTCTCTTTTACGCTTACAAAAGCTATGCATAGCTCACGAGTAGCTAAATGTAAATTCCAGAAAGCTTTGAATAAATAAATAAATAATTGAAAAATAAAAGAAATTGCAACTGAATTCATATTAACTTTTTGGACCGACACCCTACAACTGGAGATATATCACCTTTGTCTACAACATTAATCACGTGAAGAGTATTGTAGACACACCAAAATATACCGTGACACGATAGATTTTCTCCTAGTAACCACCCCTACCCCTGTGTGAACTGCAAATGATCATTTGCACAATGACGGAGCTAGGATTCTTAGTATGGAGGGCCAAAATTTTAAAATCACTTTTATTTAAGTTTTTCATCTTCAATTGAGAGGGCCATCACTAATCTAATTACAGTAATTGTATTGCTATGTCATATATTTTATAATATATTACAAGAGATAAAAAATTAAATTTGGGGGGGGGGGGGGGGGGGAGGGCGCCAGGGGAGCCAGGGCCTTGCTGTGGCTCCGCCCTGTTTGCATACACACAATATGATTTATTTTCATGTCAACTTTTAAAAGAAAACGTCCATTATTAGAAGTGTATGTTAAATATCCAAAATGCAAATCTGAATTTTGTAGAAATCACCATCAACATTCATCTTATTTGATTGGTTTTTTTGTTTTATATAAAATCTTTCAAATAAGACAAAACAATAGCCAAATATCCCCCCAAATGCTGATGCCATTGCTACGTAAAAATTTAATTTTGGTAAAGAGACCTTCCGATTAGAGTCATCGATCTGCATTTGATTCAAATTGCTCAAATCACCATCAGAGAATCAAAACGCATTGCAACTTGCATTTGATAAAAAATTGTGTTTATTTCCATTACGACTTATAAAATTAAATTCTAATTTTGTCGTTATTCAAATTTTTTTAATCTTTTTTTAATACAAGCGATAGTTTAAATTACAAGAAAGAAGAGTTTTACACTCTCACCACTCTTCTGCTAAACCCCATTGGCATTCGAATTCCTTTTTTTATATCTACCTCTAATATCTCATTTTCCATCTCTTTCTGTCATTTCGCTCCTCATTTGTTTAATTGATTTTCACCATAAGTAACAAAAAATCCCATGCATAAATGATCCCTTTGACGTACGTGCTCATCGGACTGCCAGTGCCAATCATTTTAAAACAACTTGGGGCACTAGTTATACCAAATTAATATATATATCCAGACTTCGGAAGCAATTGTGGTTGACACGTTACGTTACTGCAGGGAGAGGGATAAGTTAATTTCTTAATTCCAATCCCCAAACCCTCACGTAACGTGAGGTGGACAACTAAGTGCGGGAGGGAATTAATGGGTCAGTAAAAGAGTGCCCCTGAGGTTTTGGGTGTTTCATTAAGGTTTCGGAAATTACACTATCTTCTCATGTTTTAAATTGCTTTCACAAAGCTCTTTCAGTTAATTTTCTACCTAAAAATTTTCGATGTCATCAAAAAAATTTACCTTACCCTTGAAGTTAATTTTTTATTTGAATAATTTTTTTAAAATGAAATCACCAATTTTTTGGACGGAAAATAATTTTAAATCTCACGGAGTGTGTTAGTTTAATTTTTAAAACATGAAGGTGTTTTGTGAAAACATCACAACTCTAAACCCTAAACCCTTGAACTATATCCTAAATCTGCTCCAAAAAAAAAACCATTATTTTTAGATCCACAAACCCTGACGAGGCAAGGCCTGCTGTTGTTGCAACAAACCTAAGTGCCTGACCCATTACCCAAACCTGTAAAAATAATTTTAAAATATTTTTTAGAAAATCCACCATAGCCAAGCCCATTTAGAAAAATACTGTAGCATAGCCCAATTAGAAAAAGTATTGCAGCCCAATCAATTCACTAAATAAATAAATAAATATAGTGATCGATTGAATTTGATTAAATAGTCCAAACCTAGTATCAGGCTCTTGGTGTGCTCCCAAGTAGCCATAGGTTCAAGACTCCGTGGTACCCGTGTGTGTGAATTTTCCCCTTATTCCTTCCTTCCTTTGGCAACAAAAGAAAAGTCCAAACCCTAGTGCTTGATGCTACTTCACTGTTTTTTGTGTTATGCATTTTATCTTTTAATATGAGTTATATATATATATATATATATATATATATATAACTCAAGTGGTTAGGAAATTTACTTTCGAGTTATCTATTGTAGACGTCCCTGAACTTGGCCTCTAATTGCAATTGGGTCTGTGAACTTTTTTTGGTGCCAATTACATCATTTAACTGGACAAACAGTTGCAATTAAGTCTTGCCATCCAAAGATGTCAATTTGTCTGTCAAAATGAGGGGTAAAAGTGTCCTTTCGAGTTTGAAGACTCTCATTTCTTTCCTTTTTTCTTTCAGTCAAACCTTTGCCAATATCGGTGATGCCCCTTAAAGCTACCATCTACAATCAACAACAACAACAACAACAAAACGAGAGAGAGAGAGAGAGAGAGAGAGAGAGAGAGAGGAGAGGAGAGAGAGAGAGAGAGAGAGAGAGAGAGAGAGCCTACTTGTGATGCCCACGACCTGGGTGAGGAGGAAGGATGATCTAATCTTCCCTAAAAAAAGGCACCCCCGTCTCATCTTCCCCAACCCTTATCCCAACCTTCCCTTCCCTATACCCACCTCAGATGCTCAGCGGCAGCAGAAACCCTTGCACCATGTCCCACCCGATGATTGCCACAGCGACAGCGACTCCTCGTCCTCCGTCGTTGACGACGGCAATGATTGTGTCATAATGTCGTCGTTTCAGAGTCTCTCCTTTGCCGTTCGATCTCAACCTGCCGCTGCCCTCGATGATGGATGACCTCGATTTATTCAAATTCAGTGAGGTTTGTGGTGATGATCATTCAATCCACCCCTTTATGCCTCTAATTACCGCATGAATCTCAATAATGCTCCCCTTTTTATTTTTTATTTTTTATTTTTAAAATTTTAAATTTTGCCCTTATTTTCTAAGGAAAATTATTTTTTTTTTAAAAAGAAAAAAAAGGAAGAAGAAGGAAATCTGGTACTTGGTGGTTGAGAAGAAGAATTTGAGTTTTTTCTTTTTTGTTTCTTTTGGTGTAGAAATAGTATCTAGGTTTTCATCTTCAACTTGATGGGTTTTTATTCCCCCTTTCTCCAGCGCTGAATTGGATTTTGTTTCGTTCAAAACGACGAAAACTTAAATATTCCCCCTCATAACAAGAGCACGTGCCATTCACACGGTCAAACTCGACGGATTCTGTTACAGCAGGACTTAATTGCAACTGTTTGTCTAGTTAAAGGATGTAATTGGCATGAAAAAAAAGTTCCCGGACCCAATTGCAACTGGGGGCAAAGTTCAGGGACGTCTACAGTAGATAACCCTTTACTTTTTGTAGTGGGTACTTCAATTATGCTTAAAGGAACTAAAAGCTTTTACACTGTACAATACGATTTATGATCTATGGTACTAAATGACAGAGATGGGACTCTATCATACCTAGTAACTCCTAGGATGAATATCATTTCTAACGTGTGAAGCTATTATCAGACTTCTTTTTGGGTTGCAAAAAAGAGAGAAGATGAGAATAGAATCAAGGGTTACAAAAATGGTTTAAGCAAAAAAGGTTAAGAAAAGGGTTACTCAATAGAATCAATCACCTCGAAAGCGATACCAAGGAAGGGTGGTTTTCTTACACGTCATCAAGAGACTATGGAGTTCCGAACCTTAAACCACTAGTCTGCAACTGCAAGTTAATGCTCATCTCAAATACATTCAATTTAATGTGATTCTTGTGTTTTAGCAAATTTAAGTTTATTGTCAAATTCATATCCTTTCTTTCAAATCCCTCCATCCAAACCAAATTATCAATGAAAAACGTAAACGGGGCAAGTTAAGTCATGATCTTATGGCATAAATCTTTTTCTTAAAACCCTAGCCGCTCTCTCCCTCTGTGAGTCCTAAAGGAAAACTCCATAGAGGGGGGAGGAGGAAGAAGCGTCACTGCCCCTCCTCCCCCTCTTATTTTCTCGTCTTTTCCTTTTTGGTTAGTGAATAAGTCCACTGAGGCATTTTGAATAAAAAGTCCTTTGTGGTGGTTTCTTCTGAGCCATGGTTAGATTGAAGTTCCCCATAATCACTTTTAGTCTATGTTCTGAATCAAATCTTGCTTCCAAAATCCGCTCCCTAATGCCGTTCATGTTCTCTAAATTTGATTATACATCATCTTTGACGGAGATTGTTGCAAATCGCCCAATTGTGCTTTGGCAAGATTGTTGTTTTCATTTATTTTTTCGCTCTTATGCACAGGAAGATCGCCGAAAATCATATTTTCCCCAGATCTATTATGGATGCGGTGGTGGGTGTGGTCGCGACGGTGCTTCTTCATGTGGTGGTGATAGGGTTCGTCTAGGCTCATGGGTTACTTTAGGGTTTTGGTTATGTTGGGTTTGTGGGCTTTGTTTGAGCTTATGGTTAATTGTAGTGATGTGGGCTAGTAGTTTTAATGTAGCTTTTGTCCGTGTTAGTTTTGCTTTTAGCATGTTAGTTTGTTGCCCTATTGGGATTGGTATTTTAGATTTTAAAAGATTTTAAAGATGTTTAAAAGTTTAGGTGTATTCAATCATGATTTTATAGAAGTTTATTCAATTATGGGTGTATTCAATTCAGACTTTTTAAACTTCATTCAAATTTGGATGTATTCAATCACGACTTTAAAAGACTTCATAAAAGTTTGGGTGTATTAAAAAAACTCATTGATTTTAAAGGAAATACAAAAAGTGGTGGATTTGATTTGATAATAGACTAATTTTAGGTCATGACAAATCTTTGCTTCTCCTTAGAGATTTTGATAAATATATTAATTTTATTTTCAAGATATGATTTCACCACTTATACTACCACCATCTTATCATGACTATCACCATAACCGCCGCCATCACCACCACCATAGTCATCGTCGTCGCGTCCATCGCCACCGCCACCTCCACCACCACCCACCGCCACTGCTACACCAGCCCCACCACTGTCACCACCACCACCATCATCACCATCATCATCACTACCATAGTCAGCACCATCATTGCCACAACCAACACCATCATCGTCACTGTCACCTGGACCACCCTTACCCCCACCTGGACCACCACTACCACCCCCATTATCAGCCCTACGTTCACCACTACCACAACCATTGCCAGCATATATAACCACTATCACTACCACTGCTATCGCCACCACCACCACCACCATCACTATCACCCCCACCTCCTTCACCACCTCACTCCCACTGCCACCACCACTACTACCCCCACCTCCTCCACCACTACCTCCCCCACAAACCACCATCGCCATCGTCATCGCCATCACCACCACCTCCATCGCTATAAACTCCATTAAAATCAATAATAAAATTCTAACAAACTCAATTAAATTCAATTAAACTCCATTAACTTTATAACTCTTTTAAAATCATTTAAACTCTTGTTGATGTCTTTGATTGTACCGGTAAAGTTTATCTAATAAAGTTTCTATTTGATAAAATAAAAATAAAAATAAAAATAAAAATCCCTCCTTCCAAAAACAGCTTATAACTCCTGAATTTAATAAATTAAATTATAGTCTCTAATCCATCCTTAATTAGTTTAGTGATACACTTCTTACAAATCAAGATATCCCCATTATAATGATGTCATCGTCGTTCTATCTTGAACAACTCCAAAGCTAATTAGAATCAATCTTAATTTTGAAAATTGTTTTCTTTGCAATTCAGAATTATAGCACATCTATCCGTTAAAACGGCTCAAGGATTCAAAAGGTTGGCCCTTTAGCCCGTGGTCATTAATGAATATTGACTTGACTTGATTGTAATGAGAGCAATAGCTCACCCTCCCCTTCACAGCCACACATATCAAAATCTTGGATTGGAAAAGAAAGAGATAATTCTGCAAAAAATTCTGAAACCAACACTAATTTGGTAAATATCTATCGTCTATATTCAAGACCACCAAACAAAATCTGAAAAGAAATCCATAAAATTAAGGAAAAAAAGAAGCCCCATTTGATATTTCCATCAATGAAAATAATCAACAACTCATAGGAGGAAGATCAGAGCCCTTTTCATCCTCAGGATCTGGTTTCTTGAAAACCCTACTCCCAAACAGCAAGAACCCAACGGTGTGCCCAGCCACAGCCACAAGAAACACACCAATATTAAATGACATGACGGCCAACATGACCATATAAGCCAGCCCAACCCTAATGGTATGCAGGAAAGTCTGGGCCAGTCCACAAACGACGTCGCTTGAGCCAGCCTTGATTAAACGACAATGAGACAGCCACTCGACGATAACAGCTAGGGCAAAGACAAAGAGCAGACACACGTAATACATGCCGGTGCTTGAGCCTGGCCACTTGGAGAAGAGCACCTCGGCGTTCGTGCCCCAGAAGAAGGTCATGTGCATCATCATCTTATGGTGCATCATCCCATTTGAGCCGTTCATCATGGATGATGGTGGTGATGGTGGTGATGCCATGCCTCCCATATGCCCATGTTCCATACCTTCTCTCTCTCTCTCTCAAAATTTTGCTTTTGTTTGGGGTTTGAAAACTTGAAATCAGTGAGGGCTCTCAATGCATTTAGTTGGGGGTATTTATAAGGATATTAGGGTGTCTTAATGAATCTGTTCGTACACATTGGGGCTCGTAATGTGTAGTACAAAGATAAAACTCAACTGGGAAATTTGGGAATTTACAAATATGTATATGCAATAGGTGCAAAACCCTCGCCAAAATAGCTTGATGTATACAGGGGTATATCTGTCATATTACATCATTTTTAAATGAGAATAAAATATATACCCCAAAGAAAAAAAAACCTGGTAAAATAAAATTGATGAGGTCAATTTTATAACCAATCAAAAAATTTTATTTTTTATTCTTTAGACTAGCCCCTTGGCACATGCGCCAATTGGTTTTCTTTTTTTTTATTTATTTTATTTTTGGTATTAAGAAAAGATAAAATGGGTAGTTAGTTATGTTCCATAAAAGTATGACTTATTATATGATTTTATTTTTAATTTAAATTTTTTTAATATGAAAAAAATGTGAATTTACCATATTAATTATCTTCATTTAATTAATAATTTAAATTCTTAATGTTTGAATTAATTAAGGATATTTTTTGGTATTTTGAATATTTCACCATTATCTGCCTTTTGCTTTATATATATATATATATATTCAAACATAATCAACTTTTGTGTTTTGTTAATATTATCTTGGCAGTATTCTTGTGTAAATAAAAACTGGTCCTAAGTTCACCTGAAAAGTCATCTGTGATTGCCATCGTTTGAACTTTGGACTGTACTTTTTATTTTTATTTTATTTTTTTGGTTTTAATCTGGGAATTGTCAGTTGACCGGGTCAATGAAGATAGTACATGGCAGTTTCATGAAGAAACATGTGTTGCACGGCACTGCCGTGTATGCATTGCCAAAATAAGAGGGATGCCGTCTAAGGTTTAAGTCTTTTTATTGTTGGTCAAGTCTAAGGTCAAGTCGTCTTGACGCATCTGGCGGTGTTTGATATAATATAGAACAAAGTAGCAGCCCAGAGAAGAATATCATATGGGATTAATAGTACATACATGTATATCATATATGGATGGATGGATGGATGGGGATGGGTTAAAATTACAGGACCAATTTGGTGATGACAATTTCTGATTTTGGTAAGTCCAAATCAATTTTGACATTCAAAAGTTTCGAAATCCGAAAATTCCGATAAAAATTAGATTGAAGTTGGAATGTATCTAGAGATTCCGAAAAATTCCAAATTCCTAAATATTGAAGTTTCAAGCTTTAGCTACAAGCTCCTTGCGTTATTGTGTTAACTAAAGATTACACATTTTATCAACTAGCTCTTAATAAGTGGTAATATATTTCTAACGTTCAAAAAGCATCTATCATTCCTTAATACAATTAGAGATTAAAAAAAAACAGCTTGCGCTTCCGCTACACTGATAATTAAGGGTTTAGGGTTCACTTTTAACTTTTTTTTCCCGTAAATGTTAGGTAATTAATGGTTCAAATTTTTTATTTATTTATGGATACCGGTTCAAATGTATGAAAATCTATGGCGATGGTTAGGAGCTATGAAGGGTTATTACTCAATCAGATAATTTTTTTTAATTTCCAAAAAGGATGAAAAAAATAGGAAATGTGATTCAATAATCATATTGCTTCCGTATTTAGATTATTGCATATTATCAAATCTTCGTGATTTATAGTCAGTCTAACTTTTTCTGGTTTTATTTCTTAAAATCTTGTGGTTTTGGGGTCACGCTCTGCCAGATCATTGTTCAACGCATATCCTACTCAATTATGACTAATTTGTATATTGCTGGACTCATTGAATTTGTCAAATTTTGTTCACTAATAAAAGACGTGATAGTGCCACAAACTGACAAAGGTTCTATAATACCATCTTTTGCTCGATATGTGGGACCCAAGTTTTTGCTTATCTAGAAATTTTTTCTTTTGCCACACCATAACACAGTAGGTAGCTAAGGCCCTTTTTGATATCCTACTCAAAAAAGTAAACTAAAAAATTATGATTTTTTTTAAAAAAAACAAGAGTTTTCAAATAGTGATTTTAAGATCTAAAAACTTGTTTGGTATTGAACTTCAAACTATCTGTAAGATCTAAAAGAAATTAAAATTAAAATAAGAAACCCTAATCCCTAAATTGAAATTAACAAAAGAAAAGGAAAACGATGTGAGACACAAACCCAATCAATTTTGGGGGGAGAGAGAGAAATCTAAAACCTCACTTTTTTTGGGTTTGAGTTTTTAAAAATGGGCCTACCAAACAGGTTTTTGCGGCAAATATGTTTTTGAGTTTATAAAATTGGATTCAAGAGATACCAAATGGGCCCTAAGCTATTGTTTGCTGCAAATCTTCAGTTGACGAGTATGTTCTAAAACTGCACAATCAATTGCAAATCCTTATGGTATGTTGCCAAGCTATGTTGCACTCGTACGAGAACAAGGACGTCGATACGATACAATACGATTCGCTGATATGACAAAACTCCAAAAACTAGGATACGAATACGGCCATTAAAATAATATATATTTTTAAAAATAAATAAATAAATATTATATCCATCATGTTATAATCATTCATCATAAGTTCAAAATATGAAACTAAACACAAAATACAAGCCTCCATAAAAAAAAACCACAAAATATAAGTTTCCATAGGATTGTTCAAATCATAATAAAAGCAACACAAAAACAAATTAAAACATTGAGAACCCACATCCCAAATCTCTAATAACTTTGGATTTTATAATTTTGAAAACCACCAAATATATTTTTAAATATTTTCAAAATTACCCCTTAAAGTATCGGAAATGTATCCTTGAAGTATCGGAAACGTATTGTTAACTTTCAGAAAAGTCAATGATGCTCCTATATATGTATCAAATATGTATCAAACGCGTATCGTACCCGTATAAGGGTATCGAAGTATTGAATACTAATATACCCCTCCAATTAAGAATATCAGTGCAACATAGGTGTGCCTTATTCAAATTGGGTATCCCTTCAACTTCAAAACAAACAAAAAAAAAAAAAAAAAAAAAAAAAAAAAAAAAAAAACTACTACTATCTATCTACCCATTTTTTTTTTGGATGTAGATAGATTTGAGTATATTGGTCCAGTCCAGTCCACTCCAGCAACACGTAATAAAAGGTAAGTCAACCATCCACGCAAAAGAGACGAAATCCCTATGAAAATTCCTGATTTTCCCCTTGAACATTAATTGTGCCTTTGAACTACCATCATCCTCATTATATAGACTATTGATCTAGGTGAGATTTACTTGTGATTTTCCTATAACGTATAATCCTTCCCTTGGTTTGGCCTGTAATTTCCTAATATTCAATCAATTTTCTATACAATGTTCACAAGCATTAAGGTAAAAGGAGAGAAAGTAAAAAAGAATAATATGCTCACAAGTGTGTACACAGGTATCGTCTGCCAAACAAAAATATATGTACGTACGTGAATATTCTTCAATCAAAATTACAATTTTCAGATGATAAGGTACCTCCAATATGCTGCTTAGCAACAACTGATTGGAGTAAGATCGTCAGTTTGATCCATATTAGGCACTATCTTCTTCGATCTCACGAAAACCCTACTACCAAAAATCAAGAAGCCAACTGAATATCCAGAAATTGCAGCAAGTAAAACACCAACGTTGAACGACATGACTGCTAGCATTACCAAATAAGCCAATCCAACCCTAATAGTATACATCAAGGTTTGCTTAAGCCCATCAGAAACATAATTATCTGCGGTAGATCCATCGATCAATTTCGTGTGCGAAAGCCACTCTACCACCAAAGAGAGCAGAAAGACGGATACTAAGGCCAACATGTAAGACTCAAGGCTCTGGCCTGGCCAACCTGAGAACATAATTTCTGTGGTGTTGCCCAAGAAATATGTAAAATGGGTTTTCATGGTTGCTTTGCTCCCAAATAAAAATGAGAAGAGATTATATAAAGAAAGAAGTAAATAAGGGAAAGTGGGTTTTAGTACTGGAAGTTCATATATCTGTACTACAACAAAGGGTACTTAATTTAATTTGTGGTGCTAAACTCCATCAGCTAGCTTGGTTAGTGGTGCTTCCACCATAGACTTATCAAGTAGATTCTTAGTCGGCTGGCTATAATTAACTGGGCCATGCCATATACTAGTCACAACTTTTGCACCACAGTCTTGTGTTGGGGGTGGAAATTTGCATACTTTAAGAGCAGATGCAATTTGTTTAAGTAGCATTCTGTGTACTACATATTAAATATTGTAGTACAAAACTATACAGATAAAATATGTTGGCTGATTTTTTTCTTCTTCTTAAACCCAAAAAATTAAGCACCATGTGTGAATAAAAAAAAGTTTAAATTAACTTATTGTCTATTCTAGATTGCCGGCATTTCTCAATACGAAACAATGAAAGAACACCAGCATACTGTCTTTCAAAGAAGTACTAATGATGTTCAAGTATGAGTGAAGGGGTTACTAACCACTTATTCGTCTAGTAGTTTTTTTTTAGTACAAGTGATAGTTTAAACTACAGAGGAGAGAGATTTCTCACACTTATATCCTGCTGGCAGTAGCTTTTCTTTTTCTAACAATGAAAAATGTTGCAAATTTGAATTCCTCATCCCATAGAAAAAAACCAAAAACCAAATTTGTGTAAGTGTTGAGTAACACAGTGTAAAAAATGTTCGTATCAAATTTGTTGTTCTCAAAATCCATGTGTCCAGTCTGCCCTATTATTTTGATATGTGTCTTATCACTTAACAAAAATTTAACACTGTTAACTTTATTTAAACACAATATAATTTAAAAAACCACTCTAGTTCCTCACATATCAGAAGAATATAATAAAGAGAAAAGATGAGTACGTGAAATTTTTTATTTATTTATAAGACAAGCAATATAGTCTAAACTACAAGGGAGATGGGGTTTTCTCACGCACACAATACTAAAGTGCCATGGGGGTTCGAACCTAAGATCACTGGTCTGCACATCAAGGTCTTTTTCCATTGAGGTAGACCCCGTTGGCACATAAATTTTAAGTATAGCACAATTGAACTCCTCAATAAAGTCCCATGGGAATTAGATTTCCTTGCAAGAATTAAGAAGGTTGTTGACTATGAAAACGGCTCTAATCTAGGGCAATCAATTGATCCCAAAATGAAAAGCATTTTTGGAAGGTAATAGTTTGAGTTTAAATGATTTCAAGTGGAAAGTGGAAAAATAATTTTGGATTTTATAAATTTCCTAAGGCAAGATGAGTTTTCGTGCTAGATTTAAGCACCCATCCATATTAGACTCAACTGGTATGAGCTGATTAAGTATCCTTATATTGTGAGACTAAATGGAAGTGTGCCTTCTCTGTCCATATATATGCTTGATGCTGATATTGAGCTTTTAAATGGAAATTTTGCCTAGCTATGACCTAAGTTCACATGATGATGGACACGTCCGGCTGGCAGGCGCCAAGAAGCTTGGTGAGGTTTCAATTACAGTGGCAGAATTCTTTGCTCTTCGGGATGGTTTAGCCTATGCTGTCTCCAAAGGCTGGCGCTACATCATGGTCGAGGGTGACTCAAAACTGGTGATTGACTCAGTGAAGAATCTCTGCTCAGTTCCTGTGGGAGCAAAAATTAAGGCCCAAGTAACAAGCCACTTCCCATGAACCCTAAATTTGAGGAAGTGGAGGGAATCAAATAACATGATATCCACTACCATAGAATATGGAGATAAATATGGGATATGGGACTTGGAGTCTAAGGGTTCAGTGCCTATAAAAGGACAATTAATTTCCCAGCATAAGGGGAGAGATGTATGATTGATTCTATTTCAGTATTCATGAACGAATATTGATTTGAGCGTCGGATTGTTTTCTTGCAGGTACCCCCTCCTCACTTAATGGTGATAATCAAAGATGGTGTCTGGTTTCTCAACATGGAAATCAAAAATTACTTGTTGGAGGATCCGAAATTTTCCGCTCCAACAGTTCCTTGGTGCATTACACAGTTGATTCAGGACTATTACACCTAGCTTCTTTCTGCGAAGAGATTAGATTTACTCATATTTTTAAGGAAGCTAATTCTGTAGCTGATGCTTTAGCATCTTTGGGGCATTCCCTCTCCTTCTTTGCTTTGGGAATATTGTCTCCCACTCTTTGTTGTTAACTCCTCCTATTTGGACCTCTTTGGGCCTGCGTACCCAAGAGGGTCTAAACTATGTTAAGGTTGTTTGTTTTCGCATAGAGAACATTTGGGTTTGCTATAGGATGGAATGAAAAAAGTGTTACCATTCCCATTCCATTACATAAGAATTTGTCTAGAGTTAGTTTTGTTAGTATGTGATAATTCTGAGTAGCAAAATAATCCAGTTGAAAAATGTTACGGCGTGTTTAATTTTTTTATAATAGGGTTATTTACTATAGACGTCCTTGAATTTGGCCCCCGGTTGCAATTAGGTCCGTGAACTTTTTTTCGTGCCAATTACATCCTTTAACTGGACAAAGAGTTGCAATTAGGTCATGCCATCCAAATCTGTCAATTTATCCGTCAAGATTCGGGGTAAAAGTGTCCTTTCAGTTAGCATGGATGAACTGCTCCTTCTTCAAGAATTCTTTACTGTGTTGGAGAAAAGGTAAATTTAAAACAAAAATAATAATAACAAGAACAAATATATCTTAAAGAATAAAATAACAAAAAATTCAAAAAAATAAAAACTAGAACAAGAACAGTCGCACCAAACCTAGAAAAAGGCACCCCCATCCCATCTTCCCCAACCCCCATCCCAACCTCCCCTTCCCCATACCCACCTCCGATGCTCAGCGGCAGCGGAAACTCGTGCACCCTGCCCACCCGATGACTGCCACACCGACTGCGACTCCTCGTCCTCCGTCGTTGACGGTGATGATTGCGTCATGACGTCGTCATTTCAGAGTCTTTCCTTTGCCATTTGATCTCAACCTATTGCTGCCCCTGATGATGGACGACCTCGATTTATTCAAATTCGGTGAGGTTTGTGGTGATGATCATTCCTTTATGCCTCTAATTACCATATGGATCTCAATAATGCTCCCCTTTTTTTTTTTCCTTTTTTTTTTTCTGTTTCTTATTTTTTTATTATCAAAGATATATGATGATGATGATTATAAAAAAGAAAAAGGAAATCTGGTACTTGGTGGTTGAGAAGAAGAATTTGAGTTTTTTCTTTTTTGTTTCTTCTAGTGTAGAAATAGCATATGGGTTTTCATCTTCAATTTGATGGGTTTTAATTCCCCCTCTCTCCAACGCTGAATTTAATTTTGTTTTGTTCAAAATGACGAAAAGTCGAATATACCCTGAACAAGAAGATCACGTGACACTCACATGGTTAATCTTGACGGATTCTGTTACGGCAGGATCTAATTGCAATTGATTATCTAATTAAAAGATGTAATTGCCTAAAAAAAAATTTCACATACCCAATTGCAACTGAGGCCATAGTTTAGGGACGTCTATAGTAAATAACTATTTTTAATAATATAAACAATTTTAGTTACTTTCACTACATCTATTCATATGACAAATATGATGTGAGCTAGAACCAACGTTCTGCCCAACTTTTAAATATCAATTGACTATTAGATTTATTTTGACAGATGAGAAGGGTGACTAGTAGCTTACAAACGAAACGACGGATATGCAAAAACATTTTACCTAATTCTCAAAAATGTTATGTACGTCAGTCCTCAACTGCAATAAAAAGTGTAGGGACTGCAGACTTTATAGTTACAGGGTTGACCTCATCTCATATATACTTTACTAATGTATATCAAAATTTCTCATAACTATATTTGTAAAAAGCATTTAAAAATATCATCTTTTCTTTTAATATCAATTTAAAATTACCAGTTTCTATTAGTTGGAAAAGTAAGAAGAAGAAAGATAAAAAGTAGCCAACTGCCCCGTTTAGGATTTGCTTTTTTTCGCCAAAAACCTGCTTCACTTTAAAGTTAAGTAGTTTTAGGTGTTTGGTAAAAATAAAATATAGGGTTTCTGATATCGGAACCCTAATTATTTTAAAAGCAGTGACCTTTTGACAACAGCTTTTAAAAGCATGCTATGAGTTGCTTTTCAAAGCTGCTTTCAAAAGAAGCAGAGATGAACCTTTAATGAATTTTTTTAATTCTCAAAATACCATCATTCATTTTAAAAAATAACACCACCTTCACTTCCACATCCAACTCTACCACTTACACCACCACATTCACTACCTCCACAACCACCGCCACCACCACCACCACCACCACTAACTCCACCTTCACCTCCACCTCCATCACAACCACCACCACCACCACCACTACCACCACCACCACCACCACCACCACCACAACCACCACCTCCTTCAAAACCTCCACATCCACCACCACCACCACCATGCTGCCACCTCCACCACCATGCTGTCACTACCACCACCTCCACAAACGCCATCCCTACCACCACCACCTCCACTCCATCACTACCACTACTATCACATGATTAGTACATAACACTTTTAACATCATGTCTATTTTAGTCATTATTCACAGTTACAACAATTTTATATGAAAACTTACCAAACGGTTTTGACACTGCTTTTTGTACTAACAGCACTTTAAAAATATTGTTTACCAAACACGGAGCTGCTTTACTTTACAGCTAATTATTTTCAAAGCACAGCAAAAGCAACTTTTTTTAAAAGTGACAGCAATCTCAAACTGGGCCTTAATCTGACTTGAGCTGCAAAAAACAGCTTTCTAAAGGGAGTCGACTGGTGAGAGCCGGCTTTCTCCAATTGGGACTGACAAGAGACTCAATTGAAGCAAAAGCATATTTTAATTGTATTGGATACTGTTGTCTATCCCACTTATTTTCAACAAGGACCGTTTAGTTAGCAGTTTGCTTAAAACTTCCAAAAGCCACTCTTATGCATTTGTATCTATTTATCAGTGTGTAGTGAATGATATTCTAGTAGAAGCCTGGAACTTGAACTACGAGAAAACATGCCCTACCACTACTTGTATATAATCATGCGTCTATCTTTCTTACCATATAGTTGTATAATACAATTGATGAACACCCAAAAATTTCTCAGTTTGAATAATGTATCGTCAGTTAATTTCTAAGCCCTGTCGATTTAATTATGCTATAAATAAGAAATGGGCATCATGTAAGACTCAACATCTTTCTTTTCCACTCCTAAAAAAAACGTGTTCTTAATCCATGAAGATGTAACCAAAAGCACAATACGACATGAAGAGTGTCAGTCTTTATTGAGACAAAAATCGGAAGTTTGATTGAGAACTGCGACAAGCAATTTACGAAGAAAAAAGACAACTTTATTATTAATCTGGCTTACCTAACGTTATTTGCTTATTATGATCTGTGCAGCACGCGGGGACCATTCTATATTACATAGTCTCATAAGGTTGCATAGCTGCAAGATATTTGAATCTGTGAAAGACGAGAGAGAAAGAGGGAGGGAGATGGAAAAGAAAACACAGAGCTGTAAAAGGTTGGTTTTAGTCCCATGTCCATACCAAGGCCACATAAATCCAATGCTTCAGCTTGGTACCTTCCTTCACTCAAAGGGTTTTTCGATCACAATTGTTCACACTCATTTCAACTCTCCCAACCCTTCAAACCACCCTGAATTCACCTTCCTTCCGATACCAGATGGCCTCACTGAACACGAAATTTTGTCTGGGAATTTAGTAGCTATTCTGTTGGCTCTTAATGCCAATTGCAAAGCAAGCTTCCAGCAATGCTTGACTCAACTGATGGAGCAAGAACCACAGAACAGCATTAGCATAATCTATGATGACATCATGTACTTCTCTGAAGCTGTGGCTAATTATCTGAACATTCCAAGCATCGTCTTACGCACTGTCAGCATTACCAATTTTATTGCCCGCAGCACCGTCCTACAACTTCTTTCAAAAGGTTCCTTTCCCTTCCCAGGTATGTACCCTTCTATAAAACTCCAATGGTTAAGATTAATAGTACAGCTGATCTACCTCTCTGCAAATGACCGGGAAGAGGCTAATGCCTGAGTCATCTTACTTAATGTATGATGTTTATTTTTCTTACTTATACCTAATTAAGACCACCACTATGGATCACAGAATCTATGTCACGGAACCCGGTTCCCGACCTTGATCCCCTCAGGTTCAAGGATCTTCCCATCTCCAACTTTGACACTTATGAGAACTATTCAAAACTAGTAGTTAATTTACACAATGTCAGGACATCCTCAGCCGTCATTTGGAACACTGTGGACTGCCTTGAACAATCATCACTGGCACAGATCCAGCAACAATGTCAAGTTCCGATCTTCACCATAGGTCCTCTTCACAAGATTGCAACAGCAGCTTCAACTAGTTTACTAGAAGAGGACATGGGATGCATTGCGTGGCTTGACAAGCAAACCCATAACTCAGTTATCTATGTAAGCTTGGGAAGTGTAGCATCCATTAGTGAGAAAGAACTAGCTGAGATGGCTTGGGGGTTAGCTAAGAGCAAGCAACCTTTCCTGTGGGTGATCAGGCCAGGATCAATTTGTGGTTCTGATTGGATTGAGCTATTGCCTCAAGGTTTCATAGAAGCTATTGGAGAAAATGGTTGCATTGTGAAATGGGCACCCCAGAGGCAAGTTCTGGCGCATGACGCGGTGGGTGGGTTTTGGAGCCATTGCGGTTGGAATTCAACGCTGGAAAGTTTATCAGAAGGGGTTCCGATGATATGTTGGCCGTGTTTTAGCGATCAGAAGGTGCATGCAAGGTATGTGAGCCAAGTATGTAAAATAGGGATACAACTGGAGAATGAATTAGAGAGGGGAGAGATAGAGAGAGCTGTTAGAAAACTTATGGTAGATGATGATGGGAAGGGAATCAGGGCGAGGGCCAAGGAATTGAAGGAGAAAATAGAAGTTAGTATGAAGGGTGGCTCTTCCTACCATTGCTTGAATGAGCTTGTGAAGCTTATAAGGTCATTTTGATTGGAACAACAAAGTGGTTTTGTCATCAACTAGGTCCTCTCTCGTCAAATTGGTAGATGAAGGCTTCCTGGTTCCTGCATCTGATGTAAATAAATTTTCATTCTAGTCCAAAGCGCATTAATAAGGATATTATGTATGATTCAAGGCTCTGGCCTGGCCAACCTGAGAATGTAATTTCTGTGGTGTTGCCCCCAAAAAATGTAGAATAATGGGTTTTCATGGTAGCTTTTCTGCAGATTGGTCCCTATCTTTCTCACTTAAAAAATGAAAGATTTGAAAGACAGCTGCGTGAGCTATTGGTAGGTACAGAAGTTTTTCTCAACACTACCAGACCTCGATGTGTTGTGTGTCCTACTTGTATTAATGGCTGAAAATCACTAGCGACACTGTACCAAGTGCTCCTCCGGTAAAAGAAAGAGCGAAAACGGATATATGTCTTTCAAAGAAGCATTCCCATAATTAATTATGAGAAAATTGTTGCTTCTACCATAATATGTGAAAAAGATATTTGTTAACTCTGAGACGACGAAGGTCATTAAGCCATGCAAAACAAACACACACCTAAACAAGCCTTACAATATTTGGTGGGAGATGTTGAATGTGTTCACCTTTTGGCCTAATTTCATTTATAGAGAATTACAATTAAGCGATGCAAAAGACGTAAATAGACGATCGGGATTCATCAATCGTGAAAATAAAATTATCAACACAACATATTACATCAAGTCAGTTCTCCAAAACCAACCACAACCGGCCAATATACTTTTCAATCATTAGAGATGAAAGTCCAATACGTGCATCCAAAGTTTGCTTAATTCATGAAATGCGTGCTGAGGACCACATGGTTATGTCCCTAACAATTTATGGAAAAAGACATTACTAATTGGCTTACCTAAATATTATTTACTGATGGTCTCTGCAGGGAGGTCCACTCTACATATATTCCATACTCAAGCTCCTATGAATTTCAAAAAGATTGTCCAGCAACATAAGGTTTCCATAGCCGCAAGCTATTGAGTGTCTTTGTGTGTGTGTGTGTGTGTGTGTGCGCCCGGTTATCGGTGAGAAGGAAGAGGAAGAGGGAGGGAGGGAGATGGAAAAGAAAGCACAGAGTGGTCACAGGTTGGTCTTAGTCCCATGTCCATACCAAGGCCACATAAATCCTATGCTTCAGCTGGGCACCTTCCTTCACTCAAAGGGCTTTTCCATTTCAATTGTTCACACCCATTTCAACTCTCCAAACCCTTCAAACCACCCTGAATTCACCTTCTTTCCAATACCAGATGGCTTAATTGCTGATGAGATTTCATCTGGGAATGTAGTAGCTATTATGTTCACTATTAACGCCAATTGCAAAGCGAGTTTCAAACAATGCTTGACTGATAGAGTGACGGAACAGGAACCACAGAACAAAATCACCTGCATCATCTATGATGAATTTATGTACTTCTCTGAATCTGTGGCTAATGATCTAAACATTCCAAGAATCCTCTTACGCACACAAAGCGCTACCAATTTTATTGCTTGCAACACTCTAATACGACTTCATTCGAAAGGTTGCACTAGTCCCTTCCCAGGTATGTGCCCTGTTTTCTCTTTTCTATTTTTCTTTCTGCAAACAAGGAAAGAGGCTAATGCCTGGGTCATTTTTTTTTTTATAGACAATGATGTTTATTTTTCTTACTTATAACTAAGACTATATCTCCGGATCACAGATTCTATGTCACTGAACTTGGTGCCCGAGCTTCATCCCCTCAGGTTCAAGGATCTGCCCATCTCCATTTTCTACACACTTGAAAACGTTTTGAAACTAATGGCAAATGGACACGATGTTAGGACATCCTCAGCCATCATTTGGAACACCCTGGACTGCCTTGAGCAATCATCACTAGCGCAGATCCAGCAACAATGCCAAATTCCAATCTTCTCCATAGGTCCCCTTCACAAGATTGCAACAGCAGCCTCCAGTAGTAGTTTACTAGAAGAAGACACCAGCTGCATTGCGTGGCTTGACAAACAATCCCATAACTCAGTTATCTATGTGAGCTTGGGGAGCTTAGCATTCATAAGTGAGAAGGAGCTATTCGAAATGGCTTGGGGATTAATTAACAGCAGGCAACCTTTTTTGTGGGTGATCAGGCCTGGATCAGTTTGCGATTCTGATGGGATTGAACTACTGCCTCAAGGTTTCTCAGAAGCTGTTGGAGAAAGAGGTTGCATTGTGACATGGGCACCCCAGATGGAAGTCTTGGCTCATGGCGCAGTGGGCGGGTTTTGGAGCCATTGTGGTTGGAACTCAACCCTGGAAAGTATGTCTGAAGGGGTTCCAATGTTATGCAGGCCATGCTCTAGCGATCAGAAGGTGAATGCAAGGTATGTGAGCCAAGTATGGAAAATAGGGTTACAATTGGAGAATGAATTAGAGAGAGGAGAGATAGAGAGAGCTGTTAAAAAACTTATGGTAGATGATGATGGGAAGGGAATGAGGGTGAGGGCCAAGGATTTGAAAGAGAAAATAGTAGTTAGTATGAAGGGTGGCTCTTCCTACCATTGCTTGAATGAGCTTGTGGAGCTTATAAGGTCATTTTAATTACAAGAAGTGCGTGCGTGCGTGTTTTTTTTTCTTTCAACTAAGTCCTTTGTCATCAGATTGATAGTTGAGGCTTCTTGCATCTGATGTGAACAAACTTCTGTTTGTTGTACAATCAATCCAGATTTTACATTTCAAAATGGTTGAAGCAACAATATGAAGCTGTTCCAACTAACTCAGACAATCATTCCTCTAAACTTCTCTATTTTCGTTGATCACCACTACCAACAAAAGAGGGTGAAGAGGTTCTGTTATATTTCAAAACCAGGGCACCAAGATTTGCACTTGTATTTAGTTTAGGGTATGTTTAAGAAATTAGCTATTTTTCATCTTTCTGAATATGGTATTGACCCTTTTCTTGGGAAATAAGGTTCTATGTTCTCTGGTTCTCATACCTAACTTTGACTCAAACCTTAACACCCCTGATACTTGGAACATATCTGAGTGCAGATTCTATGATGCTAGTGCAAGAACTTCAACCACTCAAATTTGAAGCCTACCCATCACCAATTTCAAAGATTTGGATGTCTTACTGGAGCAACAGATAACGAAAGCCCACCATTTAAGTCCAAATAAGTGCCTTTTATTCTTCTGGTCTGACATCTTGGGCTTCTTGCTTGTCACACGAGTCATGTTATGTTTCATAAGTCCCAAATAGTTGCTTTTACGCTAGAACATCCTATATCATATCAACGACCTTGAATGATGAAAAACATGCCCTATTCTCAGTTGCATATAATTATGTGTCTATCTCTCTTATCACATGTGTGCCACCTAAAAATCTAATTTTGAACCACATATTATTTAATTTCTGAGTGTTGTCGATTTTAATATGCTATAAATAAGAGATGGACATCGTGTGAGAGTCAACATCTTTCTTTCCACTCCTAAAAATAGCATGTACCTTTTGAAATAAGATTTTCTGCTTAAATTCTGGTGCTGGTATTGTTCTTACGACCAGAACGACCTTATCTTGATATTTAGGATTAACTAGCAAAAGGTGCCCGCGCGATGCTGCGGGTTTTAAAATTGCGTGAAATGTGTATAAAGCGATGAAAATAGGCAGGGAACATCTCAACTACCCAATTGCCAAAACACTCAAAGGATTTACCAACATGTTCAAATATTGTAATCATCTAAACCTATCATTACAACAACAAATTAACACCAACCAATTGTCAATTGATGCCATTAGCTAATTCCTATGCTCTATTCACAAAACTTAAAACAATTAATTGAAATTTCAGCCTAGAAACTCACCCCTTGCTTAACAGAACTGAAAACACCAACCAAACTGCTCTATCCAAAGCAAAGAAAGACCACCTGCAAAATATCAAAAGAAAACATGATTTTTTTAAAAAGAAGAAAAAGAAAAAACAGAAAAATCGGGGAAGAAATTAGCTTGAGTATTTTATGCATGCACAATCTTTTCATTAAACCAAAAAATTAGCTTGAGCAAAATCTGTATGGAAAGAAACCACAGGGAAAATGTATGTAATTGAGTTCCTTACCTCTCCAACATTAAATATAAATCTTTGCTTGTCAAAGAATAGCAACACTGAAGGAGATGTATCTTGCGTATCCATTCCAGTCCCTAGCAGCTGCAAAGAGTAGAAGCATGGCCAAATTATTAGCCCATGAAAAGGGAAAAAAACAATATAACCAAACTCTGCATTCTGAAATTAGGATATACAAACTTTTTTAGTTTTCAATAAGTCTCCATTCAATGCAATAATCAACAAAAATCCGCTTGGTAAATCAAACCCACAAACAAAAAAACCTATGAATTTTAACTTTTCTGAATTCTTTCTCGTCATCTCTAATGTCCACAAACAGAATTCCAATTTAGAAGTCAGATTTTCAAATCCCACATATTTCCTAAACCAATCTTCTTCAAGTCAACTATGCTAAAACATTGCAATCAGTTCCTAGAATCACACTCCCAAATTTTCTTTCCCCTACCAAAACAAAAATTATCAAATTCAAATCCCCAGTCCCATAAACCAGTATAAGAACGAATTTGAATTAAAACCCTGTAGTAAAAGAACGAACATGTCTTTAAACATAACTACCCAAATAGCAGCATATCCTGCTTACCAAAACAGAGCTATCCTAAACCCTGTAACAAAAGAACCAGCATATCCAAATACCGATTTTGAGGGTTTACCAACTAATTTTTAATAATCAAACAGAAAACCTTACCAAAAGCAATCATATAGTATTTTAATAACTAAATTGTTTCACCTGGTTTCATCAAAATAATAACACAATCAAATCAATTTCAGTATTTGGATAACATTTGCAAATCAATAACACAGATCCACTATGAGGAAAAATTAGGAATTTGGACTTTTAGGGCAGCAAATTAAAACAGGTCTTATAGTTTAATAAAATAAGATCCAAGATATTAGTAACCAAAAAAAATGAAAAAGAAGAGCAACAAAAATTGAATGGAAAGATGAAGCAAAATTTACTTACAGATCAGTGAGAGAGAGAGACCGAAACATAGAAAAAGCTGGAGTTCAATCTTAAGAAGAAGACCAACGCTCGCCACTCCTATAAAGTCAAAGCCTCCAGATAACAATTGATAACAAACTTAGAACAATTGTGATAATTTATAATTAAATAGGTATGAGAGAATTAAGCCAAAACACTCAACCTTTAATAGCCTCAAATCAATGGGTGTTTATTCTATTGCTACAAATTTGGAAACTGGTAGGTGTTAGTGCAAACAAATGGGAAAATTTAGTGAAGACAATGGCTATTATTACAGAATTAAGGCCACAAAATCAACTGCACAAACCACAATTTAAATACGCCACATTCTACGAATGTGGTGGACAAAAGTATAATGTCATTGCCACAAATTATTAAATACCTATAACAGAATGAATCCAAAAGACCCAGCCTTTAATAGAATCAAACCAAATACCCATAACAGAATCAAACCATGTGCAAGTTTGTTGTACAAAAGAATAGATTATCTCTAGACACCTATGGTCAAAACTGATACATGTATTCCCAATTATAGGCTATGTTAATTTAATGGAGAAGCTATAAAACCAGAAATAACCTATAAACACCTATAGGTTATAGAACCCTAATCAACTTACTGATAGCATCAAGGGAAGCCAAGAGGACCTGTCCGGGAACTATGGCAAAGAATGCATTCCCTGCTTGGGATTTAACCAAACGTCCCATCACTGATCAAATCGTAATACCAACCCCATCAAGCATAGATTTGCCAAGCTTTGATGCCATTTTTGACAACTACTATCACTGAATTAGCAAAATAAAGTAGAAAGAACTGATAAGAAAAATAAATTTAATGTGTTAAACTTATAACCATAAAAACTTAAAAAGAAATTCATATAGTCCTCAGGGGAACCTTTCAAATTGATTCAGTATGAAATCTAACATTAAAAAATCATAAAATAAACCTAACCTCCAACATAAAATACCCATTCATATGAGATTTCCTTCCCTGTTTCTACTTCATGTCACCTATATACCAAAGAAAAGATATCAAGAGAAATATCATTTTAAGGTATAAAAATAAACCATAACTATGAAGGAAGAAACACATTCATTGTCCACATCTCAATTCATTATAAGGTATAAAAATAAACCACAACTAATCCTAAAATTAAGGATTTAAAGTAACAAATTTACAATAAAGATTTTTTTTTAAAAGTTCAAACTTAAAATGGAACCAAGTGAAAGAAGAGAAAACTACCAAAGGCTATGGAGCATAAAGCATTTAAGTTTTTGAGAAGAATGTGCAGAGAAATCGGGTGTAAAAGAAGGTGTGGATATGCTGATAGGTTTTCATAATATTCCAGAGGATGCCTATGACGCAACCTCCTTCACATCTGCCACCAAAGCCAAACATCAAATACAAAATACGATTCAAATTATCGAAACAAAATTAGAAAAAAGCGAAATAAATGTGATAAAAGAGTGACGCTTTGGGGTCAAAGGTGGAGCCCTTTGGCAACAAATTGGATTTTGCCAGGAGGAGAGTTGAGAAGGAACCACTTCCCCACCCCAAAAATACATTGACTACATTAGACACTAACAAATAATCAAAATGGGTACAAATTTATTAATTGGAAAAAAATAAAGTATAAACGGCAAAGAGAACAAACCTCATTAATGGCAAGCACTTGGCCATTGCTCTTCTTGACCTTCTTCAGCTTCCTCATAAAATACCTAATCCAAACAAATCAATCAACAATATTAAGTTTAACCAAAAATTCACCAATGAACATTTGGGAAGGCTAAGGATTATTCCAGAACTTGGACTTGGCGTGAACCTCATTTGTGGCCCAGAGCTTCATTTGGTAAATCTTGGGGTGCTCATTAGATGCCATAGGGAGCTTTCTCCCAACAACCTGGTACTGGTGGAACTGCAACACAAAAACACCATTAATTGCAGCTTTACCATTTGACATGCCCTAAGAGAAATATATCACACAAAAACAAATACCAAATTAAATGGAACCTAAGAAACTGTGAAGATAATTTCTAGATATTTGTTCACCAAATTTCATACAACAATCCTCCACTTAAACTGACTGTTCACAACAATACTAAGAATTTGTAGGCATATTACATATGCAATATTTGGCTAATCCATTTCACCAGCAACCATATATTTAACTAAATAAACTATGTCGAAAACCAAATGGGTATTCTTCCAGAATAAAACCAACCTTCTTGAAGCATACCCATCTAAGTTATAAGAACCCCTTAGCATCCCAATACCCTAACATGGAAAAAAGAAGCATAATTTAGAATTCTGTAACAGAAATTGTCTCATTAAATTAAACAGAAATAAAAAACAGCGAATTTAAGGCTGAGATGTAATCGACTTATTGAAAGAAAAAAAATTGAGGGTGAGAGAACAATTGACAAACCTCTTTGCTAGTCCAAATGCGGAACCCTACTTCGTTTTTTCTTGCAACACCTTCAAAGTCAGTCAACATTCTGTGCTGTTCTACAAAAGATATTTACGAACACAGAACGTCATAAAATACCTTTATTGTAAATTTGTTCAACACAAAAAATCCAGAACCAAAATATTTGACGAAATTCTATTAAAAGAAAAATAACTGAAATTAAAGAGAGGGAGAGAGAACATTGTATCCCTCAACTTCTGTACATATACACTGGCTCTGTCCCACAACATCAGCAAGGGCAATGGCAAGCCTTTATTCACGCACAAACAGTCACCTGCCATTACCAATTCAAAAGCCTGTTCAATCCCATCACAGGGGAGAAATACAATCAAAATTAATAAAAGGGAAAGAAATTGAAATACAGTGGAGGCGATTAAAAGATGCAAACCTTGTTTCTATTTCAAAGTCCACGAATAGATGTAAGTGCACCATTTTGTTGTAGTCCTGCAATACACGGAGTCATCAGCTTCACCCAAGCAACTCCGCATGCCAATTCAAATCTACCATGAACCAATCCATAAGCCCAAACATAGAACCCATTATATGATAAACCATCACACAAAAGGCTTAATTTTGGTCCAAAAGGGCAATTCGAGGATATGGTTCTTACTTGAAATGCTTTGTTGAGGTTGCAAAATCACCTTTTTCCTCATGCTCAAACCATTCAATAACCAAAAAACAATGAAAGGAAATTTTCATTGTAATGCTAAGCACATGTATGAAAGAACAAAGGCACCAACTTTTCAATCCAACATAATTATAGAACAAAGACTCAAACTTTTTCCTTTATGTCCTTGAGTTTCCACAGAAACCCAAGTGATTTCAATAAAAAGTACTAATGTTATTAAGTGGGTGACCTCAAATGCTCTTATAAGCATAATTATTGAACTCCTACCCACAAAACAACAGTAAAATGTTTAAAAAGATGACATTTTCTGTTTTTTTCTTGCATTTTCTAAGCAAACAAACAGAGAGTAAGTAGGTTTCTACATATTTTATACAGTGTAAAATCAGATTTTTTGTTTGAATGATCTTATATTGAACCAACCATCTCTACCTTCCAGCTAAGAGACTGGTCGATTAGTTCAGAATATCAGCTCCTAATCATATTTTCTTTTAGATGCAAACAGATATTAAGCTCCTAGGGTTCATTATCCACATGCTCAAATAGAGAGAGACAGAGAGATCTTGACTGCTTAATAATTTTTTGGGCAAGAATCAAAGGATTGAACAGCACGCTCAGAAACCCATCAGCAAGCCATTAATCCGTTAAAAAGTAAAGGGATGCAAACCTGAAGAGAAAAGATGGAAGAACTTGCAGATCGAAAATCTCTCAGACGAACGTTGCACAGAGGATGAAAGATGGTTGAACCAACGAATGAGCAGATGAGATGAGATGAAGACCAAACGAACGGCGAGATTCGCAAGGCGCTAGCCCAAATGGAAATCTACGGCCCCAAAGGAATCCCGAAGATCGAAGCCGTGCATTCCATGGCTGCCCCCAACCAGCCCAACCAAGCTGGTTCGAAGCGGACGATCGTTCTGTGGAAACGAAACAGTGGGGAGAGTTAGCATCCAAAGAGAGAAGGGCAAAAAAGGAACATAAGGAAAATTTCAGTAAAGGGCAAAATCGGCACTTCACTATTGCTAAGCTACAGTCTAGGAACAGTGAATTCCTGGATTCAGTTTTAGTATATATATAATTTAGGATTTCTTTAGACACTTAAGATTATTTATATTGAAAAGATAATTAGAAGGATGACCAAGTATGAGAGAAAATATATAGTCGATATCTTGTATTTATCATATCTTGCCTGTCTCACAACAAAATGCTCGTATACATAAGTAATGGGCATCCAGTAAGAGCCAAAATCTTTCTTTCCAATTCAAAAAACCACATTTGACATGGCTCAGGTGAAATAAATAAGAAAATCTGTTTATCTATTACATGTTGACGTTGATACTGTGCTTATGACCATAATGATTTCGTTATAGAGATTTACAATTAAGCATACGGTTTAGGATGTATAATTACATCAATAGTACAATCAAATGATAGTTCAAAGGAAAAAATCCTAGCCGCTTTCTCCATCTGTGAGTTCCAAAGGAAAAACTTAATTGGGGGGAGGAAGAAGCGTCAGTGTCTCATATTCTTTTTTGGTTCTACATCGTCTTTGATGGAGGGTTTTTGTTTTCATTTATTTGTTTGCTATTATGCAAAGGTAGATCACTGTAAATCATACTGTCCTCATATCTGTTACGGATGCGGTGGTGGGTGTGGCCGCCACAGCCCTTCTTTAGGTGGTGATGGTTTAGGGTTCATTTAGGCACATGTGTTGCTTTAGGGTTTCGATCATGTTGGGTTTGTAGGCTTTGTTTGAGCTTATAGTTAATTGTGGTGATGTGAGCTAATAGTTTTAGTGCGGCTTTTGTCCACTATAGCTTTGTTTTTCACATGTTAGCTTATTGACCTCTTGGGATTGGTACTTCAAATGTCATGTTGATGTCTTTGATTGTACTATTGAAGTTTATCTAATAAAATTTATCTTTGATATTAAAAGGAAAAAAAAACCAAAAACGAAAGTTCAAAACGGCGTACCAATGCAAAAGATGTAAATAGACGACCTGAGCTCATCAATGATGAAAATAAAATTATTAACACAACATATTACTGATGACTGTATTGTCCAGGTCAGCTCAATTTGTTAGAATAGCACATGGAGATCACGTGCTCTTGTTAGTATTGTTGGTAAGATCTGTTAGTTTGTTAAGCTGAGTTTACTTTAAGCTCTAAGCTTTCTGTTATGTATATATAAGCTGAGTTTTACGTTGTAATCGATTTATTAAGCAAAATTAATACAAAACTTTCTGAGATTTCTCTGCTTTCTTCTTCAATCTTCCCTTCTGTTATCAATTACATCAAGTCAGTTCTTCTTCTAAAACCACCCAATATACTTTTGAATCACTAGAGATGATGAGAGTCCAAAGTTTTCTTAATTCGGGAGATACGTGCAGCCAAAGTTTGCTTAATTCATGAAATGCGTTCTGAGAGAACCACATGCTTATTTCCCTAACAATTTATGGAAGAAGAAATTGCTAATTAGCACCTAAATATTATTTACTGAATATGGTCTCTGCAGGGAGGACCACTCTATATATTACATACTCAGCTCCAGTGAATTTCAAGGAGATAAGCCAAGCAATATAAAGTTTCCATAGCCACAAGCTATTGAGTGTGTGTGTGCGTGCGTGGGCCTGTGCACTCATATCAGTGAGAGAGAAGAGGAAGAAAGAGGGAGGGAAGGAGATGGAAAAGAATGCAGAGTGGTCACAGGTTGGTCTTAGTCCCATGTCCATTCCAAGGCCACATAAACCCTATGCTTAAGCTGGCAACCTTCCTTCCCTCATTTTCATTGTTCACGCCCATTTCAACTCTCCAAACCCTTCAAACACCCTGAATTCACTTTTTTTCCGATTCCGGATGGCTTAACTGCTGATGAGATTTCATCTGGGAATACACTAGCTATTCTGTCGGCCTTTAACGCCAACTGCAAAGCGGGTTTCGAACAATGCTTGACTGATAGAGTGATTGAACAAGAACCGCAGAACAAAATCACCTGCATCATCTATGATGGAATTATGTACTTCTCTGAATCTGTGGCAAATTATCTAAATATTCCAAGCATCCTCTTGCGCACGCAAAGCGCTATCAATTTTATTGCTCTCAACCCCCTCCTACGGCTTCATTAAAAAAGGTCACACTCCATTCCAAGGTATGTGTGCCCTGTTTCCTCCTTTCTATATGTTTCTTCTGCAAATGAGGGAAGAGGCTAATGCCTGATTTGTTTGCTTAGTGTATGATGTTTTCTTTTTATTACTTGTAACTAAGACCACAACTCTGGATCACAGAATCTATGTCACTGAATCCGGTGTCCGAGCTTCATCCCCTCAGGTTCAAGGATCTGCCCACCTCCATTTCGAAACACTCGAAAACTATTTGAAACTAGTTGCTAATTTACAAAAAGTTAGGACATCCTCAGCGGTCATTTGGAACACCATGGACTGCCTTGAACAATCATCGGTGGCACAGATCCAGCAAGAATTTCAAGTTCCAATCTTCACCGTAGGTCCTTTTCACAAGATTGCAACAGCGGCCTCAAGTAGTTACTAGAAGAGGACACCGGCTGCATTGTGTGGTTTGAAAAGCAATCTCATAACTCAGTTATCCATGTAAGCTTTGGGGAGTCTAGCATCCATCTGCTAGAAAGAACTATACGAAATGGCTTGGGGCTTAGCTAACAGCAAGCAACCTTTCTCGTGGGTGATCAGGCCCGGATCAATTTGTGGTTCAGATTGGATTGAGCTACTGCCTCAAGAATTCATAGAAGCTGTTGGAGAAAGAGGTTGCATTGTTAAATGCGCACCCCAAGATGGAAGTTTTTGGCGCATGACGCAGTGGGCGGGTTTTGGAGCCATTGCGGTTGGAACTCAACCCTGGAAAGTTTATCAGAAGGGGTTCCGATGATATGCAGGCCGTGCTCTGGCGATCAGAAGGTGCAGGCAAGGTATGTGAGCCAAGTATGGAAAGTAGGGTTGCAATTGTTATAAAACTTATGGTAGATGATGATGGGAAGGGAATGAGGGTGAGGGCCAGGGAGTTGAAGGAGAAAATAGAAGTTAGTATGAAGGGTGGCTCTACCTACCATTCCTTGAATGAGCTTGTGGAGCTTATTTACAGCTGTGTTTTTTTCTCAACTAAAAGTCCTTTCTAGAACGAACTCACACAATCATTACAGTATTTGGTGGGAGATGTTGAATGGCGATTTGGCCTTCTATTCTGACAAATAAGTAATGGACATCATGTAAGAGTCCTTTCAAATTTCAAAAACCATGTGGCATTTCCCTTATGAAATAAATAAGATCATCTGTTTATCGGTTCATGTACCAGACACAACCAGCCAATATACTCTTCAATATTAATTCATGAACTGCAGCCAAGTTTGACAAAGATGTTTAGGAATTATTACATCAAGTCAGTTCTTCCTCTAATACCAGACACAACAACCAGCCAATATACTTTTCAATATCAATCAATGAATTGCAGCAGCTAGCTGTGCTGAGAACTACAAGCTTATGTTCCAAACAAATGGAAAAGGACAAACTTATTATTAATTGGCTTATCTAAATATTATTTTCTTAGCATGGTCTCTATATATTACATACTCAAGCCCCTATGAATTTCAAGGAGACAGTCAAGCAATATAAAGCTTCCATAGCCGCAAGCTATTGAGTGTCTCTGTGCGTGTGTACGCGCTCTTATCGGTGAGACTGAAGAGGAAGAGGGAGGGAGGGAGATGGAAAAGAAACAACAGAGTGGTCAACTGTTGGTCTTAGTTCCATGCCCATACCAAGGCCACATAAACCCTATGCTTAAGCTGGGTACCTTCCTTCACTCGAAGGGCTTTTCCATTTCAATTGTTCACACCCATTTCAACTCTCCAATCCCTTCAAACCACCCCGAATTCACCTTCTTTCCAATACCAGATGGCTTAACTGCTGATCAGATTTCATCTGGGAATGTAGTAGCTATTGTGTTTGCTATTAACGCCAATTGCAAAGCGAGTTTCAAACAATGCTTGACTGATAGAGTGACGGAACGAGAACCGCAGAACAAAATCACCTGCATCATCTATGATGAACTTATGTACTTCTCTGAATCTGTGGCTAATGATCTAAACATTCCAAGAATCCTCTTACGCACACAAAGTGCTACCAATTTTATTGCTCGCAATGCGGTAATACAACTTCATTCGAAAGGTTGCACTCCCTTCCCAGGTATGTGCCCTGTTTCCTCCTTTCTATGTTTCTTTCTGCAAACGAGGAAAGAGGCTAATGCCTGAGTCATTTTTCTGAAGAGTATGATGTTTATTTTTCTTACTTATAAGACTATAACTCCGGATCACAGAATCTATGTTAGTGAACTCGGTGGATGAGCTTCATCCCCTCCGGTTCAAGGATCTGCCCATCACCATTTTCGACACACTTGAAAACTATTCAAAACTATTGGCTATTGCCAACAATGTTAGGACATCCTCAGCCATCATTTGGAACACCCCGGACTGCCTTGAACAATCATCACTAGCAAAGGTCCAGCAACAATGTCAAGTTCCAATCTTCTCCATAGGTCCTCTTCACAAGATTGCAACAGTAGCCTCCAGTAGTTTACTAGAAGAAGACACAGGCTGTGTTGCGTGGCTTGACAAACAATCCCATAACTCAGTTATCTATGTAAGCTTGGGGAGTCTGGCATCCATCAGTGAGAAAGAAATAGCCGAAATGGCTTGGGGATTAAATAACAGCAGGCAACCTTTTTTGTGGGTGATTAGGCCCGGATCAATTTGCGGTTCTGATTGGATCGAGCTACTGCCTCAAGGTTTCCTAGAAGCTGTTGGAGAAAGAAGTTGCATCGTGAAATGGGCACCCCAGATGGAAGTCTTGGCGCATGGCGCAGTGGGCGGGTTCTGGAGCCATTGTGGTTGGAACTCAACCCTGGAAAGTATATCTGAAGGCGTTCCGATGTTATGCAGGCCGTGCTTTAGTGATCAGAAGGTGAATGCAAGGTATGTAAGCGAAGTATGGAAAATAGGGATACAATTGGAGAATGAATTAGAGAGGGGAGAGATAGAGAGAGCTGTTAGGAAACTTCTGGTAGATGATGATGGGAAGGGAATGAGGGTGAGGGCCAAGGAGTTGAAGGAGAAAATAGAAGTTAGTATGAAGGGTGGCTCTACCTACCATTTCTTGAATGAGCTTGTGAAGCTTATAAGGTCATTTTAATTGGAACAAGAAGTGTTTTTTTTTCTCTCAACTAAGTGATTTCTGGAACGAACTCACACAATCATTCCCTCCCCCTTATCCATCCTTACAACATTTGGCGGGAGATGTTAAATGCTAGGCCTCTTTGTATTCTGATAAATAAGTAATGGACATCATGTAAGAGTCAAAATATTTTTTCCAATTTCAAAACAACAGGGGACATGTCTCTAGTGAAATAAATAAGATCATCTGTTATCTGTTCATGTTGATGTTGTTACCTCCCTTTTGACCATCACCATTTGATTTATAAAGGTTGACTATTAAGCATAGGGTTTAGGGTGTAGAATTATATCAAAAGTGTAACCAAACGAAAGTTCAAGACGACACGGCGTACCAACACAGAAGAAGTAAATATAGAGGATGCTGGCTCATCTTGAACTTAATAAGAATAATAAAATAAAATTATTAACATAAAGAAATATAGTATCATGTTACTACGAGTCATCAATTGTTTACTGAAGGAGGATGAGTAGGACTTATTCCTTGAAGATGCAGCCACGTTTGATAAAGATTTTACATCCCCTAAAACGACCCACAACTAGCCAATATACTTTTCAATCTTAGAGATGAGTATCCAAAGTTCACTTATTTCATGAAACGCAACACCCAGCTGTCCTGGGAACCACATGCTTCTGTCCCAAACAATTTATGGAAAAAAAAGGCAAACTTATTATTAATTGACATACTCACGCTCCAACGAATTTCAAGTTCCATAGCCAGAAGCTGTTGAGTGTCAGTGTGCGCACGTGCGTATCTTTTGTATTAATAATTGGCGTAAATTAATGTGCTAATCATCTAATTAAAAATACTCGCAAGTGCACGAATTTATTGAGGTGTAGATTTGCAAGTACGGAGTCGATCCCATGAGCAGGGGCGGAGCTAGAATTATAAAGTTTGAGGGCCGAAGTAGAAAATACAAGTATATAAAATACCTAAGTATTCAATAATTACATATTTAGAGCTAAATGTTTCTAATTGAGTCATGTCTAATTTGTTTTAAAGGAAATTTTAACTTAAATTATAAGTTGTTTTTTTACAAATTCTACAAATTATATATATAATAGAGGAGGGATAAAAATATGGGGGGGCCAGGGCCACTCAAGGTCTAGGAGTGGCTCCGCCACTGCCCACGAGGAACTTTCGGCTTACTAAAAGTTCTAGTTTGAGTATGTAAAGAACACTTATTTAACACAACACACAGGTAAAATGCAAATTCGAATCTAAGAGTGAATAAAGAATAGTAAAAGAAATGAAACAAAACAAGAAACTAAAGATAAACACAAACATCAATTTCTATCACCCTTTTATCACCTTTCTATTACCACTATATCACTTCTTTGTCATCTATTTATCACCCAGTGAACAGTAACGACCGGTCGCATGAACAGTAACAACTTGTCGTTTTGAAACATATTGTGACCTGAAAACCAAAATGGAAGGCGACCGGTCTCATGAACCGTGACGGCCAATCGTTTTGAAGTAGAGTGTGTGCTCTGTTTTCAGCTTTGACCTCTGTTGAGTTTTTTACCTATAACTTTTATCCAAATTTTACGTTCTTCATATGGTTGGATTCAGCACAGAAAAAGGAAGAACTCATTGTGGACCAAATGTCATAAACAATTACGGAAGTGAGCAGAATTCAATGGGTAAAACACACAACGTTTCAAAAACACACACACACACATACGAGGAATTTGGGTAGGGGGGGGGGGGGGGGGTGGTTGGTTCAAGTACCTAATTCTAATGCTTGAATGTAACCACACGCTAATTATAACAAGATTGACAAAGATGAATATCAAAGTGTGACTTGAAATATGAAAAACACTAGGGTTTTTGGAATCCACCCTAAACAATCATACTCACGTTCATGGACACCCAAGTAATGAACTCTAAATGTGTTGATGAAGATGTTCACAATCAAGACCGAGTCTAGTGGCTGAAGATGCATTGATTCTCTCTAATATAACTAGACTGCGGGGCTAGTGCTACAATACTCGTGCCTTCTCTATAATCAAGATAGGTGTGCTTAGTACTTCAATTTAATTACATGAAAAACCCATTAAATTCAAAGAGAATATGAACATCAGAAGAACCCTAATAGTATGATGTTTACATTAGGCATTCAAGAAACCAATTCACATGGATGCATTCAAGAAACCAATTCACATAGATGATTCTTACTTCATCCATTTATTGCTTAGTAAAACATGAGGGTACATATAATCCCAACAATATCAAGAAGCATGCTTTCAAGGGTGATCAATCAAAGAAAAACATACATCAATGATAGCTTATTTTAGTGAATGGGAATTCATCAACAATATCTAAAAATTCTTAAACTTAAGCATCAAAACAATAGAGTAATCGTGTTTGGGGCTTCAACCTAAGCCCTAGTTATGGAGTTTAGTTCCTCATACTTATTTCAAACATAGATTCAAAATATAACTAGAAAGAGTTGATAGATTTTGTGAAAGTGATGGAAGCTCACGGTCTTCAATGATGGACAATGTTCTTCTCCTTCTTGCTTGGTTGCACCTTGTCTCCTCTCCAGCTCCAATCTCTAATCTTTGCTCAATCTCATAAAAATGTCGAATGATTCAATGAATGGCTGATGCCTTTCCTTTTGCTGTAACATCCCACATCGACCAACGGAGAGGGATAATGAGCCTTATATGTACATGCCCGCCTCCATCTATCACGAAGCCTTTTGGGAGCTCACTAGCTTCGGAGTCATAGGAACTTTGAAGTTAAGCGAGTTGGGGCTAGAGCAATCCCAGGATGGGTGACCCACTAGGAAGTTGCTCGTGAGCTCCCAGAAACAAAACCGTGAGGGCAAATAGGGGGGCCCAAAGCGGACAATATCGTGCTACGGAGGAGCCGATCCCGAGATGTGACAATTTGGTATTAGAGCCACTCTGCCGTGTAGTGCGAGTGTGCCAATGAGGACGTCGGGCCCTTAAGGGGGGTGAATTGTAACATCCCACATCGACCAACGGAGAGAGGGTAATGTGCCTTATATGTACATGCCCGCCTCCATCTAGCACGAGGCCTTTTGGGAGCTCACTAGCTTCAGAGTCATAGGAACTCTAAAGTTAAGCGAGTTAGGGCTAGAGCAATCCTAGGATGGGTGACCCACTGGGAAGTTACTCGTGAGCTCCTAGAAACAAAACCATGAGGGCAGAGAGGGGGCCCCAAAGCGGACAATATCGTGCTATGGCGAAGCCGATCTCGGGATGTGACATTTGCTTCTTCTCTCTCTTACTTTCCAGCTCACACCTCAATCTTAAACTCCACTACCTTTTGCTAAAGCCTTTAATCATTGTCTCCTCGTTGTCTTCTTGCCATGATGAGATTTTGTTTTTAAATACATTACAAGGTTCTCCTTGATTCAAAAAATCCCACTTCATAAGGTAATTTATTGTTACCAAATGGTATGGTAACAAGTACAAATAAGATGACATCAAGTAGAGGTGAAACTTGCCCAAAACATATTTCCAAAGCCAGGATCAATTGTTGGATCAGTTGGCTAGGCTATACTTTCTCTCAAATTCGGATATGTTGTAGTCAATATCCATTGGAACAAGTTTCATGAAGATCTTCACCTCATCCGAGCAACGGAGCTTGCTAATCCAAAGCCAAGAAGTTGACATACAAAAATGAACAAAAACAGAATTTATAACCAATAATGCATTTTTAGCTCATTTTCATTCTAACCAAGGTAAAATCTATGAAAACAAAAAAAGGAATTAAAATGCTATGAAATGTCAAGAACTAACTCAAAATATTGGGTGAATAACATGATAAATCATGTGTAAAAATGAACCATTCTTCATACCATTTCAACTCTCCAACCTTTCAAACCACCCTGAATTTGCCTTTTTTCCAATACCAGATGGATTTAACTGCACATGAGATTTCATGCCCTTCTCTGAAGTTGTGGCTAGTTATTAGAACATTCCAAGCATCGTCTTACGCACTGTCAACGTTACCCATTTGTTGCCCGCTGCACAATCCTACAACTTCATTCAAAAGGTTACATTCCCATACCTATTACGTACCATCTGTTGACTTAGCCTTCCTAATTAATCAATGAGATTTATTTCCTTGATTAATTTGGGGATTTACTTTTTATTTTATATAGTTGACATATCCTTATATAATTAGGTGATATTCTTCTAACTGAAAAGCACTCATGTATATACCTCCTTATGGAGAAGAATATAATACCTCCTTATGGAGAATAAATATATACGGATATGTCAATTCTAAAATAAATATATACGGATATGTAAACTCCTATATATACCTCCTTATGGAGAAGAATATAATTGACCAAAAGTATTCAAACCATATTCATATTTTAGCATGGTATCAGATCAATCGATCATAGGTTGTCTCTAAACCCTTAAATCTTACCCTCAAATTCAAACCTAAACCCTAAATCAAATTCCTCAAATTCAAATTCCTTAAATCCAAATCTTATACACTCATATCAAATCCTCTTATCAAAACCCATGCTTTATCTTATCCTCAAATCCTTCAGTTGCAATAGGTGACCTCCCGCTCTCACACATATAGGCTCTTCTACCTCCACTCCTCAAATTGTTGCTATTCACAATGAAAACTCCTCGTTTCCTACTGGCGTCACCCTGACTGAAACCAACTATGTCTTATGGTCTCAAGTCATGGAGATGTGTATTGCTGCCCGGAAAAATTGGGGTACCTAACCGGAGACACTCCACAGCCCCCTCAGAGCTTGTCCACCTATAACAAATGGTGTACCGAGAACTTTCGGGTCAAAAGGTGGTTAATTGACTCCATGTCTCCTGATTTCATGAGTCGTTTCAACCAATTAAGTATCGCCAAAGAAATCTGAGCTGCCGTCAAGAAGACCTACAATGATGGTGGGGATGAAACTTATGTTTTTTTTATCTCAACAAACAGTTGTTCACTATTAAACAGAATGGTGCACCTATTCATAAGTATTATAGCTAGCTGCATAGTATTTTAAGGAAGTTGACCATCATCCGCATGCATTGCGATGCCGATGTCATTAAGCGCTAGACAGAACTGGATCGTCTTAGTGTTCACCTTTTTCTTGCCGGTTTTGACCCTGAGTTTGATCAAGTGTGAGGGGAAATCTTATGAAAAGATCCTAAATTAGACCTTGACCAAACATTTACATATGTTTGTCACGAAGCTCAACAGCTAATGACCATGACTGGTGCTTCGGAAACCTTTATCATGGTCGCTCAACGTCAAAGGGGGGCCCCAGACTTCGACCGGTGGATCTTCTTAGAACAAGGCTTCAGGATCTCATCCAGAGAAGAAGTGCACTCACTGTGGAGAAGACAAACATACCCGTACTAGCTGTTACGAATTGATTGGGTATCCTGATTAGTGGGACCACTCCAAAGATCCTCGCAGACATAGGACTAAATCACTCCACACATCTTCCGACTCATACCCTATAAGTCCTGTTGTTTTGGCTACACTGGCTCCAGCATCTGCCTCTATGACCACAATAGGTACCAAAGGTCATGTTTTAAATACTACATCCAAGAAACACACATGGATCATTGACATAGGAGCAATTGACCATATGACATGTGATCCTGGAAAAATTACCTCTCATACACCGTCCCCTCAATTGATGGTGTCTAATGTTAATGGTACCCCATCCCCCATGATTGGAGAGAGTTCACTCTCTCTCTGACTCCCTCAATTTGGACTCAGTGTTGATTATTCCGTCCTTGCACCACAATCTATTGTCTGTTGTCCAAATTACTATGGCTTTGAATTGCACTGTAACTTTTTGGCCTACTTATTGTGTTTTTCAGGACATTCTGAGCAGCAAGACGATTGGTTGTGGAACTAGGAAAGGCAAACTCTACTACCTGGACATGGCACCTGACAGTGAAGCCAGAGTATGTCAAGCTTTCGAGATTATGGGTGCTAGTATTGAGAAACAAATTGACAAAGTATAGTTATGGCATAGACGTCTTGAACATGCTTCATTTGGATATTTACAGAAGTTATTTCCATCCATATCTACCAGTTTAGATATTTCAAGTTTTAAGTATGACATTTGTGAACTAGCTAAGAGTCATTGTGTTCCTTTTCTCTTAAGTTCCAATAAAAGTTCGATTCCATTTTCTCTTATGCATTATGATGTTTGGGGCCCTACTAAAATTGCTACTCCAAGGGGAGCTCGATGGTTTGTCACGTTTACAGATGATTGCACACGCTTGACTTGGATTTCCCTTCTCAAAACTGAAGGGGAAGTCAGTTCAAAGTTTCAACAGTTTCAACAAATGGTGGAGACTCAGTTTCAGGCCACAATGCAGGTTCTTCGTCCTAATGGCGGAGAAATTCTCAACCAAGATCTTAACAAGTTCTTACAATCATGGCATCATACATCAACGCTCATGCCCACACTCCTTAACAAAACGTAATGGTTGAAAGAAAGAACAAACATGTGTATTGGAAGTAGTTCGTGCCCCTTTTATTTATGCCAATATGCCTCGGTCATTTTGGGGAGAAGCCGTCCTATCTACAGCTTACCTTATCAATCGAATCCCCTATAGTATTTGAATTTACAAACACCACTTCAAACATTTCATCACCATATCCAAATACCTCTCACCCAAAATCTTGAACCCCTGATTTTCGGTTGTGTTATTACATAGCCACCAACATAGCAAATTGGAACCCCGAACAGACAAGTGTATTTTCATTGGCTATGCTCCTCATCAGAAAAGATACTGTTGTTATCATCCTCCTAATCAGAAGGTATATACCTCCATGTATGTCGTGTTCCAGGAATACTATATATTTTTTTTTCAACAGCACATGAAGTGAATCAAGAATCAATCACTCCCAAGATTTTCGATTTTTCCCTCAGGATGGCTCTCTGCTTCAAAGCGACTGGTCACATATCTCACTCGATTGGTCGCTCCCCACGAATTCCTCACAGACAAAGCCCCTGCTTCTAAGAGACTAGTCGACTCCACGTTGCCAAAATCAGGATAAGGAAATTGAACTGTTTTATGCAATTTTGCCCACTCCAGAGATGCCTTTAGCTCCAGTACCACACCAATCACCTGCTGAGAATGTTATTCAAGTAACACCTTCTCCTGAAACTGATAACACTAATGAAATATACCATGATGATTTGATTTTAGAAAGCATAAGGGACACATACACCTCTGTATATCGTTTTCCAGAAAGGATGAACCATGGTAAACATCGAGTACAGTACGAAGCAGATCTTAAAGCCAAAGCAAAATACCCCATCAACAATTATATATCAATAAGCAGATTGTCTGAATCACATGCATACTTTGTGAAGGAGTTGGCCAACATATCTATTCCCAGTAGTGTGACTGAAGCACTAAAAGACTTAAAATGGAAAGAAGCCATGAATGAAGAAATGCGAGCGCTCCAAAATAATGCCACATGGGAGCTCATATCTTTACCTCACAGAAAGAAGACAATGGGATGCATGTGGATCTATAATGTGAAACTCAAAGCAAATGGATCCTTTGAAAGATACAAAGCTAGACTGGTGGCAGAAGGGTACACATAGAGATATGGGGTAGACTACCAAGAAATCTTTGCCTGGTAGCTAAGATCAACACTATCAGAATCCTACTATCTCTAGCAGCAAATCTAGACTGGCCACTACATCAGTCTGATGTTAAAAATGCCTTCTTACATGAAGACTTAGAGAAAGAGGTCTACATGGATTTACCACTAGGATGTAGTGTAGCTCATGATAAGAATGATCAAGTTTGCAAGCTCAGAAAATCATTATATAGGGATAGTTTGGCAAATTCACTAAGTTCATGAAGAATTTTGGATACACTTAAAGTAATTCAGACCATACCATGTTCTTAAAGCGCAATGGCGAAAAAATCACTGCATTAATCACGTATGTGGATGACATGGTCATAACTGAGAATGACGCATAAGAACAACAGAAACTACGAAAGTATTTGTCTCAGGATTTTGAGATGAAGGATTTAGGTGCTTTGAAATACTTCCTTAGAATAGAAGTATCAAGGTCAAAAACTGGTATATTTCTGTCTCAAAGGAAGTATGTGATGGATCTACTCACTAAAAGATGAATGCTTGGATGCAAGCCTACTGACACATCCATTGAGATGAATCACAAGTTGTAGGAAGGCATGGACCGGGTGCCGAACAATAAGGAATAGTACCAGCGCCTTGTTGGAAGATTGATATATTTGGCACACACAAGACAGGTATTGCATACATTATAAGTGTAGTTAGTCAATTTATGCATTCTTCTAGTATTTCTCATAGGAATGTAGTTGATCGAATCTTAATGTATTTTTCAACCCCTAAAAAAGGACTAATGTTCTCCAAGAATGGAAATCTTGAAGTTATTGGATATACATATGCTAAGTAGGCTGATTCCATTACATATACACTCTACATCAGGTTACTTTACATTTGTGGAAAAATAAAATGTGATTTTTAGGTCTAGTGCAGAAGCAGAATATAAAGGAATAGCTCAAGGAGTCTGTGAATTATTATGGATCAGAAGACTCTTGACAAAATTGGGTTTCAAACCATAAAAGCCAATGAAGTTACATTGTGACAACAAGTCAGCTATCGATATTGCTCATAATCCAATTCAACATAATTGAACCAAACATGTTGAGGTGGATAGACATTTCATCAAAGAAAAAATTGAGAATAAGATCATCTCCCTACTATTCGTAAAATCAGAAGATCAACTAGCAGATGTCTTAAAAAAAAGTTGTCAATGGAAGAGTGTTTTATGACTCACTTACCAAGTTGGGCATTGGTGAGGTATATGCACCAACTTGAGGAGGAGTGTTGACATGAGCCTTCCTAATTAATCAAGGAGATTTATTTCCTTGATTAATTAGGGGATTTACTTTCTTATTTTATGTAGTTGACATATCCTTGTATAATTAGGAGAGATTCTCCTAATTGATTATTGTATCTATTTCCTTGTAAAGTACTCATGTAAACTCCTATATGGAGAAAAAAATAATTAACCTAAAGTATTCAAACCATATTCATATTTTAGCACCATCTTTGCTCCTTTTTGTAAAACTATTATAGCAACAATGGCAGCACAAATGCAAACTCCAGTGCTTAAGATTAATCTATTTCTTTGCAAATGAGGGGAAGAGACTAATGCCTGAGTCCTCTTGCTACTTATTTATGGTTCAGATTGATTGAGCTACTGCCTCATAAAAGCTATTTGAGAAAGAGGTTGCATTGTGAAATGGGCACCCCAGATGGAAATTTTGGCTCATCGCCTAGTGGGTGGGTTTTGGAGCCATTGTGGTTCGTCTGAAGGGGTTCCAATGTTATGCAGGCCGTGCTTTAGCGATCAGAAGGAGAATGCAAGGTATGTGAGCGAAGTATTTAAAATAGGGATACAATTGGAGAATGAATTAGAGAGGGCAGAAATAGAGAGAGGGGTTAGAAAACTTATGGTAGATGAGGATGGGAAGGGAATGAGGGTGAGTGCCAGGGAGTTGAAAGAGAAAATAGATGTCAGTATGAAGGGTGGCTCTACCTACCATTCCATGAAATCAGCTTGTGGAGCTTATAAGGTCATTTTAATTGGAACAACAAGTGCTTTTTTTCCCTCAACTACGTCCTTTGTCATTAAATATAGTTGAGGCTTCGTGCATCTGATGTAAACAAAACTTTCTTTGTAGTATATTACTCACTCTTGGATGAAATTTACTATTCCAATGCATTGATTTGTACAATCCAGACTTTACATTTCAAAGTAGTTGAAGCAACAATATCAAGGTGATTCTATGAACTCCCACAATCACTCCATTACAAATCATTGATGGAAAATTGTTTCTCTTCTCTTCTTTCGTTGATGGTCGCTACTAACGAAAGAGGGCGAAGAGGTTATGTTATAGTATAAAATAAAGAAGAATAGCAAAGACATGAGGAACAACGTTAAGTGTCCACTGCTCTGTTTCTTTAGATTGAATTGGGTGTATCTAACCATTAAGTTTTTTTTATCTTTGTGAAAAGCCCTACTACTTAAAGAAGGTCCACGACCCCTTACCCTGCTGAAGATTCCACACTCCTTCCACCTAATTTGACACTTAATTTGGGTGTTAAGAGCTCATATGGTGAGTAGGCCTTCTATTCTGACAAATAAGTAATGGACATCATGTAAGAGTCAAAATCTTTCTTTCAAATTTCAAAAACCACATGTGGCATTTCCCTTATGAAATCAATAAGATCATCTGTTTTATTGGTTCATGTTGATGCTGCTATGACCACCACTATTTCATTTATAAAGGCTTTAGGGTGTAGAATTATAGGTTTTTTAGGTTTTAGACATAAAAAAAATTTCACTTTTGGAAAAAGCCAAAGCTTTTTAAAAAAAGACAAAAAAACCGCTCAACTTTCAAATCAAAGACATGCAAATGTATTGGATTCCTTAGGAAATCTAAAAATAAATAAGGGCATTTTTGTCCATTTTTGCTTCTTTTAAAATTTTTCTCTCTCCTTTTGCTTTTTCTAAAATGTCCCTAGAATTATAGGGTAAACTGCCGAATACCCCCTGAATTATCATGCTTGTCGAAATCTCCGCCTTGAACTTTTTTTGCCTGCCAATTTAGCCCTCATACTAAATTTTATCGCCAATTTATCCCATAATGTTAGTTTTTGAACTTTTTTTGCCTGCCAATTTAGCCCTCATACTGAATTTTATCACCAATTTATCCCCTAATGTTAGTTTTTGGCAATTTCCATCCAAATCTCTGTTAAAAAAGTATCAAGTTAGGCATATGCTTTATTGTTGAATTAAAAATTGAATTTGTTTATCTGGTTCTTCAAGGAGCTTGAATGTGGGAGAAATAAATCGGGGGGAGGGGGAGAGGGAATTCTGGTTTCTGCAGGTGGGGGGTAGGAGGAGGAGGGAGGGGTCTATGAGTGGTGGTTGGGAAATCGAGGGGGAGAAGAAATCTGTGGGGGTGGGGGGAGAAGAAATCAAAGGTGAGGGGGGCTAGTTCTGGGTTTTGCGGGGATTGGAAAAAAAAGGAGGGTCTGTGAGGGAATGAGGGAGAAAGAAATCGGGCGGGGAGGGGGATTCTGGTTTCTACTGGTGTGGGGTGGGAGGAGGGGGGGAGTGGTATGTAGGTGGTGAATTTACCCTTATATTTGACGGGCATTTGGATAGAAATTTCCAAAAACTAACATTGGGGGTAAATTGCCGATAAAATTTAGTATGAGGGCTAAATTGGCAGGCAAACAAGTTCAGGATTGAGATTTCGACAAGCGTAACATTTGAAGGGATATTTGGCAGTTTACCCAGAATTATATCAAATATATAATTAAATGAAAATTCAAGACGACAAGTCGTACCAAGTAAATAGAGGATGCTGGTTCATCAATTTCTCGCTTGAACTTAATAAGAAATCATGACAATAAAATTACTAACATATATAAAGAAAAAATAGTATCATGTAATGGCTAACTCCTTTTCTTTCTGCAGATCTAGAAGTTAATGGCTGATCTTTATGTTTGATGGCAAGTGGGAGGTGCTCTCTTTCCTTTGGCGGATTTTCCTCCTTTTTTGGGGGTTTTTTATGCTAAAGGTTTTTTTACAAGAGGCCCAAACTTGAACATCCTTTTGTTTTCTTCTCCGTGTATTATGTTATCTGATTATTGAATGAAATTCCTTTTCATCAAACAAACAAACAAACAAACAACTAATCATTGTTTTCTGAAAGAGGATGAGTAGGACTTATTCCAAGAAGATGCAGCCAAGTTTGACAAAGATGAGTAAGAAATATTACATCAAGTCAGTTCTTCCTCTAATACCAGACACAACAACCAGCCAATATACTTTTCAATATTAATTCATGAAGTGCACCAGCCAGCTGTGCTGAAAACTACAAGCTTATTATTAATTTGCTTATCTAATATTATCTGCTTAGTATGGTCTCTGCAGGACTGAAGGGCGGCTACTCTATATTATTACATACTCAAGCCCAGATGAATTTCAAGGAGACAGCCGAGCAATATAAAGCTTACATAGCCGCAAGCTATTGAGTGTCTTTGTGTGTGTGTGTGCGCATGCGTGTGCCCGCCCTTATCGGTGAGACAGAAGAGGAAGAGGGAGGGAAGGAGATGGAAAAGAAAGCACAGAGTGGTCAACTGTTGGTCTTAGTTCCATGCCCATACCAAGGCACAATAAACCCTATGCTTAAGCTGGGTACCTTCCTTCACTCAAAGGGCTTTTCCATTTCAATTGTTCACACCCATTTCAACTCTCCAAACCCTTCAAACCACCCCGAATTCACCTTCTTTCCAATACCAGATGGCTTAACTGCTGATCAGATTTCATCTGGGAATGTATTAGCTGTTGTGTTTGCTATTAATGCCAATTGCAAAGCGAGTTTCAAACAATGCTTGACTGATAGAGTGACGGAACAAGAACCGCAGAACAAAATCACCTGCATCATCTATGATGAATTTATGTACTTCTCTGAATCTGTGGCTAATGATCTAAACATTCCAAGAATACTCTTACGCACGCAAAGTGCTACCAATTTTATTGCGCGCAATGCTTTGATACGACTTCATTTGAAAGGTTGCACTCCCTTCCCAGGTATGTGCCCTGTTTCCTCTTGTCTACGCTTCTTTCTGCAAACAAGGAAAGAGGCTAATGCCTGAGTCATTTGTCTTAGAGTACGGTGTTTATTTTTCTTATAAGTTATAACTAACACTATAACTCGGGATCACAGACTCTACGCTACTGAACTCGGTGCCCGAGCTTCATCCGCTCAGGTTCAAGGATCTCCCCATCTATATTTTCGACACAGTTGAAAACTATTCGAAACTATTGACTAATGCCAACAATGTTAGGACATCCTCAGCCATCATTTGGAACACCCTGGAGTGCCTTGAACAATCATCACTAGCACAGATCCAGCAACAATGTCAAGTTCCAATCTTCTCCATAGGTCCTCTTCACAAAGTTTCAACAGCAGCCAACAGTAGTTTACTAGAAGAAGACACCAGCTGTGTTGCGTGGCTGGACAAACAATCCCATAACTCAGTTATCTATGTAAGCTTGGGGAGTCTAGCATCCATCAGTGAGAAAGAACTAGCCGAAATGGCTTGGGGATTAACTAAGAGCGGGCAACCTTTTTTGTGGGTGATTAGGCCCGGATCAATTTGCGGTTCTCATTGGATCGAGCTACTGCCTCAAGGTTTCCTAGAAGCTGTTGGAGAAAGAAGTTGCATTGTGAAATGGGCACCCCAGATGGAAGTCTTGGCACATGGCGCAGTGGGCGGGTTCTGGAGCCATTGTGGTTGGAACTCAACCCTGGAAAGTATATCTGAAGGGGTTCCGATGTTATGCAGGCCGTGCTTTACCGATCAGATGGTGAATGCAAGGTATGTGAGCGAAGTATGGAAAATAGGGATACAATTGGAGAATGAATTAGAGAGGGGAGAGATAGAGAGAACTGTTAAAAAACTTATGGTGGACGAGGATGGGAAGGGAATGAGGGTGAGGGCCAAGGAGTTGAAGGAGAAAATAGAAGTTAGTATGAAGGGTGGCTCTACCTACCATTCCTTGAGTGAGCTTGTGGAGTTTATAAGGTCATTTTAATTGGAACAAGAAGTGTTTTGTTCTCTTTTCTCAACTAAGTGCTTGCTGGAAGAAATTAACATAATCATTCCCTTCCCCTAAGCCATCCTTACAGTATTTGGTGGGAGATGTTGAATGCTAGGCCTCTTTGTATTCTGATAAATAAGTATGTACATCGTGTAAGAGTCAAAATATTGTTTCCACTTTCAAAAACATGTCCCTTGTGAAATAAATAAGATCATCTGTAACCTGTTTATCTGTTCATGTTGTTGTTGTTACTGTGCTTATGACCATCACCATTTGATTTATAAAGATTGACTATTAAGCATAGGGTTTAGGGTGTAGAATTATATCAAAAGTATAATTAAATGAAAATTCAAGACGACACGGCGTACCAAATAAATAGAGGATGCTGGCTCATCAATTTCTTGCTTGAACTTAATAAGAAATCATGACAATAAAATTATTAACATAAGGAAAAAATAGTATCATGTAACAAACAACTAGTCATTGTTTGCTGAAAGAGGATGAGTAGGACTTATTCCATGAGTAGGAATTATTACATCAAGTCAGTTCTTCCTCTAATACCAGACACAACAACCAGCCAATATACTTTTCAATATCAATCAATGAATTGCAGCAGCCAGCTGTGCTGAGAACTACAAGCTTATGTTCCAAACAAATGGAAAAATACAAACTTATTATTCATTGGCTTATCTAAATATTATCTGCTTTGCATGGTCTCTATATATTACATACTCAAGCCCCAATGAATTTCAAGGAGACAGTCAAGCAATATAAAGCTTCCATAGCCACAAGCTATTGAGTGTCTTTGTGCGTCTGTGTGTGCCAGCTTATCAGTGAGACAGAAGAGGAAGAGGGAAGGGGGGGGAGAGATGGAAAAGAAAGCAGAGAGTGGTCAACTGTTGGTCTTAGTTCCATGCCCGTACCAAGGCCACATAAACCCAATGCTTAAGCTGGGTACCTTCCTTCACTCAAAGGGCTTTTCCATTTCAATTGTTCACACCCATTTCAACTCTCCAAACCCTTCAAACCACCCCGAATTCACCTTCTTTCCAATACCAGATGGCTTAACTGCTGATCAGATTTCATCTGGGAGTGCAGTAGCTATCTTGTTAGCTATTAACGCCAATTGCAAAGCTAGTTTCGAACAATGCTTGACTGATAGAGTGACGGAACAAGAACCGCAGAACAAAATCACCTGCATCATCTATGATGAATTTATGTACTTCTCTGAATCTGTGGCTAATGATCTAAACATTCCAAGAATACTCTTACGCACGCAAAGTGCTACCAATTTTATTGCTCGCAATGCTATGATACGACTTCATTCGAAAGGTTGCACTCCCTTCCCAGGTATGTGCCCTGTTTCCTCTTGTCTACGTTTCTTTCTGCAAACAAGGAAAGAGGCTGCCTGAGTCATTTTTCTTAGAGTACAATGTTTATTTTTCTTACTTATAAGTTATAACTAACACTATAACTCGGGATCACAGACTCTATGTTACTGAACTCGGTGCCCGAGCTTCATCCCCTCAGGTTCAAGGATCTCCCCATCTATATTTTCGACACACTTGAAAACTATTCAAAACTATTGACTAATACCAACAATGTTAGGACATCCTCAGCCATCATTTGGAACACCCTGGACTGCCTTGATCAATCATCGCTAGCACAGATCAAGCAACAATGTCAAGTTCCAATCTTCTCCATAGGTCCTCTTCACAAATTTGCAACAGCAGCCACCAGTAGTTTACTTGAAGAAGACACCGGCTGTGTTGCGTGGCTTGACAAACAATCCCATAACTCAGTTATCTATGTAAGCTTGGGGAGTCTAGCATCCATCAGTGAGAAAGAACTAGCCGAAATGGCTTGGGGATTAGCTATCAGCAGGCAACCTTTTTTGTGGGTGATCAGGCCCGGATCAATTTGCGGTTCTGATTGGATTGAGCTACTGCCTCAAGGTTTCCTAGAAGCTGCTGGAGAAAGAGGTTGCGTTGTGAAATGGGCACCCCAGATGGAAGTTTTGTCTCATGACGCAGTGGGAGGGTTCTGGAGCCATTGTGGTTGGAACTCAACCCTAGAAAGTATAACTGAAGGGGTTCCAATGTTATGCAGGCCGTGCTTTAGCGATCAGACGGTGAATGCAAGGTATGTGAGCCAAGTATGGAAAATAGGAATACAATTGGAGAATGAATTAGAAAGGGGAGAGATAGAGAGAACTGTTAAAAAACTTATGGTGGATGAGGAAGGGAAGGGAATGAGGGTGAGGACCAAGGACTTGAAGGAGAAAATAGAAGTCATTATGAAGGGTGGCTCTACCTACCATTCATTGAATGAGTTTGTGGAATTTATGAGGTCATTTTAATTGGAACAAGAAGTGTTTTTTTCTCTTTTCTCAACTAAGTGCTTTCTGGAACGAATTCACACAATCATTCCCTCCCCCTAAGCCATCCTTACAGTATTTGGTGGGAGATGTTGAATGCTAGGCCTCTTTGTATTCTGATAAATAAGTAACGTACATCATGTAAGAGTCAAAATATTTTTTCCAATTTCAAAAACATGTCCCTTGTGAAATAAATAAGATCATCTGTTTATCCGTTCATTTTGATGTTGTTACTGTGCTTACAACCATTGCCATTTGATTTATAAAGATTGACTATTAAGCATAGGGTTTATGGTGTAGAATTATATCAAAAGTATAATTAAAGGAAAGTTCAAGATGACACGGCTTACCAATACAGAAGAAGTAAATAGAGGATGCTGGCTCATCTTGAACTTAATAAGAAATAATGAAAATAAAATTATTAACATAAAGAAATAGAGTATCATGTTACTAGGAGTCATCAATTGTTTACGGAAAGAGGACGAGTATGATAAAGATCAGTTTCCTCTCCTAAAACTACCCACAACTAGCCAATATACTTTTCAATCTTAGAGATGAGTATCCAAAGTTTACTTATTTCTTGAAACGCAATACCCAGCTGTCCTGAGAACCACATGCTTCTGTACCAAACAATTTATGGAAAAAAGGCAAACTTATTATTAATTGACTTACCTATCTGCTTAATGTGGTCTCTGCAGGACTGAAGGACCACTCTGTATTCTATTATAGCAACAATTGCAGTACAAAATGCAAACTCTAGTGCTTAAGATTAATCTCTCTCTCTGAAAATGAGGGGAAGAGACTAATGCCTGAGTCCTCTTACTGCTTATTTATGGCTCAGATTGATTGAGCTGTTGCCTCATGAAGGCTATTTGAAAAAGAGGTTGCATTGCGAAATGGGCACCCCAGATGTAAGTTTTGGCTCATGGATCAGTGGGTGGGTTTTGGAGCCATTGTGATTGGAACTCAACCCTGAAAAGTATTTCTGAAGGGTTTCCGATGTTATGCAGGCCGTGCTTTAGCGATCAGAAGGTGCATGCAAGGTATGTCAGTCAAGTATGGAAAATAGGGATACAACTGGAGAATGAATTAGAGAGGGGAGAGATAGAGAGAGTCTTAGAAAACTTATGGTAGATGAGGATGGGAAGGGAATGAGGGTGAGGGCCAGGGAGTTGAAGGAGAAAATAGATGTCAGTATGAAGGGTGGCTCTACCTACCATTCCTTGAATGAGCTTGCGGAGCTTAAAAAGTCATTTTAATTGGAACAAGAAGTGTTTTTTTTCCCTCAACTAAGTCCTTTGTCATTAAATTTATAGTTGAGGCTTCTTGCATCTGATGTAAACAAACTTCTGTTTGTAGTACATTACTCACTCTTAAATGAAATTTACTATTCCAATGCATTGGTTTGTACAATCCAGACTTTACATTTCAAAGTGGTTGAAGCAACAATATCTAGGTGATTCTACGAACTCACACAATCATTCCACTACAAATCATTGATGGAAAATTGTTTCTCTGCTCTTCTTTCATTGATCGTCGCTACCAACGAAAGAGGGTGAAGAGGTTCTGTTATAGCACAAAATAAAGAAGAATAGCAAAGATAGGAGGAAAAACGTCTAGTGTCCATTGCTCTGTTTCTCTAGATTGAACTGGGTGTAACTAACCATTAAGTTTTTTATCTTCGTGAAAACCCATACTACTTAAGCAGGAAAACGGGCTTTTACTCGGTGGTTCTCTCGAAACTAAGATGAACTAAAGCCAATTTCCTAGGACGACTCCTAAAAGATGGTTGCATTGATCTTTCAAGGTGTGTAACAATTTAGTTATTTTTCATCTCTCTGAAAGCTGCATTGACATTGTTTTAGCCTTTTCTTGAGAACTATGGTTCGATGTTCTCTGGTTCTCATATATAAAAATGTTTCAGAGATTTGGATGACTTACTGCAACTGATAACGAAATCCCACGATTTAAGCCCAAACAAGTGCCTTTCAGCTCCTGCTCTCTGAGTGATCTTGGAAAGCTGACATCTTGGGCTTCTTGCTTGTCACACAAGTCATGTTCTGTTTCATAAGTTGCAAAAAGTTTCTTTGAGTTTCCATTCTCACTCCACATCTTTTCAACCAAAGTAATTAAAATGTATTTATGCATTCTCAATATATTATTACTAGCATGACAAATAAACACACACCTACACGAGCGGTACAATCTGGTTGGAGATGTTGAATGATGTTGGCAAGTACGCCTATTTCCCCTCTAGTATGATGGCCTACATGAAATTGCTTCTTCAGAACAAGAACAGCCTGGCCGTTGAACAACCAGCAACTTAATTTTTGAACTCTGTCCATTTATGCTATAAAGAGTGAACATCTTTCTTTCCAACTTCAAAAACCACATGTTGCTTGTGATATAAGACCATCTGATTATGACCTAAACCCTTTCGTTGAAGTTTAGGGTTTATAATTTAGTATTTATCAAACAAACAATCCGTGCTTATCATTCTCTCTTGAACTTATTTATAAAAAATAAAAATAAAAACAATCAAAATAGATTTACCATAAAGCAAAAAAAAAAGTTATTAGAAGGTGAGCATTCAACCCAAAACCAATTGATGATGGATAGAGAGTTCTAAGATCATTTAAACCACTAAGTCAAGATTTCTTTCTGAAAGAGGATGAGAGAATCAGTCCTTAGCGCCTTAATCCACGAAGATGTAGATGATAAAGAACTGGTAGCTGAGTATCTCTATCAGGATAATGCATGACTGAGGCACTATACCATAAAGTCTGTCTCTTTAACCCGGCCAGTCTATTTTCAGTACTTCAAAGACAAGATTCCAAAATTTGTTTAAAAACTACAACAACCAACTGCTAGAATCACATGCTTATCTCCACACAAAAAATTATATAAAAGAACAAATTTATTTCTAATTTAGCATGACATGTGCGAATAAAGAAGTGCCAAATTATTCACCAAAAACTGAATTGCTATATTATGATAAATTTCTATAAGCACCAACACAAAGCAAGACAGTTTCCAATAGCTGTAGCCTATTGGGGAGAGACAGAGAGATAGAGAGAGAGAGAGAAGAGAAGAGGAGAAGAGGAGAGAAGAGAGAAAGAGGGAAGGGGAGGGAGATGGAAAAGAAAACACAGAGTAGTCAAAGGTTGGTTTTATTCCCATGTCCATACCAAGGCCACATTAACCCAATGCTTCAGTTGGGTACCTTCCTTCACTCAAAGGGCTTTTCCATTACAGTTGTTCACACCCATTTCAACTCTCCTAACCCTTCAAACCACCCTGAATTCACCTTTTTTCCAATACCAGATGGCTTAACTGCTGATGAGATATCATCTGGGAATATAATGGCCATTCTGTTGGCTCTTAATGCCAATTGCAAAGCGAGTTTTGAACAAACCTTGACTGAAGTGATGGAAAAAGAACCGCAGAATAAAATCATCTGCATCATCCATGATGACATCATGTACTTCTCTGAAGCTGTGGCTCGTCATCTAAACATTCCAAGCATCATGTTACGCACTACCAGTGTTACAAATTTTCTTGCTCGCAGTGCCGTCCTACAACTTCATTCAGAAGATCACCTTCCATTCCCAGGTACGTGAGATATATTTCCTGATCAGAACACAGTATGCATGTGTATCCATCTTAAAGGCTATTATAATAGCGCTGGTAGTTGAAATCCCAAAATTCCAATGCTTTACTTGAATAGTAGAGCTAATGTTTCCTTCTGCCATGTTGTATGATTTTCATTCTTCTTACTTATAACTAAGAGCACAACTCTGGATTGCAGACACTCTGTCACTGAATCCGGTGCCCCAGTTTCATCCCCTCAGGTTCAAGGATCTGCCCACCTCCAACTTGGACACATTTGAAAACTATTCAAAACTAGCCATTAATGCGGGCAATGTTAGGACGGCCTCAGCCATCATTTGGAACACCGTGGATTGCCTTGAACAATCATCACTAGCACAGATCCAGCAACAATGTCAAGTTCCAATCTTCTCTATAGGTCCTCTTCACAAGATTGCACCAGCAGCCTCCAGTAGTTTACTAGAAGAGGACACCAGCTGCATAGCGTGGCTCGAAAAACAATCTCATAAGTCAGTTATCTATGTCAGCTTGGGGAGTGTAGCATCCATCGGTGAGAAGGAACTAGGTGAAATGGCTTGGGGATTAGCTAACAGCAATCAACCTTTCTTGTGGGTGATCAGACCTGGCTCAATTTGTGGTTTAAATTGGAATGAGACATTGCCTCAAGGTTTCATAGAAGCTGTTGGAGAAAGAGGTTGCATTGTCAAATGGGCACCCCAAAGAGAAGTTTTGGCTCATGGCGCGGTGGGTGGATTTTGGAGCCATTGCGGTTGGAACTCAACCCTAGAAAGTTTATCTGAAGGTGTTCCAATGATATGCACACCGAGTTTTGGCGATCAGAAGGTGCACGCAAGGTATATCAGCCAAGTATGGAGAGTAGGCGTACAATTGGAGAATGAGTTAGAAAGAGGAGAGATAGAGAGAGCTGTGAGAACACTGATGGTAGATGATGATGGGGAGGCGATGAGGATAAGGGCCAAAGATTTGAAGGAGAAAATAGAAGTTTGTATGAAGAAGGGTGGCTCTTCTTACAGTTTCTTGAATAAGCTCGTGGAGCTTATCATGTCATTGTAATTGCAACAACAGTTGATTTTTTACTACTAGGTCCCCTCTTCAGACATTGATAGATGAGGCTTCCTGCATATGGATGTCAAAAAAAAAACTTCTGTTGTCCATCCTCCGCGTTGAATAAAGTAAAAATTGTTTTTTGGCTCTTGTTTCATTGATCTTCTCTACCAAACTAAGGAGGTGTAGGTAGTTCTGTCAGAGTTAAGACCACCAAAAGGGACCAACTAGATTTTCGCTTTAATTTAGTTAGGTATATAGAACCCAAAAGAAATTTGTACCCAAACAAAACATATGGCCGAGGGGAGACCAACAATGTCAATTGTCTCAGCTTAAGTACCCCACAACAGAAGGTCTTGTATAAATATAATAAATAAGCAAAAAGAATAAAGCAAAGACAGGGATAACAATGTCAATTATTCATCCCACTGTAGTGGGTCAAGGATTGCCAAACAAGAGTTAACATCTGTCTCTCTTACATTTAACTGGCTGTGTTCTAGCTTTAATTTTGTATCTATGTTAATTGACTAACATTTTCAGGCATAACAAGTAACAAAATCAAAACCCTTTTACTTCATAATGAAGCAAAAAAATGGGCATCTTTGGGTTGCTGTCTTATGACTAAAGACCAACTATAGCCAATTGTCTAGCTTTCGTTATCCAATCGGCTCTCAGCCATGAAATTTCCTCCCCAAAGGTTATTATTAAAGTAATCTCCAAAGTCTTCTATCTTATTTTAAAATAAGGACTAGCTAAATGTAAAGACCCTTTCCTGGAAAAGTTGTTAAGTACCCTAATTTTCAAACTTAATAAGGAATTTTCTCTATACACAGAATGAGTTCAATGCTGACTTTTGATATAGCTAGCCTATAAGCTACAAGGAATGGATTTACAACTTATTTGACAATCCCAAAATACTTATTCCTGCTACACAGACCTGTTCTCAGAAAGAGAGAGAGAGAGAGAGACGGAAAAACAACATAGATGCCGCAGATTGGTTCTGGTTCCATGCCCATTCCAAGGGCACATAACTCCGATGCTTCAACTCGGCACTATCCTTCACTCCAAGGGCTTCTACATCACAGTCGCTCACACCCAGTTCAACTTTCCCAACCCACTGAACTACCCTGATTTCAACTTCTTAGAGATGTATGAAGGCTTACATGAGAAAAATGTCTCGTCCCACAATTTTATAGATGTGATATCGGGTTTTAATGCCAACTGCAAAGCCCCACTCCAGGAGTCATTGGCTCGGATGATGGAGAAAGAGGATCAACATAGTAAGATTGCATGCATCATCTATGATGAATACATGTATTTCTCAGAAGAGGCTGCTAATCATCTAGGGTTTCCTAGCATTATATTGTCTACTAGCAGTGCAGCAAACATACCAAGCAATTCCTAGGCTCCTAAAAGATGGTTACATTCCAATTCCAGGTGTGTAACAATCAGACATCTTTCATCTTTCTCAGTGCTGCCGTATGAGATGTTAATACATCAAATAGATCAATTAATTAATTACTGTTTTAATCTTTTCATGAGAACTAAGGCTCTATGATTCTCTGGTTCTCATAACATAACTTTAACCTATGCTTGAACTAACCTTAAGATCTCTGCTACTCGACCTATGTGGGTGCAGATGCTATGATGCTGGAACTGGTACCAGGCCTTGAACCGCTCAGATTGAAAGACCTACCAATTACCAATTTCAGAGATTTGGATGACTTACTGCAACTAATGGTGAAAACCCACGATTCAAGGTCATCTTCGGCCATCATTTGGAACACCATGGACTGCCTCGAACAATCATCATTGGCACATCTCCGGCAAGAATACCAACTTCCATGGTTTCCTATCGGTCCTCTGCACAGAACTATTCCAGCCCCCTCCATCAGCTTATTGAAAGAGGACCAGAATTGCATTTCATGGATGGACAAACAATCACACAACTCTGTCATCCATGCAAGCGTGGGAAGCATAGCCTTCTTGGACAGTAAAGAACTAGCAGAAATGGTGTGGGGTCTGGTCAACAGTGAGCACCCTTTCTTGTGGGTGGTTCGAACCAACTCCATATCATTGCCAGAAAGTTTCCAAGAAACTGTTGGAGAAAGGGGTTGCATAACGAAATGGGCACCCCAAAAGCAGGTCTTGGCACACAGCGCAGTTGGAGGGTTTTGGAGCCATTGCGGTTGGAACTCAACCATTGAAAGCATCTCTGAAGAAGTTCCAACGATATGCCAACCATATTTTGGGGACCAAAGAGTGAACTCAAGGTACTTGAGCCAAGTATGGGGTGTAGGGTTGGAATGGGAGAATGACATGAACAGAGGACCAATAGAGGAAGCTATAAGAATGCTTATGGTGGGCAAAGAAGGGGAAGTGATAAGGCAAAGAACAAAAGATTTGAAGGTGAAAATCGAACTTTCTATGAAGCAAGCCGGTTCTTCCTACAATTCCTTGAATGAATTGGTAGACCAAATCTTGTCATTCTAATTGCATAAATGTTAAAGATGATATCAACAATTCAATGTAAATACATAATCAGTTATTGCAAATTTCATCATCCATTATATATTATTCCATACAAAGTAGACGAACACAGCATACAATTTCATACTCCATTAGCAGAATCAGTTATTGCAAAGATCATCATTTCTAATATTTTGTACAATACAGAGTAGATGAACGCAACATCTAACATCATACAACATAGCACATTAAGTTCAGCTAAAAGCATTACAAACTCACACCTATTTTTTTTACATTATAATCACATAAAGACACAAACTTTATTCACATTCTGACACAAAACGCAGCTACCCATTATCTTAAATTAGCCAAAAGAGGACCTCACCACCTTAATCTTCGCCAGAAATTTCAATGGCTCTGATATTGGGTCTGCTGGGCTCCTCCTTAGGAACAGTGACAGTGAGAACCCCATTGCTCATGAAGGCCTTAAGCTGCTCAATCTTGGCGTTGTCCGGAAGCTTAAACTTTGTCATGAAGCTACCGCTGTCTGTACTGATCTGAAGCACACGCTCGTCTTGAAGCTCCACAAGCACGTCCTGGTTCATGAACGCAGGAAGAGCCGCCTTTAGGATGTGGGCATTTCGGGTCTCTCTCCAATCTAATCTTGAGTTTACCGAAGAACCCAGATTGAATTCCCGGAAAACGTTGGAGAGTGAGGAAGGGAATGGGAAAGGGAAATCTGTGAATGGGTCCCACAGGTCAAGAGCCAAGGAAGGGTCGAAGTCACTGCCTCGTTGCTCGTTGATTGGGACGATTGACATCTTTGTTCAACTGGGTTTGGTTTGGGATTGAGTTTCTGAGAATCAAGAGATCAAAACAAAAATGGAGAAGAACGTGAGCAACTTTTTCCAAGGAATTTGTGAAGTGAGCTGAGACTGGTGGCTGTTTTAAATGGTGACAAGTGGATTGAGGTAGAAGAAACACCTCGGAGATTCTAGAAATTGGGTGGGCCCCGCGTAATGTGTTGGACTAAATTAATGGTCTTTGGTTTTGGTCGAAAAGTTGAGAACTTGTGTATCGACTGTAGGGTGGATAGCAACACTCTTTACCATGCTTTTTATTTCTTTATAGGCAACCAACAATGCAACTCTGCGATATGGCACCCTTTGAAGCCCCAGCTCTTCATCCCAAAAGCCTACTTATTGAGCTTTGAAAAACTCACTCCTATCAATGGCTTCCTTTGCAAGATGCATGAAATTGTTCATTCCGAGTCACTTCACTCTGTTTCTGTGCCTTGTCACCAATACAGGCGTTGTCAATCTTGAATGGCAGCTGAAACATCATTGATTTCATCTCCTGCTTATTGTCTGCACAAAGAGCAGAACCCTCAGAATCACAAATGTGTGGCCAGACATATGAGAATTCTGAGGACTATGGAAATAAAATGAATTAGTTAGTGACAATGTGCAGCAATGAACAATTTAAAACAATGATACTATGATCTCTGTTATCTTCTAGCCTCATTCAGCAATCATGTTTGCTTAATAAGTAAGCTCAATCTCCCTAATCTCTGAATTTCGACATGAAAAAAAAATCCTAATCAATTTCGAAGTTCCAAATCTGTGACTGATGCATGTTATGATAATGTCAATGATACCCTTATTTCTGTACCCAAAAAAAACCCTGGTCAATCATTAATTTTTTCCAGGCAGCACCATTATGACCTCTTCTAAGTTCTAACTTTCTAGCCACACTTTTATCATGTTAACATTCATGCTTGGGATAGAAAGCAAGATTTTGACTTCAGCATATTCTTGAGAAGCCACAACTAAAAGGTCTCTTGGATGCTAAGCCAAGAGTCTAATCAACTATAAAGATAATAACATATACGCAAGTGTTTGGGAAAATATGTGAATAGACAGAAGTGAAAAAATAATAAAACTAGTAAAAAAGATTCTAATGTATGTGCTCCCATAGATTTTCATGTAAAGCAATTGTGTTCCTTTCTCGCAGCTTTGCTTGAAATTTTGAATCTATAGAAGCTTGTATAAATGAAGCCAAGTGCTAAATGGATTAACTTGACATGGGTAAATGAAGAAGAAAAGAAGAAAATAAGCACAGACCATATAAAGCAGCGCATTATGTACCTTCCAAATAAAAACCAAGAAAAGAAATATACTGGGAAATATCTTACTAGTAAGACATCTGAGTATGTACCTGGTCTTCAAGATATAAAAAACAGAGTGGCACCACTTGGCATCCTGAGATATAATATCTAGCATGAGCTACTACACTACCTAGAAGACCACAGCTACACAACAGATTAAGACTGCTATAGTATCAGCTGGGTCTCCCATTTTCAGGTTCGTGTTATGCTAATAAAAGTCTGTAGAGAATGGACAACAAGACACCAGAAATCAGAGTACGATCAAAATGAAATTCATCTTGCATACTCCCATTAAATTCTGATACCAGAGGATTTTTTTTTTTTTTTTTTCTCTTGCTAAATTTGAGAGAGTGGCGATTATGTTACTTCTTGACACAAACGTGTAACTTGTTCTAATGCTCGTTATTTCTTGAACAAGAAGTCATGGTTGAACCTACTCAATTTCTAGGGATGCAAAGTATACTAACAATATTTCAAAACAAGAAAGGAAAAAAAAACAGTTGAAAACTCCAAAAAAAACAAAAACAAAAAAACATCGGTATTCATTGATAAAAGATCCACTCATTACAATTATAACTGACATGGACGATTTTTCATATTTTGAAATCGTTGCATAATAACCTCATCGTCGATACTATCAAGAATGTCTGTCTCAATATATGGAATCAATCTATCCTTCATCCTTTCATCTTCCATTCGGTTGCGTAATCGATTCTTCACAATATTCATAGCAGAAAACACCCTATCTATCCTGGGAGTTGCAACTTGTAAGATAAGTGCCAATGTCAACAGCAAGTAAACTAATGGGAAAACAGAGTCTTTTTTGGTCTCAACCATTTTTTGTGCAAGATCAGCGATCCCGTTCAATCCTGAAAACTCGATGCTAGAACGCATGTCCATAATGTACTTCTCAAGCTGATCTTCAAGTATCATTAAGTCAAGTGTAGAAAAGTCATTTGGATAATACTGAGCAAGACAAATCAACTTTTGTTTGTCAAAAGCAGAGAATGAATCACTCGGATTCAAACATGCCACACAAAGAAGCAACCCTGTATTCATTTCAGTGAATCGAACATTTAGCTCTTGAATTTGCATATCTATAACAGTACAAAACAACTCAACACGATAATAATGCATGTTTGTGATCACCTGATCTCTTTTTTTCCCTCGAGTTAGAAACCTATCATCCATGTTATGCACTTCAATTTCATGCTTTTGACAAAATGAAGAAACCTCATTGAGTAATGAATCCCAATCACTCTCCTTCATCACTTGCAATTGTTCTTTACATACTCTCACTAGGTTCATGGCATTCACAATATCCTGATCATTTTTTTGTAATGCTTGTGACAAACCATCTGTGATTCGCAAAATGTTTATCATCATATGTAGACTAAAAATAAAACCAAATGACTGGAGGGGACCCAATAGAACCCGTGCTTTAGATTTCTGTTCAGAATCTAATCCAAACTCTGCTATGACCTCAAGTACATCTATCACAGATGAGAACATGGTAAACAAGCTTATCAAAGTCTTAAATTTGGAGCTGCCCTCATTTAGACCTTGTTCACTTAAAAGCTCGCTGGTATTGAGTGCTTCAAAAACTAAAACATCATGTTTCTCCCGAAGAGTGTCACGACATTCAACAAATTCTCCAACAACATTCACCACCTTAGCAACCCAAGCAAAAAGATCCACAATTTCTAAATGATTCTTTGACATGGCTATAAGAGTTGAATGAAGATCATGAGCAAAGCAATGGACGTAAAATGCACACTCATTCGCCTTCACTATAAGTGTCTTAAGATTATTCAACTCACCTTGCATATTACTTGTCCCACCATAACCTTGACCCCGTAACTTAGCCATGCTTAATCCATGAGTAGAAAAGAAATCATCAATCGCCCCCTTAAGCGAGACAGCGGTGTCGTCGGTAGCTTGCACAATACCTAAATAACGCTCAATTACATGACCTTTATCTACAAAACGTAATACAATAGCCATCTGATCCTGTGAAGGCATGTCATGAAACTCATCAATAAGAATGGAAAATAATGAATCACCAATATCTCTAACGATTGCATTGATGATTTCCGTCGAAATAGCAATTTCAATGTCCTTCTGAGTATCAGATGATGTCAACTTCAGGGTTAAGGAAGCATTGTTCAATGTGACAGCTTTTATATCCTCATCATAATTACATCGTAATCTCAAAAGGTCAGCAAACATTCCTTGGTTGTTTGAATCTTCATATTCATCATCTCCACAGAACAGAAGCCCTTGTCGCAAAAGAAATCTCATGCAACTAACTGATGCACCCAAAAGAGTTTTATATTCAGTTTGAGCTTCGATTTGCTTTGAAAAAGCTTTACAGTTGCTCCAAGCTTGGTTGTGGGTACTCATCGGTCCTCAAACATGACCTTGTAACCTTTCACTCTTCTTCTTCCAATTTGAAAACCCTTTGCCAACAAAAGACTCACTGCCTGCTTGTTCTCCAGTATTTGGTTTAAAAAGATAGCAACAGAAACAATAAGCAGCATCTTTTGCTACACTATATTCCAACCAAGTAGGAAATTCATCAAACCAAGCAGGAATGAACCTTCTTGGCCCTCCACTAATAATCCTCTGGGGGAAGGAATGGTTTCGGGGCTGAAAAGGACCTTTTTGTAGATAAGCCCTTCGAACTTGATCCTGAACATTAGGATGGTAATCCCAAATTCGAGTGCGTAGTCCAGGATCAAGAGGGAGATCTTCCAAGTTGATTTCCAAGCAAGCTTGTTTTGAACTATTAACAACTTCATTTGGAGGCGATGATGACTCCATGACCGTTGATTTCCTTTTAAAATATCTTTCCATGACCGTTCTGTTTCAAAACTTGGTTCTTTTAGCATATATATTCAAACCAAAATTTCTTCAAAATTCCAACAATTTATCAAAAACTATTTCTATTTGCATAACTGCAATCATCAAGAAAACAGTACAAGAATAACCATCCAAACTAACAGAAATCTCTACAAAAATTCAGGAAAACACTACAAAAATTTCTTGATATACAACTACCGAGTACAAAAAATTGCTTCTTGAATAAAATTTTAGCTAGAGAAGTTTTCTTACCTCTGGTGAGATTGAGAGAGCCAGGATAGATAACAGAAGAAGTATTTATGCTTCGAAAATCACTAGGCGTTAGGTAAGTGTGAGAATGAGAGAGAGAGACTTGAAAGAGATTCGCGCCTCCAGACGTCTGAGAGCGAGAAAGGGAGGGAAATTGCGGAAGGAAAAACAAAAAGAAGGAAAGGAACAGGGTAAGTGGTGGCACTTATTCATTAGGGCTCTAAGGGCATTTGGGTAATTGGACACGCTCATTCCACAAAAATAGTTCTTTAAGGCCTTGAGTCTGGCCCAATGAAAGGGTCTTGACATTATAGATCAATGGGCTTAAGTTTGAATTCGCGTGATACTTCGACAGCGTGTGTGAGAAAATCACCTTCCTAATATCGCTTATGTAAAAAAATATATATAGTTCATCAAGAACACAAAAAGTAACACACGTGGCAAATGACAAATCGAATTAAAACCTTTTCTTATTTTTAAGACAAATATGAAAAATCACATCCAAGATACTCTTGAAATCGGCTCAGTTTAAGCTGAGTGATTGGTGTTTGTAATTTACAAGTCTTGCTTATATGCCTGGATTTCTAGACCAATATTTGTTGACTATAAATATTTGCTTTCGCGTGTCTGAAACTTTGAGGTGTGCATGCTCATATATCCACAAAGATCCATGCACACTGATATCTTGGTTATCATTGTACTCGTAAGTAACTACAAACTTGTTGCAACTCATAACATGGTTGGGGACCCATATTGACTTTATCTTAGTAACATATTGACCTTGATCTTTTATTGGGGCTTTGGGTTAGGGATGGACAATGGCTACATGAGTACAAACTACCACCGTAATGGGGTAACTCATTTGGGTCAATTGGTACCCATTATTTATCCATACCTACCTTAGGTATGCAATTCACCCTATCCAAATTTTATTGATGTAATTGTGATTCATATCTTAAGTGTAACATTGAGCAACATTTATGAATACATAGAAGTTCCTAAATTCAATGACGTGTGACTCACTTCATAGAGGCACACCGCTAAAATTATAAAATTTTCCATATTGCAATTTTACCCTGAGATTGGCACAACATATTTGAAGAAATCTAAGATTTGATCTCTAGCTTTTTCATACTTTTTCACTGCACATTTGACATGAATAAAATTTCACCACTAATCATTCCATATTTGTGAAACTTCTCACAATATGTGTATTTGCACGCCTATTGTAACATTATAGTTAACAACAATGAGAAGACTCTGATTTATATCATTTTAAGAAAGTGTGATATTAGCAAGGGAGTGTAATTCATCTTTTTTTATGTTCATATCCATGAATAATGTAAATTTACATGAGATATTGGGAGAAACTAACAATTTCAGGTCAGTTTTCTTTATTCTATTCTTTTTAATTTGAGATAATTATTCAATATCTTACATTAACTTAAACTATAACTTGGGGTTCGACCACAAACTACAACCTGGGTTGTGTTTGAAATTACGGTAACCTAATTAATTAAAACTTTTTTTTGGCTTAGATAATTAATTAAAACTTTAATGTTGTTAATGGCACAATATCTTTGTCAAAACAGGAAAAAGATGATCGCCTCACCCTTGTGTCATTCTTCAACTATGGTGACGCATAATTCAATGAAATTTTCACCAAAAATTGCAAACTCGGACCTAACACAGGGTAAAAAAGAGTGAAAATGGGACTTGGTGTTAAAAAACTATGTTGGAAATTTCAATGACATTTTTGTTGATTTGGTTCGGCATTTTGGGTTCGTTTCCATGCCAAATGACAGCTCGACATCGTTCCAATGCCAAGGACAATTCTTGTTTGTGTTTTTGCTGGTTTGATGACAAGTGGAAAGAAAAATCAGAATGTGTTTTTTATATTGTTAATTTAATTTAATTTAATTTTTTTCGTTTTTATCAGTTTTAGTTGTAATTGTTTATTGGAATTTTAGTTGTTTTACCCCCTGAATTAGGACCCTTGTATAATTTAAAACCCACTAAAAAAATCAGCCAATTTAATACCCAACTCATTAAAAATCAACCAATTTAAAAAATCAGCCACTAAAATCGATCAGATTATTATAACATCTTCAACCGATATGTTAAATTGCTACATGGATATGAAATGACAAAAATTAAAGGTTAAAATTGCTCCAATTGAGTAATCAAATCCTACATGGATTTGAAGATGTAGAAGAGATATGTCAAAAATATCATATCAAAAAGCTTGATGTCAAACATTATTTTAATATTTTTTTACTCATGGACCCTACTATCATTTACTCTCTTTTAAAATTTTATGTATCATATGAGCCCCATATGATATTTGGCATTTTCTGGTGGAGTTCAATTTTTTTTTTCAAAGTGTCAAATTGCCACATAAGCCATCAATTCAAATTTAACATTTTGCATTTGACATCTCCCTTGAAGATGCTCTAAGACTCCAAAAATTAACGAAGTAATTGCCTTTTTCTTGGATTCCACCCATTACCTTCTTCAATAATTGAAGTTCAATTTCATGTCTATAGAACACTTCATTCAAGTCGCAGATAACCTGTCACGGGAGCCCATTCTCCTAACTAGATGTTAATCATTTGTGTCCATGGTGATATGTAGGGGTGCATGTGTCTTCCTAGGGGTGGGAATCAATTCGACTGAACAAAATCATAATTATAAGTTTAATTTGGTTTTCAATAAAAAGTCAAATGGTTTAAAAACCGAACTAGATCATATATGATTTGATTTGGTTTGGTTTTGAGCTTTTGTAAATATGATTTTATTTATATTATATTTTGAGTAATGCTACACTTACCACATTAGTATCCCACATTTCCATACCACATGATGTGGCATGTCCATATCATATGACATATCAATTAAATGAATGAAGTGTATTTTAATAAATAAAATTAGAAAAACAGAAACTAGTATTTTACATGATGTGGTATGTACACATCAGCAGCCACATCATGTGGTATAAAATTGTGGTATAAAAAATGTGATAAGACTAGTATTATTCTTATATTTTACATGTGTAATACTCAAATTAGATCATAACTATATATGGATATTCGAATTGAGCTATATTAGTTATTGAAATTTGAAGTTTTATGGCATGTTGAGCTTTAGGATGGTTTCGTACTCTAGAAAATGATTTATGTATGAAGCAAGTTGTGAATTTGTTAGTTATAATTGGGTTAACAGTGTTGAAAAAATGCAAAAAGAAAGAGAATTGGGCTTAGGCTCAAACTGGATGAACCAAACCATCTTAAATTGGTTTGGTTTGGTTCGAATTTGTTTCCTTCATGACTTTAGTCAAAATCAAACCGAATCAAACCATTATATTGTAATTAGTTTGGCAGTAGTTTTAAGGAGAAACCAATTCAATCCGAACTGTGCCCACCCCGATGTCTTCCTTTGGGATGTTGTCAAATAGGAAAGACGCTTTCAAGTTATTTAATTATGGTAGGCTTTACTTAGTGCGGAGAAAATTACTCTTCAAGGCCCTATATATCTTTATGTCAATCTTTTTTTAAGATATTTTAAATTATAAGTGATGACAATAGCAGGTTCGACCCGTACATGTTGTGTGGACTAGGCGATGGCACAAGGGCCCCAAAAAAAAAGGGTAATACTTTTTAGCTCAAGAGAAAAAAAAAAAAAAAAAAAAAAAAAAAAAAAATTTTGTGTAACTGATGCTTTTTTGGCTTTATTCTAAATTGTTTTGGGCCTTTTTCTTTATTTTTTATATAGTGAGCCTATTTTACATAAACTAACACAGTAACACCTACGCTTGAAACTTTTTATTTAAGTTGTTGTTCAAAATAAGGTAAACATTGAATAAATGTTTAAATACCTTTTCAGGCAATGGGTTTTACACGAAAATTCAATTTGGTCATTGAGAAAAAAAAAATTAGTCAAATCGGTCACTCTGTTTCCAAAAGTTTACAATTTTTAGACATTTCTTTATCTTTTGTTAACTGCCATTTGCAGTTTACATTTTTATATTTTCAGGAAGCACGTTCAAGTCTTCTTCCTCTAACTCAACGAGTTAGGTTATTGTGCTATAAGCGTTTTAAAAATGGGGGGAAATCTTGGGTTGAAATCGAAATAATTAGGTATCACGAATTGGGTGTTATAAGCCTGAATCGATTGAGTGAGAACCGTATAGTGACTTTAGATGACAAGGAGATGTAATCAAGGTGATAGAGCACCAAAATATATTGGTAAGTTGTTGGTTTCATTTTAATTTGGTTTGGCCTTTTGATTTTCCTTATACCTCATAATTTCGATTTCAACCCAAGATTTCCCCCAATTTGCTAAACTCTAATAGCACAATATACTATAACTCGTTGAGTTAGAGGAGGAAGAATGAAGGTGATTCCTAAAAAAATAAAAATAAATACTGCATTTAACGAAAGAAAACGGAATGTCTATAAATTGTAAACTTCGGAAAACACAATGACCAATTTGGCGAAATTTTTTTCTCAGTGACCAAATTTAATTTTCATGTAAAACCTAATGACCCAAAAAAATGCCTCAATTTTTTATTTCTACCCACAGCCTCCAAAATCAATGGACCGGCCTTGAACAATAGCAAATTTTGCCACCATCTTCAACTCGAGAATATTGGTCCTCCACGATACTTATTTAGCCTTGAGATTTCTCACATGGGGTTGAGTGGTTGTCGTTCAGTGACCCTTTAATGAAGTGAAAACCCAAAACTTAACAAGGTTGATGATATATAAGCAAGGTCTAAAATATCGAGGGTTTCGAAAATATTGGTAATATCACTTTATTTCATTTCCCATGTTTGATTCGTGTATGAATGTAAAACAAAGTTTGTTTAATTTTTCAATTATAACCATATTAGATAAAATTTTAAAAAATAATAATGCATTTAATGCTCTATTGTAATTCTACATTATTAATAGAGAAAAATGATCATTAAAATGGTGCACTAGTTTCCCATGTGAAGGGAAAATAAAACCCAATGGGGGTGGAGGGTTTCATTTTCTCCTTATTTTCCCATGTGTCATGCAACTATTTCTCATGCCTGAATTTGTCATTCCCCATGAACTAAATGCCCCTTTTATATATTGCATGGTAAGATACATGAGTAATTTAGTACCATAATATTTGCAAATTGTGGCCATATTTTTTTCCATCTAGTGGGTCTCCATGTTCCCAAGTAATCACGTATATTTCCTCCATTAGACATCTTAAATATTCCTATATTCATTTGTCATGGAAATTAGGTACAATTTTTTTTGCCAAATGATGGGAAATTTTCATTAAATAGGAATAGAAAGGTTTACAATGCTAAAAAAAATAGTTGTGACGGATATCCAAGGGAACCTAAATAAAGTTATCCCAAGGAATATGGATTGGAAAAGTCACTAAATCTAAGATATGTTGAAGGTGGAAATGAAGGTAGAAGTGAATGACTTTCCATTTTCGGAGGATTAGGAGGGATTATTTATAAGGTGCTACTATCCTCCAATTTTGTGGGGATTAGATGGGATAAGTTTTCTTCATGAGTAATCGATCTTCTACCTTCAACTTGGTAAATAAAAAATAAATATAAAAAAATCATTTCTTCCTTAAACATGCTTTAAATATATGGAGAATCCAATTCAATCCAATACTAATCACCAAACGAGCCCTGTGTTTAGTACTCAACATTAAAAAGTATGAGAAATACAATTAAAGAGAAAAATAGAATAAATAATCATTTAGTTTTTTTTTAATGACTATGAGTATTGTAAAATTATACCTAAAAAAAGCTTTTCAATCGTTTTTTATTGTTGGAAATTGAAGTGTAATTTTACATGCACGTAAAATTCAGAAGATACAATTATGGCAATTAGGAGTGCCTTAGCCTTTGTCGTGGCCTTATTAATCATAGTTCAATATGGAGTCATGAGCATATGAAAATCTTGGATCTACGTTGAAATGATGATGTTACTTAAGGCTTAGACCTTAGAGCATGAAATTCCCTTTTCATCTGCATTATGCTTTGTATTTTATTACTTCTTTTCTCGTCACATCTTTATCTTTTCTTTTATCCTTTTTCTCATACTTCTCTCCATGATTCCCTTTCGAGCTTAAAGTGATCACTTTAGTCCTAGGTGCTGCTTCAACACGTACATATCCTCTTTTATCTTTTGGCACATCTTATTTTTTGTGATAAAAAAGAGGTATCATCACTTTGATTTGATACTTTCTCCGGCCTGCCTATGCAACTGTAACAATAATTAAGCCATAAGAAAAGTCTTACTAGTACCGATGCTGAAGGCAAAACCTCAGAATCCCTGAAAATATAACCAGATAATTTTTTTTTGGCCAAAGTTAAAGAAGGTGACAGGCCAATCGGGGTTTGTCTTAGTGATGAAGGCAACGGGATCGAAACTTGTTAGTGTGCCATCTTTATTTTCCCACCCTATTCCACCCCCTACCTCCTTATTTACTCCACACACCGAAAAAAAGAAAAAAAAGGAGGGGGGTGGGGGGGAGGGGGGCCAAAATATAATACTAGCCTATGGACATGTCGGTATGCGTGCGTCAATAATTTTTTTAATTTATAAAGGATTTTTTAAATAATTTTTCAAAATTATGTGTATTTTTAATATAGAGTGAAGTGTCGTTTTACTTCCCGAACTGTGACTCTAATCAAACTTACCCCCAAAACTAAAAAGTTAGCCAAATTAACATTTGAACTAATTAAAATATTTCGAAATTTCATCCAATTTTTCGTTAGTAATAAGGATAAATTTGCAATTTTGAGTAAAATAATAGTAAAATACATAAAAGAAAAAGAAAAAGAAAAAAGAAAATAACATTATTTATAATTGTAAAAATTAAAAGTATATTGGTCTGTTATAGCTTCTCGTAATTCTGGTGGACACTCCCCCGTAATAAGGACAAAATTGGTTTAAAAAATTGAGTGGCATAAATAAATTATATATTGACATCCAAGTGTGCGGAAATAACAGACTTTCAACATGCCTGCTGGTTAAGAAAAAAAAAACACAATGCTCAAAGTGTGTCCAAACTCCCATTAGTATTTCTTGTCACTGTGGAGGAGGAGTTTATGACATTGATATAGACTCCAATGTACTTTCTTAATGTAATACACCTGGTGCTTTACATGTTTTTACTACAGCTCATCATGTAAATATCAACCAAACTGGAAAAGAGGTTATAACCGCCCAATTAATCTACACAAAATTGGTAATGTGTTATTGAGCTCCTTCCCCTCCCCCTGATCGCTGTATCTCCACACAAAAAATTGTTTTATTTCGTACCTAGTTACTTTTAGCACGTGGAGGAGAAAAATATTCCAGTGCAATTACCTTTTTTCTCTAGCTAAGGATCCATTGATGTAGTAGTTTGGAGAAATGCTCTCCCAATAATGACCCTAGATTCGAGTCATAATATCGATGTGTGTGAGTTTAGTAAAGCACTAGAAAAGTAGTTTGTCCTAACATCACCCAGTAAGATTTACTTGAAGCACTAGAAAAGTAGTTTGTCCAAGCATACAAAGCAATTGTTTAGTAAGCAATCATGTTTATTATCATTACTTTTTTCACTTGTGATATTTCTTTATCTTTCTTCATCACTTGACTCAGTTTCTTCACTGGTAAGTAACTTTTTGGTGCTTCCAGTTATAAATATTTAATTTGTATTTTCTATTTTTTGGTCTGGAATTGATTTGGTGAAAGCTCAAGTTGAGAAAAGAATAGTTAAAAAGCTGAATGTTATAGTTCATTTTGGTATTTGAGCTTGTTTCACTAAGCATCTACAAAAGTAGTTTGTCCAAGCATACAAGCAAAGGAATTGTTTAGTAAGCAATCATGTTTGTCATCATCACTTTCACTTGCGATGTTTCTTTACCTTTCTTCATCACCTGATTCAGCTTCTTCACTGGTAAGTACGTAACTTCTTGGTGTTTCCAGTTTTAAATATTTAATTTGTATTTTTTTTATTGCAATTGGTTTGGTGAATGGGGGAGCTAGGATTGTATGTGTTGGGGGCCGAACCATAACACAAGTTTTATAAAGAAAATTTTAATAAATAATAGACTATTAACAAAGTTATTGATTTTGAGTATTGGAGGATTAATCGGCTAATATGGCTTCATTTTCTTCTTCTTTTTTCGTTATATTAATTGTGGGACTACAAACATGTAATATATAATTGTGAATGAAATTATTATGAAGTGATTATAGGGGTTGCATTCAATCATTGCATTGGGCCACTGCAATGGTTATACGGTGGTCTGTTATTCTTCAAAATATGAGCTGCAGCTATATAATACAGTGTATGGGAAAAATTGGGGGGTGGGGGTGGGGGGGTTGGGGGGCGGGGCCATGGCAGGCCCTAAGGTGAATTTTATAATTCTTTTTGGTCTTTCAGCTTGTTTTCTCTCTCTCTCTCTCTCTCTCTCTCTCTCTCTCTCTCTCTCTCCCCATATGGTCTTTTCACTCTGTTTGGTCTCGGAGGGAAAAACAATGTTTACTTCTGCTTGACTTATGTCCTTGTAGAAACGAACGAAATTGGAAAAACAAATAACTAGAGTTAGGTACTGTGTTTTTTTTAATGACTTAGATACTGCTTTCTCTCTTTTGTTTTCTTCCATTTTTGTTGGGTCCTAAGCAGGTCCGTTTATAATTTGTCTCACACTTCCAAGAAATTTAGTTGATTCTACAATATTAGAATTATTGGGACTTCTTTTTTTCATCATGGTTTACGATTCTCACTGGGTAAGCTGAATTTTTTTTTTTTTTTTTTTTTTTTTCAAGTCTGCATAGTAAATCGGTATTTGGTTGGAGCCTAAGTGATTGGAGAGTATATAAATCATGAGTAACGGTGTTCAATCATGCAATGGAGGGTTGCAGCTTAGCAATGATGTGAAGGAGAATGATAATGGGGATGTTGACCTTTTTGAGCAATTTGATTCTTATTTGCAAGATATCAATTACCGGTTGACCGTGTCTAGGGTGGTGAGTTACACAGTCATCAAGGGTATGGTACAAGAGGCAGCAGAGAAAATTGCTGAAAAAGAACTAGAGGTGACTAAATTGAAAGAAATGTTAAATGTTTACCATGTGGGTGTTGAAAATGAATTCTTGGCGTCTTTAGCAATGCGCCAGGAGTCAAACAGACTTATTAAACAAGGTACCAAAGACAAGATGCATCCTAGCTCTCTTGAAGCTATTTTAGAGTACGATAGAATAGAACAATCTTTGAGCAGCTTAAGAGGAGCAACTAAAGAGGAGTTTAAGAAGCTCGAGGCAGAAATTGATAGCATAAGAGGCAGCTCAGTTAAGATAATTTCTGAGTTGTTGGGTTTGAGTGACATACAGCAAGATAAAGTTTCTGACAGATGGGGGATTGGTGTAGATAGGACGCTTAATTGTCTAAAGAGTGCAATAGAAACTGGCTTTCAACGGGTGGAACAAATGGTTCGCTTGTCAAAGGCTGATGTACATGAGTGGCAACAGGAACAGGAGTTTAAAGCAGAAATTGAAGCATTTGTGATGAGGAATTGCATTTGGAGATTCGAAGAAAAAATTTGGGACCAGTTTTATAGTGATAAAAATGTGAATGGGCATGGAAGGATGAAAGAGAGGATATCAGGTTTACGTCAGGAATTGGACGCCATTTCTAAATCACTATCTGTTTCTGACTTCGGGCAGCTATCTTCTCATGGATCCTTGGAAGGTGATGAAGAAAGTAATAATTTTAAGAAGGGAGACCATCCCCACCGGAAGGTTTTGAACGATCTTAAATCATCATCTCCATCTCCAGCAACATCACCACCAACATCAACATCATCAGCATCATCATCAGCATCTAGTTGGGAAAAAAATGGCACGCAAGATAAGTCAGAAATAAATATGTCAATAGAAGAATTGATAAATTATTATAATACTGAGATGACTGAGTTGAAGAGAAATCATGAGTCTAAAGTGCAGGATATGACAGAACAACTATTCAGCCTCATGAGGGAATTGTTGAAAGAACGGGGATCTTCTTCGCCATCAAAGAAGAATAAGGAGTTTGACATGCTGAGGAGGAGAATATCTGAGGTTATTTCTAAATTAGATGACATTCTTGTCGAAAATGAGCAAAAAGCCACATTTGGTATCGATGAAGAAAGTCTTAGCCGTTTGAAAGACAGACTGGAATCACTCCTTTCAGAAAACGCCCAGCTCAGAGATTTGCTCACAGATAAGAAGAGGGAAATTAAGTGCCTTTCACTGCAAGTTTCTGAAGCTGCAGAGAAAATGTCAGAGCACAATGGTGAATCTTCTGAAGCAAAGGAGCGATTGGAACAAGATGCAGCAGCTGCCTTGGAAAAGGAAAAGGAGCGATATGAATTAGCTGCTCAAGAGCTTGAAAATTTAAGGGGCCAGCTCAGAGATTTGCTCACAGATAAGAAGAGGGAAATTAAGTGCCTTTCACTACAAGTTTCTGAAGCTGCAGAGAAAATGTCAGAGCACAATGGTGAATCTTCTGAAGCAAAGGAGCGATTGGAACAAGATGCAGCAGCTGCCTTGGAAAAGGAAAAGGAGCGATATGAATTAGCTGCTCAAGAGCTTGAAAATTTAAGGGGCCAGCTCAGAGATTTGCTCACAGATAAGAAGAGGGAAATTAAGTGCCTTTCACTACAAGTTTCTGAAGCTGCAGAGAAAATGTCAGAGCACAATGGTGAATCTTCTGAAGCAAAGGAGCGACTGGAACAAGATGCAGCAGCTGCCTTGGAAAAGGAAAAGGAGCGATATGAATTAGCTGCTCAAGAGCTTGAAAATTTAAGCGGTGAAATTGAAGATTTGAATATGGAGTCCATCATCATGCAAGAACTAGTTGTAGTTATATTCAGAGAAGCCTTGAAGGATGCTGAGCAGAAACTCAATAACCTGGACATGACATATACCAGTGAAAAAGGACTTCGGGTTTCGCTTGAGATGGAAAATCTAGAAAAAGGAAAACAACTAGAAGTTGAGGTTGCAAGCAAAGAAAAGTTGAACCAAAAAATAATCTTTCTGGAAGAAGCAAAGGAGCGATTGGAAGAAGATGCAGCAGCTGCCTTGGAAAAGGAAAAGAAGCGATATGAATTAGCTGCTCAAGAGCTTGAAAATTTAAGGGGTGAAATTGAAGATTTGGATATGGAGTCCATCATCATGCAAGAACTAGTTGTAGTTATATTCAGAGAAGCCTTGAAGGATGCTGAGCAGAAACTCAATAACCTGAACATGATATGTACCAATGAAAAAGGACTTCGGGTTTCGCTTGAGATGGAAAATCTAGAAAAAGGAAAACAACTAGAAGTTGAGGTTGCAAGCAAAGAAAAGTTGAACCAAAAAATAATCTTTCTGGAAGAAGCAAAGGAGCGATTGGAAGAAGATGCTGCAGCTGCCTTGGAAAAGGAAAAGAAGCGATATGAATTAGCTGCTCAAGAGCTTGAAAATTTAAGGGGTGAATCAAATGCTCATAAGGCATATATTTGCGAGTTAGGTCAGAGGCTTCTTGATGTCAACCAAGAGAAGCAGAATGCTGTGTCTTTGTTTGAAGCAAAAGAAAGGAAGTTCAAGCAGCAATTGAAACCAATGGTTGTCTATAGCTGTGGATTATTGAGAGCGATTACTGATTTTGAACCTACAGTAACACGAGATATTTCAGGAAAATCTTCAAGGTACTTGCTCAGTTATTGTTACCTATAAGTGCTTTACCTGTAAATGCCTTTCGTGCTCTAAGTCTGTGCTCTACCTTTAATGCCTTTTGTATTTCTGTGATTTTGTTTCCAGGTTGAAGAGTTTGAGATCTCAATTGCATTCACTTAAACAAAAAGCTAAAGTACTTGTAAAAAGAAAGATTCTATACAAGCGGGGATTTGAAAGGAAATGTTCTGACCTTGAAAAAGCTGAAGCCGAGGTATGTAAATCAGATAGGTATTATGCATATTTCAACTTGATGTTTCGGCCTCGGATTGTCTTTCATGCTATGAAACTCATGGAATTGAATAGTTTCTTGCATATACTTACGGCAGAAGATGGTTTGAGATGTATTGTTGGATGATAGAATGCTATGATTGGAAGTTCTTTACAGATGCTGTAATGTGTAATTTTGTGGTATATTTAATGGATCATTTCTCACTGGATTTCAGGTTGATCTTTTGGGGAAGGAGGTGGACACTCTATCGAGCCTTGTTGAAAAAATATACATGGCCCTTGATCATTATTCACCAATATTGCAACATTATGCTGGAGTAAGTTGTTTTCTTCTTTTGATTGGTGATTTATCAAGCTTTCTCTACCTTACTTTTATATTTTCGGGGTACCTGTGCGCATGGATGAAATTGTTGATTCGGTGGAAATATCGGTTGTTCGTATTTTAGAAAATCTGCGAAAACATAAAGTAAAATTTTACAGAAACAATGAAAATTAACTTGAAACATGAAAAATGGGGGGAAAAAAAGCTTTTCAAAATGGGATATAGGTAGGATGTTGGGATTCGTTACTAGTTATTTGTGGATTTAGTACAAAGTTAAATATTTTTGGGATTTAGTTGGAAGGCATTCTTATCTATTAATGGGTACTTGGTTGTTGGTTCGCACTATTGTGCACTATTATGCGGAACACACACAAGATCTTTTTATCAATGGACTACGCGAAAAAACAAACCACACCAACGATGAAGGAAATTGAGCGCGCACACACACAAAAGTAAACAAACCAACCAGGAACACAAGAAATTTATAGATTTTTGGTAACGTGCCTACGTCCTCTTCAATGATCACTTTGAGAAATTTCACTAGAAGAATAAGAACAACTTTGGTTTACAAGAAAAGCCTATGAGCTCTCTATTCTCTCAAACCCCAGCTCTCTATTTACCTCTTACCATTTTGGCTCAAACCCAATTTGATGCCCCTTGTTTTCTAGATTATACATTTAACCTAACCCCAAAGGTCCTATTTATAGCTTATTGGACTTAGGTTACAAGTCTACTTAAGAATAGGAAACATAAACCCTATTAGATTAGGCTAGAAATCCCACACACAAAAAGGTTGGAACACGTCAACCACGTCCAAAACAAGTCAGGACATACAACGTTACCTATGGTAAGCCAAAAACACAACACACACAACCTAGTGTCGTGAATGCTTGATGTACAGACAAAATCATCCATGTATTGATTCAACTTTGGTTGTGCTTTGCAGATATCTGAGATCTTGAAGCTCATAAGAAGAAAATTACGTGGAGAAACTAAAGCAGTTTGATCTGTCTTTTGACTCGATAAGGTTTCAATTGTATAGGGTTTATTTATAATATTAGTGCAAGAAATAGGTATATCACTAAATATCTCTTTTATCTATTAATTTGACATTGTTTTTTTAATATGTTTTGATGGCAGATGGGCTAATCCTCGAGGTGACAAGAATCGAATGCAGGGTAACCAAGGTTAAAGAAAGATGCTTCATTTACAGTTGTGCTGTGTTTAGTTTTCAGTGTGTTGTATGTGAATAAATTTAGAGTTGTAATAAGCACTGAGGGAGCCATTTATGTAATATGTTGAATTTCAATTTATTATGTAAAATATGTAGTGTAATATTTGACTCAGAAGCGTTGAGTTTGTATTGATATTGTGGCTCGGTTTCGGATTTTTCTTGTTTTTTAGTGGTCTTCTTGTCCACTCTCTTATTGTTCTTCTCTTTTCGTCTTATTAAAATTTCTTTCTTTAAAAAAAATGCTTGATGGTCTCACACAATATCTTTTGTGTTAAAGCGGTATGTTACCGGAGTGGTTGTCAGGCAATCGATTACCTTCGTCAAAATGACCAATGAAATCCAAGAAAATGCTTGAAAGAGTTGAGTCTGGAGATATAATAATATTTACCCATTTTCATCCGCTAGCCAATATTGGCCTTGGGATTGTTGTGTTTGCAGGCGTGTCATTGTTAGCAGTGCCCCAATAAACTGACTTTAATCAAAGGGATTGTGATTTTGGGTGGGAAACTGGTCCAAGATGGTTCTTTTCTATGCCTTAAATTGAGTAATTGTTGTGTGGAATCAAATCAAAGACATTGTTATGGATGGACTATAAGACGTGTACGCACACAAACCACAGGAAGAATAAATATACACACCGCCAGAGAGATAAGGCAAACCCACAATAATAAAAAGATTTATATATAAATTTTAATAGAAGAATAGGAACAACTTTGGTTTACAAAGAAAACCCATTTACTTTCCAACTATGGGGATTTATTTGAAGTTGCCATTGGGTATCTCTCGAAGTATGAAATGCGATTGTTTTTATATATCTGCTGGAGTTTATGGCAAAACAGAAATAAAGCTGTTAGAGCATCCACAATGGGGGTGTATGTTAAATATACACCCCAAGTCACCGGAATCACCCGCAATGGGGGGGTGTAAAGGGATGTACATTTACATCAACACCATGAGGATGTAAAATAAAATGTATATTTACATCCTTTGCAGGCGGGACCCACCCGAGGAAAGAGAAGAAAAATTAGTAAAAGTCAGCATAAAAAGCATGGGACCCACGGCTATAGTATTTGCTGGAAAAAGAAATCACATGCGGAATGGTTTTTTGGTTGTTCTCCCCCCCCCCCCCCCCCCCCCCACCCCCCCCCCCCCAACGGCTAGTTTTTGAAGAATCAGCCCAAGCAGCTTCAGCAGCTTTTTTATTTCATGAAGAATCTGGCCAGGCAACAGCTTCAGCAGCCTTTTTATTTCATGAAGAATCTGGCCAGGCAGCAACTTCAACAGCTTTTATTTCATGAAGAATCAGGCCAAGCAGCAGCTTCATCAGCTTTTTTTATTTCATGTCAAGCAGCAGCTTTTTTTTTCATGAAGAATCAGCAGCTTTAATAGATGCCTTTGATTTTTCAAATGCATGCCAAACAGTTCAAGGCAGCATGCCTTTGATTTTTCAAAAACATGCCAAACAGTTCAAGGCAGCAGCTTCAATTTTTCATGCATCTGAAATCAGCAGGTCCAACGGCTAGTTGATCCAAGGCCAAGAAAATTTCAGATTTTCTATATATACCCACCTCTTTGTTCATAAAATCACAATTCTTCTTTACTAACAATTCTTCCTATGTTTATTTATTATTGTTGTACTTTCCTATCTTTTGTGATCATCAAAATGAGTGGAATTGGAGAGGGTTCAAAGAGAGCTAAATTGCCAAACTTTTCCATTGAGGAAGATGTTGCTCTATGCCATGCATACCTAGCAATTAGTGAAGATCCAATTATTGAAAACTCCCAACAAGCTAATGCATTTTGGGCTAGGATTCATAAACAATTCTTTGAATTGTGCCCCTCCAATCGAACTTCTAACAGCCTCAAATGCCGATGGAATTTCATTCGGCAACGTTGTCAAAAGTATTGGGAGTGTCTCGTTGAAGCGGATAGGAAAAATAAAAGTGGATCTAGTGAGCTGAATAAGGTATATCTATTTTGTTATTAATCTCTAAATGTTGTATTTTTTATTTACTAATTTTGAATTTATTTTATCATTCTATAGGTGGACCTAGTAAAAACTTTGTACCATGAGAACGGCCCTCCTTTTCGTTTGGATCATTGTTTTGCAGTTTTGAAGAATGCAATCAAGTGGTCAACCGTAGATGTTGATATGTCCCCACCGGCCACTATGTCTCCAAACCTTAATGTTAACTTAGATTATGATGAGCAGGGTGAGAGTGTTCCAGAGACCCAGTACAATAGTGAAATCCCAAGGCCAAAAAAAAGGGCAATAGGAAGGAAGGCTGCTAAAATTGCCAAACAAAAAGGCACTGCAGATAGTGAAAGCAGTGTCAAATACAACTTTGCACTCTCATCGTTCAATGCAAGACGTGAAACAATGGATGAGTATAAAGTCATGTTGGTAGAAACAAAGGATATGACTCCAAATAGAAAGGCGTATTGGAAATACCAGCAAAAAAAAATTATGAATGCATGTCAAGCTTCTCGGGTTTTAGAGTTCGATGATAATGTGTATCGTCCTGACCCCCCTCCTGGATTTGACCAAGAATGAGTTTTATGTTTATGTTGTACATTATGTTTATGTAGTTTTATGTTTAAGAAATAAAATTTAGTTGTTAATTGAACTTTATGTATTGAAGAAAAGTTGGAATGAAAAATTGAAAAAAGATGTAATAGGAATTTATAGATTTGGCGTTCGAGCTTTGATTGGGGTCCATGACACCTTCCCAAAAAGGGAACGACATCACGAGTCATACTCACAGCTATGCTGTGACATATGGTGGATTTTTGGCTTCTGAGGTCGTTTGGGCTTTCAAAACAGCATTTAAAAGTTGGATTTTAATTTTTAGGCTTTTTGTTTATTTTGTATTCTTTTTATTTATTTTCTATTCTTTTAGACAGCATGTAATAGTAATTTAACTTTTTTTTTTTCCATTGCAAATTTTAAAAGCATACATATGACTAAAATGAAGATACATAATATTCTAACACTGCTTGTTAGTTATTGAAAGCATAAAATGCATACATAACATACTACATACTACATTCTTCATTCTCCTCATTCCTTATCCCACAAGTGATTAATAAGATCATTTCGAAGAGCATGGTGGCGAATTTCATCTCTCATAATTCTTCGCCTACTTAAATATGCTCCAAGTGGGGCTGCATCTCGTCGCACTTCGATCTCAAGAACATCTGCAGGGTCATAATATGAAGGTGTAGGACCCATAGAAGTTGCATCATCATCATCATCATCATCGGAAGCATATTCATCACGCTCATCCTCCACGATAATATTATGCAAAATGATGCACACATTCATGATTCGCTCAAGATCTTCTTGATGCCAAAAGCGAGCAGGGCCCCTAAGGATGGCAAATCGTGATTGAAGGATACCAAATGCTCGTTCCACGTCCCTGCGATACGCCTCTTGTTTCCTTGAAAAAAGTTTTTTCTTCCTACCCTAGGGTTGAGAAATTGTTTGAACAATATTTGACCATTTGGGGTATATCCCATCAGCAAGATAATATCCCTGATTGTATTCAGTACCATTGACAATAAATTGAACATTTGGTGCACGCCCCTCAAGTACCTGCACAAATAAGGGTGACGAGTAAAGCACATTAAGGTCGTTGTGTGAACCAGGCATTCCAAAATAAGAATGCCAAATCCATGTGTCAAACGAAGCTACAGCCTCAAGAATAATAGTTGGACGACCATGGTGGCCCACATAAGCTCCATGGTGAGCAGTTGGACAATTCTTCCATTCCCAGTGCATGCAGTCCAAGCTCCCAAGCATGCCCGGAAAACCGCGTTTTTGCCCATTTCTCAAGAGCCTTGCAAGGTCAACCGGTGTCGGTGATCGAAGGTACTCTCTGCCATATATTGCATGGATTGTAAGACAGAATCTCTTCAAAGTCTCAATAGATGTGGTTTCTGCCATTCTTAGGTTCTCGTCGATTTGATCGGCAGGTGTTCCATACGCAATCATACATAAGGCAGCTGTTAACTTTTGATGGGTGGACAAACCGAGATTTCCACAAGCATCTCGTCGTTGTTGGAAGTAAGTGTCGTAGTTCATGACTTGTTCTAAGATTTGGTTGAACAAGGAAGGCCTCATGCGAAATCTCCTCCGGAACTTATCTGCATTATACACAGGAGTGGCACAAAAATAATCTTTCATAAGGCGCATATGGCCAGCTTCTCGTTCTCTTGGTACATACCTCATTCTTGATGACAACCCACCATGTGTTGCCTTCTCTGCATTATGTTTCTGTGATATCTCCCATTCTATGAACATATCTTCCATACTTTCCTCGTCAGAATCAGTGTCAAACAAGTGTTGGTTGCTCATTTTATTGTTGGGGGGAGAAGAGGAATAAGAAAGAACAGGAGATAAGATGGATGCTCTTGAAGTGAAGGTAGAGATAGGTTAGATGAAGTGAAGAGATAGGTTTGATGAAGTGACCATATTTATAGGAAATCAATGATATCTGATGGGAGAATCAAAGGGATGAGATGAAGAAAAGAGAATATGATCCAAGGGTTAAGATGAAGATAAGAGAATCCGATCCAACGGTTATTTTTGGATGAAATCATTTTTTCTCCGAATTTAAATATTTTTAGGTCTATTTGTTTGAAAAAAAAATTAACCAAAAAAAAAAAAAAAAAAAAAAAAAAAAAAAAGTAAACACAAAATACAAATTTAACACAAAAATGAATTAAGACAAACAAAAACAATTAAACATCTTAAATTTACATCTCTCTCTCATTTGAACAAAAAACATATTTACACCCGCCGGAGGTGTAAAGGGGATGTAAAAGTGGTTTTACACCCCCGAATTTCCCCCCCCCCCCCCCCCCCCCCCCCTGGATGCTGCTTATGGAAGGACGTTCTTGTGCACAAGATGTGATCTTTAACAGAGCCCATTATTTGGCTGGTGAATATGGAAGTCTTGTGGAAGGGGAACCTAAATTAATCATAGAGAAACAAACCAAATGGTCTCCTCCTCCAGTTGGTAAATATAAACTGAATGTTGATGCTGCTTTTATTCCCAAAACAGGTGTGGGTGGAATTGGTGCTGTTGTTAGAAATGACAAAGGGGAAGTGATGGAAGCTATGGCCCTTCCTCTTGCCAATGCCACCTCATCTAAACATGCAGAGATCATGGCGCTTCTTTTCGGGATGAAATTTGCCCGAGATGCTGGCTTTTCTTATATTTTAATTGACTCTGATTCACAAAGGGTGGTAAATGATGTAAAGAAGGATGAGGAAGAGTCTTGGGCATTAGATGGGCATCTTATTGATGATATTAAGAGGAGTATGCAACAATTTGAAGATGTTATTATCTCTTTTAGTCCAAGAGGGGGTAACCAAGTAGCTCATTTTCTAGCAAGGAATGCTCTTAATTGTAATACTATGGTAACTTGGATTGAACAGGTTCCACTTTGGCTGGAATCAATTGTAAATGATGACATGGTTGTATCCTCTTAATTGTTATCAATGAGATCTTTCTTCCCCAACAAAACAAACAACAAAAAAAAAAAAAAAAAAAAAAAAAAAAAAAACCCATTTCTCTATTCTCTCATACACTCTCGCTCAAACTCTCTCTCTCTCTCTCTCTCTCTCTCTCTCTCTCTCTCTCTCTCTCTCTCTTAATCTAACCTTAAAAGTCCTATTTACAGCTCATAGAACTTGGGTTACAAGTTTACGACGAATAGGAAACAAAAGCCTAACCAAATTAGACTAAACCCAGGGCTAAGGTTCGCTCCAAAACTTGGATTCAAGTTGAATATCAAACAAGCCCTTAAGATTGCTCTAGCTTTTCCATTATTTTCACTGCGCATTTGACATAAATAAAATTTCATCATTAATCATACCAAATCTGTGAAACTTCTCACAGTATGTGTACTTGCATACATATTGTAACATGATAGTTAACAACAATGAAGAGACTCTGAGTTATATCATTTTAGGAAAGTGTAAAGATGGATATCATTATTGTCTTATGTTTTCTTGATAGCAAGAATATTTTTGTGAGAGAATGAATATTATTTAACTCCCATATTCTTTTTTTCTTTTTTTTAATGTTCATATCCATGAACAAAGTAAATTTACATGAGATATTGGGAGAAACTAACAATTTCAAGTAAGTTTTATTTATTCTATTTCTTTTTAATTTGAGATAATTATTCAACATATTACATTAACTTCAATTATAACTTGGGTTGTGTTTGAAATTACAGTAACCTAATATTACATTAACTATAATGTCAGGCTAATGGTGCATATATTGCTCTTTGTCAAAAGAAGGAAAAAGATGAGACCCTTACACTTCTTTATTGGTTTTATCCACCTGCAAAGCTTTTTAGAGAACTTCTACGATCAAACTCGCTCCAGACGAGTTCGACTAGCATTCAGGTTCCACATAATGCTATTCTTAATTTTATAAATGTTATTAATCACTTGAGTTATAAGTCTTTTACACTAAATACACGTGAATTGAATGAATAAAAAGTAACAATATTTATTCAACTCCATATTCTCTTATAAACTTTTTCAATTGTCTTGCAATCTCAGTTTACGTTTCATTTGAAGTGTTTAATAGCCCAACTCAGTTTTCTTTGAGAATACTAATCATTGATCTTTGTCAGGAGGCCAACTCTGGCTGGCATGGCAATGATGCCTCTGTTTTTGCCCAATGGAAGAATAGAATATTTCTTGCAACAGCCTGGAATCAACCACACGTCCCCCCTCTGCATTCCGCTACATTTTAGAAGTGGAATTAGTGGTGATGAATGATGATGACAACTCGAATGGTGAAAGGAGCATTGGTGAGAACAATCTTTTTTGTTTATAGATAAGAGTAGTTTAGAGCTATTACCTGTATAAAGAATTTAGCAATTTAATGTTTAATATTGTATTACACATGTAGGTACCTATATTTCAATAATATATCCATGTTTTGTACACGTCTTAAAGACTCGGTAAAATTCACATTTTTCAAAAAAGCAAATGTACACTACTTGTATTTTTTACAAAATTTTCAATAATACACACAAAATTAACGTATTATACACATAATTATCACATATTATTGAATATAAATAATATATGTTTAAAAAAAATTTAAAATTAAATTAAAATATTATATAGTGACAGAACTTTTAAGTTGTAATTTGCCAAAATTTTGCCAAATAAAACATGTACATATGTTATTGGTTTCTATAAAGTATAAACTAATGCAACTAGGAGGGTCTTTTTATATTTATTTATTTATTAAATAGTATAGCCGAGCAGCTATACCGTTTAAATATAATGTATTTAAATAGTATAGCCGATCGGCTATACTACGGTTTTTTAAATATAAAATGCTGCCACTGATCGCGTATGCTCGGTTCTTTCCAATTTCTTTAGAAATAAATAATATAGCCGGACGGCTATGCACGGGTTTTCCAAATTTTTTTAATAGACAATAGTATAGCCGCGCGGCTATACTACTCTGTTTTGCCACAACAGAAGAAAATCACTTAAAATTTGGTAACGGTGATGGAGCAGAGGCCATCCATGATCTTAAATTCTCAATTAATTTCAATGGCTTTAACATCGGCCTTTTTCACCTCTGCCTTGGGAACAGTGACGCTCAGAACCCCATTCTCCATTGCAGCCTTAATCTCGTCTACCTTCGCATTCTCCGAGAGCTGAAACCTTCTGTACGTTCCTCTCTCCGCTGATCTGAAGCATCCTGTCCTCATCAACCTCCACCTTCATCTCTTCTTTCTTCAGCCCTGGGAGCTCTGCCTTGAACACGTGGGCTTCTGGGCTCTCCTTCTAGTCGATTCTGGTGTTCAGGAAAGCTGAATTTTCCCGTGGAAAGTGATGAGGAAGAAGGAACTGGGAAATCCTTGAAGGGGTGGAAAATGCTGCTTCGCCGAAAGCTTGGGATGATCGACATTGTATTGTAAATTGATGAAAACTACGGGGTCTTGGGTTTGTTTGGATGATGAGGAAGTTTGAGTATCCAATTCGAGTGTTACTGATCTAATTTCCCGCTTCGCTTCAACTTCAAAGGTTTGGATATTAGTATTACGGAGGGTTTTGGATGCATATTTATAAGAAGCCCAAGATTTTTTTAGTAAAGACTGGGCCTTCAAAATCGGTTTTATGAATTTTTTTTTCTGGAACTTTCTAGGACTGTTGAGAAAGTGGGCCTCCGAGATATTATTAGCTCAAATGCACTTTCTTTTTTATAAATTTCGACTCTATCAAACTTACAAATAGTTAAATAAAATCTAATCAGTCGTCACACCATTTTTATGTGGAATTGCTCACATATGGTTAACATGACATGAACAACAACGAAAATCTTTGGTTTCTATCATTTGAAGGAGAAGTGTGTGTGTGTGGATGAATTGCTCTATTGTTTTTCGTTTTCTTAACAACTTGAATGTTTTTGTAAGAAAAATGTGTAATAACCTGAAAATTTCAATATTATATTCTTATTTTGGTGACAAATAATATTATATTGAAGAGTTATTGTGGGTATTTTATAAAGTATTTTTGGATTGAAAATATTGAATTTAAGTATTTTTATCATTTAAATATTAATGGGACAATGTAATTTTATATGAGACATTGGAAGAAACTAACAATACTATCTACATAGTAACGAACCCACATAGGCGCAAGGAGGCTCAAGTGCACCTCCCCTCGCCTGCAAATACCATAGAAATCAGTCATCTTGAGCTCTTGGGCAGCTGGGTGGCCGGGCAAGAATGCCCAAAACCTATTTTTGGAAAGGTTGGAGTGAAGAGAAACAGCAGCAAGCGCGATCTATTTTTATGTTTAATGATCTGACCAAAACAAATTGTTTTAGACCAGATCAATTAATGATCTTATCAAGTAAATTTATTCTTCTTTCATATGGTACAATTTGAAGTTAATTACTTATTTAAGGTACGATAGCCAATCATAATAGGTTACTTAATTTCTAGTTCAAACTAATGTGTTTTTAACCTCATTGTTGCAATGAGACAACAAATATGCTGGCTCATTATGAGTTACAAGAGCGAGGTTAGTTCTATTGGTCGGAAGAGGGTCAAGTTTGGCTAAATGATTGTATTGATAGTAACCAACATCTTATCTTAATGAAATTCTTATATTTAGATAATAAATAAATGTTAAAAATACCATGAGAAAATTATAAAAACGTGAAATGACGAGAAAGCCCTTGGAAAAGGGTGTCGAGCTTGTCATATGTCATTATTCATAATCAGAGGTGTTAAATTGTAACATGACACAAAGTTTATATTCAAATTAAAAACGCACAATTCGTAATTTTACAAGAAACCACTCATTTTATTAATAGCAACATTCATCACACAAAATCATATTGAATTTGGTACTCGTATGATGTTCATTTCTCATTTAATTAACCAGAGATTTCAATGGGTTTGACATCGACCTGTTTCACCTCTGCTTTGGGAACAGTGACGCTCAGAACCCCATTCTCCATTGCAGCCTTAATCTCATCTACCTTCGCATTCTCCGGAAGCTGAAACCTCCTCAGGAACTTGCCGCTGCTGCGCTCCACCCTGTGCCACTTGTCGTTCTTGTCCTCCTTCTCCACATTCCTCTCTCCACTGATCTGAAGCACCCTGTCGTCTTCAACCTCCACCTTTACCTCTTCTTTCTTCAGCCCTGGAAGGTCCGCCTTGAACACGTGGGCTTCCGGGGTCTCCTTCCAGTCTATTCTAGTGTTCAGAAAAGTAGAATTTTCCCGGGAAAATTCAGGGAATGTGGAGAGTGATGAGGAGGAAGGGAATTGGAAATCCTTGAAGGGGTCCCAGAGATCAAGAGAGAAAGGGTCAAAAATGCTGCTTCGTCGGAAGTTGGGGATGATCGACATGGTGAAAACTGATGGGTTTTGTTTGGGAATTCGAGTTGTTAGGGAATTACTGCTTTGCTTGACTGGTTGAGAGAGCGGAGGATTGATTGCGTATTTATACGGGGCCAGAGAGTTTTCGAGGATAGAGTAAACTGGGCCGTTAGAACGCTATATATGATTTTCTTTTCGAACTTTCTAGGATTCTCAAGCATCTGTATGCTGTGGGCTCGTAACAGATCAATCATATCATGTTCATTGTTGTTAGACCATGTCCAACCCAAATGCGTCTAAATTCAAATTTCCCCCCTTTCAAAATATAACTATTTATGTATTGTCTAGATTGAAACAGTTTTTTCCTCTAACCAACTCAAATGGAGCTAAACCCAAATTTCCCCTCTTCAAAATACAACTATTCATGTATTGCCCGGATTCAAGCAGTTTTTTCTTCCAACCTTGTAGGACTCAAAATTTAAGTCCGTAACTTTATTAATTATTTAAGAATTGTTTAACTCTAAAATTATTTTGTGTTTAGTTTTTCTTAAGTTAATTTTGGTTCATACTAGGGGTAGGCATCTTAAACCGAAATACCGAAACCTTACCCTAACCACACCATATCATACCGATTTCATACCGTTTCATTTGGTATGAGGAGATATTCGGTACCGTACCGTACCAATAGAATATGGTATGGTAGCGGTATCAAGATTTTGGTAACGGTCAATACCGTACCATACCGAATATAACTTTATGTTTTTGTCATTTATGTTTGTATTGTGTTTGTATTTTGTAAGCCATAAGACATAATTTTAACTATTTTGGTTTGTAAGTCATAAGGCATGAGTTTTAACCATTTGGATTTGATGAATTTGTTGATGGATAAATATTGATTTGGTTGATTTGGATATTGAATATGTTGATTAGGATTTGGATATTGAATATGTTGATGGATATTGAATATATTGATTAGGATTTGGATATTGAATATGTTGAATCTTTGAATTTGTAACTTAGGCATCACTTATTTTGGTGTTGAATATTGAATTGGTTCATTTTTTAGTTGTATCATTTTGGTACTGAAATGGTACCGATACCGATTTGGCACGGTATGGTACGGTACCAATTTTGACAAACTATAATCTCATACCGTACTATACCCATTTAAATTTCCAGTATCGGTAGCAGTACGGGCTCAATACCGTACAATACCGTACCGTGCCTACCCCTAGTTCATAACATCATGAATTATTTTTTTGAATATTTTAACATAAAAAATAAAAATCTAATTTTGAAAATAAAAATATAATTCATAAATGATAAAGGATAAACACACATACTAGGAACAAAAAAGTGTGTATTTATGTACTTTAGGATAATTTTGAGGTTAGACTAGTTAATTAACATTTTGGCCGTTGGATCTTTTTATAAGGTCATCTTTTTTATAAGCCTCTCTGCACACGCTTCGGCTCATGCGAGAGACCTTTTTTTATTCACTCGTGTTAGGGCAACTTACAAAGATTTTTTTTAAAATATTTATTTTTACAATTGTATTTTTTTAGATGTCCGTCTTCTATCACTTTTTTTTTTTTTTTTTTTTTGCAACTATATTGTATTTGCAATCTATCAATATTTGTTAAAATTGTGTGTGGGATATCTTTCCTGACCAAATGTTTTGTTTCCCTGCGAAATGTTGTCGGGATAGATCTTTACCCCGCATTGAATTTGGTACTCCTTCAAGGATTTTCCCATTCCCTTCCTCCTCATCACTTTCCACATTCCCTGAATTTTCCCGGGAAAATTCAGCTTTCCTGAACACTAGAATCGATTGGAAGGAGACCCCGGAAGCCCACGTGTTCAAGGCGGACCTTCCAGGGCTGAAGAAAGAAGAGGTAAAGGTGGAGGTTGAAGACGACAGGGTGCTTCAGATCAGTGGAGAGAGGGATGTGGAGAAGGAGGACAAGAACGACAAGTGGCACAGGGTGGAGCGCAGCAGCGGCAAGTTCCTGAGGAGGTTTCAGCTTCCGGAGAATGCGAAGGTAGATGAGATTAAGGCTGCAATGGAGAATGGGGTTCTGAGTGTTACTGTTCCCAATACAGAGATGAAAAAGCCTAATGCCAAAGCCATTGAAATCTCTGGTTGAAATTGAGAATTTGAGGCCATCTATATATTCTTCAGTATATAATCTATTAATATATTAAAATTGTAAAATCAAATGATGGATATGTTGGAGACTGGAACAACTTTTCATTGTAATTTGTATTTTGTGTGTGAAAAATGTTATGAATAATGAAATGAGCGGTTTGCTTTGGCTTCAATGTGGACAAATTAAATACATGGTCGACGGTTGCTTTAGACCATCGAGCTTTAATGGTGCAAAGAAATAATGATTCAATTGTGTTCAATCGCGATTGGTTCTGTTTCTCTATGATTTTTGTCAAAATCGAATTAAATTAAATTATCATCTTGTAATTAGTTCGATTGCAATTTTTAGGTAAAAATTATTCAATTTTAACCGTGCCCCAACCATATTGATCATAATTCATGTTTAGGGAGGCGTGGAATGCCTCAATACTTTATGGTTCAGTTTGGTTAAAGTGATGAATTTAAATTGCATATGAAATGATTTATGCGAGATATGAGTAGTTTTTTTTCTTTTTCATACAAGGTTGTGGGGGTCTTTTTGTTCCAGCAGCCTGATGAATGGGCTTGGGCTGTCGTAAGAAGTAAACGAACAGAAATTCCCCAAGTATCAGAGTTCAGAGACTAGGCTCCCGAAAGAGTTTTTGAAAAGTTTGATGCGACTCTAGAAAAACACTCTCAGGTTCTTTTCACCAATAGCCAAATAAACATGATAGATTGATTAATGGCTTAGCATGAGGAGCTTGTGGCATGGGAGCAAAACCATCATGAGTTTAGCATGAACAGAGAGAGATAAGCGTGAGTTTCTTACAGTGAACAAAGGGTTAAAGTGAAACAGAGGAAGATTAGACAGATTTCTTTCCTAAGGGGGGAAGAGAACAAACGAAGAAGAGAATTGGGTGGCTTGAGTAAAATTTCCAATTTGCTTGACAAAGCGTGGTCAGGCCTTGGATGGGTTGGTTTTCTGGGTAGCTGAGACTCTCTTTTATAGCCACAAAGAACCCTAATTTCGTCTTAACTTTTCCTCCTCTTTTTTATTGCTCATTTCCACTTTATCTTCTTTGGTGAATTTCTCCCATCCAAGGAGCATGGGTAAGGAACCCTTTGTGGTTCCAAGAGTTTGACGCAGCTGGACCTTCCCATAAGGGGGGAAGGCGCCACCTGCTTTCCTTATGGGTTTTCAAGATGGAGCTTGCGGAGGAAATGAGAGATGGAGGGAGTTCTTTGTCTGATGGGTACTCGTCCTTCACGCACGGATTTCTGTTGGTTCATGCCATGGCTCATTGTTTGATTGTCTTGGATTCCTAATCAGAATGGAGCACGATGCCAGGCTTTTCATAAGGCTTTGGGTTGGGCTTGTATGTACAGTGTTGGGTCTTTAGCTTGTTACTTCTATCGTTTGACAGGTTTTCGTCAAGTTGCTGGAAGCAGTTTGCCTGTTGCATTTTTAACAAAGTATTTGGATGCTCTAACTAACATAAGGTTTCCTAAGCAAACTATTGTATTCTCTAAGGCATTGGGTCATGTTCGCTCTCTCATGCTAGCCCATGTGTTTGGGCTCAACAAATGGGCTTGAGTTTTGGGGCTCCCAAGCAGCCTAAAACTTTCATTTCTTGGCTCATCAATGGGCCTCATGAAAGCTTGTTACCATATATACCACAACCCACTCAAGCAAGGCCCGGGCATTTGCGTGGCTTGGGCCCACTTAAGCTTGTAGCGTGGTTGGGTGTGAAATAATAATTTCCTGCTTAGCATGGCATGTCAATCGGCGTGTTTTAATTTTATCGTCCTTGAATAGAGGCATGATGGTTGACGAGGTAATTAGCATGGGCTCGTAGAGTTAGTGCTTATTTCAACTCTTAGCATGAGAGATTGCATATTTATTTGGCATGACATGTGGTCTTGGCTTGTGCAAGCATGAATGAGGAATTTTGCATGCTCAAAACCGAGTCTTTTTCTTAATAAGGCATTATGTTGGGCCGAGAATTTATTTTGCCCCAACCCTGAATTTTTGGGCCTCAACAAAAGGATATTAAAGAGGAGGAATCGAACACAAGACCTTGAGTGCATAAATAATTACTTTTACCACTTGAGCTATAAGTCCCTTGTAAAAATAAAAATTAGTCAAATTTGGTTCACTTGGTCTTAAGGGAAGTGAAAGTGCAGTTAAACTAGGTTATAGGGGTGGGCATTGGAATTAGAAAATTGAGGAACTAAATCAAACTAAACTTTAAAAAATTGGAAAATTAATTTTGACTCGAACCGATTTGGTTCTCAATTTTGCCATTTAAAGACAGAACCGGACCAAGTAATGTTGGCCAATATATTAATATATATGTCTAACTCAATTTTATTATGAATTTAATACCAAAATTATAGCCTCATCATCTCTCTTAGCCTCACTTATATTCATCAAGGTCCGATCCTCCCGTATCTTCCTTCATATCCCTCATGGTCTTATATCCTCCATTCATGCTTTCAACACCATCATCCACTATCTTTTTGTTTTTATCTTTATAAATTCATGGATTGATTAATTTAGGAGAGTTGAGTATTATTTTTGGGTTTCTGAAGGGACAAGCTTAACAAAATATTTAAGTCGATGCAAAACTCAAATCGAATAGAACCAGTCAGACCAATAAATCGCAAGTGAATCAAACCGATTGTTTTATTCGATTCGGCTTTCAGTTTTGAAGGGAAGCGAACCGGACTAGAACAGAGGCAAACAAATCAAATGGGATGGTTCAGTCAAATTCGGTCGGTTTAACTGTTTCACCGGTTCTTTTTTTCCCCTCAAACGTTCATGCGATCCATGACTCGTCAACTATTAGGAGCCCACAAAGAAGCCCACCGACAGATACCTGAGAATCCTAGAAAGCTTGAGAGAAGTCCATACAAACACGCAAGGCCCAGTTTATTCTAGAAATCTCTTCGGCCCCCCTATAAATATGCAATCAATCCTCCAGCTTTCTCAACCAGTCAAGCAAAGCAGAAATTCTCTAACCGCTACAAATCGACGCTCCAACTTTCTCAGCATCGAAACAAAACCCATCAATTTTTCCAATGTCGATCATCCCCAACTCCCGACGAGGCAGCATTTTCGACCCTTTCTCTCTCGATCTCTGGGAACCCTTAAAGGATTTCCCATTCCCTTCCTCCTCATCACTCTCCACATTCCCTGAATTTTCCCGGGAAAATTCAGCTATCCTGAACACCAGAATCGACTGGAAGGAGACCCCAGAAGCCCACGTGTTCAAGGCAGACCTTCCGGGGCTGAAGAAAGAAGAGGTGAAGGTGGAGGTTGAAGACGACAGGGTGCTTCAGATCAGCGGAGAGAGGAACGTAGAGAAGGAGGACAAGAACGACAAGTGGCACAGAGTGGAGCGCAGCAGCGGCAGGTTCTTGAGGAGGTTTCAGCTTCCTGAGAATGCAAAGGTGGACGAGATTAAGGCTGCAATGGAGAATGGGGTTCTGAGTGTCACTGTTCCAAAGGCAGAGGTGAAGAAGCCTGATGTCAAAGCCATTGAAATCTCTGGTTAATATCGTCTCTGTATTCTGTACTGCAGGCACCTTCACATTTTGTATATCTACGTTTGATTTTGGAGTGTCAGTTGTCATCAATGTTGATATCAATGAAATGAGTGTGAGTGTTTGTAACATAATGGCTTGTAACTTGTTCCTTTTTAATATAAATGGATCCTAATTGAGGCTTTACCTGGTTCCTGTTTTGAATTTCATTCGCATGTGTTGCTTTTCTGTTTTCAGTTCTCTCAGTTCTCTATTTAAAGTTACGTTTACTTTTGTTTCGGAATTAGAGTCTTTTGATATCTTACATGGGCTTTGTTTGCTTTTGCTTTACGCAAATCTTAATCCTAATCCTCTGGACTCAATAAATAAATAATGATGCCAAAAAATTTCATATTCCCCCGTACAGGCCAAAAAATTCATCCAAGTTTTTAGCCGCAATGATTCATCAACTTATATCCAAGTTTTATTGTGGTTATCTAATTCATTTTTAAAAAAAATTTGAAAAAACCGCGTATAGCCGAACGGCTATAATATTTATTTTTAAAAAAAATTAGGAAAAACCGAGTAGAGCCGACCGGCTATACTATTAATTTAAAAAAAAACTCCGAATAAGCCTGATGCCAAAGCCATTGAAATCTCTGGTTAATGTCGTCTCTGTGTTCTCTACTGCAATTCACATTATGTATTTCTTTGTTAGATTTTGGAGTGTCAGTTGTCATCCATGTAAACTCAAGCTTTTTTTGTCAATAATTGTCCAAATTCAGGTTTAAATATTAATGAATTGATTCATGTAGCAACCAGGTAATTACGTTCTTAATTTCCTTTTTAATGTGAATTTAATCATAATTTCATAAACAAATTGGCCATTTACTGACTTTTAAAGTCAAATTTGAGCAAAACATTGGATTAACCAAAAAATAGGTACGAAAGCCTAAAAGGCCAAGAAATACAATGCTACCAAGGTAACCAAACCAACACTGAGCCCTTACGGACCACAGACTAACTAAACTAACAAGAAACAGAACAGCTAGAGCAACCATGAAAAGCAGAGAGAAACGAAACAATAATCACATATGCTACCGCGGGTATAATTCAGCAATTGAGGCTTCATTAATAGAAAATGACAATGATTTGCTAGTTGGTTGATCAGATGAGTCAGTTCAACTATGCAGGACAAATGCTGGCTTTTTGAGGTAAACCAATATGGACACATCGAATTACTTCATTATTTGCGTAATAATCTCTTACATTTGGATCCAAATAAAGTAATGTGAGTCCAAATATCAGTATGAAAATGCTGAAACTCATCTAGCAATCAGTGTCTCATCTGATAATTCATAAACAGTGTAACCAATAATTCACATCTGATATCAATTCGATATCTCAATCAACCCGTTTATGCCGATTATGTGAGCATAAACAAAGTTCTGTTATTACTTATTAACATTAACAACATGGATTTGAATTCAGTGTTCAAACCGAGCAAAGCTACGTATTGGCAAGAGTCGTTGTTATATTACACTCACACATTGATTCATATAATAACCACAAACCCATGAAGAACATTCAACCCAGACGCACCAAGAGGATGATGACGAGACTGATAATGATTATGATGAGGGTAATGACGAAGACAACGACGTTAATCATGATGATGATAGTGTTTTCTCACTGCATGGAAAACCCGCGGCTATACTATTTCGTTTAAAAAAACTGGTATGGCCACCCGGCTATACTATTTCTTTTGGAAAAATTAGCCGCGCGGCTATACAATGGCATAGCCGCTCGACCCTACTGGAAAAATTTGAGAGACTCCTTGTTACATGTTGGCAAGAGTCGTTGTTATATTTACACTCACACTGATTCATATAACCACAAACCCATGAAGAAGATTCAACCCAAACCCACGAAGAGGATGATGAGGAGACTGATGATGATTATGATGAGGATAATGACGACGACGACGACGTTGATGATAGTGTTTTCTCACAGCATGTGCAAGGTAGCACTACATATTTTTTTACCCTTCCTTTATATTTCTTGCTTCTTTTTGCTGTGTACTGTTTCGTATTTATCCTTATTCTAGATAATTAGTAAGAAATATAATCAGGCTCGCAATTTTTATTTTTATTTTTATTTTTCTCAATTCATGCTAATTCTTCACTTGACACTAGACCACACTACGATTTATAAAAAAAATAATAATAATCTCATTCAAGATTTGGAAAACATGCAAATCCTCAAATAACATTGTCAGACCACCTAATTATTCCATTTCTTGATTCATATTGAGTTTTTATATTTATGTTATTTTATGTTCCTTCAATATGACTCGCATTAGTTTTTAATTTTGTTTGAAGGGTAAAAAGTGAATTTCAAATTTTACAAAAAATGTGCTGGGTAGGTTGAGTGAATTTTGAAATCCAGTGGTCCATCACTCGTCTAACTGTGTTATGAGCCCACAAAACAAAGAAGCCCCGCCCACAGATTCTAGAGAATCCTAGAATTTTCCAGAGAAAATCACAGAAGCGTTTGCAAGGCCCAGTCTTCACTAGAATATTCTTGGCTTCTTTTTAAATACCCAACCAATCCTCTACTTTCCCAAACCAATCAAGCAAAGCAGCAACAAATTCTCAAACTTTCTCAGCATCCAAACAAAAAACCCCATCAATTTTTCCGATGTCGATCATCCCCAGCTTCCGACGAGGCAGCATTTTCGACCCTTTCTCTCTCGATGTCTGGGAGCCATTCAAGGATTTCCCATTCCCTTCCTCCTCATCACTCTCCACATTCCCTGAATTTTCCCGGGAAAATTCAGCTTTCCTGAACACGAGGATCGACTGGAAGGAGACCCCGGAAGCCCACTTGTTCAAGGCAGACCTCCCGGGGCTGAAGAAAGAAGAGGTGAAGGTGGAGGTTGAAGACGACAGAGTGCTTCAGATCAGCGGAGAGAGGAACGTAGAGAAGGAGGACAAGAACGACAAGTGGCACAGAGTGGAGCGCAGCAGCGGCAAGTTCTTGAGGAGGTTTCAGCTTCCTGAGAATGCAAAGGTGGACGAGATTAAGGCTGCAATGGAGAATGGGGTTCTGAGTGTCACTGTTCCAAAGGCAGAGGTGAAGAAGCCCGATGTTAAAGCCATTGAAATCTCTGGTTAATATCGTCCCTGTATTCTCTACTGTATGCACGTCACATTATGTATTTCCATGTTTGAATTTGGAGTGTCAGTTGTCATCAATGTTGATGTCAATGAAATGAGTGTGAGTGGTTGTAACATAATCGCTTGTAACTTTTTGGTTTTTAATGTAATAAATGGATCGTAATTTTGGTAATTTGTGTTTGGTTTTTGAGGCAAAGAAAACAACTAAGCGCTAAAGAAACGGGGCCTGGAAGCACCACAGGCATCAGCAGCGAGAATATCCACAAGGAAGGCTGACACCTTGTCAAAAATCTGCAGACCAGGATCAAACTCAAAACTCTTAGCAGCCAAGGCATCCGCAGCACAGTTCTGTTCACGAAAGATGTGCCACTCATCTTTAATTTACTATTAATGATGCTGAAGAGGGTATGAGTTGATCCCCAGCAGCACTTGAATCGCACTCCACTTCCACGACTCGAAACCCGGAATCCCGAGCTAAGGAAAGCCCCCAGAAAATACCCTACAACTCTGCCTCTAGAACTTTTAAATTATTTTGTGGCATCAAACTTTAAATTATATTGCATTGTGATCCTAAGATTCGTTATGTTCGACTCTCCCTATTTAAGATACAATTACTTTTGTTTCGGAATTAGTCTTTTGATATCTTATCATGGGCTCTGTTTGCTTTCCAAATCTTAACCCTAATTCTCTGGACTCAATAAATAAATAAATAATGATGCCAAAAAATTTAATATTCCCCGTCCAGGCCAAAAAATTCACCCAAGTTTTTAACCGCAATGATTTATGAACTTATATCCAAGTTTTATTATGGTTATCTAATTCGTTTTAAAAAAAAATTGAAAAACCCGATTATCGCCGTGCGGCTATATTATTCTTTTTTGGTTGAAAAATTAGGAAAAATCAGAGTGGCTATACTATTTCTTTTAAATGACCGGCTATACTATTTTCTTATAAATTTTGAAAAATCCTGGTATAGCCGCCCGGCTATACTATTTCTTTTTGAAAATTAGGAAAGAACCGAGTATGAAAACCGTATTTTTTTATATATAAAAAAAAGAGCCGCATACTGCCGCACGGCTATACTATTTTAAAAAAAAAATTAAAAAAAGTGTATAGCCGTCCGGCTATACTATTTACTAAAAAAAAATAGAGCCGAGTAAAGCCGAGCGGCGTAACTCATTTTAAAATATATTAAAAAACGAAGTACAGCCGACCGGCTATATGTTTTCTTTTTAAAAAATTTGAAAAATCCGAGTATAGCGTCCCGGCTATACTGGGTTGTTTTGACAAATCAAAATTTGAAAAATTGGAAAAGCCCTACACAGTTCAAAATTCTGATTGTTTTGATTGCTTATTTCATTGTTGTTTCTTTTTCTTTAATAATCGAGAACGATATCATATTCTTTTGGGTGGAATCAAGATCTGAATGTGGTAGTCGGTGAAGTCAAGGCGGTCGCCGTGGTGCTTCGCAGCGGCTGGTCTGAAAAAAAAAATAGTCTCCATTGCAGCCCGTGCTTCCTTAGCCTTGTAAATGAACAACTGATTGAATGTTAGGATTTTTCGAACCCAACTCCAGATTGCACCAACACCTCAGAAGATTCTAAAAAATTTCATACGTGTCTTGATTATTAACAATGAAGTCTCTGTATCCTCTACTGCATTTCATAATTTTTGCTAATTTATTTGTTTGATTTTGGATTGTCAATTCTCATCAATGTAATGAGTGATTTCTTGTAACATAATTGCCACATGATCGTAATTTTGCTACTTTGTGTTTTGCGTTTTTGAGGCTTTGCCTGGTTCCTGTTCTGAATTGTATGTGTTGCTTTTCTGGTTTCATGTTTTAGTAAAATGCTTTCTTCTGTTTGAAACTTTTTGAGTGGCATTGTGATCCTTAGATTTCTTATGTTCGACTCTATCTAAAGTTACATTTACTTTTTCGCTTTTGATATCTTATCATGGGCTTTGTTTGCTTTTGCTTAACCCAATTCTTAAGCCTAATCCTCTTGAATCAATAAATAATGAAGCAGCAGATTTGGGAATCCTAATCCACCCAGCTTTTAACTGCAATGATCCATGACTCTCATAATCATCAGAATTTTCATACCACTTTTATGAGGAACATGTCACAGTATTTTCGCACTCATGTCCTTAACATGACGGTAAATAATATAATGAAATTTGTTTGCTTTCTAACGTTTAATGGGAAGCCTAAAGGTAAATCACTTCATCAATTTTTGCTTTCTTGACAGCTTCAATAGTTGTGTGAGGAAAATCAATATCATCTTAACTCTTCTATGTATCATTTTAGATTATGTTCATGAGACAAAAATAATGTCACATAAGATATTAGAGGAAATTAATAATTTTAGGTAAAATATCTTTGATTTATTTGAATGTTCTACACCAACAATGAAGGTGTAGCCAAGGACGGAACTGTGTATGGGCGGGCCCAGAGATGTGTGAAATACTAAACAACTTGGTGCAAGTTTTATAAGCTATTCCTATCCCATAAATATTAGCTCAACCCATGTTTGATGTCTCTATTATAATAAGCCAATCAAAAACATCATGAAAATATTTAATCATAGATTGTCAAATTCGTTTCACTCCCGATAAGTAAATTTATTTTTCTGCAATGCAATATTTGTTTTATGTTTTTTTTTTGACAATATGTGTTTGATTTGGTGTCTATTTAAACATTATTTTAAAAAAAAATTATAGGGCTTATAAATCACTAATTGAAAAAAAAATATTAACCCACTCCTATAAAAATTCTTGAGTTTGTCCTTGAGTGCAGAATTTGGATTTTGAGACGTGGGAGGATAAATTGGAAAGGGGGAGATAAGGTTATAAGTAAAAGAGTTTTGAAGTGGTGAAAATATGGCACATATTTATAAGAATCAGTGAAAAAAAAATACTTACAGCCCATGATTTGAGACCCACCCTACCTAAACTCTTTCAATACATCTTAGGCTAACTCTCTAATTTTGAGGGAAAGCTTAGGCTAACCCTTTAATTTTGGGGTAAACTCAAGCGTTTTTTTGTCTGTTATTGTCCAAACTTGGGATTAAATAGTAATGAATTGATTTCTGCAGCAACAAGTTAATTACATTCTTAATTTCCTTTTTAATATGAATTTGATCCTAATTTCATAAAGAAACTGGCCATTTAACGACTTTTAAAGTCAAATTTGATCAGAACATTGGATTAACCAAAAAAATAGGTACAAAAGCCTAAAAGGCCAAGAAATACAATGCTACAAAGGTAACAAAACCAACACAGAGCCCTTATGGACTACAGACGAACTAAACTAACAAGAAACAGAACAGCTAGAGCAACCATGAAAAGCAGAGAGAAACAAAACAATAATCACAGAACTTCCCAAGTACAGTCCTGCAAGATTCATCATGCTTTGTTCGATATAGACTAACCCGGGTATAATTCAGCAATTGAGGCTTCATTGACAGAAAATAACAATGATTTGCTAGTTGATTGATATTTTTTGTTCTTTTTTTCTAATTCATGCTAATTCTTCATGGTGTCATGGTGACACCAGACCACACTACGATTGAAAAAAGAAAAAAATTAGGGGAAAACCCGAGTATAGCCGCGTGGCTTTACGATTTTTTTTATTTTTTATTTTGCAAGAGTCGTTGTTATATTACACTCACACATTGATTCATATAACCACAAACCCATGAAGAAGAATCAACCCAGACCCACAAAGAGGATGATGATTATGACAAGGATAATGACGAAGATGACGACGTTGATGATGATAGTGTTATCTCTTACATTTGAAGCACTACATGTTTTTTGCCCTTCCTTTATATTCCCTGCTTCTTTTTGCTGTGTGTTTTGTATTTACCCTCGTTCCAGATAATTAGTAAGAAATATTATCAGCCTTGCAATTTTTATTTTTATTTTTCCCAATTCATGCTAATTCTTCACGTGACACTAGACCACATCATGATTGAAAAAAAATAATACTAATCTCATTAAAGATTTGAAAAACTTGCAAATCCTCAAATAACATTGTCAGACCACCTAATTATTCCATTTCTTGATTCATATTCAGTTTTTATATTTATATTATGTTATGTTCCTTCAATTTGAATCTCATGGGTTTTTATTTTTTAGTTTTTAATTTTCTTTGAAGGGTAAAAAGTGAATTTCAAATTTTACAAAAAATGTGCTGGGTAGGTTGAGTGAATTTTGAAATCCAGTGGTCCATCACTCGTCTAACTGTGTTATGAGCCCACAAAGAAGCCCCGCCCACAAATTCTCGAGAATCCTAGAATTTTCCAGAGAAAATCACAGAAGCGTTTTCAAGGCCCAGTCTTTACTAGATTATTCTTGGCTTCCTTTTAAATACCCAACCAATCCTCTACTTTCCCAAACCAATCAAGCAAATCTGCAATTCTCTAACGACTCAAATTCTCCAACTTTCTCAGCATCCAAACAAAAAACCCATCAATTTTTCCGATGTCGATCATCCCCAGCTTCCGACGAGGCGGCATTTTCGACCCTTTCTCTCTCGATGTCTGGGAGCCATTCAAGGATTTCCCATTCCCTTCCTCCTCATCACTCTCCACATTCCCCGAATTTTCCAGGGAAAATTCAGCTTTCCTGAACACGAGGATCGACTGGAAGGAAACCCCGGAAGCCCACTTGTTCAAGGCAGACCTTCCGGGGCTGAAGAAAGAAGAGGTGAAGGTGGAGCTCGAAGAAAACAGGGTGCTGCAGATCAGCGGAGAGAGGAAAATAGAGAAGGAGGACAAGAACGACCAGTGGCACAGAGTGGAGCGCAGCAGCGGCAAGTTCTTGAGGAGGTTTCAGCTTCCTGAGAATGCAAAGGTGGACGAGATTAAGGCTGCAATGGAGAATGGGGTTCTGAGTGTCACTGTTCCAAAGGCAGAGGTGAAGAAGCCTGATGTCAAAGCCATTGAAATCTCTGGTTAATATCGTCTCTGTATTCTGTACTGCAGGCACCTTCACATTTTGTATATCTACGTTTGATTTTGGAGTGTCAGTTGTCATCAATGTTGATATCAATGAAATGAGTGTGAGTGTTTGTAACATAATGGCTTGTAACTTGTTCCTTTTTAATATAAATGGATCCTAATTGAGGCTTTGCCAGGTTCCTGTTTTGAATTGCATTTGCATGTGTTGCGTTTCTGTTTTCAGATCTCTCAGTTCTCTATTTAAAGTTACATTTACTTTTGTTTCTGAATTAGAGTCTTTTGATATCTTATCATGACTCTGTTCGCTTTTGCTTTCCCCAAATCTGAAAAACATTTGGAAAACCGAGTAACACCGAGCGGCTATACTATTTATAGGATATTTTTAAAATGACGTATAGACGTTCGGCTATACTATTTATTTAAAAAATAAAATTAGCCGAGTACAGCCGGCCGGCTGTACGATTTCTCTAAAAAAATTGAAAAAACCCCTGTATAGCCGAAAGGCGGCACTATTTCTTTTAAAATCCTCCTCTCCACATTTCCCGAATTTTCCCGGGAAACTTCAGCTTTCCTGAACACGATGATCAACTGGAAGGAGACCCCAGCAGCCCATGTGTTCAAGGCATACCTTCCGGGGCTGAAGAAAGAAGAGGTGAAGGTGGAGCTCGAGGACGGCATGGTGCTTCAGATCAGTGGAGAGAGAAATGTAGAGATGGTGGACAAGAACGACAAATGGCACAGAGTGGAGCACAGCAGCGGCAAGTTCTTGAGGAGGTTTCAGCTTCCAGAGAATGCAAGGGTAGACGAGATTAAGGCTGCAATGGAGAATGGGGTTCTGAGTGTCACTGTTCCCAAGGCAGGGCCAAAGCCATTGAAATCTCTGGTTAATATCGTCTCTGTATTCTCTACTGCAATTCACATTATGTATTTCTTTGTTAGATTTTGGAGTGTCAGTTTTCACCAATGTAAACTCAAGCTTTTTTTGTCAATAATTGTCCAAATTCAGGTTTCAATATTAATGAATTGATTCATGTAGCAACCAGTTAATTACGTTCTTAGTTTCCTTTTTAATGTGAATGTAACTCTAATTTCATAAACAAATTGGCCATTTACTGACTTTTAAAGTCAAATTTGACCAAAACATTGGATTAACCCAAAAAAAGGTACAAAAGCCTAAAAGGCCAAGAAATACAATGCTACAAAGGTAACCAAACCAACACAGAGCCCCTATGGACCACAGACTAACTAAACTAACAAGAAACAGATCAGCTAGAGCAACCATGAAAAACAGAGAGAAACAAAACAATAATCACAGAACTTCCCAAGTACAGTCCTGCAAGATTGATCTTGCTTTGTTTGATATAGACTACCGCAGGTATAATTCAGCAATTGAGGCTTCATTAACAGAATATGACAATGATTTGCTAGTTGATTGATCATGTTTTTTTTCTTTCTAATTCATGCTAATTCTTCACGGTGTCATGGTAACACTCGACCACACTAAGATTTAAAAATAAAATAAAAAATTTAATCTCATTCAAGATTTGAAAAAATTGCAAATCCTCAAATAACATTGTCAGACCACCTAAGTATTCCATTTCTTGATTCATATTGAGTTTTTATATTTATATTATTTTTTTATGCGAAAAGAGGAAAACTATAAGCAAAAACCACGGGGACACACATGCCCCAACAGGTAAAAAAGGAAAGGGATTGAACTGTTCAGAGGCAGCCCCGCCTCCCAAAGTTTGGAAGGATTTAGCCCGTGGCCCAAGTTAGCAATAGCATCAGCCGTGAAATTAGCCTCGCGGAATACATGATTGAAATATCAAGAATCACAAAAGGAGCTGATAAGCACTATATCTCTAATCAAGAGGTTGATACTACACAGGGTCAAAGCTTTCTGATTAATGCAATCAATAATAAGTTTAGAATTTCCTTCAACAAGAACTTTGCGCCATCCTCTATGAGTTCCATAAGCAAGGCCATCCCATAAGGCAATGCATTCCGACACAAAAATGGTATTGTCACCAATGTTCTTAGCACTAGCCAATAAAATATGACCATCAGAATCTCATATAACAAAGCTAGTAGCCGCTGAACCATTCCAAACAGAACCATCAAAATTCAATTCGACCCATTCACTTGGGGGGTTCCCATTTAATATGAAGAGGTGTTTTAGGCCCCTCCACCTTCTTGCAATTTTGGTGCTAATAGTCTAAACTAACCTGTCCAGCCACAGTAAGCACACAAACAGGATGTGGGTTGATGTCTTTGAAAATCAGGTTATTCCTAGTTTCCTAGATCTGCCAACGTAGCAGCAGAGCTTTGGAAAGAATTTCAGGGCCTCTAGAGGTAGTAGTAGAAGCGGTTTAAATGGTTTCGGACTTGAAGCCTTTTCTTGATAAGTAACCATTAGAAAATTTTAACTTTAAGGGGTATAGAGAGACCCCACATTTTCTTTAAAAGAGCCACTTGAGGGTGATATGAAGCATCATGCACCTGCACATTATATTATGTTATGTTCCTTCAATATGAATCGCATTAGTTTTTAATTTTCTTTGAAGGGTAAAAAGGGAATTTCAAATTTTACAAAAATGGTGCTGGGTAGGTTGAGTGAACTTTGAAGTCCAGTGGTCCATCACTCGTCTAACTGTGTTAGAGCAAGTCTAGCGCCCAACCCAAACTGGGTGAAAGGCTGCCAGGGCGAGCCCGAGATGGCTCCAGCGCAAGGCCCGTAGCCTGATTTCAATGTGGGTCCCACGAGCTCGAGGAAGCCCAAGGGCAAGTCTTGCCCGGGCTGAAGCTCGAGTCTGGTGACGTCAGCGCTGGCGTCTGGCGTCATGCTGACGCCAGCGCATGGTAACTCAAATTTTTTTATCGTTGACGCGTGAATTACACCCGCCAACAGTACAAAAAATTTGATTTTCGCTCGTTGACGTCAGCGTGATGTCACTTCCGACAGGCTCCAATGGGAATATGCCACGTGGCGTGTCCCGAACCCTCCGATGCAATTTTTTCCATAAATCTGACGGCCTTGCTTTTTTTGGCTTAAAAAATTGCAAAAAAAATCGAAAAAAATTCAATTTTTTTTTAAAAAAATACCAAAAAATTCTGGATTTTTTTCCCTATAAATACCTAACAATTTTATTCACTTTCCACACCAAATCTTCATACAAACTCATCTCCTTCCAATATTTTTCATTTTCCACACCAAATTTTCTACTACAAAATTTCATTTGTGCAAAAATACAAATGTCATCTTCCATCGAAGCTGGAGGGTCATGGAAAAATGTTCGAAGAGGTCAAAAAAAAAAAAAAAAAAAAAAAAAAAAAAAAAAAAATTAATTTTATTCAATTTAATGTCTTTATATATATATATTTCTTGCATTTCCAATTTCTGTTTTTTTAATAGATTAGTCAAGTCAAAATAAAAAAGAGGGAAACCATTACACATGGCACCTCAAGTGAACAATGCCCGCAGTTAGTTCCAGTGGTGCGTTCCGTGTCAGAAATAATAGCACTATTACGTCCTCCGAAGGAAAATACTCCCCCACGTCGTGATCCGGTGGAACCGCCTCTGCCAATGATGGAATTGTCCTTGTATTCCATTGTGTCGGACTATGAGGACCAAGAATATTTCAATTGTATGATGAGTGAGTAGATATTTCAATTGTATGATGAGTGAGATGTGAATTTTATAATAAATATGGATACGTGGCAACCGAAAATTTTATTCGAAAATTTTATTTGAAAATTTTATCCGAAAAATCTTATCTTAAATTTTAGGTGAAAATTTTATAATAAATAGTGACACGTGACAACCGAAAATATAATCTAAAAAGTTTATAAAAAATAATGGTTTAAAGTATAAAAAAAATAGGAAATAAAGTATAATGAATAGTATTTGCCTTAGACTTGCCATAAACTTTGCCCTCATGGGTGGAACTACAAATGCAAAGGCTGATACTATTCACGTAAATAGTGACAGCCCTTGTTTACCCTTGCCTTAGACTTAATCCTTGTGGGTGGAAGTGCTCCTATGAGCCCACAAAGGAGCCCCCGCCCACAGATTCTCGAGAATCCTAGAATTTTCCAGAGAAAATATCGTTTTCAAGGCCCAGTCTTTACTAGATTATTCTTGGCTTCCTTTTAAATACCCAACCAATCCTCTACTTTCCCAAACCAATCAAGCAAAGCAGAAATTCTCTAACGACTCAAATTCTCAAACTTTCTCAGCATCCAAACAAAACACCCATCAATTTTTCCGATGTCGATCATCCCCAGCTTCCGACGAGGCAGCATTTTCGACCCTTTCTCTCTCGATGTCTGGGAGCCATTCAAAGATTTCCCATTCCCTTCCTCCTCATCACTCTCCACATTCCCTGAATTTTCCAGGGAAAATTCAGCTTTCCTGAACACGAGGATCGACTGGAAGGAGACCCCGGAAGCCCACTTGTTCAAGGCAGACCTTCCGGGGCTGAAGAAAGAAGAAGTGAAGGTGGAGGTTGAAGACGACAGGGTGCTTCAGATCAGCGGAGAGAGGAACGTAGAGAAGGAGGACAAGAACGACAAGTGGCACAGAGTGGAGCGCAGCAGCGGCAAGTTCTTGAGGAGGTTTCAGCTTCCTGAAAATGCAAAGGTGGAGGAGATTAAGGCTGCAATGGAGAATGGGGTTCTGAGTGTCACTGTTCCAAAGGCAGAGGTGAAGAAGGCTGATGTCAAAGCCATTGAAATCTCAGGTTAATTAAAATTGAGGAATCTAAGATCATCTGCGTTCTCTAGTTCATCCACAGAGTATGTAGTAGAAATAAAGAGTGCCAAAATCAAAGTGATAATATATGTGAGTTTGTGTCATTGTGTGGCTGTCTGTGAGTGTCAAGTGTCATCCATGTAGTTATTAATGAAATTGTGTGGTTTCTTGTAAAAGTATATTATAACTTGCGTTTTTAATTTTATATATCCTACTTGAATTCTTTCGAATTCATCGTTTGGAACTCGAGTGCAAAAAGTCTTAACTCAAGTAAAATAAGGTTAGAACACTGCTGTGTTGATCAATTTGGCTTAATCTCTGTAATTTTATTTTATTCATTATGTAAACATGAATTAATCACATTCTCTTCAAAGTTCTAGAGGTATTGAGCTCTTCGACAACTAGATGTTAATTATTCGTGTCTTCATGGTGAAGTTTGGAGAGTACATGTGTCTTCCTTTGGGATGTTATCAAAAGGGGAAGACATTTTCTCTCTTTTCTTTCTTCTTTTTATTTTTTATTTTTTTTATTTTTTATTTTTTATGAAAGAGTAAATCATTGATAACAATTAAGAGGAAACAATAATGACATCTTTTACAATTTATTCTAGCAAGAAGGGGACCTCTTCAATCCAAGTTACTGTAGTATTACAATTAAGTGCATGCCTTACTAGAAAATAAGCTATTTGATTGCTCCCCCTTGGACAGAAAGAGATAGAAACATCTTCAAATTGTTGCAGACTCCTCTTAATATCATCAACGAGATGTCCACGACTCTTCCTCATCCTTCTTTACTTCATTTACCACTCCTTGTGAATCAGACTCAATTAAATTAGAAGAGGAGCCAGCATCCCGAGCAAAATTCATCTTGAAATGAAGTGCCATAATCTCTGCATATTTAGGTGAGGTGGCGGTGGCAAGAGGAAGGGCCATAGCTGCCACCACTTCCCCTTTGTCATTTCTAATAACAACACCAATTCCACCCACACTTGTTTCGGGAATATAAGCAGCAGTAACATTCAGTTTATATTTACCGACAGGAGGAGGAGACTATTTGGTTGGTTTCTCAACATTTATTTTAGGTTCACCTTTCACAAGATTTCCATATTCATTAGCCAAGTAAATAGCTCTATTGAAAATCACCTCCTGTGCACAAGAACGGCCTTCCACAACTACTTGATTTATGTTTTGCCACAGGCTCCATCAGATGTATAAAAACAGGCGCATTTCATACTTCGAAAGATAAATAGTGGCAACTTCAAATAAATCTCCACAGTTGGAAAAGTGCACCCTTGTAAAAACCTCTTTGAACTGCACATTTTTTCATACTTTTTGAGCACTAGGACAACTCCACAAAGCATGAATTACACTCTCAGAATTCACATTACAAATGGGGTAGGAGTCATAAGAGATTATTTTCCTTTTAAGCATATTAGATTTACAAGGAAGATAATTTTTAATAGCTCTCCAATTGAAGTATAAGAGTTTTTGCGCCACCTCTTGGGACCAAACTTTTCTCCATAAAGCACTTCGTATTCTTGGTTCCGAAGAGGATCCAACCAAGGATTGAAATATCGGCCAATACACCGATACATTTGCCAATATATCTGTATTTTCAACTGTCAACACCGATATTTGAGGGGTAAGACCATATCTTCCCCTGTATCGACGATATATCCCCGATAAGTGCGATATCTCCGATATTTTGCAGATATTCCCAATATTTTACCGATATCCCCAATATTTTCCGATACCCATAATAGAACTAAAAAAAAATTCATACGTTTTGAAGGCAATTGAAGCAAATTGAAACCCAAAAATAACTAATCCTTGCCCAGAACCCTATAATTTATTAATATGAAAAATCTATGCACAGTCTACTGCCCACATACCTCCAATCCATCTGAAGAGGACATGGCGATCAATTTTGGATCTATGAGCATATGAACTAGACCTAGTACTAACTCAAATGAATCTTATGATGGCTATGGTTATGTCATGTCTGATTTTAATGGAACTAGTTATGGAGCTCAAGATGATAAAAAAAGATTATGGACCTACTAGTTGGTTAATCCTAACTATCCCATATATGGGAAGGCAATAGGGAGCTCAAGAGAGACCTATGTGCACCATGTTCAAACATGGCTTACAAACTGCTCGGGTTACATGACTTGGTATGACTATTGTTTGAATCTAGATGGTTATTCCTCATTGTTTGAACCTCATAGGAGCTCTTCATTTATGTAGATGGACACTTATCTAAATTGTAATCCAATGTTTAAACAAACTATGGATTTATGCATGGTTTATTCTTTCTAATTAACATTTTATTTTCAAACTTTTCATTTACGCGCATTACATACAACTTATATTTCATCATATGTATATCTTATTATTAGTAAATTTTGAGTTTTATTTGTTCAATACATTCATTGATAATGTACATAACATCTATGAAAGTTTTACACAAAAATTATATGTTTCAATGCCTATATATGTCATTTTTGTTGATTTTTTCACGATACCTAAAACGATAACGATATAGCCCCCGAAATATTAGTAAATTGGGGGCTCGATATTATCTGCATGGCCGATATTTTAATCCTTGGATCCAACAGCCCCACTGCACTCCTTTTTTCTTGATATCGCCAGCCTATATCCACTTTTCACATAATAAACTCCATTAGTCGTATAATGCCAAATCCATCTATCATTGTGATAATTAACACTCAAAGGGATAGAGGTAATGGCCTTAACATCTTCCGCATGAAAACACAAGTTTAATAAATCAACATTCCAATTCCCAATAGGAAAAATAAGAGCACTTACTTTAGTTTCTTGATCCAACACTTGAGGGGAAATAGGGCGGAAATAATTAGGTCTAGGAATCCAAGCATCACCATAAACAAGAGTTTCTTGTCCATCTCCAATCCTCTTCCTTAGCCCACTCAAGAGCAATTCACAACCCCAAATCAAAGACCTCCAAACATATGAAGAAGTTCTTCCTTTACTAGCTGCCAAGAAATTACAGTTTAGAAAATATCGAGCTTTAAGCACCTTGTGAACCATGGACTGTCAAGCCTCCAACATTGCTTAGCCACAAGCGCTTTGTTAAATACCTCCAGATCTCTAAACCCCATTCCAAGTTACTTAATTATGGTAGGCAGTAGGCTTTACCTTAGTCCTCAACAAATTAAGACTTTTCTTAATGTTGATCCTTCACCATAGATCGCATCATTGACCTGCTCATAATGTATTTTATCTTGTTATTACTTGAATTAATCCTTTTTAGGATTTTATATTTTCATCATGTCGGCTCATAAGGCTTTTCTTGATCCTTAATGCCAGCTCATTTATATTTTTTCTAGCTTTGTTTTTTTTAAATAAAGCGACAATCTTGTCTTGTTTTGTTTTATTTTTCATAAATCAAGCAATAATTGAAAAATAGAAAAATTAAACTCGGATGCAAGTGAATAGACACATTATACTAACCAACCACCCGTTACACATAATTCTTTGTCACGAACTATCCATCCATGAGCTTGACCGTTAAAAAGCTCTTCAACTTATAATCTATCAGATTTAAAACTCAAGCCCAACGCTCCTAACTACCAAGGCCCATTAGTCTAAGCTGAGAGGACTGGTTGATCTGTTGACTGCAGGCTAAGTAATGACTTTGGCGCCATCGTTTTCACGTAAGCTTCAACGGTGAGAAGAGATTTCAGAGAGGTACAAATGAGAATATGGATAATAGCTAAAACCTAATGATGGATGGTAGACTACATTATTTGTAAATTATATAGCAATGATCATGTTCGTATCTGGCTTTTAGTGGATTGTACTACTTTTTGCATATTATGATACGTACAATTTCGAGATCAATAATTCATATTAAAATAATTATAATACGTGAATTAATTACATCACGTAACGAAATTCTAATATCATATATTTTCTAAATATATCCTACTGTTCACTAACAACAAATATTGTCCTTTTCTTTTTGGTTGCACGTTTCTTTTCAAGATTTGTCTCATATCCCCCACCCCCACATGGCCAAACCGATTGGACAATGAAATCCCTAAATGGGATCCGAAAGATACGCATAGGGAAAGTGATACAAGTCTGCATAATTGCCAAGTTGGACAAATTTGTGAAGTTTATGCCCTTTCAGTAGTAAAATAAAATAAAGGTTCCAACTTGAACGTCAATTTGTTTGACGTCCAAAACCAGGCTGAATCCCATGTGACTACTTACAAAATCACAAGCCCCAGTAAATCATGTCAGTCGTATTCCTTCTTTCTTATCGAGTGTTTGTTTGGTATGAAAATAGGAAAGGAAAAATCGTAGGCTAGGCTACATTGGCTTTGCATTAATTCCCAAGAAAGAGTAGACAACAAATCATTTTACAGTGTGGTATCAACGAGCGCTCGGAAATTTCTTACCTTGATCATACATACTTTTTTTTTGGGTTGAAAGATCATAAATACTTCAATCATGAAGAATATAATGCTTGAGTGGTAATAATCATGGTAATGTTAAAAGTTGTTGAATAATATATAGTCAATTTGCCAATTATATGTAGCACGTTCATGTTTTTTTTTTCTTCTAGGAATAAATCATTTTATCCCACATTCCTACTTAAAAAATAATTATGAAAAACGCTTTCTGGACAATGGTTTATCTACTGGAACCATTTCTCTATGTTTAGTACTGATCAACATTAAAAAGAAGGATTTTTTTATAAATAAAAAATATTTTATTTTTATTTTATAACGAATGGTCTTTGAACTTTTCAAAAGTCTTCATTTGAGTTCTTTAAGTTTCAAATAAATCAATTTGGTAATTAATTATTTGCTCAACACATCAGTTTGGTCCCTCTCGTCGTATTTTGTCAAAATATTTATTAAAATTGGTCATATGATCAATTTTAAAGATGTATTTTAGTCAAAACACAATCTATCTACCCATAAGAAAAAGTAAATCTCACATATTTTGCTCAACAAGGTTTAGATATTTGTATCATGTCGAAGTAAGGAGCCATGACAGATATGTTTGGAATATATTCCATTTTTGAGAGAGTTGAAAAAGAACTATCTCGTTGAAATATGCTCTCTTTGATCGGATCCAAATGTAAAACCCTAAATGGAAAAAGAAGACCTTGTTGAGCAAAAATGTTATTTTTATGAATCAGCTATATTTGAATGAAAATGTCATTTTAAAGTTGGTCGCATGATGATATGTGACAAAATTCAACGAATGTTTTGTTAGAATGCAACAATAGGGATAAAATTTCATGTGCATGCCAAAAGATGAAGGACCATATTGATTGATTTGAGAAATTAATAACTAAAATGAAGTCTTTTTTAAAAAATTCAAGGACTATTTGTGATAAAAACCCAGAAGAACGGGAGAAAAATTAGAAGAAATAATAATAAATTTTTTTTACTGACTACGAGTATTGTAAAATTATACCTCAAAACAAAAACTTTTTTCAGTCCTTTTCTTTGTTTGAAATTTAACTGTCTGATTTTACATGCCTGTAAATTTATGAATACACAATCATGGCAAGTAGGAATGCTCTTAACATTTGTCGTGGCCTTATAATTCTTCTCAATCATGGATTCATAGGATTCATTTTTTATCGTTTTCAATATAGGGTCATGAGCATTACAATCTTGGATCTACATTGCAATGATGATGCTAAGGCTTAGAGCCTGAAATTCCCTTTTCCATCTGCATTATGCTTCTATTTTATTACTTCTTCTTCTTACTCATCACATCCTCACCTTTTTCTTTATTCTTTTTCTCTCACTTTTCTCCTTGATCCCCTTTTGAGCTTAAAGTGATCACTTTAATCCCAGGCGCTGGTTCAAAAGCATATCCTCTTCAGTCTTTTGGTACATCTTATTTTAGGGATTATAAAAAAAAGGGATCATCACTTTGATGCTTTCTCCAGCATGTTTAACTGTAACAATAGTAAAGCGACATTCCTTCGTGCGTGTTTTATCTTTATTTGTAAAGAATTTGTTGGACATGGATTTTTAATTTTTTATTATACATATTTATGCCCTTAAGATGAAGTAATTGTGTTTTGAGTTTTGAGTTAGAGCTTATCAATGTCTCTTTGAGGACTTATAGAGACGGTCTTAGTTTCTTATTTTTTATTTTTACAGATAAATCACTAAGAGAGATTGTCAGCAGCAAGACTCTAACCTAAACATGAATAGTGAAGAAAACGATTCTTACCAACTCAACCAATCCTCATTGACACTAATTGTTTACTTTTTAGAAAGGCAAATGTATTATTTTAATAAAAACGAAAGTGATGCACTTTTATTTTTGTGTGTGGCTTTTTATAGATTGCACTTTCGAATTTCACTAAAGCTAAATGAAAAATAATAGCTTGATTATTTTTAATATAAAAAGATATGTTTTGACAAAAATGAAATTAACCAATTAATTAATGGTATTCATTTATCGGTAAATACACTTTGTTTTGACTCCGAGAGAATAAGATCAATTTGCCGGGTTCAGAGACAAAATTGATATTATATTAGACATTGAAAACGACATTCACAACTCCTTAACCCAATTTAGGCGGGCCCACACTTTTTAATGAAAATCTTCATATACGAAGATCAAACCAAACCAAACCAAACAGGTAGAAAGTTTAGGAACAAATAAAATACATTAAGGCCCTACAAAGTGGGGCCCAGGAACATACTTCCTGTCTTTAGGAGCCTATACGACGTGACCGCCCGATTATCCGTTCTTCCTTTTAGCCGTCCGATGACAACGATCGCCTCCCCTCTCTCCATCTCTCTCTGCTTTGACTGTTTGTACCACACGGTACAAAACAAATTAGCTTCAGCCTGAAAGAAAACACCACACACACACACTCATCACACTCACATCAACACCAGCTCTCTCTCTCTCTCTCTCTCTCTCTCTCTCTCCCAGTTTTTCAGCTTAAGATTCTGAGAGAGGCTTTGGAGTTTGGGGAAGAGAAAAGCCAAGCATTTGGGATTACGAGGCTGCCCTACGATTCTACTTGGCCTTTGATCTCTGCTTTCACCTTTCTGTTTTCACAGACCAATGAGCCACCGACACGTATTGCTTCTTCTTCGACGCAGTCGCAGTTTCCGTTAATGGCGTTTCCTGCCTCTGCATCACCAAAGATTCACTCTGGTGAGTACTATTCAGAAATTGCGAGAATATTTTCCGTTTGTTTCCCGAGAAATGTGATTTTGTTGATTTTTCTTTGATTTTTGTGCTGGTTTGCGCGTTTTTGTTCATTTCTTTCTGGATTGGAATTTGACAGCTGAAATATTTACTCGCTGGTTGGCAGCTGAGAAAGTGAGAGAAAAAGAAAACGAAAGGAAAGAGCTTTCCTTTTTCTGTCGTTCTTTTCAAATTTTTCCGAACGAACTGCTTCAAATTTTTTTGAAAGATGAGCGAGCTCTTGGTTTGATTTTCGAATAGCTGGCGAGCTTTGTCTTTACCATTAGGCTTAGCGGCGACAATGATGCCGACGACGACAGGTCGTTTTTACCCTTATCTTAGATTTTTGAGATTAGGTCTTAATGGACCACCAAATTCTTGGTTTTGAATGTGATTCTCTGCTTCCCTCTTTGTCCGTATTACCATATACAGCTCTTACTTGTCGTATTGCATGAGATTTCAGTTTCGCGCCATGAAGGTCGGCTTCATCATCTATCAATTCACATTATGAATTTATTAATACGCTACCATTTTGCCTAGTTCTTAGCGTAGTTGAGTTCTGTGGACGATAAATTTTCGAATTTTTATGCTGTGAGCTTATGAATAAAGGTTCTCTGAGCAGTGGGGGCAAATACCATTGTGCGATTTTCTCCTCCTGATTGTAAGATTTGAAATTTCTTAGAGCTTATCTGCTTCCCTGATATTCTTTTACTATTTTGTGGGAATTGACTGCATTTGTTAATGAACTATGTGCGCTGACTGAAAATGATGATAATCAAGATGCATGTTGTGTGTGTTTGTTTTTTTTTTTTTTTTTTTTTTTTTTTTTTTTTTTTCTTTTTTTCTTTGTGAAGAAGTTTCTTTCCTTCATAAAAATTTTTTCATTCCTTCGAGAGATTCTTCTGCTGTAATCCATAGTAAACATAGCAATTAGAAATGAATGGTTCATCTGACACTAATGTGGTCTAAGATGTTGAGAGGAGTTATGGTTCCACTTTTTTTTTGGGTGGCTTGACAAGGGAGACCTCCACTCGTTAAAACTTAAAAGAATTTATTTCTTGTTCAAAGACTTTGTTGCTTTGCTTCTTGACATGTGCAAAGGGAATTTTTCTTATGTCGATTAACCAATATTGTTAATTTAGTTAGTTAGAGAAAAATACTTAGCAGATTGGTAGTAGTATATGATGGTATTCATGGTAACCTTCCATTTATTTTGGAAAACTTGTGTCAGTATTTCACTTTTTTGGGCTGCAGTGTTCAATTCTCTTTATTTTATCTTCAGACTGGCCAGCATTGTTGTGAATCAATCCATCTGCTCAGCTGAATAAGAACATATGGAGCTTCCTTGTAGCAAGGTTTTCCAGGTACGATAAACCAGGGCATTGCAGATACCACCATGGATGGCTGTTTAGAACCCATAAAGAATTCCAATGATCAACAATCTCTAGGAACTTCTGGTAACATGTTGCGCCAAATAAATGCAAGTATAAATCTGCAAGACAAGGCCCAATCAAGAAAGCCTGGTTTGTCCTATGCCGATCTCCATCATGAGATTACAAGAAATGTAAAAGATATCCCATCTAATTCTGTTGGGAACCACCAAAAGCAGCGGATTAATAGAAAGACAACTGCTGAAGAAGAACTTGTTAGGCACATGTCAAATTTGCCAAGTTATCTTGAGAGAGGAAAAAACCTTCAGGAGAAAGTTTTAAATGTTGGGGTCCTAGACTGGGGCCGCCTAGAAAAATGGCAGTGTAGCCATAAACAGATGCCATACAGAAGTAGCCGTTATTCACCGTCCAGTAGTAATACAACCTCATGTTTTTCGACGGATGGATCATCAACCCATTCCAGCCGGGGTCACAGCCGTTCTCCTGCTCGGCCAAGGATGCATCGTCATTCTCTGCAATCTCATTTCACGAAATCTCCAACAGAAGGCCATTCTGAAGGTGTCAACTCTTTTGGAGAAAGGGTTGAAAAGTTTCAAGACCTTAAAGCTGACCAGAGTAGCACCGTGAATGGGTCGGAAAAGTTCATTGGAACAGATACATCTCTATGCAGAAGCCGCATAGACATGAAGGTGGAACAGTGTAAGAGTAAAGATTCAGATGCAAAGTGTGAGCCAGAAAAAAGAAGTTTGTGGAATGGCCCACATTTGGAAATGGCAGCTCATTTAAAGGTAAAGAAAAAGGCTCAAGTTGGTGAATTTATTCAGAAAGCAGAGAACTTACAGAAACCATATTCAGAAAATTTTGAATTAGATATTCCTGAAGGATGCAAGAAAGTTGTTCTGCTTTTGCCTAGAGATTTTCCCGAAAACAATCACTCTGGGGTTTCCCACCTTTCTGATTCAACAACACTGCTTCATCAAAGAGCGGAGAAAACTACTCGAGCAAGCTCTTCAGAGAGACCCAAAGAGGCCTGCCATGCAGAGCTCAATTCTGATTTCCCACATTCGTGCCATTTTCCTTCTGAAGTTGAAAGTAAACACTCTCGGGTAAAACACCTTGGCTCCACAGATGGTGCGACTCTCAGATTTCAATCTAATACACCTAGCTCAGCATCATTGTCAGCTAAAACAGGAACAAACCCATACAGAGGCAGAAATGTAGAAGAGAAAAAAGTAGCAGTAATGTCCACATCTTCTTCAACTGTAAGTGAGCCTTATAAAGGATTGGATCTGAAACCAAGCAAAGCAACTGCTGAAAAAGTAAGAAACACTTCACCTTTTCACCGATTTAGCATCGGTGTGGGTAAGATGAGTAAGCATACGAGTTCTAAGGACTGTTTAGATACACAGCAGCTGAGCTCAACAGCTTTTTCAGCTAAACCTGGTTCAGAGAACACTGTGACTTCCACATTCTTAGGTGCTTCAGATGGTCAAAAGTCCAATGCCACTGGCAGAGCCAAGTCCCCTCTGAGAAGGTTACTGGATCCACTGCTGAAGTCAAAGGTGGCAAACTCCCATCACTTAGTGGAGCCATTAGAGAAAGATTCCATATTGTCTGAGGGGCGGGTGGATTCTTTGTCCGAGCAGCCAGGGAAGGTAAAATTAGGTATGACTGGTTGTAGGACAATTAATGTCAATGAGCCAGTAAAGGCCAAGAAGTGTGGATCAACTGCAGTTCAAGCTCTTCTACGAGTTGCAGTTAAGAATGGCCTGCCCCTGTTCACATTTGCGGTTGACAATGACATCGACATCCTTGCAGCCACGATGAAGAAGCTAAATACCTTGAAAAAGGGTGACTGCAGCTGCATCTACACATTTTTCAGTATCCGGGAAGTCAAGAAAAAAAGTGGAACTTGGATAAATCAAGGCAGCAAAGGCAAGAGTCACGACTATGTCCGTAATGTTATTGCTCAAATGAAGGTCGCTGATTCTCAGTTTCCCAATTTGGTTATACCGGATCACTTTAGCATGAGAGAGTTTGTTTTATTTTCTGGAAACCTGAAACAGGCAGATTGTGAAACCTCAGACTTCCAGCCAAGTGATGAGCTAGCTGCTGCTGTTGTCAAAATCCCCAAAATGGTCAGTCAGCAATCCACTGGAGATTGGCATCATTGGGATAACTGTAGTAACTTGCCTGCGGTTGGTTCAAAAGAGTGTTTGTCAAGGGTGAGACGCCATTCTTACTCTGGGGAAGCTGTAGAGAAGCCTTTTGTTGGTGGTCAAGGCCTAATTAGCACAACAGTCATACTTCCAAGTGGTATCCATAGTCTACCAAGTAATGGGGGACCATCATCACTGATTGAACGTTGGAATTCAGGTGGATCATGTGACTGTGGAGGTTGGGATTTGGGTTGCAAACTTAGGATATTTGACAATCATAATCCAGTCAATGAGAAAGTGAAATCACATAAGGTTTGTTCCATCACAGATCGGTTCGAGCTTTTCCCTCAGGTATAGTGTTTTTTCTTGAGCCAGGGTGATATATAATTTTTTTTCTTTGCCATATTATTCTGAAAGTTACCAGCTAATGTTACCTTTTGCTTTCATTACATATCCACAGGGAGGTTTACAAGAAAACCAGCCTACTTTCAGTATGTCCCCATTCAGGGATGGTATCTATTCGGTTGAGTTCAGTTCTTCAATCTCAATCTTACAGGCATTCTCCATTTGTATAGCAGTATTAGATAGTTGGAACTTATGTGAGTTCTCGGAGTCAAGGAAGTCGTTAGAAGAAAAAACTTCTGGAGAAAGCATATTAATGCAAAATGATGGATTAAGTGCTCCAAATCGAACGGAAGGGGAAGTTCCTGCAAGATATGTCTCATATCCCCCACTTTCTCCAGCCGGGAGGGTCTAGTTTTACCATGATTACCTCTTATAGTTACCATGTATCTTCATTTGGCTGGGTTGGATTTTAGATTCATGATCCCCGTGAAGATACTGGAGTCTTGGATCCGCAGAGTACTTTAGATGTCAGAAGTAATATGAAGTGCATCAAATGTATTCTGAGTGGAACTGTTTCATCAATTTAAAGGTGCATATAATGAGTGAATAGTATGTTGTTTTTCACTTTGAATTTTAATAAACTCAATTTCTGATGGGAATATTGGAGAATAATGATCCAATTCCTCCAGTATTGGGGTGCAAGCCTCTCCTTGAAATGGAAACATAAGGCCTTGCAGGCTGTTTATTTTCCCTCTTGGTTACTCATTTGGTGTGCATTTTCCGGCTGCACTGTTTTTCCATGCCTGATTCAACAGATTTCTGTACATCAAAGGGTGTCTCTCACACTTTTACATGCCCATCCGTGTACACACGTACACACGAACAAACACGTAGAAGATACAAGTGAGCCGACATCAACTTCCATTGTAAGGCAATAATCAGGGGGTCCCTGCATAAAATCTTTGCTGTGAAGCAGCTCCAAATTATGGAAGTTGCAACAAGAAGATGTCCTACAAGGCTAAAACAGTGAGCTAGAATGCCAGGAGTGCCCTCAAGGTGGGGTGTATTGATTGCTGGGTGCTCTAAGAGAAATCTTATCAAAGTGGCTTTCTTTGCTGCACCTTTAAGGAACACTGGTTTGCTTCTTTTTGAATGCAGTACAAAACTTAGGAGGAAAGCCAAAAGCAAAAAGGAGGACGTCTCACATCACATATATATGATACATTTACATTGCGTGGGAACTATGACACTTCTATATGGTATACATTTCCAATGTGGGTTGTATTTGGTCATTATGCATTGCATCTTAGACCCACCAAAAGGTTATGTACCTTGCCTTTGTTAATGGAGAGCAACTCTTATGGGACAATTTAATATGTTAAACTGGGGAAAATGGATTAGGTTTTTTTAACTCTCTCATTCGGGATGACATATTTACCTTCTTTTTCAGTTGGACAAAGTTGAAATTCATCATACTTATCGAGAAGCTAATATGATATTGAATACTCTAGTAAATAATTGACATAAATTTACACAACCTTATGATTAGTTTTCTAAATTTTCGTTTATTGTAGTTGTAAAAATTCGTTTTGATTTTCGGAAATTCCTCCCATTGTGATTTTGTATACAAGCTACATTAGAAGAGTGAGCTTTCACACACACTGCCAATATACTATGTAGTTCGAATCTAAAACCGTCGGTCTGCAGTCAAAGATCATTTTTCATTAAATTAGAATTTTATGTTGGACTTATCTGTCTCTCTCTCTCTTTTTGTCAATTACATTGTGCGATAGAGTTGAAGAAATGAAGTGGGACCCTACTATTGTGGGTCCATCATCCCTGATATCGGGTTAAAACTTGTTTTCGAAAGTTGTAGCCGACGTTTTAATAAATAAAATAAAAAGTTGTAGCCGACATAGGTTCTCCATCGGCTTGCCACGTGAGCGCGTTCCTTCTTTTCACGCTTATTGGACACGTCATGCAGATTTGCTGACTCTTCTTTTAAAAAAAAAACCCAGGAAAAAAGAAAAATGTTTTGAAAACTTTTGTCCCAAGTATTTATTTTTGGTATTCCCATCTCACTCCCCCCACTTGGAAAACCTTCTTTCTCAACTGCCACCTCCGAGACCGACAAGACTGAGAGAGACAAAAAGAGTCAGAGAGAGTTTTGAATTAGGTGAAATTCTGTTGCTGTAGATTAGATATAGATAGATTCCTATTGATCCCAAACCTAATTTTCCAATTTTGAAATCAAAACTCCAATTCCATTTTCTCTGTTTTTTTTTTTTTTTTTTTTTTTTTTTAATTTAAATTTATTTATTACGTTGGACGATTCGAATTCCAATTTATAGCGGTTTATTTGGAGTTCTTAATGCTGATTGATGACGAGCTTTAACCTCATATCCCAAAATGCCGGTTATCTTTGCTCGTGAGGCTCCCAAGGTTACAATGAAGCCCGCCATTGCTGTTTCTTTTTTTTTTTTTTTTTTTTTTTTTCTTTTTTTTTCAATTTTCAATTGATTTTTTTGGTGTTGTTTGAAATGTGAAGCTATGGAGGAAAGTATGCGCAGAGACGTCAACTGAAATTTCGCTTCTTGCCAGGAATTGGAAGTATTTTCTTGCTGGTCTCGTTTTTTCAGGTTCATTTCTTTTTTCTTTCTGCTTCTTTTTTTTTTTTTTTTTTTTTTTTTTTTTTTTTTTTTATTAATTATTAATTAGGAAATTAATTTGTATTGAATTTTGTTCATGTAACTTGTGAACTGCTGGAAGCTTATTCCATTAGAAAAAGTTGATTAGAAATGGTTTGAATTACATGATTATATGGAACTACTACTAGTCATAGTTGTTCTGTTTCAAGTTGGGCTTTAAACTTGAATTTCAATGCAGTGGATTGAATGGTGTTGGTTTAATTCACACTATTTGTTCTGAAAATGTGTGTAAGCCGGAGAAGAATTATGGGCTGATCTCAGTGATATGAAACCTTTCTGTGTTGGACAAAAAATTATGTTCTGAGCCGAACTACTTTCCCTCTTCATAGGCTTTTTCTTTTCCCCCTTTTGTTTTTTCAGGAGCTCTTGTTCAGATGCTTATATAGTAGTTTTGTTTGTGTTAACAGTACCTTCATGGACTAGCTGCTCATGGTGTTCATTATTTACATCGGCCAGGACCGATGCTTCAGGATGCTGGGTTCTTTTTCCTCCCGGTGGGCATACTTTTACGGATTTTTATCCGGAGGCTTTAATTTTTGATGTAACATTTGTCATATAATTTATTTTCTGTTGATTTGTGATATCTTAGGAACTTGGTCAAGACAGATCTTATCTTAGTGAGACTCTCTTTTCAGTTATCTTTTTCTCCTTTGTCTTGGTAAGCCTTTCTGTTTTCTAATATCAACATCTACTTTAAATTTATCCTGGATTTGTCTCTCATGTATTTGAAGGGCCAGTTGTTCTTGCAGTCCATTTCTTTAGTATTTGCTCCTAATTACTTGTAGAACTTTGGTAGCATCCTAATCCAGATTTTTATTCTGTTGCAGTGGACTTTTCACCCCTTTGTTTTCCAGTACAAAAAGATATATACAGTTCTGATATGGTGCAGAGTATTTGCTTATTTAGGCGTAAGTACAGCTGATATTTACAAATGTTGTTTTTGCTGTTTACATGTGCTAGACTACACCTTTAGCTGCTTAAACTCTTCCTTTTAGATCTTCCTTATTGCTCTCTCTCTTTAGGAAGTTCTTTCACCTAGGTTGCATATGTCCTTGGTTCTTTGCTGGAAACACTTGCGTTTTTGCTTTGGCATTATAAAGGCTTACCATTGAAACTGTTTTCCCTTTTGGTTTAGTATGGGCTCATATCAGGTAACAGTTTAATCAGTAGCCATATCATCATCACATGCTACGTATATGTGTTATAAATCCTTTTTAATTTTCCCGAGTGTTTTGAATCTTCTAGTATGCAATAAATATCGATGTCGATGAAAATTTGGTGAATATGCTTACATTAACTACAGAGTCATCTGTATTTTCCTCTTTCAACCCAATGTTCTTGGATTATGTGTCCTGCTTATATGATACTAGTTCGTGAGCTTGGTTCATTTTCTGAAGCATCTGACTGGGAATAGCACTCAGGACAGTCTTCCATATATGAATAAAGAATGCATGATTTATGTGCATTTTTTTTTTCTTTTGAAGTTTTGACTAGTGAACTGATTCATGGATCAATGGATTAATAGTATCCTGTGTTTTTCTGCTATATTTTCTGACAAATTCTTTGCGTATATGTTGCATTTTGTTTAGGTCTCTCAAATGCTCCGGATTATAACCTTCTACTCAACTCTGCTTCCTGGTCCAAACTATCATTGCCGCGAGGTAAAGTTTATAGAAGTTTGCAATTTCGGTTGTTAGTTCGCTGTAATCAATAATCATTAAGTAGTTGTTATTAAACGACGTTTTACAATCAGGTACAACTGTCTCTTTCAGGGCTCAAAACTTGCCAGGCTGCCCCCTCCAGAGAGTGCACTTGAAGTGCTCTTAATCAACTGTGGGTTTAAATTATTCATCTTTTAATTTTTAATGGTTCATTAACTTCATAAAACATAATCTTCTTCATGCTTATATGATTTGCATGATTGTGCAGTTCCCCGAGGAGTAATGTATGGTTGTGGTGATTTGATCTTTTCATCACATATGATTTTTACCTTAGTATTTGTGCGCACATATCAGAAATATGGAACAAAGAGGTAACAATTACTATTAGCTGCATCTTTTTCCGTTCTTATTTCTTTTTTTGGGGTGGGGGCTGTTGTCCTCTGGTGCATCTGGTTCCCCAATAATGATGTCAAAGAAGGAAAGTAAAGCAATCTGTGTACTGATGTCCGAGGGGTTGGGGGCTTGAGTCATTAGTCAATTTCACTTTTCTAAGGATATCTTCTAAATGGATAAACTAGTATAAATTTTGACACTACTGTGGCTTATCATTACAGGTGCATTAAGCAGATTGCTTGGTTAGTTGCTGTTATTCAGAGCCTCCTGATTGTAGCATCTCGCAAACATTACACTGTTGACATTGTTGTTGCCTGGTGAGAGATGGATCCTGTTATGCTTTTGAAATTACTCTACTGGAATATTTAATAATCTATTGGTCGAACATAAGTTTTATATTCCCATGCAGGTACACTGTAAATTTGGTAGTGTTCTTTATTGACCAAAAATTGCCAGGTTAGCAAAATGCAATTCCAATAATTTTTTCTCCCTCTTAAAAATGGGTGAAATTTGTTCTGGATTCCATTTTACTGTTAGATCATGAACATGTCTAAATTTGATTCAGTTTTGTATATTTAGAACAAAACAGAACTTTCTATGGGCAGTAATTGTCAAGCTTTTTAGAATACCCAAAGGTGTGTATGTGCTAACTGTATTCTTCTCCTTCACAGACTTGCCTGATCGGTCCCTTGGTTCTACATCTCAACAACTGCTACCAATAAGCAGCAGAGATAAAGATAGCAAGAACAGAGAAGAGCTTGACAAATTCCGGAATGGAAATTCTGCCAACATTACCACTTGAGTCTGGAAAACCAGTAAATATTTCTTATTGTCTCATTTAGTTTGACCTCATTTTGTGGATGCAAACATCATGTGTAATGCATGTCTCCAGATAGGAAGACTGACAAATCAAAAGTTTCGAAATAGGAACATACTTAGCATTATATGGTACATAGATGAGCAGCACAAGCTGAAGATGGCTTTGCTGCTGTTAAAAGTCCTATGTTGCTTCAACAGATGCAATATTGTCTCTTTAGCGAGGCTGATGAACATAATTTGCATTATTGCTGGAAATGGAATGGTTTAGGTTTTAGTATGCTCATGAGTAACCACTTTTTCACTGTTTAGTGTCACACATATCATACTAACTCTTACTCATACATATACCGCCATCGTAATCATCATCATTATCACCTTTGTCGTCATCATCACAGGAATGAATTATAGAGATTGTATGCACAGGAATGAGTCAAGAAAAGTGGTGACTATGGATGAAATCCAAGTCATTGTGTTGGAGCACCAGGTTGTCATGTTTAAAAAGATTGCTTCAAAATTTGGTCCACAAAACAGGTTGCGTGGGGTGAAGAATGGGAGAGGCATCACATACAATACAAGACAAGAGGGCTTCGTATTATTCTCAAAGGGAACAGTAACTAGAGGAAGCAATTAGGGCTGGCATGACCCAATTATGCAATTTAATAATGCTTCTTGTCTCATGACCCACAAGGACCACCAACCCTTTTGCTTTCCAAATGCCCTTTCTTTTTTCCCCATGTATATTCTCTCTTTTCATAGGTTGTTGAAGCATGATATTGGAGACAGCTCTTGTTACATCACATGCCTCTCTTGCTTGCTTTCCCTTCACTATCTGAGCAACTGTTTCTTTTCCTTTTTAGCTGCAAGTCTCTTAACTTTTAGTGCCAACGTAATATCTAAACTCTGTTCATCCCTCCAAATGTCAAATGTATCAAAAAGATAGCAATTATGTCATTTGCATGGACTTCCTCTCTGGGATGGGTGTTTTGCTGAAATGGAAAAAGGTATGTTGCTGCCTCCATTTCTGGTTTTCTGAGCAACTGTTTTGGGAAATAAGTAGTACAAGAAAGTAAAATGGCAAATCCATGGAATTCAAGAGTCTTTGTTTTGACCTGTGGGTTTTCACGTTCAAATTTTCCAAATTCGTCAGTGTCCTATGGTCTAGCCCTAAACCCTTTTCTCGTAAGTGGATTCTTATCTCATCCTGTTCTCATGATGTCTCTGTATATATATAACTTTATACAAATGATCCAAGAAAAAAAACAGAAGAAGAAAAAGAAAGCAATTGTTTCGTGCCTAGTGTATTTGGGCGATGTGGAAAGGTTTTACATGCCTCTAACAACTCCAATAATCACATAATATAATAGGTGTTATTAGTTCAATCACATTATAACACGTGTATTTACTTAAGTGGATGACATATCAACTCAATAACCCCTTAATATTATAGAACATGAGTTAGTAACATCACGTATCACGACAATGTGATCCAGAGTATGACATAGTTGGTGATGGTGATGTGGGATTTTATAACCACATTGGATTGATGCAAGTCATTAAACTTTGCCGTATACTTCTTTTCAACATGCGACTCCAACGTGCATCGAGAATTAAATTCTTAATCTCTTCCAATTGAATGTTTCGAATACATATTCCTTAGTTAGAACCTTATCTTAGTTTAGGATATATTATTATGATTGACCTCACCTACCACATTTGTAAAAAAAAAAAATTAAGGATCATAGTGAAGCAGATGAATGAAATTATGAATGGGTATGGTCAGGACACCTTTCGTTGAAAATATTCTATGCATGTGGTCCACGAGCTAACGTGGCCTTGCATCTAAATTTAGGATATAATATAATTAAGGTACATTTCATAAGACCCAAATAGACCTCATCTTTTTCCCATGCTTCCCAAATCCAAGAACACCACCACTAAAAAAAGGAAATATATATATATCAATAAGGTCTGTCATAGTGGAAAAAGGTATTGACTTCTAGAACAAAGATCTCAGATTTGAACTCCCATTGTATCTTGACTGTGTGTGTGGCAACCCCCTCTTCCGTCTGTGCTGAACTCTTAGCATATTAATATACAATTAGGGGTGTAAACAGCTATTTTATATTATTTTTTTTTTTTTTTTTTTTTTATATAAAAAAATTTATTTATTTTCTGCATAAAAGAGCTGGAAAAGTTGGTCAAGAAGATCCTGATATCAGGTTGAATGCATTCTTCATCATTTGAGGCATATCTGGCTAATTTCATATTTTATGTGCACACAAATGTGGATGTGTTCTTTATTTGCGTAGTTGAACTGTCCAACTTCGTGTAAACTAAATAATTTGACTGCATTTTTTTATTAAAATTTTGGGTTGACAGAGAAGATATACAATTTGTACTAAGTCAGCTTTAAATTTGATATGCTAGGCTAGGTTCTTCTAACCATTTTCAGTCCTTTTGGTTTCAAAGGTTAGGGTGAAAATGACACTACATTATTAAATTTAATCCATAACTGCAACTTTACCTAAACTTAGTCTAAGATGTAATATTTGACTAGAAAATAAGTCTAACATGTAATCCATGACATTAATATTTCCTTTCTTAGATCACATATTTATATTAAAATTTACGTAATACAGATTCACAATATGACGATAAGTTTTTCTATAAAACGCAATATATGTCGTAAATAAGGACTAATTTTTAATTAACTAATACTGACAAAGTTCAAAGTTTTGAATTCCACTAATGCGATCTTGTTGATATTTTTGACTTATTTTAAACTTTATTTATTTTTTATGAGTAAGATTCTATTTTGTAATTATTAAACTATTTGGTTTCTAAAATTGGAGAAGAATTTAGTAGCTATAATACTTTTCATGTATAGATTGATAATATATAAAAGAGAAAATGGAAAGAGAAAATAAAAAAACGTAACCAAAGCAAAAGGGAAAAGAAAAAGCCACGAAAAACGAGAAACAGCGAAGAAGGGGACTAAAAACGAAAAGTAAAAAACGAGGAGCGAAATGCAGAAAACGAAGGAAAGGTGTGAGAGAAAGAAACAGAAAAACAAAGAAAACATTGGATCCAAAAAGTTACTTTTGGGTTTAGAAATTTTCTCACACTTTCTCTCCTTCCAAACACAAAATAAAAAAAAATAAACAAAAGAGCAAAAGAGAAATATGCCTGTCTTGGTTTTTATTTATCCGTCTTTCTTCTTCATTCTCCATCATTTTCCTACCCTATCCATCTCTCCTCCAAAAACTCCTCTCAAACCTTCTTACTAGTCCCCAGGAAAGTGATAGAAAGAGAGCCATACTTTCCAGAGAGAGGAAATCACAGACACACATTTGAACTTTTCCAGCTGTTCCTCTCTCTAGGATTGGATTCATCAGCCAATGGGAGCTCGTTGCTCCAAGCTATCTCTTTGCTTCTGGCCGTCCAACATCAAATCCAATCTTAACGACTCTTCAGACATAGGTGAGCTTTTCTTATTCGTACTCTTTTTGTTCGTTTCAACTATTTGTTTTTCCGTCACTTTCCCGAGAAAATTTGGACTTTGTTTTTGGTGAGCTGCAGAGAATGGGAACAAAAATGAGAAGGACTCGCTGCCTGGGTTCAGTGAGTTCACCTTGGACCAACTGAAAGCTGCCACGTCAGGATTCTCGTCCGAGAACGTTGTCTCCGAGCATGGAGAGAAAGCTCCCAATGTGGTTTACAAAGGGACGCTCGACGATGGCCGTTGGATTGCTGTTAAGCGCTTCAACCGATCAGCTTGGCCCGATTCGCGCCAATTTCTGGTGAGTATGGAAGTTGACTAAATTTTGCTTCTTTCTTATTTTGTTTTTTGTTTTATGATTCTGTGTGTGAAGATATGCGGTGGGTTTGGTTGTAGGAGGAAGCTAGAGCTGTGGGGCTGCTCAGGAACGAGCGTTTGGCGAATTTGATCGGGTGCTGCTGCGAGGGTGATGAGAGATTGCTTGTGGCTGAGTTCATGCCCAATGAAACTCTCTCAAAGCATCTTTTCCATTGTAAGTTCCCCTCTAATGCTGTTAAATTTGGCTTATTTTGATGTTAAGTAGGTGTATAATAATTGAGGACACAGATCATTCAAGATTTTGATTTTTTAGAGTACATTTTTAGAAGTAATCAAACTGCTACTTACTTGGACTGAAATAAATAAAGGTAGTAAATTGGTTAAATTGGTGCAGGGGAGACCCAGCCGATGAAATGGGCAATGAGGTTGCGAGTGGCTTTGTATCTTGCACAAGCTTTAGATTATTGCAGCAGTAAAGGGCAGGCATTGTACCATGATCTTAATGCTTACAGAGTCCTATTCGATCAGGTAATTTGGTCCTTTTCTTTTTTCAAAATTGGATGTAATCTTTTGTTGGCCATTCCTTACACGTTGTCAATGACAGGATGGGAATCCCAGACTCTCCTGCTTTGGTCTAATGAAGAATAGCAAAGATGGGAAGAGCTATAGTACCAACCTGGCTTTCACCCCTCCAGAGTACTTGAGGACAGGTGATAATCCCATCATTGCTTCAGCCAATTGAAAACAATATTGATGTTATAACTTTTACACTAAGTTTGATAGGAGGGAGATGGGTGGGAAAGTTTAGAGGGAAAAAGACATCATGATCCCCATCCATCTTTTTGTTTTTGCCTCCTCCCTGTAAACATAGTTTTGTCATGTCTTCCCATTTAAATTCCAAACACAATGCTTTCTAGATTTAAAACTTCCGTTTGTTTTGCAAAGATTCTCTTTTATGAAAATAACTGGAGGGGAAAAACAAGCGAGAATGCTATGCATACCTTAACTAATGAGTGGAGCAATTGAAGTTCCCTTTAATGCATTTTCATATTAGTGAGTTGATAAGTACTAAGTAGCCACCATACCGATGATTCGATCAGGGATGGCAGAGTAGTGGCCTTTTGGGCTGGCTGTGTTTATGTCATTCATGATCTCCTTTGCATATTTCCTTATCCCAGGAAATTTCATTGGAAAAAGGGCTTAGTGCTTCCATATTTTCATGCATGAGTTCTGAACACACATCATAATGTGATAAAGTCTTTATTTGTGATGAAGACTACATGTATTAGGAGGGACCTCAATTCCTTGATAATTGAGGTCTGGTAGCATTCTCATTCGCATAAGCACTTCAAGCTTCTATATTTCTATGCATGAGCTTGGCCTCGTTCGATAAAAGTCTTTAGTCGAGCTAAAGCTTATCTCTGTTTGGCAGGAAGAGTGATACCAGAAAGTTTGGTTTACAGCTTTGGTACCCTGTTGCTTGATCTGCTCAGCGGGAAACATATCCCTCCAAGTCATGTAACTTTTCTTTTCATTAATAAATTCTAGGTGAATTGTTGCTCTGATTTTCTTTTTCTTGGTCATTGAGTGGAAAACTAAGCCCTACATAAGTAACTTGTGTTTAGACTTGGTCTAAGTCAAACCTATCTGGTTGTGTCGCATTCTCATCACTTTCTGATTATATAGCTGGCTTAAAATTTTATGAATTGGATTCTGATTACAATTATAATTTCCAATTTTCTTTCTGGAAGGCACTTGACCTGATACGGGGCAGAAACTTTTTGATGCTGATCGACTCGTGCTTGGAAGGTCATTTCTCAAATGATGATGGGACTGAGCTGGTGAGGTTAGCTTCACGATGCTTGCAGTATGAACCTCGTGAGAGGCCAAATGCCAAGTCTCTTGTGACTGCCCTCATTCCTCTTCAAAAAGAAACTGAGGTGTGCTGATGCCCAACTTTATTTATTCTTTACTATATACTTAAAAATTTAATTTCTGCTGCCTCTGTTTTGCAAAGTTCATTTGCAGTAATGCTGCAAATAGAATACCATGAAGGTAATTATATCATCTCATGTAGTGGTTTGTAGCAGGTTCCATCATATGTTTTGCTGGGTATTCCGCATGGAAATGCGCCTCTGAATCAGACATTGCTATCACCGCTAGGTGAAGCTTGCTCAAGACTGGATCTTACTGCAATACATGAAATACTGGAGAAACTTGGATACAAGGATGATGAAGGGGTTGCAAATGACGTTAGTGATCCTCAATTCTAACTTTTCTATGTTATATTTTCTGACATCTGCCAACCATTATTACTATCCTTTCCGTCATCAATTTTTGCATCAGTTATGTGTATGAGCAAACTTTTTATGTTAATTTTGTGTAATGCACTGCCCTTACTTTGAAGTTACCTTGCAGCTTTCTTTCCAAATGTGGACAAATCAAATACAAGAGACATTGAATTCTAAGAAGCATGGGGATGCTGCATTTCGAGCTAAGGATTTTGTTACCGCGATAGATTCTTACACAGAAGTAAGTCACAAATTTATACTTTTTGACAGGAATCAATAAATAAAAAAAAAAATTTGAATCTGATTAGATTTTATCCAAATGCAAAGTTTGCATGTCACAAGTTCCTTCATCAAAATCCAGATACATATTCAAATACATGGTGATATTGCAAGGGCTTTCACTCAGTCGAAAGCATTAATGATATAATTTGCTTCTTCATCTGGACTTAAGTTAGACAAAGTTATTAGTAGTGGGGTTACAAGAATTTAAATTTTCTGTCTTGCAAATAGAAAGCTATGACTTTGTATAATCAGATAACCTCACACGATTAGAAATGATAATTCCTTAGGAAATATTAGCTTTACAAGCCTACTACTATGCATATGACAGATAGAGTAGGATTGCATTCACTTTTCATCTTACTCCTAGGTGGATCTTGTTGCTCTTCATTGCAGTTCATTGACGGTGGGACCATGATATCGCCAACTGTGTTTGCTAGACGTTGCTTATGTTACTTGATGAATGATATGGCACAAGAAGCTCTTGGAGATGCTATGCAAGCCCTAGTAATAAACCCTGAATGGCCCACTGCCTTCTATCTTCAAGCAGCTGCCCTAAAGAGCCTAGGGATGGACAATGACGCGCAGGAAACTCTAAAAGATGGAACGTCGTTTGAAGTAAAAAAAAGTAAAAGCTGAAACTCTGTATAGGTGTTTTTTCCTCTTCTTTCATTTATAATTGTATCTAGCTTTTTCCATCTTCCCACTTTGACATTTGAGTTCTGCGCTGCAGCAACAGAGGATTAATTGTAACAATCTTTATGTCGGTCTTGGTGTATCATTTTAATTATTTTGATCTATAGAAGTCAAAATTTATTGTTTGTTTGCTCTGCTGTGTTTTATTTGATTTTTGATTTTTGAGTTTGTTTCATGTAAAATGTCCTTTGGATTATAAATTAAAACAGGGGCGTTGAAATGAATAATAGGTGCCTTATGATGCATCTCATTTGCTTATATATATTATTTAATTATCCTTATCATTTGGCAGTCCTCTACAGGAAGATGGCTCGTATGAAGTCATAATGTTTTTTCAAATATCCTTTGGTAGAAGAAGGAAATATAAAACTCTAAATAAAATGCTTTGGACTTGGATTAAAAAAAAACAAGACAAATAAAATGCTTGGGACGTCATGCATGTTGAATAGCGTTCGCAAAGTGCGCTATTTTGTGCACTTTAGCGTACGCGATGCTCTTCTATATTAAGGTTAATTTTTAAAACCCAGACGCGCCTAAAGTCACGACTCGCGAGCATTTCACCTCTCAAAAACGCCTCCAGCCCTAACCGCAAATTCTCCGCATAATCTGAAGCAAACATTGAGTGAGTTTTCGGAAAATCTTCAAGCTATTGGGCTGTGATGTAGCATTAATTCAGTAGAAATTGGTGGATTTTCGTCAAACCCAGGTTTTTCTTCTCTTCTCCTCTTTTCTTTTCTTTTATTTTATTTTATTTTTTGTTTTGATTTTGTGAGGGTTCATAGGCTACTGTTGATTTCTTTTTTGATAAGAGGCTCCTGAGGAGGGATTCGAACATTCATCAGCTTTTGTCTCTCTCTTTCGACTTCCGCAAATTGAGAAACAATCCTGCATATTTTCCCTAAAGCTCCAGCATGTCTTTACTTAGCTCATTGATGTATATAAAGCTATGAAACACCAATTCCTCATCCCTGTATTGCTGTTTTCCAGGTCTTTTTTTTTCTTTTGATATAATTCTTAGCAATTCCCATTGACCGATATCTCTGAATTAGAATATGATTATACATTAGTTTAGTATCTCTTTAGCACAGTTTACTGTTGTTTAATTACCACATTGTGTTTTTTGGAAAATTTGTTTATATTGTTTTTTTATGGCATATTTAGTTAAGTTGATTTTTGTTTGCAGATTTTGTATGTTGGTTTGTATTTTTTTATATTTTGGAAGAATTCGTATTTGGTTTGATATTGTTGCTGCAAATTCATAATGACGAGTAAAAAGGATTTTTCTTGGAAGTGGGGGATACAAGTTGAAGGAGAAAGATACTTGAGGTGCTCTTTTTGTAATCAACAATGCACCGGAGGTATTACAAGGCTCAAAAATCACTTAGCTCATACTCACCATGGTATGAAGCCTTGTCCAAAGGTTCCACCAAATGTAAAAGCCAAATGTAGTGATTATTTGAAAAAATTTAAGGCGATCAATATGAAGCGAAATGAATCACTTCATGAGCTATCTGTCCAAAAGAAAAAAAAAAGAATCACTTTGTGAGCTAGGCCAATCTGGGAGTAATGCTTCCAATGAAATGGAACAATCCGAAGATGGAATTGGTAGTGGGAGTGGGAGTGGGAGTGGGAGTGCTCCAACACCAAGTGGCGAGAGTTCTCTAGCTCCCCCTAGGCCTAGAGGACCCATTGATAAGTATGTGTCTTCTGAAGCTCGGCAAGCTACACTGAATTCCAAGCTAAAAAAGGATGAAAGGAATGATGTGTGCTGAAAGATTGGGCGTTGGTTCTTCAATTGTGCAATTCCATTCAATGCCGTGAATAGTCCTTTTTATTTGCCCATGATGGAAGGAATTTCCAATTTCAGTCCTGAGTTCAAACCCCCCCTTCCATGCATGAGTTGAAGACTTGGATCCTTAAGCAAGAAGTTGAAGATATTCAAGCAACAATGGTTGAACATAAAAACGCTTGGAATGAATATGGGTGCACCATCATGTTAGATGGTTGGACAGATGGAAAAAATCGGGTTCTTCTTAACTTTCTAGTGAATAGTCCTCGCGGGACTTGGTTCTTGAAATCAGTTGATGGCTCTGATACAATAAAATATGAAGACTTGATGTTCAATTACTTGGATGATGTAGTAGAAGAAATAGGAGAAAAGAATGTGGTTCAAGTGATTACAATTAATGCATCAAATTACAAGAATGTGGGGAAAAAGCTTATGGAGAAGAGGAAGAAATTGTGGTGGACTCCATGTGCCGCCCATTGCATTGATTTAATGCTGGAAGATATTAGCAAGTTGACAGTTTTTGAAAATATTATTCAAAAGGGTAAGCAATTAGTGAAGTTCATTTATGGACATTCATGGGTCCTTTCTTTGATGAGGCATTACACTGACAATAAAGAGATCATCTGTCCAGCGGTGACACGCTTTGCCACTGTTTATCTCACACTTCAGAGCATTTATAAGGCTAAGAGAGGTATTATGTCTATGTTCACCTCCCAAGAATGGCATGCTGGTCCATTCGCTAAAAACAAGGATGGAGTTGTGGCTCGTAAAATTGTACTACATGATGCTAATTTTTGGTCTCACGTTGCCTTTTGCATCAAGGTGGTTATTCCACTTGTCTCTGTTTTAAGGGAGGTTGATTCAAAAGAGAGACCTGCAATGGGCTATATTTATGAGTTGATGGATGCAGTAAAGGAGAAGATTGCCTTCAATTGTGGAAATGTGGAGAGAAAGTACAAACCAATTTGGAATAAAATTGATAAAATATGGGGTCCACAACGTCATCACCCTTTGCATGCTGCTGGTTATTATTTGAACCCGCAATTGCATTATGAAGAAACTTTCACAAACTCTAAAGAAGTGAGGGAAGGTTTGTATGCATGCATGGATATGATGTTGAGTGGAGATGAACGTGTTCAAGCGGATTGCCAATTGGACAATTATATTTATGCAGAAGGAGATTTTGGAAGTGAAGTAGCAGTGAAATGCCGGAAATTGCGATCACCAAGTATGGTCCTTCTATTCCTTTGTGAACTCTTATTGTTGGATTTGAAAATTGAATTATCTATGAATTCTTATTGTTGGATCTTCATAGTTTTTCTATTGTTGGATTCTTTTAGTCAATTGGTGGTTGCGTTTTGGGAGGGAGACACCGGAGTTGACTAAGTTTGCTGTTCGAGTCCTTAGCCTTACTTGTAGTGCATCTGGGTGTGAGAGGAATTGGAGCACCTTTGAATTGGTAAATTCCTTCAAATAATTCTTTGTCTTATAATATTTTAATATTTTATGCTTCTAGTTCTAATCTAAATGTCTAATATTGATTATATATATATATTTATTTTAGATTCATACAAAGAAAAGAAATAGACTTGAACAGAAAAGGCTAAATGCTCTAGTCTATGTGAAATATAATTCGGCTCTAAAGCAGCGAAGTATTCAAAGGAAGAGAAAGGTTGATCCAATATTCGTGGATGATATTCCCTCCGATAATGAATGGATAACGGAGGTTGAGGAACCATCTCTTCCATTTGATCCTTCTTGGATAGAAGAGGAAGACATATTTGATGTTGATGCCATTAGGAATGTGCCAATTCCTACCTATGAAAGTGGTCTACAACCTCGAGAGTCAATTATTCGTAAGTCTGTTCTCGATGATCCTCCTACTGCTCCTAGTGAGCCTACTTTTAATGAGCGTATCCCTTCTCCACCTATCATTCGATACAAACGAGGTCGTGTTGAAAGATCAAGTAAGTATTAAAAAAAATTTAGTGATTCACTACATTTCTTTGTTTAGAATAATAGAATCAAATTATAACTTTTTATATTTATAGGTAATGATATGCCAAAAAGCAAGGCTCCAAAAAAGGGATGCTTGTTGATGAGGGATCAAGATGATATGAGTTGGTTGGAGCATCCCTTGGATGAAGATGCTAATAATAATGATATTGGTTCAAATCATGGTAGTTTGGTTTTGGATGATGACCTTCTTAATGATGACGAGGATGATATGAATGAGTGAAGATGATTTTTTGTGGTTTTCGGTGTATTGTGGATGATCTTTTTAAGATCAACATTATGTCTCTTTGGATTTGATAATCTTGTTGAACAATCATTTTTTAAATGCTTGGTTTTTGTGATTGAAGACAATCAGAAGTAAGTCACAAATTTAGAAATACAAAGTTTGCATGTCACAAGTTCTTTCATCAAAATCCATATACATATTCATCTTGGGGGGGTTGTTTTTTTTTTTTTTTTTTTTTTTTTGGTGTATTTGGACTTAAGTTAGACAAAGTTGTTAGTAGTGGGGTTACAGAGATTTAAACTCTCTGTCTTGTGCATAGAAACTTTGTATAATCAGATAACCTCACGTGATTAGAAATGATAATTCCTTAAGAAATATTAGTTTTACAAGCCTACTACTATGCATATGACAGATAGAGAGTAGAATTGCATACGTTTTTAGTCTTACTCCTCGGTGGATCTTGTTGCTCTTCATTGCAGTTCATTGATGGCGGGAAGATAATATTGCCAACTCTGTTTGCTAGACGTTGCTTATGTTACTTGATGAATGATATGGCACAAGAAGTTCTGGAGATGCTATGCAAGCCCTAGTAATAAACCCTGAATGGCCCACTGCCTTCTATCTTCAAGCAGCTGCCCTAAAGAGCCTAGGGATGGACAATGATGCACAGGAAACTGTAAAAGATGGAACGTATAGGTGTTTTCCCTCTTCTTTCATTTACAGTTGTATCTAGCTTTTTACATCTTCCCACTTTGACATTTGAGTTCTTCTCTGCAGCAACAGAGGATTAATTGTAACAATCTATATGTTGGTTTTGGTGTATCTTTTTAATTATTTTGATCTACACAAGTCAAAATTTATTGTTTGTTTGCCCTGCTGTAATTCATTTGATTTAGATTTTTGAGTTTGTCATCATGTAAGATGTCCTCTGAATCATACATATTCTTCGATTATGAATTAAAACAGGGGATTTGAAATGAATAATAGATCACTTATCCTTTATCATTTACTTATTTAATTTTCCGTATCATTAGGCATTCCCCTAGAGGAAGGTGGCTCATGGGATAAGAAGGAAATATAAAATTGCAATGAGGCAGCACCGTTGGTCTTAATAAAATGCTTTGGATTTAATAAGAAAACAAGACAATGAAAAAGTCCATGAGGTTATTGCACAGAAGTCTCCCTTGATTTGAGCCTTTGACCTTCGTGAAAGTGATGTGGTTCTACGTCAAGTTGCCCCCCCATTTTTAAGTTTCAAGTCATTTCTCTCTCACTTGGATTGAATTCATTAGCCAATGGGAGCCGGATTCTCTCTTTGCTTACAACCTTCCGATAGCTTCCGGCCATCTGATGTCGAGTCCAAACTCAACGATTCACCAGACACAGGTGAGCTTTCATTGTTACCATTGTTTTTGTTTTTTCAAATTTTCTGTCACATTCCAGAAAAAGTTTTGACTTTGCTTTTGTAATACGCAGAGAACAGAAGCCAAAATGAAAAGGACTCGTTGCCCAGTTTCACCGAGTTCAGCTTGGACCAACTGAAAGCTGCCACTTTAGGATTCTTGTCGGGAAATGTTGTATCTGAGGGTGGAGAGGGAGCTTCCAGTGTGGTGTACAAAGGGAAGCTGGAAAATGGCCTTTTGGTGGCTGTTAAGCGCTTCAACCAATCTGATTGGCCTGATTGCGGCCAATTTCTTGTACGTATGAAGTTGGCTAGATTTTCTATTTTTTCTTTGTATAACTCCTGTATGTGAGAGTATATATGCTGCTGGGTTTGGTTGCAGGCGGAAGCTAGAGCTGTGGGGCAGCTGAGGAGCAAGCGCTTAACAAATTTGATAGGGTGTTGCTTCGAAGGCGATGAGAGATTGCTTGTGAGTTCATGCCTGATGAAGCTCTCTCTAAGCATCTTTTCCTTTGTAACTTCCTCTCAAATTTTAAAATTCTTTTGCTGTGCTAGTCTGATCTTACTGTTAAATTTGGCTTACTTCGATGTGCTGGAATGTGTCTGAAGAAGGTGGGGTTTGTCTGGTTTGTTGAGGCAACAGGTCATTCAAGATTTCACATTCTTTTAGTACATTTTTGAAGCAATCAAACTGCAACTTGGGCTGAAATAAGAGAAGTAGAAACTTTATTAAATTGGTTAAATTGGTGTAGGGGAGACCCAGCCCATGCCATGGACAATAAGGTTGCGAGTGGCTTTGTATCTGGCTCAACCTTTATAATATTGCAGCAGCAAAGGGCAGACATTATACCATGATCTCAGTGCTTCCAGAATCCTGTTCGTTCCGGTAACTGGGGCCTTTTGCTCTCTTTAAACTGTATTTAATAAATTTGTTCGCCGTTCCTTACATTGAGTCATGCATTTGACAGGATTCAAATCCTAGGCTCTCCTGCTTTGGCCTTTTCAAGAATAGCAAGGATGGCAAGAGCAATAATATTACCAACCTGGATTTTGCTCCTCCAGAATACTTGACGACAAGTAATTCCGTCATTACTTCAGTTGATGTAAAACAGTATTCAAATACTAGGTTCTCCTGCTTTGGTCTTGTCAAGAATAGCCAGGATGTCAAGAGCTATACTACCAACCTGCTTGTCTACCCTCCAGAAAACTCTTAGACAGGTAAATCCATAAATCATCCAATGGAAAATAGATGCATGAATTTTTAACACGCTCTCGAGTTGATGAAGTTTTTAGTTAAGCTAAAGTACCATCTTCTGTTTGCCTGGACGTTTGAGACCAGAAAGTTCTGTTTACAGCTTTGGGACCATATTGTTTGATCTGCTCCGCGGTGCACATACCCCCCCAAAGTCTTGTAACTTTCTTCTTCCTTAATATGTTCCATTAAGTCTGACCAACAAGAATATATATTACAAAAGGCAACTTGTGTTTAACTGTGCTTTAAGTTAAAGCTATATCTTGTTGTGCCTCATTCTCAGCATCTCCTGATCATACAACTGGCTTTAAATGTTTATGAACTGGATTATGATTACAATTCCATACAGACCAGTTGTAATATTAAGGAGGCTCTAGCTAAATACGTTTCATTCCTTTTCCTTTCTTGGAAGGCACTTGACCTCATACGCGGTAAAAATGTTAAGAGGCTGATGGATCCATACTTGGAAGCCCAGTTCTCAAATGACGATGTAACTAAGTTAGTGCAGTTGGCTTCACAGTGTTTGCAGCATGAACCTCTTGAGAGGCCAAATGCCAAGTTTCTTTTGACTGCCCTCATTCCTCTTCAGAAAGAAACTGAGGTTTGCCTAACTTTATTTGTTCTGTAAGATCATAGCTTTGAAATTTGATTTGTTTTGCCGATATTGAAAAGCTGATTTTCCTTAATGCTGCAGCTATCATCTGTGTGGTTTGTATATGCAGCAGGTTCCATCATACGTTCTGATGGGTATTCCACCTGGAAATGTGCCTCCATTTGAGACATAGTTATTTAGTGTCAAAGAGCATAGGGCTGGACAATTATGCAGAGGAACCTCTAAAAGCTGGCACATCCTTGGAAGTAAAAAATATATAAGCTGAAAAGTGTATGGGGAGGGGGTTTCCAATTCTTTCAACTAAACTTGTATCCAGTCATGAACAATCACTCTTTAGCATATTTGAACTCTGCTCCGCAGCACCAAAGGAGTAACTGTATATTAGGTTGGTGTTGGTGTTTCTTTTCATGTATTTTGGTCCCAAGGGTTCAACAGAAGTCAAATTACTTGTTTGTTTTCCTCTGCTATATATGTTTTTGGGTTTCTGATCATGCAACATGTCTTTTCTGGACTAGATACCGCGAGGTCTTTGAGTGACTCAACTTCTAGTGAGTATAGTTTTGTTTTGTTTTATTTAATTTTTTGACTTCTTCCACGAGGTCGTCGAGGAAACCTACAAAGAGAAGGGAAGGATAAAAATTATCATATGCACAAAAAATAGGTACAGTTTTACGATATTATTAGTACAAAAATAAGTAAATACTAACTTTTACGGGGTCTAAAACTTCATTATATGGTATTAACAAACGTATTTAGATAGAAAAACGCTAAAAAAGAAGAACTTTCTGCTATTCATCCAGTCATGGTTAGTCTCTCGGTCGGCCTCTTGGTCTACTACAACTTGTCTTTCTTTTGGTCATGCATACGTCACGTCTAGTGTTCTATGTATTATTGTATCATTGATATATACAACTCCCATTATTTAATATTTATGCATGCAATATATTCATTTGTGTTTGTTTTCTTTTTTTAGTCAATATCCTTTTTTTTTTTCTTTTTTTTCTTTTTTGCGTACAAGTCAATATCCTTATTTTTGCTACATAGACGTGTTGTCTTTTAATTATTAAAGTCCCTAGCATTTTCCTATAAAGAATAAGTAGCTATCAACGACGAGAGGTTAGTTGGAATAGTCAGGCTAATAGTTTGTTTCTACGTGGTATGAGGTTCGAAACCCTAAAGATACCCATGTGGCTATTTGCTAATATTTCCTGCTCTCTCGAAGACTATTATTATTAAGCAAATGACATGTCCTCCTCTTGACTTTGTTTGGACCTTTTTTGTTTGTTTAAAACGCAAAGAGATGTGATCGTATTCAAAGTGTAATTTGCTAGCTAGTAATGCAATGGAAGCTTCCCTTGTTGACTTTGTGAGTCTTTCGGCTTCATCTCCGTTCCCACACGAATTTCATTTCATTTGTCATGCGTATAATTAACACGACTTTTCATATCTTGAGATTAATGGTGACCATGAATTTCAACCGCCTCTCTCTCCTCTCCTTAGTCTCCTAGTAGCACCCAGGAAACTGGTAGAAACTGAAGTCTACAAGAAACTGCTAAAACTTTCGAGATACATGCATGTTTTAAATTTCAAGCTCTCTGTCTCTCTCTCTCTACGACTTGCTTCATCATCCATTAATGGGAACGAGATTCTGTCTTTGCTTCCGCCCATCCAATAACATATCCGACCTCAATGACTCGGCAGACATAGGTGAGAATTTTTTTATTTTTTTAATTTTTGTATTGTTGTTTTCCCTTACTTTCCCGAGAAAGTTTCACGCTTTTTTTTATGAGATATTTAGTGATATACCCATTCTTGGCACTAATATTATAAATAAACCCTACACAATTGAATTTCTATAAACATACCCAAAAGATGACAGCTGGCCTTATTAAATTTAATATTGATTATTAAATTACTTTGATGTCCTATTGAGTGTTTTGGGTATTTTTATGAGATTTTGGGGTTGGGCTTGTTTTAAGAAATTGATGGCAGTTTTGTAATTTATAAGAAGTTAAAAGCTTTTTTGTTATGTTGTAAATGGGCTTTGGATGTGTTTCTAAAGTCCATTTCATATGGGGTATTTTTATAATTTGGGCATCTATATTGGGTATAATAGTGAATCTCCCTTTTTTTATTTGGTTTCCTGAAATGCAGAGGCTGGGAACGAAAACGAGAAGTACTGGCTGCCTAAGTTCAGCTTGGACAAACTAAGAGCTGCCACGTCAGGATTCTCGTCCCATAATGTTGTCTCTGAGCATGGAGAGAAAGGTCCCAATGTGGTCTACAAAGGGAAGCTGGAAGACGGCCGTTTGATCGCCGTTAAGCGCTACACCCTCTCCGCTTGGCCCGATTCCGGCCCATTTCTTGTCCGTAAATTTGCAGTTGACTAAATTTACTTATTCTTATTTTTTTAATAAAAAAAATTAATAAACCTTATATGTGGTGGGTTTGGTTATAACTCTTATAGGAGGAAGCTGGAGTTGTGGGGAGGCTAAGCAACGAGCATTTGGTGAATTTGATCGGGTTTTGCGTTGAGGACGATGAGAGATTCCTTGTGGCTGAGTTCATGCCAAATGCAACTCTCTTTAAGCACCTTTTCCAGTGTAAGTTCTAAAATCTTCAACTAAACTTATTTTGCTTTGTTGTATCGGTGTTAATCGTATAATGCTATGCGTTTGATGAAAATGATATTAAACAACCCTCTGCTTTCTTAAGTTTGAGGAAACAGATCAACAGAAGATTTTAGTTCTTTTTTTGTTGAAGTAATTATGGGATGAAATTGGGTTATTCGGTGTAGGGGAGACACAGCCGATGACATGGGCAATGAGGTTGAGAGTGGCTTTGTATGTGGCACAAGCTTTAGACTGCTGCAGCAGCAAAGGGGAGGCACTATACCATGATCTCAATGCTTATAAAGTCATGTTTGATCAGGTAATTAATTGGACTCTTTCACCCTTTCGATTTGTTAATCTTTTGTTGGACATTACATTGAGTCAGAACTTCAATGACAGGATGGAAATCCCAGACTCTCTTGCTTTGGCCTTATCAAGAATAGCACAGATGGCAAGAGCTATACCAACTTGGCTTTCGCCCCTCCAGAGTTCTTGAGGACAGGTAATTCATACCATCATTGCTTTAGCCAATGGAAAAACGGTTTTCAAATTCAATCTCATACTTGTCATGCATGAGCTTTTGACGCGTTGATCTACACGATCAATAGTCTTTAGTTGAGCCAACTGTACATGTTCAGGAAGAGTGATACCAGAAAGTATGGTTTACAGCTTTGGGACCCTGTTGCTTAATCTGCTCAGTGGCAGACATATCCCTCCAAGCCATGTGAGTTTCCCTTTCCTTCGTATGTTCGATTGAGATGCATTAATTGTTGCCCTGATATTTTACTTGACATCTTATGGTCCATATATGTAACTTGTGATTATAAATGTTCTCTACGATAAGGCTATGTGATTGTGTCTCATTCTCAGCATTTCCTGATTAATGAGTGCTAATTGGTTATCAATTGTGGGTTCTGGTTAAACTTCTAGTAAGTACTGTTTAATTTTTCTTTCTACAAGGCACTTGATCTCATACGTGACAAGAATTTTTTGATGCTGATGGACTCATGTTTGGAAGGTCATTTCTCAAATGATGACGGTACCGAGCTGGTACAGTTAGCCTCCAAATGTTTGCAGTATGAACCTCATAACAGGCCAAATTTCAAGTATATTGTGAGTGCACTTGTTCCTCTTCAAGAACAAACTGAGGTATGCCAAACTTTATTTGTTATGTGCTTTGAAATTTGATTTGTTTTTGGCTAAGTGGGAAATTGGTTATGATTAAGCGAGGCAGTGTAACAAAAAATTTGATTTTCTTTTCATATGTTTTCGAAGTATGATTTGCATAAATTGCATTATCTCAGACTCTGCAAAGAGAGTGCCAAAAAGGAATTATTTCATCTCAGCTGGTGTTTTGGAGCAGGTTCCATCATACGTTTTGATGGGTGTTCCACATGGAAATATTCCTCCAAAGCAGACAGTGTTGTCACCTCTAGGTGAAGCTTGCTCGAAATTAGATCTTGCTAGAATACATGAAATATTGCTGATGATTGGATACAAGGAAGATGAGGGGGGTCAAACTGAAGTTAGTGATCTTTCATTTCTGATTTTTCTGCATTTTATTTTGTGACATCTATCAAGGGAGTAAAAAAAAACTTGTTTTCCCCGTTTCCTAGCAAATTTTGTTCTTTTACGTTTATGAGCAGACTTTTTGTGTTGAGTTTGTTTAACGCACTGCCCTTACTTTGGAGTTACCTTGCAGCTTTCTTTCCAAATGTGGACAGACCAAATGCAGGAAAGATTGAACTTAAAGAAACATGGGGATGCTGCATTTCGAGCAAAAGAATTTGCTAGCGCCATAGATTTTTACACAGAAGTAAGTCAGAACTCACTAATTTAGAACTACAAAATTTGTTCGTCATCATTAATATGCCATCAAAATCAGGACTTACACAATGTAATTTTCTTCTTCATCTAGTTTATAGAATACTATTAGTGGAGGGGTTACAGAAATTGAAGGTTCTTTTCTGCAGACAAAAAGTTACAAGTTTCCAACCTTCACGTGATTTTATATGCGTATCATCTAACTCTGAGCTGGATTTCCTCTTGCTTCTCATTGCAGTTCATTGATGGCGGGAGCATTGAATCGGGAACGTTGTTTGCTAGACGTTGCTTTTGTTACCTGATGAGTGATATGGCACAAGAAGCTCTTGGAGATGCGATGCAGGCTCTTGTACGACACCCTGAATGGCCAACTGCCTTCTATCTCCAAGCGGCTGCCCTGAAGAGCCTAGGATTGGACAATGATGCTGAGCAAACCCTAAAAGATGGTTCATCGATTTGTTAAATTCAGAGAGATAGGCCAGTGTCCCACCATTAGCAACACCGATATTGTCCCAACTTAACCACCTACAGAGCCCTTTAGGTGTGGGGTTTTATCACAAAAGGGCTCGGTGCTATTAGGAGTAGAACGACTTATTATAAGTTGTATTTTATTTAGCCAATCATCCGATGTGAGACTTATATTCTTTAACACAGCCCCTCACGTATAACCACCACATACTGGGCCGCACGTGGAGCCAAGCCCACATCGGTATAGGTGGTGTCTTTGTATTGCTGGAGTCGCCACCTAAACGACCTGCTCTCATCCGTATGGGTAGTGTTGGAGCCACCACCTAAACGACCCGCTCTCATCTGTATGGGTAGTGTTTCCATATGGCTGGATCTGTTGGCGTGAATCATGTAATTAATTTAAATTAGGAATTGTAATCTAGTATAATTATAGAATTCCCGTATTAGTTGGGATTGTAATTACTTTCCTTTTTGTTGTATTCTTGTATACATATAAATACCCTCCTAGTGAGAAGAATAAACTTACTCTGAATTATTCTACCCTAATAAGCATATTCTAAGTTGGTATTAGAGTTGCGATCTTAGGATTACGGCAGCTCTCTCACAACCCACCACCGCACCGTTGATGACTACTACAACGATGCAGCCATAGTGCAATACAGACCCCAATGCACCTCCATAGCGCTACACCCATATTGCAACGCCGATTACGATAGCCAGTGTCTATCCTAACAGCGCCATACTGATCTCGACAATGTCGCTCCAATCCCGATGTTTCTTCTTGCCACTAGTTATTTGCGATCCTATTTTTCTCCTCCCTCTCACCTATAGTTATCATGGGTGATGAATCTGTGGTTAGCGGTGCCTTCTGAAATACTACGACACCATCTCTATTGACTTCATCAATCAATCTTCCCTCTGAACCCACTAGCATACCTTTTGGTATCAACCTTAATGGCATCAACTACTCCCTGTAGTCTTAGCTTGTGGAGATGTTTGTTGCTGGCCGTGGAAAATATGGCTATCTGACAGGGAATACTAAACAACTTGCACGTGGAGACTCCAGTTATGACAAGTGGGTGATGGATAATGTGATTGTTAAAGGATGGTTGATTTCTGCCATGGAACATGATGTGATGAATTTATTTATCCGTCTGCCTACCGTTAAGGGTGCCGATAGATATCTTGTGCATGACTTGTCTCGAAAGGCTATGCAGATGAGACAAATAGAACTATCGCTTGCTGCCTATTATGTTGATCTGAGTGCTCTTTGGCAAGAGTTGGATTATAGGAAGCCTATTACTTTTACTCAAGCAAATGTGATTCTTGCCAGACAACATGAGATTGCAGAGGAGTGTGTCTACATGTTTTTGGATGGGCTTGATGATATCTATGATAGCATTCGCAGTGAAATCCTTCAAATCGTGCCATTCCCCAATCCAGAATCCGATTTTACTACTCGGTCATCTGCTTTAACCCAAAATAGGACACCCTTAAAGCGAAGTTTTGTCACTCGCCCTCCTACCGATGATGGTTGCACTTACTGTTACAGTTCGAAACATGTTGTGGAATAGGTTTCCAGGAGAAGAAGAACGGCTATCCTAACTGGTGGGAAGCTTTCCAGGAGAAGAAAACATGCGATGCTCGTGAGGCTCAGGAGCGCACTCAAGGAGGGATGACAAGGCCGCCATGGTGACTGGGTATGTCACCCCACCACCACCGGCCGCTTATATGAGTGGTGCTACCCATGCCGTCCTCAACTCTCATCTCTCCTCAGTCTGCTACTTCTTATTCTCCTTATATTACTTTAGTGGTTGATCCTGCTCTTACTCAGAACCCAAGTAATAAACCTTACTTGCTATTAATTCTCAGCCTGACCCCGGATGGATTATTGGTTCGAGTGCCATAGATCACATGACATATGATCCATCTCTTTTACGGAGTCATACTATTCCCCACCTTTCGAGTGTGACTAATGCCAATGGTGTTGCCTACTTACTAGCTTTGGCACTATTGACTTGACTCCTTTATCTTTGGAGCATACTTTATTAGTTCATACACTATCCAATAATCTACTTTATGTCCCTCAAATGACTGAGCAGTTAAATTGTCTTGTATTAATATATCCATTTTTTTGTCTTGTTCAGGATATCGGTAGCCAAGAGATTATTGGTCGTGGTACTAAGAATAGGGGCTTTACTATGTGGATGATGTTTGCACCTAGAAGGTTTTATCTGTCAAAGGTTCTGCTCGCAATAAAGGAGAATCAGATTTGGTTATGCAATCACCGCCTAGGGCATTCTTCTTTCAGTTTGAAACATTTATTTCCGTCGCTATTTTCTGGTTGTCAGACTTCTGATTTTAAGTGTGATACTTGTATTTTAGCTAAAAGCCATCGTGCTACTTATCTTTTGAGTGCCAATAACACTTATGTTCCATTTATGTTGGTGCATATTGATGTTTGGGGCCTTGCGCCTGTATCTACTCATTCGAGCTATTGGTGGTCTGTCATTTTTGTGGATGATTGCATAAAGTGATGTTTATGATAGTTTCCGTGTGTTTCATAAAATGATTTAGACTCAATTTTCTGCTACTTTGAAAGTTGTTTGTTCTGATAATGAAGGGGAATATGTCAATCAGTTGTTATAGGCTTATTTTCAGGATCATGGTATTGTGCATGAGACAACGTGTCCGCACACCACTCAACAAAATGGTGTTGTAGAATGGAAGAATCGACAGATTCTGGAAATCACATGTGCTAGCCTCATTGGTACTCATATGAGGCCCATCTATTAGGAAGATGTTATCACATCTAGCTTTTATCTCTTTAATCGAGTTCCTACTAGTGTGTTGTAGTTTAAAACACATTAGGAGAAGCTTTCTGGCTATGTTACCTTTCCTTCTACTTTGACTCTAGCACCACGCGTGTTTGGCTGCACTATGTTTGTTCATCTTCCTAAGACCCATCATACTAAGTTGGATCCTTATGCTTTGAAGTGTGTATTTCTTGGCCTCACCAGAAAGGCTATCGGTGCTATCATCCACCATCCCACTAGTCTTATGTCTCATGAATGTTTCTTTCTCTGAACAAGAGATATACTTTGCTACTCTTATCTCTAACTCCTCTCTTGAGGGGGAGATTCTCGGTGTCGAAGAGTCGAATTGGATGGTTTTATTCCCTGATTTAGTAGACCTAGCATCACACACAAAGGGAGTCTTTACAAGCTGCACTCTGACTGAATTGAATCATCCAGCACTGGAAGATCCTGCGCCTGTGACACTGTCTGAGATGCCGCACCCTAAGCCAGCAAGTGGTGATGTAATATATTCTTTCCCCATTCTACTCCTACCATACATGACCAAGAAATCTCTTTTGTTGATACGTCTAAGGTAAGAATAGAAAAACAAATTATTAATATTAATGTTGATATGCCAATTGTGCCAAGTGATAGTGAAAAGTTCCAGCTACCACCAAGGAGTACCCATGGGAAGCCTCCAGACAGATATTCAACTAATACATTTAAGACGGTGAAATACCCTATTGTGAACTATATATCAGCTCACAGGTTATCGCCTGCTAGACAAGCCTTTGTGAGTCAGATGTCAGCAATAAATATTCCCACAAAGGTGCAAGAGGCTTTGTTAGATTCTAAGTGGGCTAATACAATGACTGAAGAAATGAAACGCTTGAAAAAAAAATTTAGACATGGGATTTAGTGTCGTTGCCAGAAGGACAAAAACCAGTAGGGTGCCGATAGGTTCACATTGTGAAACACAAGACAAATGGTACAATTGACAAGTAAAAAAAAGGGATATGCTCTGAAGTATGGTATTTATTATGAGGAGACCTTTGCACCTGTCACAAAAATCAATAATATACGCGTCTAATGTCTTTGGCTGCAAATTTAGATTGGCCCCTGTAGCAGTATGACGTGAAGAATGTTATTTTAATGGTGATTTATGTGAAGAAATGTATATGAGTATGCCTCATGGTTACATTATTGCTGGACAAACAGACGTTGTGGGCAAGTTAAAAAAGGCCTTATATGGATTGATGCCAAACAAAGTTTATATGTTGGAATTTTCTAATAAAAGAGACATTGAATTCTAAGAAGCATGGGGATGCTGCATTTCAAGCTAAGGA